ATCGACGACTCATCATCCTTTCGATGTCCAAGCGGAAGGCAAATCACCGTCGAGAAAATCACCGAAGAAGACGGATTTGAGCTTGTGAAGGGAAGTGAAACTTGCTGGATAAGAGTGGAATATGTCAAATTACTCTGTGAAGAATGTCCAGATGGTTTCTACAGCTTAAAGAGAGGATGGGCCAGTGGCTTCAATGTTCACGAGGAAACCAAGTGCATCAAGTGTCCCTACGGAGCAAAATGTGAGCGTGGAAACGTTTTAGCTCAAGAAAACTTTTGGGGTTCTAAAGTTAATAGAACCTCATCTACTCTGCAGTTCATTCCATGTCCATTGGAGTACTGCAAAACTCCAGCTGATACAACTACTCACGCGTACAATGGTTGCTATGGTAGCAGGACAGGTGTGTTATGTGGCGAATGTGCTGAGGGATACAGTGAAGCCTTGTATTCCACGTCATGTCAAAAAAAGGAAAAGTGCCATGATCACTGGTTTTGGTTGGTGAGCCTAATTTACATACTAGCATTTGCACTGTACCTTGTTTTTAAGCCTCCTGTCTTCACGTGGCTGTATCGTCAAGGTGTTTGGTTTAGGAGTACATGCAATTCTAACAGCACACAGGAAGCACCAAACGAAGATAGAAGAGATAAACACGACGCTGGGTACCTGAAGATCACCTTCTACTTTTATCAAGTTGCCGAGATACTGATGATCACGTCCACAGAGACCACTGCTCACGTCATCCCTTTTGTTACACCAATCGTTGCACTATTTAATTTCCAGGTAAAGAATTTTAAAGGCAGCATTGGATGCCCATTTCCTGGCTTCAATGTTGTCACCAAAGAGCTGTTTTTCTCCTTGAAGTTCCTGGCAACCTTGCTCTCCATTCCCCTAATTTACGCCATCCACCGAGCTATAAGCAGATTCCGCCCCATTCCAAAGCCTTCGCTGAGACTATACCTGGCTGTTGTTCTGGAGACCCTGTTACTTGGATACAAAACTCTCGCGGATACATCCCTTACTCTTATGCACTGCGTTCCCGTAGAGCTGGAGTGGCGTCTGTTCATAGATGGAAACATTCAGTGCTGGCAGTGGTGGCAGTACTTGCAAATTGTCTTCATCTTGGCATTCATCATCCCCTTGTACTCGTCCTTTTCTGGGGATCGCTGATGCTTTCCAAAGACAAATTGTCCGCCAAAGAGTTCCTGACATCATGCGCATTTCCTCTGCCCTTTCTTTTTATCTGGTTGTTTCGTTGTTGCAAGAGGAAAGAAGATACAAGTCAGTATGAATATCTCCTGGGCAACTCCAAGGATACCGATGACATAAAAAGAGTTCTTTACGACCCATTCCGTACAGCTTCTGATGGTGACCACGGTACTTTGTACTGGGAAAGCGTTCTCGTTGGTCGAAGGTTCCTTCTGCTAACCATTAGCACCTTTATCACCGATCCTTTGACAAGATTTGTCTGTTTAGGAATTGCATGTGTTCTGATTTTGGCGCATCATCTCCTTATGAGGCCATTCCGCGACCGAAAGGCCAACATCTGTGAAAGTCTGTCTCTTGTGAGTCTGACTGCTATCTGCACGTTCAACTTGGCTAAAGTTACCATTATCGCCCAAGGGCTCGAGCCTGCTGGACCGAAGCAAATCCTTTTCCATGCTCTGAAGTGGATCGAGGTCGCCCTGCTTGGTTTCCTCCCAGCCATGGCCTTCATCCTTGTGGTTCTTGTGGCTTTATCTCAAGTCGTTCGCCTGCTGTACCATTGCATGAAGCTTTTGCACCGATCAAACACGACCATTGTGTAGCTGAAGATACTGATGACGGATTAAAAGACGCTTCAATGTCGTAATGGTACTTTTGCTGTTGTTTTTCTCTTATGTCAGGGTTGTCAGTTTGAGGACATTAAGCTTCATGTAGAGTTTGACTAATTTGATAAATCCTTGTTAATAAGAGTGTTTAACTAATAACTTGAGTAGAAGGATAACATCGGAACTTTTTACAGTAAATTTAAAGAGGCTATTCAAAACACACCCTTTGACAATATCTTGGTAAAGGTTCATTAAAAGGTTTAGGAGCCTGTACATATATGCTTTTAAAAGTAGAGAACGAGTTTTTCATTTAAGCTTGGCTGTCATATCAGCGGTGTAAAAGTACAAGGATTTTTTCCATCTGAGTAGAGACAGTTAGATGAGTTTACAAGACAGTTTTCCCAAGATTACGTAAAGAACCACCTCAAATTCGGTGCAAGAATACTGAGTGGGGAAAACTTGATGACAATTTATTATCGGAGATTGCCAGTCTTTGAGCTTGCATAATGTGGGTGACGAAGAATTTCCTATAACTTTACCGAAAACCTATTTGGATGAGCACTTGTATAATACTGACCGGGATCCTTTTCTGGAAGCAATTTTAGAGCAGTTTGTTTATAAATTTTGTTTTCTCATACTTGAACTATTGTTAGTCGATTAATTTTTAAGGTTTTAGTTTCTCAAAGGTGTTAGTTTTCGAGATATTAATCAAGGAACGTGAATGCCATGCTCTTGCATCGCGCATTGAAGTCTTAGGTCGTTCCTTTATGACATTATTACGCGCTCGCATGCATAGGGATACCTTAATCCAGGGGACAGCCCTTACGGGAATTGTGAAAGACAAGTTTACTATGTAAGTTACCTATGTAACAATTCTATAGTTATATGGTTATTTCCTTCTACGGCTTATTCTGGATTATTCTGGATTATAGTTTGTGACCAATGATTTCACATTTCCTCCGGATAGAGGTGTCTCAAATGAGGGGTTCCATCCTATTGAAGTCGATTTCAAGTTAAAAGCACCATTCTGCAACGAAATATTTAGTGTCCCTGTCAATAAAACATAGATAAGCTTGGTCCATTTTGACGCACTTATTTTTTTGTAGTTTATCGTGGAATGGGTTTGATAGAAATCCAAACTTTTGACATTTTTTTTGCTGTAGGTGTGATCAATCAGTCGATAAGCTGTAGAGAATTGTACCTCTAACAAACAGTCAAAAGGTTCCTTTATGCTGTCAATTAAAGTGTACTGTTTTCTGCTACGTCATCTCCTTTATTTTAGGTATTCAAATCCCATGCGCACCCGGGTCGGTTTCACCCCGTTTAGCGTTGGTCTAATGTAAAAGTTAGCACTCGGACTTCCTTTTATCTTTGTGATCATCGTACAGAGCGCGAGTGATCGCGAGCAGGATAAGAACCACGCGCGCGGAATTTAACGAAGGCGAACGCGCGAGAATAGGGAGTCTTCTGCTTGACGTGCGCGGCTCATGGTGATTGATGCGCACCAATGACTTTTATTCAAACAATTGTTCAGTTGTCCTCAAAACTGATGATTTTCTACTTATCTTCCCATCGTTTTCTCAGTCTGCAGAACAATCATAATCTTTCCGCCAGCGATTTTTCCCCTCCTCCCTTACACTCCACCTAATTAGCCTACCTCCATTCGCGGGAAAAAAATGAAAGGAAAAAAAATTACTGAGCCTGTTCTTAAGTTAAGAAACTTTTTGCAACGTTTCAAGAGACGGTTTTCATCGTCGAGCGGGGAGGGGGGGGGGGGGGGTTGTTGTGTCATGATAAAACGTACCTGATCCCCTTGTAAGATTCTGTCTCTCATGACCTCCCCCCTTAACTCCCCCCGCCCCTCTTTCATTGGCAGTTAATTTGCAGTCAATTTTCTACATTCCCCCTTTTAAACTACGTTGCCGATAACTGATCCCCTCAAGTAATGGGCTCCTGTCCCCCCTTAATTATCCCTGAAGTCATGTGATCTCCCCCAATTTCTCCCCCCTTTCCAACCACGTGGTAAATAATGACCTTTCCCTTATGCTAAACGCACTGTCAAAATATTCGACGTTATCCTTTACACACGCAACACAATTCAGTGAGTCTTCGACGTTTCGTTTTTTTCTGCGCCTGCTTCAAATTTTTGCGATATTTATCAGATAGTTTCACGCGCTTTTCATCGGCAACGACACCTTCATGTCTGTTTTACGTGCTATTAAAATGTCTTTGTTTTTCCATTATCACTATCATTAATAATTTTACGGAGTTGATAACAATCTTTGCATTTAATTGCAATCGTCCATTTATCTCGATAGATTTTTCCGCGATAGTGACCCAGGAGCAATATAAAGCCATCATTCAGGAAAAGGTTACTCAGCAAACTGCGGACATTATTCTCATAACATGGGTTTGTTTCGAAAAACAAAATCCGGCAGAGAGTGTTAAAATCGACAGCTGCAAAAGAGAAAATGCTTTTCTGATATTTCCGGGGCTTTTTGACAAATTAGCAGATATTAAACTGACCTACCGTGTCAAAATAACCTGACTCGAATTATTTATTATTATCTAATTCCTTTCACTTCATTTCTTCTCGAGCGATAAAAGGCACGTTGATCGTTTGTTTCTCGAAATCACTTATTTTAAGCCAAACACGTTGCTTGCACATTCTTATGTCGGAACAGGAAAACTGCGGCTTTCGGTTGGCCTATTTATAACCTGTACTAGATCAAATTTCTTCCTAGGGGGACTCGTGTTGGTTAAGTGACGTATAAATAGCGACGTACTATTTTGCAATTTAAATTGCTTCCTCTCTTAAATTTTTTGACAGGTAACGTGAAAGCGATCATTCATTGCGACAGAGGAGTGTTGTAATTTACCTTGGTTTGTGATGAAACACGGGAAGTTCGATCCCAATTCTCACTTTCCTATCGAAACACCAAGACTTGTCAAATCTTTGGTTACGCCATTGTGACATTGCGACCGAAACATCAGCCTTAGGCCCTCCTTGTTGACTAAAAGTTTAAACTCTGAACGTTTGAACTTGAATCAAGCCGAGAACAGAACGGAAATTGCCATAAAGGAACGACCGTTGATTGATTGTTCTTCTATAATCAGGAAAATCTGTTCAAGGAATAATATGCTCCGGCGAAGACATAATTCGCAGTGATCTGCTGTCATCTAAAGTTCAGCATGAATCACCCATCTGATGAACCCGACGACAACCAAAATTTCCATGATGAAATCTCCTCGACTCTGAAAGGTACGTGGCTGACACAGATACTACTAAATGGCTTAATATTGGCAGCCGTGTAAGATCAGAATAATAATTTTCACCTATAATAGTGACTGATTTGTAGATTTTAACGTCGTGCAAGCGAACAGAGAATTATTAGAAATTTGCGTGCGCGGAATATGGTAAACAAACGCGTTGTTCACGTCAAATAAAAGTATTTCTTTCGGGATTAAAATGTTTTTTCTTTGCTTTGGTTGAGCCGATGAAAGAGACATCATCTTGAGCCTTTCGCAATAAATTTTCCGTACAAATCCACTTTAGTTTTCCCTAGAACTGATATAAGGTAAGAATAGTTCTTTTCATTTTAAGCGAAAACCTGAAGACAACGACAAATGAGCGGTTGAAGAAACCATGCAAAATATGTACAACAATTCTCTGTGTATATTTATTCCTCTTTGATCGTTGACAGAGGTTTCAAAAAGGAATGTTCGCCAGCTATTTTTGTTTCTATGATAAAAAGGCAAAGCTTCCAAAAAAAAACCTGATTTCTCATCGTTGTTCCACATTTATTTAAAATCACACGGCAAAACAATAGAATGGCGGACGACGGAAAATTAGTTAATGGTTATATTGATTTGCTTTGGATGTTCAATCTATATACAATGGCGTGCGGCAGGATACCTCTAAAATGTAAACGAAGAAGAACGGAAATCTCACGGCTACTTCTTTGAACAGGATTTCAGACGAGTCGGACATGTACACGAAATTCTGCAAACGCCGCACTTTTTTCAAACTAAAATACATCAAGTGTTTCGATAATAACAACAGGATAATATGCCACAGTAATAGAAGTATATTACCATAACAATGAAGGAATTAAACAAGATATTTTTATATCGAGCGAACTTTCGTCCGAGGTCTGAACAAAGCAAATTTCCGTCGATTCCCCGAATTTGTCAAAGGCGCAGAACGGAAGGAAAAACATAATATAAAAGTTCAGACTGCTGTTATTTTTATTTTATTCATGTATTAGATGTTTTACCATTCATATGCAAATTAAATTTGGAGTAATCGTTTTAAAGAATAATCTAAAATGGTTTTTCAGTGGGAAACCAATGAATATGTCCTTTTTTATTTCGAATTGTGTGACTGTGTTTTCGTTCTCAGATTACACGAGAAACCGAGAATGGCGCGCGTGAAAATCAACGCTGTGGTGAACAAATTTTAAATTTATTCTTTCATTTCAAAGAGTTGTTAAGAGGATTCAAAGACGTTCATTCGGATAAAGGACTTTCTTTTTTAAGACTAATTTTTATTTATACCAAATATAATTTGGCGATTACTTAATCCACATGTGGTTTGTTCATTTTCATTTCTGTTAATTGGTTCTCGAAACATCTTGGTATTATTGTCAAAGTTCTTCTAAAATGCGGAATCAAAATATGTTATCGCGGTGAATTCAGGGCGTGCAACAAAAACATTCAAATTCCAGTTCAAAGTATGAAGAAGAAGTGTTTTACAGCGAGCAAAGTGAAATTACATGACGAGTTCGATTGTCTCAGCGAAATCGGTCACGCACCTTCGGTGGGTGTAAATCTGTTAAGACTTTGCAAGTACTTGTGCTTGATTTTTCAAAGCGATCGATATCATAATTACCATGCAAGGCATCTGGAAGGAAATTTCAAATTGGGTGTATACATTAAATAAAGTAATGAGTGGCGATGTAATTTTTAAATATAACTCATGAGCATTACACAGTCATTCCTTCGAAAACTATTGCGTAATCTACTTTCGAAAGCGAGTACTCTCCTTATCCATAAAGTATAATCTCTTGAAGTTGGTTAGTGCTCTTTGTGCTTGGGATTAAAAACACCATAAGAGAATTGTTCCTTGATATTTTGCAATGGCATCGTTTCCGGTAATAAGAGAGGGGGCGGAGGAAGAAGAACGAGTGGGGTGCAGCCGCAGGGACAGTTGTCCCCATGTGTTAGAGACACCATTTCACCTCTTTTCAATTAACTTGTCAAAGAAACGTCAATATTTGTACTTAAATAAATTAGGGTGGGATTTCTGGTGAGAAAAAATATGTATTGTAATCAGTTGATATTTGGCGCAAAGTTCATAGGGCCGTTAGATTCGTTGAACCGCCGTCGTTGATTTTGACAACGAGTTTGTGATTGTATGGAGCCCGAGCCGGGGAGGTGACCTAACGTAACAGTACTTCGTTTAGCCTTCCCTCTTGGCTAGATTCTGGGGAGGGTGTAGTAACCGAGAAACCGGGGAAAATGGTTCCTCGTGATAACTACATGGTTACAGAAGTATACTTCGCACTGCATAAGTTTGAATTTGTAAAATGATACTTGTTCTTATTCCCCTTCTACGGGTGTTTGCACATTGTGTGCTGAGGCTCGTGTTCAACGCCTTATATTAGGTCCATAGTATTTAGAAATCTAGACAGACATTTACTTTGCACCACCGATTCATTTTATTTTTTATGTCGTTTTTTCACACAGACGTGGAGATATTTCTTAGTGACCTCGCGAAGGAATCACTTCAGTTACATCTCGAAAAACAAAGAGATGAGCTCCTTGAGAAGGTAATTCAACTGAAAAAGAAGGTCACAGAGTACAAAAACTCTCAGATGGTTACAAATGGAATCAAATCCCCGAGACCCAAAAGAAAAAGCTACCCGTTTGCGGCTGTAAAGGACAGTATGCATACGTACGCTGCGCATTTACAAAAAATAAACGTGGATGTGAAACCTAAGCACCCAGGCTCACCCGAGATAAGGCGGTCAGTGGATAAGCCTAAAATGCGCCCACGCTCCGTGTCGTGTCCCGAAATTCGCTTCACTTTAAGTCATGCGTGGAGGACGTCCCTTCCTAAGGTTCCAGAAAACGAGGAGCTCAAAGTAGATGGAGACAAAGGATCCTTATCAGAGGAAGACTAAATGCTAGTTGCGTCAACAGGTTTTGTACAAGTTTCTTCTTCTCGAAATCCAGTCCTCTATGCATGTTGACTCAAGAAGAATGGAAATAGAATTAGCTGCGCTGAATAAAGAGAAAGGACCATTAAATCTGCCAAGAGTAAACAGTTGAAGGCAGAGCATAAGATGTTGTGTTCATTACCTGTGCCCCAGTCTTCCTCGCTGTTCGTGGAACGAACCACAACCGTACGCGAAGTGTCCTGAGATGGTCATAAATGAGTACTGATTGGATAAATTAAACCTGGGAGAGTTTGAAGCCATGGATCCACACTTATTTAAGGTCTTAGTTTCGTTACGGAAGAATAACATTTGCGCTCGAGAGCGACCAGTGAGGTCACGCAGACTGGGTCACGCGAAAAAATAACATTGATATACTGCTGACAAGTGCGAAAGTCACATAAATTAATAAAGTAATAGTAGTAATATAAAACGGAAGTTATCTTAACTTATTTGACTTCGACTTGGAGCCGATCTAATATGGAATGTGTATCTGCTTTTCTACATTTTTATTTATTTGAGAATTTTATTTGCTTGTGCACGTTGGGTAATAAACTCGCTTTCACGCCGAGTATGTGCTTACATGTCACTGGATTCTTTGAAATCTTTAATGATTAAACGTTTCTGACCATATGGATCGACAAAACAAGAAAATCGAACTGAAAGCTTACGCATACCCCTTTCTACTCTCCTCGCGTTTTATTCGGATTGAAAGCAGTACATCATTTGTGCGGTGTCAGGAGCCCATGGTTTAAATAATTATAATAATTTATTTCTGCCTGTTCTCATTTTCAAACTTTCAAAAAAACAACAACAACTAAAATTCCGTTCTATAAGGTATCCGCGTGGAGAAATTTAATGGGGAGAGGAAGATTTCAATTTTAAGCTTTGGGATGCGTCGATTCCATCATATAAATATTAATTACTATTTCAGATAGATAATCTCTTATGCGGAAGATTCTTTTCATACGCAACCGCCTAAAAGCTATTAAACTCGATCCAATTTAAAAAAGAAAAATAAATAAAAAAGAAGCAGAATCATGGCGGACAGCGAGGTATCGAAAATACGACCTCGAAGAAGAGAGGAATTATTTAAAGTGAAAATTTAGTGTGCGGACGTCAGGGAAACAGACTTCCGCATCCGTCTTCTCCTAAACCGGGAACTTGGGTACTAAATGAGCCCGTGAGTATTCCGCTGAAATCGAACATGGCGGACGGACGTGATGTTTTCGCGACGTTGGCATGGATGTGATGGAAAACGTAGTTAAATACAGAATCTTTGTTAAAGATGGAGATTCTTTTGCCACAGAAAGCAAGTTGGAAACGCTTTTGGCTCATTACCAGGTTTTTCTGAGTCCATTCATCGATGATTTCATTTGGCAAGTCGAGCCTTTCTGTCTAGTGACCAAAGCCGGAAAAGGTTCGTCACTTCACAGCTAACGTTGTTGGAGCAATGCAAGCTAATCTTTCCCTTTTATAACAGAACAGTAATCATTCGGGCCGATATTTTTCGCCTTGGAAAAGACGCTACCCTCACATGGCCCCTCTACGTCCAAACTAGAGATTGGCTTGTTCGTGTTCGTTTCTTGTATTATCTTGAAAAGGCTAAACTGCAGAATACCCGGTAACTTTGGTCCGCCTCACTTACATGTGTCGGGAGGCTCTGAAGTTTGAGTTATAACACAATAGACGCTATTCTTATTCAATGACATGTAAATGAGTGGTCGGGTATTCTGCAGTTGCTCCGTATGTAAAATAGATTTTAAAGTGAAGATTACATCGAGCTCTCCCATTAGCAGAGGAAATTTGAGAGTTATAATGAGCTGAAATCTAAAGCAAGGAAAACACATGATACACGAGCTGAGGCTAGCTCAAAATTAAAGGGCTGAAAATTCAATAGTTCTAGTACCTTCGATTTTTTAGTAAAAGGTTTCTTTATTTCCTTACATACTTTTCCTCTTTTTTCCATTTAGGAGACAATCCAGCTCACCTTCATGGAAAGACAAAGTTTGGCGACAATATTGATGATGAATGGTTTATTGTATGTCTTCTCTTCAAACTTTCAAAGGCATTTCCTGAAACATGTGTAAGGTGAGAGAAGGAGTGGAGCCATGTTAGAATACTGAAAATTCTCTAAAGTAGCCTGAAAGAAATTTTAGGTATTTCTGCAACATTCTGATTAACCTCTTACTATTTTAACCAGAATTCATGCAGTATCTGTAACAAGCAAATTTAAATTGAAAAGTAAAAGATTTAATCTAGTTTGGCTTTCAACTAAATTTCTTCATATTAAATTAAATGAACTTGATATTCGTGTTAGAAGAACACTATGAATTTGCATGATGTTTTTTTAGGTGATCTTCTTTAACCTTCATGCCTTGAAATTTCAACAAGTTTAATTTCCATCTGGTTTGTACTTTCTTCTTTAGTATATCTGATAATGATGGTGAATTCCTGTTGATTGAGGCAGCTGATTTCCTACCAAGGTGGCTGACACCAGACAACAGCAAAAACAGAGTGAGTTCCAACAGTGATTACTGCAATGTGTTCTTGCAAAAACTGAAAAATGAAATTGTTCACGAGCACAACCTGGAAGAATGTTTGGCAAGAAGATTCCCATTTGGCAAATCATGAATGACTTACTTAATTCCCACACTTCCATAAATGCAATACACTGAATGTAGTAAACTCCCTCTTGAAATAGTAAATTTTCTAAATGCCCCTCTCTCTAATAATAATTCCATCTTAAGAAAAATTTAGTGTGGCTATTAGTGGAACCCATGGCAATATGCATTAAAAAATTTCATAATAGGAGCCTATTTCTGAGTGAAATCATTTGATTAAATACTCAGGTGCTGGCTAATGAAATGAAAAATAATTTGTCATCAATTTTAAAAGAAGGAGAGTACACCTTAATGTCCTGACACACATTTATCTTTGTTAGATTAGAGCTGAACAATGTTTCTTAATGGTGAATTTCAGGTTTTTGTCCATGATGGCAAAGTTCATATTATTCCCCTTCCCGCCACCCCAGGAGAACTGACAATATACCCAACAGGTACTCCCATATTGCATCAGGCGCTAAAGTTAGTATTTGGGCCTCATAACACTGAAGCAGCAGCAAAGATTCAGGAAACAATCCGGCAAAGGATTGCAATGTGAGTGAACAGAGTACAGTATAGCATGTTATCCAGGAATAGTAGCAACATTTCTAGTCTCTTCATTTTATTCAAACTTTGCTGTTTTGATTCATGAGTTACAGATGTGTGTATCAATATCCCATATTTGACCTAATTTAACTGTTAGGCAAAGGAAAAGTCTGTTTATAAGACTTCTTAGATAAGAATAATAAGTGGTAGGCCTTGCCCCCTTCCTCTTCTCTGTAATGCTGACGACATGCTTCTCACAAAGAGCAGGGAATATAACTCCCAGTGTTGTGGTCTGGCATTGCCATTGCTTATACAGGCCCCCATTTAAACCAGCTGAACTGAACTGGACCAGCCAGTCCAAATATTGCAAATACATATAATACATGTATATGTACATATCAGAGGGCCTCTTTAATGCTGTGTAACTATCACAGACTGATGAAGGCTGAGTGATTCAGCTGAAAGAAATCCACCAAAATCAATAGTTTCTAATCAGATTATTCTACTCACATGAACACATTATTTATGTTCCTGTACTCATCTTTTTCTTTTCCCTTCAGAATTTCTCAGAGCAACTCTCATCATGCTCATTGCTATGTACCAGCAGAAGTCAAATTTGTTCTCGATCAGAAGCCATCTTTAATCAGTCCTGTTGTACTGGCATTTTATGGGCGGGATCCTGTTGACATGAAGGTTTGTTATGCTATAATTAACAATCAATATTCTAATATGCTCAATGAATGATTTTACTCCGCTTAACCAGTGCAATTATGTCAACATTTGAATTGTGTTTTGTCTGTTACAGGCTTGCAGAACAATGGATCAGTTCTCACTGAAAACAAGACTTCTGTCAAGGGTATGTGGCATTCTGAGATTCTCTTTTTCAATGAGCATGAATGCCAGAGCTATGAGACGTGTGTAAAGGCCAACATTTTCAAGAGTCAAGTGCATAAATTTGAGTTTTTCACTCACAGGCTCTTTGTTATTACTTGATATACAATGTCCTCCTTCATTTTAAGCACAGCAGGTGATATAGATTTTCAAACCAGTAGGGCAATCCTTTTACCAGTTGAATGATCAAGAATTATGTGTGATTTCAGGAGGTATTAGGAAGTACTATGAGCAACAAATTTTAATCAGTAACCACCTGAAAATACATCTACAGCTCATTCACTGTGTGCAACACCCAACTCACAATGTCTGGAATAACAAAGTTTATTACCTTTATTTCCAGATACGTTTTACACGATGCCTCTATGCACAGTTATCCCAACAACCTTTCAATCCCGACAAGAGGTCAGAGTGGACCCTACCACCAGTTACTGATCCACATTACAAAGCTCATGAGTTGGGTCTGAAATTGGTAATAATACCACAATTAAGAAAAAACTGTTATTAGAAATAGTTGTAAGGCCCAATTAGAACTGACAGTTATCCCTGGTTCTGTCACACGAAGCATCGGATAGGTAACTAGTCCATCTTAGATATCCCCCCCAAATTTTTTTTCAGTGGTGCCCATTAATGTACCTGGCCTCAGTTGATTGAAGGATGGATAGTGTTATCCACTGGATAAATCTCTACAGGGTGGATAGTGAAATATGTTTTTTTTAACTTGTGTGTGCTGGATAATGATTAATCTGTTGGATAACCTTATCTGCTCTTTGAAAAACTGCGCCCTGGATGTAGAAATGCTTAACCCAGTAACAATGCTTCAGACCAGAGATGAAATTAATTAAGGCATCAGTCCAGATTTTTGTGTTGGTCATGAATTGGTGCTTTAGACGTGTAGTGGTGAGGTGGAATTTTTAGTGTTTTGATTAATGGTAAGATTATAAAATTTTTTAGTCTTTTGTATGTAGGTACAATGAACACAGGCTCTTTTTTCTTTTCAAGGCTTGTGGATTCCAGATCTTATGTAGAAGAAGTGGAGCAAGCCAACCAGATTCAAAGGTACATGTATTTGCAACATAGCTCTTAAGTTTGATTCATCACAAGGGTGCTGTGATGATAATCATCCAACCATTTTATTCAGACCCTAGAGTATCTATCTTTGAGTAAGTCCACCAATCTGATTAAAGATAAGAAACTGTGTGAAACTACACTTTCTTCATTATGCTGCCAGTTAGTTCCACTAATGGAACTTAAGTATCAGAACTGCACATGAAGCATTGAGTATAGGCTATTAGGAAAAAAAGCTTTCAGTTAACCCTTTAACTCCCAGAAGTGATAAACATGAAACTTCTCTCTATGATATCCTTACATTATCCAGCAAACAGCTAATGAGAATATTAAAACTTATCAGGTAGAAGTTGTTATCTTGATTCAACACCAAATTCTCATAACTAATTTACAAGGATGTGTGTAGCAACCAGAGGGGAGAATTTACAATCAGATCTTGGGAGTTAAAGCAGCCCATCCAGCCAGACCTTATTAGGGTTTTGGGTATGTGGCTACAAGTATTGTTACCAGTTCCTCCTCCTGTATGGGATGCCAGTTTCTCTGTCAGTTTACCAGTTCCCAATTATATTCCAAACTGGAGAGAAGCACTGTAAGTGTAAAGTGTTTTTTGCTCAAGAACCCACACTTAACTTTTATTTGACAATGCAGGTGATAGATGAACCCAATGGCCCAAAATGGGAGAGATTTTGTGCCTGTCTTAGTGATCAAGGTTATTTTAAGGTTAGTGTGCATGCATTCATTTGTTATGTTCTTTCATGACCTTCATACACCAGATTACAAATATTAACAGTTAAAGGGGACTATTAGAAATTTGACATTTGCAATACTCTGTTTTGTAAGACTTGTTAGGGCTGTAGTCAATGATGTCCTTCCATTTGTCTTGTGTTTACGTAATAGGGAGAAATCGAAGGATCAAAATTGTACCAGGATCTTCTGAAGAAGGCTAAGAAGCAATTCAGTGAGAACTTCTCAACTCAAAACAGGTTTGTTCAGCATTCATTGATCTGTTTCTTTCATGGGGCGGGGGTGACCGTGGCTGATCCCTAGAGGCCAAAGAAAGGACATTTAGAACTTCTCAGAAAATTATATTGATTAGAGAGTTTCTTAGTGTCCTGTTAGGTTTAATTTATCTAAAGTTAAGTCGCTTTTAACTTACTTTCATCAATCTGCTGTTGTGGTAGATGCTGAAAACCCTTTTTCCTCAAAACAACAGTCGTTTACTTTTCACACCCTCTCAAAGCTCACTAATTTTGGTTGAACAGGTGGGATGTACCTGACTTTTGTTTGTTGTCATTTGTGGGTTTTGTAACTACAGGACAGATCCAGGACAGATTATTTTGACAATGTTGAAGGATGCTGTGATAGATGTGAAAAAGATGAAGGCGGAAGAGCTGCTCCCAGAAGACGGTAATAAGAAAAATGCCACAACTCTTTAGTTTAACCTGATTCATTACGGTTTGTGAGTGTTGCAAATACGCAACACTTTGATGACTTTGTGGTTTGCAGTCTGTGCTAATCGCCCTCAACTATCCTTTATTCTGCCTGATATGTTTAAGGGTTTGTGATCTTTAACCCTTTTAACTCCCAAGATCTGATTGTTTATTCTCTCCTCTAGCTTTTACTCATTTTCTTGTTAATTAGTTACGAGAATTTATTGTTAGATCAAGAGAACTTCTACCTGAAAAAGCGAGTATTCTCATCACTTGTTTGCTGGATAAAGTATCGATATTATGAGGAGATGGTACATGTTAATCACTTCTGGGAGTGAAAGGGTTAAGGAAATTTTCTTACGAGGTTTGAAAATGACTGGAAAGAGTTTGACCTATCTCTTTTAATGAATTGTATGACAAAATTTTCGAACATGGTTGGTATTACTCTTCAAGTACAGTACACTCGTCACACTTGTAATTCTCCCATTCAGCGGCCGCTCATGTCTTGGTAAACCTGTTGAGATGGGCCGTTGTGATTACTCCGATTTTGGTCTCACGACATTCAATCGAAAAGCGCCCTACTAGGACTAACACCCCTTAGCTGTTGATTTTACCTGGGCGCTGGATGATGTATTGATCCACCAAGGAGAAGTTGCCTCAAGGAAGTAAAAACTTCGAAATGAAATTTGACAAAATAAATTGATTTATGAAACAAATCGATTTAAACCTTTTTCAATATTTGGTTTAACAGATGACAGCTGGTTGAACTTGACTGACCAGGATTTAGAGAACATGCTTTCAAAGTACCGCGATCTAAACTCAAGAAAGACTGGAAGAGACACCCGCACAAACACGCCCAATCATAACGTATGTACTTCAAGTAACTTTTAGAAGTAAGAGCGCAGTTAAATCTCGTTTCTCTCCCTTTTCGTTCCAAGAAATGTGGTTTGGGAGAATACACCCGCTTCTGGGGCTTTCCATAAATTAAAAGTGCCCCTCACGTCCCTAAATCCCGGAGAGAACTTCCGAGAAGATAGCATTCACCACAGATAGAGAGGGATGGAACCTCTGTAAAAATTTTAGTACTTTAATTGTGCGTCGGAGAGTAGATCCTTTAAGACTTGCAGTATCGACATTTCAAAATTCTTTTCTTAAGATGTCCTTCCGTCTTACACTCTTCTGATTTGATTTTAGTATTTAAAATAATTATTTTTTTTGTGGCTACTGCCTCCTATGAAACAGGAGGCGAGGCCACCGCATGTATGTCCCAGGGATGAGTTAGTGAGTGGGTGAGTGATGGTAAGTAACAAAAGAATTCCGATCTTGGCCCAATTTTGACCCGATGTTTCTCGGTACTCCTAAATGTTTTTTATGGAGAATGCGGTAGGTTTTCTGTTTTGCATGTTAACAACACTACCTTCTAGCATCATTATTCAAGCTTTAGTTCTCTTCAATGCTACAAAAATTGTGCTGTACAGTCGAATCTCGATTATCCGGACTCGTCCGGACCTCGGAAAATTGTCCGGATAATCGAGAGTCCGGATAATCGAAAATATGAATATTAATGAGATAGAAATGTAAACAAAAGGTATACAGCAAAGGAAACATCATTTTAATTATGAAATCTACACAGCCTGTATGTATTTAAAAATAAAAACTTTGGGACCAGAGAAAAAAGTCCGGATAATCGAATAGTCCGGATAATCAAGGTCCGGATAATGGAGGTTCGACTGTAGTAGACACATGCAGTACTAGGCTGCTTACTTTTAGTTACGTTACTGCGCGCGAATATTTCGAATTTGTTTGTGGTTTCAGGAATCTTCAGTAGACCTGAATTCCGTAACTCGTACTTTCAAAGCGTTTGTGGACAAAGTTTCCAGTTACGAGGGAGCAGAATTTCCAGGGTAAGAGAAAATAACATCGTCTTGTTCTCGTGCTCGTAATCTGGAATTGCCGGTTTAAGTTTTCCTTTACTTTGTCCTGTGATTGGTCCAGAAAACTTGCGCCACTCTCTCGACCAATCAGGTGCAAAACTAAAACCAAGCACAACTTGGTCACCCGCGTTTTCCCGCGCTTTAGGCAGTTTGGTTGTTTCTACTTTGAGTTCTCTTGGCTTCCTTAGGTATTTTTATTAGCTCTGATTGGTCCTTTTGATTACTGTGGTGTTAGTTTACGACGCTTAATCGAAAAACGCGCTAAACTCGAACTAACCAAGAACAAAACCGATGCAGAGAGGAATGAAGGTTATCAGTTCCGGGTTACTAGATTACTATACGTTTGTCCCAACCACTCGGCCTTTAGATGGAATGCTAGTTTATAAAGACAAGCCCCCAACACCTTGATCGCGCGGAAAACTGAACACAGCAGTCGAACGTAGGACATGCGCAAAGGGATCAATTTTGCCCAGCTGCCCGCCACTTTCCGCCCAAAGTTTCAAAGGAAAACATAAGCAACAACCGCTATCACGCGAGTAAAGACATTGATATGTTCATGCAAATTCAATCTGTAAAAGGAAACATAAGAAGGGAAAAGGAAAAACCTCGATTTAATGTACATAGGGCTTATTTAAATTTTGGTGTCCTACTGAATGTCGTTTTGTTTAAAGCTTTACCAAGAAAGTTTTACGGCTTTCAAACACCGCGACGTACCCGCTCGTGTGGTTGTTTATAAGACAGCTTGGTTTTGACAGCCTGAAAACACATCACCAAGGCTCTACAACGTTTGTACATGTGCGGACATTTGACCGTTTTGTTCGGAGAGTGTCGCCTCAGTATACAATATCCACGCTGAATTCGGCTTGGATTGTAACTTGAATCTCATGTCCAGAGTCCTGAGCACAAGCCGTCAAACAATCCGATGTACATAAAAATCTTTGAAGTAGTGTTTGGCGTCGATCGCGAACACTAAAAACTTACAGTTGTTACCCATAATGTGTGGTAAGTGAAGTGAAAATGAAGGACAATGTTTCAAAGTTTAGGTGTTCATTTTTGCTCTCTTTTGGCAGGGATCCTGAAGACGTAGATATTCAATTTGATGCCGATTCTTTCATGGACACCGTGGGGAACCTCTTAGGTACTTATATGCGTTCGATTACTTCCAATATGCTTTCTTGAACCATGGCAATGTAGAGGTTTCAGAATATATCAGTTGTTAAATTATCTCTCTGCACACCTCTTACAAAGCGTTCTTATCAACTTCCGGTTTGCTATTTAACATATTTTAAAAAGCTGGGAGACATATCTCGTTCTCATTCTGGATTAACACTATGCTACATTCAGTTGAACTAAACCTTCAGCACTTCTTTGGTTTTCCTAGCCTTTCCAAAAACGTTTTGCCCTTCTTTTTTTGTTGCATTTTAAGTGGTAAGCGTGAACGAGGTTGTGTTGTGCAGCGATTAATTTATTGATTATCAGGTCAAGGCGTCCGCCATCGAGATGAAGAAAGTGATTCTGATGCAGACGATGAAGATATGGACTTCTCCTCAGGAGATGAGTGTGAAACTAATCAAGGTTAGGCCATCTCTATTGTGGTCTGTTTACGGTCATGCACGCCTGGCTGTTGTTTTTTTTTCAACACAGTTTGCCATACCAACAGCAGTTCGAAGAATGACAGCAATCTGATTTTTCACATGAGCGACTCTCGCCAAACAAGTACGATTGACGATTGGTTCATACGTAAGCTGCATTCATCGTAGCGCGTGGGAGGTTTGGAGAACATGAAAGAGGACGAAAGAGGCGTAATAGTTTCTCGCGCGCAGCCGAGAGCAACTTTAGCTTTTTAAGTGCTCTTTAAACTTCCCAAGTGCTTCATATCTCAATTAATTCACGCTGACGCAGAAACCAATCAGTGCTAATTGGCTGCGGGTTTTTATTTGTTTTTTTTTTTTTTCTTTCAAATTCTACTTAGTTTTCCAATTTCTGGCGTATTAACTTTCAATTTTTGTCTAAGGCGTCGAAGCTAGTACTTACCTGAGCGAGGACGACAAAGAAATGAAAACGGTCATGGAAGAGATGGACAACGAACTTGCACAGACATCAATCGGAGAAAGCTTCGAAAAGGTAAGCTTACTTTTAATCTCTTCACTCACTCACTGTGATCAGTAAGTGCCGGATTTCTCCGCACAATGTTGATACATGGTGATACATGGTGAGACAGAACGGCGATAAGAATTAAGAAAACTCTGATTCACTGAGGGATATTGTCTGATCCAAGCCCAAATTCTCAGGGTTGAAATAGAGAGAAATGTTTGCCAGACAGTAAGGAGAATTGAAATTGAGATCCTCGGAGTGTAAGGGTCAACTGTAATTGACTCCGACCCTCCCCTTTAATGAACGTTTTCAATTTACTTACGCAAGATATTGCTCAAAATATCTGCTAGTGGAAGATATGGCTTAAAATATTGTCTGATCATTTCATCATCAGTTTGGTGTCTATTTGTTTGTCCGTTTATCTGTCTATCCACCTGTTTGTCTCAGTATCCTTCCACCCATCCTTTTGTCTGTTTGTTTTTCTATGATAATCCTCTCTTTGATTGATCCAGTTATTTATTCCCTTTATCTCTGAACCATAGAGCGGTAAATTACCTAAAGAGACTCGTCAGACCCAAACTAACCATTCCGGTGAACCTCAGTGTGATTCCGACGATGATGCGCCTGTCAACGTAGACTTCAATCTTGTTAAAAACATCTTGGAGTCCTTCTCTACGCAACAAGGACTCGCGGGTCCCGCATCTAATATCCTTAATTCGATGGGTGTGTGGCTTCCACCAAACAACGACCAGAGCGATCTCACTTAGCTTCACGTGACAGAAGTGAATCATTGTGTTCAAAGGAACATTCTGATCGATTTACAGCCAGAATCGGCGCAGAAGAAAGGAACGAAGAGAGCACATTTTTGTCCCCTAAACTGGCGCCTTCTTCCAAGAAAAACATTCGTGTCTCTGAACCAAAGTTGAATACGCGTCCAGGTGCTCTGGAACTGCGACTTAGCAAGGGGAACAAAGTTAACGAGCCGACAACAATTCACTTTGCGTCAGATTTGACAGATTCAAAAAAGCAAAGTAGTTCTGGAGGTAGTATGGTTGTAAAGTGCATCACATAAGTTTAAAGTTGCGCGTGGTTTTTCAAAACAAAAAGAAAAGAAAGCGAAGTATAATTCTACTGAAGTGAAAACTGTCAAGAGAATATGTTTTTGCACCGTTGGGTACAAAGTTAAACGAGACGAAGTAAAATACATGGTCGCTTTTGGTTATATTTCTTTCATAGAAATATGTCGAGTCGTTACATTATACCGGTTGCATTCGTAACAATATCAAAGAAAACTCTCCCTGTTTAATATAGTGTTGAGACAATACGCTACTGCTTAAGTATCATGACCTGAGGTTTCCGTTCGCAATACGCGTTAGTTTTCTGTATCCGCCGTTTCCACCCTCGTTTACTATCATCCCTGGAAAGTTTTTTCTTTCCTTGTCTAAATGTGGTGACTTTCCCCAATTTGACGGCTTCTAGTATTGATTTCTAGTATCATAGCTTACTTTCCTCCTTTAAAGTTTCGCAAATAACTATTCCTCTGCATCGTACTTTTCTCCCCTTCGTGTAAGCGTTTGTTTCCTTCAACTGCCTCACGCACCTTACTAAGTAACGCTGAAAACCGTTAAGTGCTGCACTACACTCAAGAAGCATTCTCAGACGGGGTCAAAGAATGCTTTTTCTTTCCAAAATGTTTATCATTCAGAGTAGACAATGAAAAAATAATACGATTATTTTCTCCCTCAATTCGTCATTTGGCGCACGCTTTGCGTTTTTTTTTTTTTAATAATTATTTCCTCCCTCGATTCGTTATTTGGCGCTCACTTTGCTCTTTTTTTCAACCAACTTCTTTATTCCTTTTCGAAGTCTGGGGCCAATGTATCACCTTTATCAAAAATAGTCCTTTTGCGGCACTCTTTCTTTGTTAATTGGAAATGTCCTCATCTTTGTTAATGACAGCTCCTCACGACCTGTTTAATTAGCAGTGTTGACTGTGCATACAGCTGTGTTTACTTTCAAAGCGAAGCGGTTAAATATTAAGCAAAAAACCGCAAACTTGTATCGTGTTCCATATAGCTAGCTTCGAACGAAAGTGACCTTTATACCAAATGTTCATCGCGTTCCGAAGCATGGAAAAATTTTCAAGAATTTATTTAATTCTCGTGCTTTGTATAGTAACTACGGTGAGCGGCGAGGACTCGCCGGACAGTGCCGTGACTCAAAATTATTGTCCGTATTTCAAAAACCGAGCTCCTGTTCCTCAACCGGGCCTCAAAAATTGTACGTGGTACAAAAAAAATGCCTGCTGTCTTCAAAGCGAGCTGGACTTAATATTCCCGTCAGTTTCGCCCCCGCTTGGAGCGAGTGAGCGATGTTTGCGTTACACCAATTTTCTCATGTGCTACGTTTGTGCTCCCGATCAGAATTTATTTTACGACAACGAACGTTTGACCGTGTGCGGGGGTTTCTGTGACAAATGGTTCGCCGCCTGCGGTGATGCAAAATTCAAGGGAATGAAGATCAAAGAGCTGTTTAAATCAGGAAAAGAGTTTTGTCGAGCAAGGAAATTTTCGGTCGGTGAGGCTACCGGGAAAGATTGTTTTAGTTTTGAACTAAAAATCACGAGCTTTGCTACGCCAAGGCTTCCCTCAGAGCATGCTCTTTGGTTGGCCGCAACAGTGGTTGTCCTGTTTGTGGATAGAAGTTAATAAATGTAGAGGTAAACCAGCTCTTTTATTTTTAATGTTATGTTTTTTTGGCAACCCTTTTCATTAATCCAGATCTGGGTTTGCTGGACAAAAGACGGAGTAGATTGTTATCAAGTATATATCCTTGTTCTGAGAGCATATGCTCTCAACTGAATTTCATTGGGTTTTGGATCGGATTATAAAACCCTTGTATAGTTCTAGTGGCAAAGGAAATAGACAGAGAGAGGTCGGTCTGAAGGCATCAAGAGCCATACACAGATCAGACCACATATTGGATCACGGATGGGACTACGGATCGGTTCACAGATCGGAACACGGATCAGATCACTGATTGGATCTCCGTTCATATCTTACTCCGCATTAAAAGATAGAGAGAAGAACCTAAGTTGATAGAAACATGGAAATAGGTCGATAGAGGGTTAAACAAACAGTAAATTGAAAAATTGAGTGACGATGTACGGGACCTTAATACTGCTGAAAAGGACTCTCAAACTAATTAGCAAGGTTGCTTTGCTTTAGTAACTTTTCTCCATTGCTGAGCAGAAGGTGTTTTCTCGCTTCATGTTAGGTCTTCCTTACAAATGCAATGGTACCACAGTAAGTCTGCTGTTTGTATGTAACTGGTGGGTCTTCTAGTTATTGACAAGGCCGCAGGTGTTTTGAGGAGTAGATAGCATTATCCATTGGATAAATCTCTTTATGGTGGATAGCACAGTATGTTTTGCTATCTCTTATCTGCTAGATAGCTATTTATCTCTGGACTAGATGAGCCCAGAGTGTCTATTTTTGCTTTCCTTTTACTATACTGCTTGATGAAAGTAGGTTCTACATAACTGTACAGCTACAGGGTTAAACTAAGTTATCTGCAACTGATTGTATTCTAGGTATGCAGCTGCTTTTAAGATGGTGATGGACAAGAAGCTAGATTCTCCTTTTTTTTCATAAAACCCCTTGGTGAGATGCAGTAAATTAAATTTCATTGTCAAACTGTCAAGTGAAAAGTTTGCCATTTTGTGAAGACAAAAGTCAGTATACCAAAATGATGACTATGTATGAACAAAGCAATTACCTGAAGAACTCTTGTGCTGTCTTTCTCTCTTGTCTGGAAGAGCATTTATATGAGATAGGCTGCGTAGAAACTCAGCAAAATAAAACAAGAAAAACCTGCCTTGTTCCCAGCACTGCTCACCCTAGGCACATTCCAAACAACAAGAGCTCAGAAAGCCTGCGATATTTAGATTTTTGTTAATATCAATATTATGACTGCAGAATTTAGGATTCAGTGATACTGCAGGAATGATTGGTACATACCACAGCACAGCATGACCTTAAACTTTTCATGCCAAAAAAATTGAATTTAATTCATTACATTTTGAGTAATTACATAGGCAATCACAATAATGATTCACCTGCTACAAAAATTGATATATCATACTCATTATTGTGCCCTGCATATCTTAATGTATAGATTAAATAACATTGGTATTACAACTTCTTATGCGGGAGGTGCAATAAATATCATTGGCCATATGTGATGACTCAACAACATTCCTATCTCAAAATAAATCCTTACTTGTTTTTAATTTCTTCTCTCAAAAGATATTTTGATCCATTTGATTAGTCTTCCATTCTGTGTTATACTTTCTCAAAGTTTTAAAAATCGCTTGTAAACACGAATGACAGGAAAAATCCGTTGGAAAATTGATCATTTCAGTCAAATAATTTCTTTAGTAAAAAATGATCCTAAATGTGTTTAAGAAATGTCATCACCTTTTGAGGAAAACTGATTCCTTTAAAAGGTATTGTTTTTAAGTTTCTGGCCAGACATGTATTAAATTAATCCATATGTAGTCATTGCTATGACAGCAACTTTGAAAATTTGCGCCAGCAAATGATTATTTTGATTATAAAACTGTCACACAGACCTGTGTGAAATTAAAGTATGTTTACATACACACTTAGTTGCTGATAATAAAGGGAAGCCTAAATGTTTTGCCATATTTTATGTGGCGTAAAGATATATTTGGCATCTGACCACAACAATATTGATGATGTGATTATAATTTCCCAACTTTGAACTTATTAACCGGATAATCCTAAGGAAAAACAGGACATTTCCTTCGAACGAAATAGTATAGTGTCTTGCGTAACATGTTCCCGGTTTTGTTTGAGTGATTACTTAGTTTTTTGATAGACCATTTTAATTTCATAAAATATTCGCGTGCAAAAAGTGCTTACTACATCTTACTTTCAGCCGCGGGCGTAGAGTCTATGTTTCAAGGTCAATGATTACTGTTGTCTGCAACAATAAATGCTCTTTCAAGTAAAATGAATGTAACTCTGTATATTAGCATAATTTCGACTCCTTTGTTTTTTATTCCTCTAATGAGAGGGCTTAAAAACGTGCTTTCCTGAGGAAACGTTTCATATTTTTTCTGCAACTTTTGACATTTACCTTTCCGAAAAGAAGTCGCTATGAAATTGATAAAGCTACCACGAACTTTTACGCGAATAGTGATATCCAGACTTACCTTAATACAGCTGTTCACAGTCGTATTTATATTGGCTCGTGGATTACATTAGGTTTTCAACTGTGTGATTTGAAAGACGCGAGTAAAAATCCATAATTTGCCATAAAGCCTAGCCAAATCGCGTGACGTATCTCCTCATAACAAAACACAGTGCTTCGCCATAAGAGACAACATTCCTAACACAGCTACAAACTTGCTATTCACGCTTAATTGTTGGGACGCACTCTTTGTGTTTGGTTTTCCTTTATAAGTGAAGCACTTTCCGTGGGCTTCTTTATCCGTTTTGAACCGTCGGGCCTTGCAGAACTCTTGGCCACTTTTATAAACGTGCTTGAGTTTACGCCCTTTCAAGATTGCGTTTTGGCACGCGTTATAGATGTGATCGCAGAATTCTTCACATACGGTCAGAGTAAAATCCTTGAAAAACGTATTTTGATTCGGTGCACATATGTAGCAGTACAAGTAGTTCATATATTGTGCACACTGGCCGTTTGCACCTTCAAGTGGTGATAACTGATGGAAAGCAAACTCAATTTCTTCGTCATGACAGCATGAATTCTCTTTATACCAACTGCAATTTCTCAAATTTTCCTGCCGAGACGGACCTCGATTTTTAAAGTAAGGACAATACTGCACATCGCCGTTCCTTCTTTCAATGCCATCAGCTCTGACAACAAGAAGCAAACTCATCAAACCACAGCATGTCCAGAGTAATGACAAAACAATAAACTGATCTTCCAAACTTGTCTTCATGGCACGATTCTCTTCAAAACGCTCGCACTATCGATGTCGCTGTTTGTTTACCGTGAAAGTGCGTGATCTTGGACCAATACCGCCACATGTAATGATGACTGATTCGATCACTCGTAGGGTTCAGAGGCGATTACACCTTCCAATTTCAGCGTTCGGTTCGCGCGAACCAAAACATTTTAGCTAACCCTCTATTAGTTGTAGGCAGTCGTTCGTCGTAAGCCACTGCCGGAAATGTAGTAGACCGTAAACATAAATCGTCGAGACTGTAAATTTACCTCGTAACTTGTGTTAATTAAGAGGGATGATAATTGACATTCTGTCAGTACTACCCTCAGGGAATCACGAACAGGCGGTAATGGGGCGTGACGGGGGTAAGTTATCTCATCAAAGTTATGATTTAACTTTCGTCCAGAGTATTTGATGGTTACTGTAATTTTGTTGTTCAAAAATATTTTGTCAAAACCTCAACGAAACTTTTACTATCAGAGCTCGGTTCCAAACGCTATTTTATCTCTGTGAAAGATGCGGGGGAGGGGGGGGGAAGAGGGGCAGTAGGGTGTAGGGGCAAGTAATCTTTGGTCTTTTGTATTTCAGGGTAGTGTGCTTTCCTAGTTTTAATTCACACCCTTTCCATGTTGCTCGCGAGCAATTTATATTTGAATGTTGATGTTCATTTAGTGTACCAAGGAAGGGGTCCATTAGATGAGAAGTGATTTTCAGGCCAAGTTAGATACTGGAAAGTGTCTACTGCATCTTGGGAGTATTGTTTATTCACATTTTTAATGATATCAAAGCAGAGATAAAGTCGTGCAAAGACTGCATAATATTCCAGCCTATAAGATTACCAATGTACCAAGCTAAGAACAAGAGCTTGTGTCCATAGTGATCTTCTGTTTTGCATGGGCTTAAACAATGTGGATTTGTTTGGAAGAAAATGGTTGCATTAATGACCAAGAGATTTAATAAAGTAACACTCCTAATAAATGGACTTTGATTTGTTGAATGGATATATCAGTCAACGCCAATTTTTCTTCTCCTATTTTTCTCATGACATACCTGCCTAGCCCAAATATCAGCTCTTTTTACAATTTTATTCCCAAGATCTAGGGAGAAATTCACCCTTCAAGTTTCTATACATTTTATTAAACATTAGTAATGAGAACTTGATATTATAATCAAGATTAAATGGTCCAGTGGATAAATTTGTCTATTACATCTATTTTGGAATCATTGCTGTTCCTTGTAATCTGATTGGCCCTCACTGGTGCAATTTGTTCACGAATTGCACCATTTTTACTTTAAATTGCTTCTTTTTCCGAGCCAATGAGAAAGCTTTACTAAAGTACAACAACCAATTGCTTGTTTAAGGAAACCAATCAAGTCTCTACAAACTAGCTCATTACTGGATCAACAAAACATTTGTACAGACTACAAAAATCCTGTACCTGAGCAACTGAAGTCTGCAATTTCAAAATTGATGTAATAAAGTAGAAATTGAACTTCCTGTTGTGCAATTTTGGTCTGAAATCACACTTATGATTTCAAATCAAACTTGTGCTGTGCACTCATTTCATTTTGAAATTACTAATATGATTTCAAACCAAATTGCAGTCCACTCAGTTCAATTACCATTATTTATCCTGATCATCTGTTCCCAAACCTTTACCCTATCCCTTCCCACCAGTGAGACCTGGTAATGGTTGGCCTCACTGCAGAGTTTTCTGTCGCTCAGTGGTGGAGCATCTGAGCACAGAATCACAAAGTCTGAGGTTTGATTCCTTATAGGGACCAAAGATATGTTAATCCTTTAACTCCCAACATCTGTTTGTTAATTCTCCCTTTCAGCTACAACACATTGCCTTGTAAATTATTTACAAGAATTTGGTGTTAGCCACCTGATAAGTTTGAGTATTCTTGATACCTGTTTGCTGAATAACATATGGATATTATAAAGTGAAGTTACATGTTAATCACTTCTGAGGGTCTAAGGAATAAGGAAGAGTCTATTTGACCACACAGATTAAAATACTTCCCTTCAAGTCTCCTCTAAGGAGAAAAACAGACCTAACTTACCAGGCATTCCATGATTGTACTTAACTGACAACTTATACCATAACACTAGGAATATTGATTAACAATCTTGAGGGCTTTTTTTTAAGTTTCAGGGTTTTGTAATGTTCCATTATCTTTCACCGCAGACTTGCTTTTAATTTTTCTGGCCTTGCGAAGAAGAAGCTGGCTTTTCTTCTTGGTAGTGGCTGCTTCTTTTCTCAAGGTGTTGTCTGGTTTTCCCTGTAACTGAGCTGTTGAGTCCTCCACACTCTACATTAAGAAAAAAAAAGCAAGGTCAAAAACATATGATAATAATTACATGTGAAGCAAGACTTATTTTTTTATGCTACACATGTCCTTGTTATGTCAAGAATACCAGCACAGATGTACATATTTAACACAAAAAAAACAACAACAAAATTATTCAAGCAGCAATCAAAGCATGAATGGACTTTTTTTATATATAAAGCCTAAACTAAAGCAAGTACTTTAATGCCAAAGGAAAAAACCTCTTTAAAGTATTTTGAATCAAGATGCACTACATACCTCAATGTCCACTTCTGAATCTTCTGATATTTTTTCCACTATCTGGGGGAGAAGACTTGCTACAAAAAAAAAAAAAAAAAAAAAAAAAAAAAAAAAAAAAAAAAAAAAACAAAAAAAAAAAAAAAAAAAAAAAAAAACCAGAAAACAATCTTTAAATACTCTTGAAGGACCTAAAGGGAGGACTCAAGTCCAGCACAACATGTAAATGATATAGTAACAATTGTTCTTTTTGATTCTTCTTTCCCTCATCCCATCCTCAACAAAGCCTCTTACCTAGCTCAACAGCTATTGGGCTGGTTGTTGATGTAACCCTGTTATTAGAGGAACTTTCTTCAAATTTATTCCTAGTGCTGGTATGAATCTTTTTCCTTTTTGAAGTTTTCTTGACAGCTTTCAGTCTCTTTTTTGGACTTTTTTGCTGAGCAGTCTCATCATGTTTCCTTGTGTCACCAAGGACTTTGAATTTACTTTCCAATGAATTTGTTTCAGTGGAAGAAGTGTGGCTATAAAAGTAAAGAAATGGAAAATTAATATCCTAGCTACCCCTACATTGATGTACTTCTAACTTCTTGTCATGATTTTGATACCTTGTTTTACAAACAGATGATGAGAACTGGCAGGCTTAACAGTTAGAGGGTGTTATCTGGATGTGACAATCATTCTCCAATGAAATTTTTAAAGAAATGCAAGGCAGTCCAGGGGAGGGTTACCAATAACTTCTCAGTACTTTATGTGTTGAAAGGAAAGAGGTTGTTGTGTGTGGTCCATTTTTACGAGGAATGTGAGTTTCCAACCTTAATGATGCCATGAGATTTACTTCTTCCTCAAGAATAAACACAAGTCCTGCATCAACAAGCGTCTCATCCACTTTGTAAATCAGAGGCATATCAAAATGAAACTCATTTTGTAAGCCAGAGATTTTTAGCTTTGGCTCATTGGGGTATAATTTGTGAAAAACATCTTCTGTGTGTCTTCTGAAAGCAGCTAGAGTCCATTCCTTCTCAGCCAGGACCTGTTGTGAAAAAAAAAAAAACAGGATAAACCAGGCAAAAGTTTAGCAATGGATTTAGAAAACATGCAAACTTAACCCCTTATACCTAACATCAATATGGATATTCTCCTTACTGTTCTCTATACATTTCCTGTGGTACCCTCAGGGAGATTTTGTTGTACACAGAGAAGAACTTCTTTAGTTGGTGACATTAACATTTGCTTCAGGGATGATATTGTATTAGATTTTGAGATTTTGTTGTACGCAGAGAAGAATTTCTTTAGTTAGTGACCTTAACATTTGCTTCAGGGATGATATTGAATTAGTAAGGAGAAATTAGATGCTACATTTAGTCTCTCTTAAGGCTTTAAGGGTTAAGACATGTTTTGACTTAATTTAACCTGAAAAAAGTAAGCACCCAGGGGATAGTAAGAGTTTTCCCAGCATAACAAGGCTGTGCTCTAACGGCGCCCGGTCGCCTGAGGCGACTAACATTTGGCCTCAGGCGACTGAAAATATTTTCTTGGTCACCCGGCCGGGCGACTGGCTGGTGTTGGTTTCTTGATTTACAGTCAAAAAAAAAAAAAGAAAATGTTGTTCAATCAGGCGTGCGTTGATATTCAAAGGTCGTTCCACGTGAATTTATGTGTAACATAATCATCGGCTTTGATCGTGACAAGCTGCACAGTTTTCGATTTTAACCGCTTTTCCAAATAGTATTATAATTTTTCCTTTAAATTAGGATGGCTCGTTAGTTAGTTTTTGAAAAGCAATTGTTACTTCTGCTCTGACAGGCGTAAAGTACGGTCGACGATTAATAAATCGCTAAATGAACACGGAGTCGTTCTTTTAAAAGAAAATGTTGTTCCATCGGGCGCGTTGATGTTCAAAGGTCGTTCCACGGAATTCACATGTAGCATAATCCTTGACTTTGAACTTGACTAGCTGCACAGTTTTCGATTTTAACGGCTTTTCCAATAGCATTAAAATTTTTCCTTTAAATTGGGATGGCTCATCAGCTAGTTTTTCAAAAGTTGTTACTTCTGCTCTGATAGGCGTAAAATGCGGTCGATTAATAAATCGCTGAATAAACACGGGAGTCGCTCTTCTATGCTAATTTAATATTTTAGCCGGCTTTTACTGCCGTGTCTGCGAGGCAAAAACATAACTTAAGATTGTTTTTCCAGTAAAACACGATGTATAAAAAAAAAAAAAATATACGTTTTTTTTTGTGATTGTTTTAGAAACGGGTATAAACTCTATAAGTCCTGCATTGTCCTTGGTGTCTTGACAAGTTATTACATATCACGCACTAAAAATAAAATCGACCGAATCCACAAAAAGCTCATTTGTCTTGAACATTTCACCGATAGGTTTTCAGGAGGTCAAAGGATACGATGTTTCATGAACATAAAAACAATAAATAAATGCACATAGTTCTATTTGACTCGTTACGAAAACAGTTTGTTTAATTTTTAAGAATTAACTGACTGATTTATTAATTTGGGCGACCAACTGGGAGGCCCGGGCACCTCAGCTAAAATGTTTGAGAGCCCAAAGGGCTCGCCGAAATTTTGATTTGGGCGACCATCTTTTAGGCCTGGGCACCCAAGCTAAAACGCTTGGGAGCCCGAAGGGCTCCCTGAAATTTTCCTTAGAGCACAGCCTTGCATAAGTAATCGAAATATATATTCATGCATGAACCAGAGGATAAGTAAATCTGTTGCATTTTTTGTTGTTGAAATACCTGTCAAATAATACAATTTATAATAGTTATAATAATTTAGTTGTCTCTTTGAAAATTCGGCAACAAGTGCCACAACAGGAGTTTAATAATTTTGATCTCATCCTCAGTTTAAAACATGAGGTAACGATTACAACAAGTACTTCAATAAACTTCTTATTTCTGATAAACACTGTAAACAGGGTAATCAGAACAGAGCTAGCGTATTTTAGTCATCTTAACCAACAAAGTAAAGTCATAGAGGGGATAGAAAACGTTAGGCTCTTGTTAAAAGTTTCTCTTACCAGAAATCGCTTGTCTCTGGATGAACAAACCACATTGATGCGCAATTTCTCTGCCATATTTTACCCTATTCCGATTTTGATAAGTTCGTCCGCCATCGTGTATAATAGACTACTACCGCTGACAAATATATGCGCACTAATGTTTTACTCTAACTGCAAGATGCGCTGACCCAGCAGGCTCAATGTTTTGCTTTGAGGGAACTAAAGACACAGCAGGGATCGATCCTTCCCAGAGTAATTTGTCATCCACAGACTGTCTACGGTACGAAAATCAATCTTCAGCTAGGGACAAGGTATGGAAATACTTCTTTCGCTTCGAAGATTTTAAGCAATAAATTGCAGATTGACTTTGAAATAACGCACAAGCCACCGTAACCGCAAGTCGTGTAACCATTTCCAAATGTTTCATAATTCATGGCTTTGACGGGATTAGCAGGTACTCAGTTCGCGAAAAAGTAATAATTTCGAAATAGAAATGTGCACTTTGTGTCTACTTTCCGAATTTTTTCATGGTTTGTCAGGTTAAGCAAAGGCTTAGCGTCGCATACAACTCGGAGAGCTTTGTAGATGTAATCCCAATTTCCGTGATTCATTCTTTCATCTTGCACGATCGAGATGTAATCTCGTTTCGGTAGAACGATCAATATTGGCTTATGAGATATTTTGTTTGTGAATACCGTTTTATTGGGTGCGTCATAAATAATTTGATGCAGTGAAGACGAATTTATCTTCATACTTATATTTAGCAGTATGGAAGCCTAGATTTGTACGTGATTTGAAATCGAAACACTCGAACTTATTGGCAAGTTTTAAAACGCTACGAGCGCCTGCCAGAAGAAATGCTAATGCATTGAAGTTAAAAAATTGTGTAATTTAACCCGCATTTAATTGCGTAAAGAACTAAAAGTGGAGTTTTTATTGTTTTAAATAATAATTTTAACTGAAGTACAATTTATTGCGTAAGCATTTTTGTGGCATTTCGAACATTAAAGCTGGGTTAGGAATTTCTCTTCAAGATTCTATAGTAATTCTCAAGTTATATTTAGTTTGGTTTCCATAAGGTGATAATTTTAGCAACAGAATCCAAATATTGGTTTCATTCATTGACTTGACTTGAGCGCTGATATAGTTTCCCTTAAATGGTAAAATGTATTCCTTCATGGTTTGACTGCATTGTATAAAGGTTATGAAATCACTTGTTTATCATCCTCTGGTCAAAGTATAATTTATTTAATATTATTCAGGGACATGACTCATTTTTGGGCCTACACCTAAAGACATCTTTGCTCTAACCTTTCACTCCCGAGATCTCATTAGTGATTCTCCTTACTTTCAGCCATACAATTCTCATGATGTTGGTGTAGAGAATGTACTATTGGAAATACTCATCATCTCCTAATTGATATCTTTCCTTATTCTAGTCACTTGTTTGCTTGAGATTGTATTGGTATTTTGAAGAAAAATTATGTCTTGGTCTTTCCAGGGTTAACCCTAAACTGTCCATTGGGAGAAATTCATCTCGGTCACTGAGATGTAAAAAATGGGATCCATCTTTAGTTGGTGATCATTTCCTTTATTCTCGTGACCTGAATGTGTGATTTGAGGGTGATATTGAAAGGAGAATTTAGATGTTTGTCACTCTTAAGGGTCAAAGGTTTAAAGAAAATTGACAGTCAATCCAGGAAGGAGAATTTTTACATAATATAAAAAAATTACTCTGCAGCAGCTAGGAAAATTTGTGGAGCAAACTATCATAATGTAACTCTATTCACCGTGATAAATTCTCTTGATTTTATAAACACTAAGACTAGATTGTCTTCTGAAACTAGTTCATCAAGATGAGGCCATTTCATTGAATCACTTTTCTTTGCTCTAGAGGAAAGTTGTATTGGTGTTGCATAGTGCAGCAAATTCCATCTTTCTGAGGAGTTTGTTTTACTGTGCTATTCCAAAATGACCATAGTCATTGCAATTTGTAACAGTTCGTTAACCACAGCATTTATAATGCATTTAGTTTTTAAAAAATTAAACAATCATATAGCAATGTGGGCATGTGTGTGGTGCATTTTGACGGACCTCTTAAACTAACTTCAGCCTTTTATCTTTTAAGTTACATTTTGGGAAAGTTCTGTTGTAGGATTTTGGGTGAAAAAATAACAACAACTTTATGCATCTATCAGTTCCAAGCTTCAACATCCCCCCTCCCCCTCATCTTGTCCTGGGTAACCCCCACGTATTTGAACTTTTAAAGATTGGCTCCTTTACCACCCTCTGTACAATAACTGTGCTCTGTGTTTTTGTTATACATAGTATGTTTGACACCCAGCTATGAAATAAAATGGAGGAAGAAGATGTAATGAATACAAGACTTGCAATCAAGGAATCATTGAAGAAACTTGATGAATATACAACTTACCTGAGGTACATTGAGAAACGTGTTACGTCTTAACCCTTTAACTTCTAGAAGTGATTAACTTGTTACTTCTCCCTGTAAAATCCGTACATTATCCAGCCACCAGGTAATGAGCATAATCAAACTTATCAGGAAGAAGTTTTTATCTTGATCTAACATCAAATTCTCATAACTTATTTACAGTAATTGTGTTCCAGTTATAGGGGAGAATTAACAGTCACATCTTGGGAGTTAAAGGGTTAATTAATTTATATCATCAATAGTTATGGAAGAAACATACTAAGCATAAAGCATACAGGTATGCAGTGTACTCTTTTTCAGATGGTAACTGCCATTATTCCTTTTTGAATAAACCTTTGTGTCTTTAACTATAGATGACACCCTCTAAGCACCCCCTCTTCTAGAATTAATTATAGCCCTGATGTACAGGCCTGAAAAATTTTTAGACCAAATAGTTCTTTTTAAATTTGTGTTCTGATTTTAAACGTTTTTCTTCTCAAAATTTATTTAATGTAGATCAAGGCTGACAGATATCAAGTCCACCCGTGAAGGCGTGAATGATAGTATCAGCAAAGCACGTACAGTGGTTAATGAGAGATTTGAAGAAATCAAGAAGGAAATAGCCCATGTGTTAGAAGCTCGCCAAAGAGGAATTTTAAGTACTATTGCTGAGATTGAGAGGAAGGATCTTGACCCTCTGACCACTTTGGAAGACAGAATCAATGGAGATTTAGATAAAACTTTACAGTGTATTGAAAAAGGTAGGAAATTTGCTGTTATTGTGAAGGGCAACGAAGTCATGCAGAGATTTCCCCTTTTTTTGCTTAAGCTGGGAGATACCATGTCCCTTTAAAAGTTTGTTTTGTTTTGCAGACCATCAATTTTTGTTGTCCAAGATGACTACTTAAATAATAATTTTTCAATGAGCTGTTCAAACAGGAAACTTATTTTTAAATTTGTCATTTCAGAAGGAGGGCATTGACAGCTGCAACTTTTAATAAATTATGTGACTGTTCAAATTATTAAACTTTTCCAGTGATATAGGGGAAATACATCTTTGATGAGTGGAAGATATTTTTTATTCTACCAAAGGTGGCAAATTTTTTACCTTTTTTTAATTAAATTTTTTTTGGGGGGGGTGGGGGTTGGGAGGAGGGGGGTATGTTAGATTGATGGATTTAAGACCATCCCCAGAATCCCACAAAAATAAAACCTGTTAAATTTACTTGCTCTGTTGAAAGCAACTATTTGTTCATCTATTTGGGTTTTTTGTGTTTTAAATTCTGTATGGTTCTGTTTTGTATAAGTAGAATGCTCATCTATATTCCAATGGTAAATGTTTTCTTCAATCGTCATTGTTGTATAAGATTTGCTCAGCTTTCATTTTTAACACAGGTAATTCTGCTCTTGATGAGGATGATGCCACCCTCCTAAGTGAAGGAAAGAACCTGAACAATGAGCTGCAAATTTCATCCATAAGGTTAGACTACACATGGTGTAAGATGGCTCAAAGTTGAACTTCCCATAACCAAACACCTAATATTTTAAGTCTTCATGGTCAATTGCAAGATGTATCAAGAGTTTCTCAGCTTAGTTATCACATTCTTGTACAAAATTTTGGTAACTCTAGCTGCCTAAATAAGGTGGTCACTTGCTACTTGCATGGTAGAGGTTCTGAATTCATTCCTGTGTTTAGAATGGTTCAAAGCTTAGTGGGGTAGTTATGGAGGCCTTTTGATACTATCAAGGTGAAATGTTGGTAGGGATTCATTGCACTGATTGAGAATCCTCTCCTGAAGTTGTGCTACATTTACATATGTGACAGTCACACTGGCAGGCCTCATATGCACAAGTTAACCTTTTTTAACCTCAGTACACTTCTCAGAGTTTTTATTGATAGTTGCCATTTTACCAGAAGTATCCAGATTTTCCTAGTATTATTTCCAGCTAAATTTTTCTCCTGACAACTAAAATTTTATCTCTGGTGACATCTTTACTATTTTAAGTTGCCAAATGGCTACTGTGAAAAAAATTGAGCTTGAAGCCTTGACTGTTTCATAAGAAATTAATTTGAAGGAAATTTATTTACTCATTTCACCCACAGGTATCCTGACACACCATGTATATCACAAACTCTTTCTGTAATGTTCAGCGAGAGTCACACCCAGTCAGTTCTAGAGGCTGTCAATTCTCTGGGAGAAATGTCCATGACTGGCACACTTCAAGTAACTGAACTGTTAGAGCAGCCTGGAGCCATCCTTGTGCAGTGGTATGATGAGGTACAGTAAATATATGTTATCTACCAGGCGAGAGTATTGTATTTGAAATGATTTGGTGTCATACCACTGTTCTTTATTTTCAGTAGTCCATCATTGTAAGGGTTGTTAACTGAGCAAGTATTTAACTGATTTTGTCTGTAATCCTGAGAATTGTTTTTGTTTACAGACATTTTCAGACAGTGAATCAATCACAGATTACAGTGGAGTTCAAGAATACATGCTACAGTGTTGTCGCACTGACAACAAAGGAAACAGAAACTCAGTGTTCAGTACAGTATACTGTGGTGAAGAATCATCGCATTTAGTCACAGATCTTGAGCCACATGTGTCGTACACTTTCCGTGTCTGTGGAAGGTTTGGAAATGAGGGGAAATGGGGATCATGGAGTATTCCTAGGAATGGAATCACAACACTTGACCAACATGGTTAGTGTGAAGACAGATGAGTACAGAGATGAATTGTACACTAACCTTGCAGGGTCATATATTGATGGATAAGACTCTTTAGCTAAAGTTCCTGTTTCCATTCAGAAGGAAAAATGAGATCCAGTAAACTTTCAGAGAAACTTGACCGATGAAGGAGGAAGGGAAGGGGGGAGGGGTAACCTAGGATTGTCAGAGAAACTTGATTTATTAAAGGGGAGGAGGAGAGAGAGAGGTGCAACCAGTAATTGTCAGGGGTGGGGGGGGGGAAGCGGTAATCTGTCATGGACAAGGGACCAGCATCCTATCCAGGGGGAAGTATCAATCAATAATTCCATTAATGTATACTCTTCTTGTGTGCAGGAATTCTTCATTAGATTGTTGTGACCCTAATTATGACCCTGCTTTGTTTTTTAAATCTTTTTTTTTTTTTTTAATAGAATGGTCTGCTGCAGATTGCCTCAATCAGAATAAACTTGCTGTCTATCAGCTGAGTAACAGACGGAAAACTGCAACTAAAGTGTTCCCTGACTGCTCCAAGGTTTTGCGATCAAAGACAATGAGTTACAGACTTGACACAGCATTGGTTCTCAAGATCGATGAGACTGGTGACTCCAGCAATGGTGATGGTATTGGTTTAACAACTGGGTCATTTGATTTTAGCAATGCTAGACAGGTTCTACAATGCCCTGGTTCTGTTAGCATCAATTCTAAAGGTATCGTATATGTCAATGGAGTACCCATGACAACAAGATTGCCACCATTCAAGCGTGGCTCTGTAGTTGTATTTGAAGCTAGTAGAGTCTCCAAAGAAAAGCTTCGAGTGTCAATCACTATGGATGACAAGCTAGTGACATTTGATTGGCAGGTGGATGACCCCTGTGATGGATTTTATTTTGCAATGGGTTTTCAACATTCTGGTTGGCAAATTTCAGTCTAATGTTAAATTTTTTTCCTTCAGATAGCATTTAAAGATCTAAGTATAGACTGAAAATATTTGATTTTTAGATAGAAAAGTTTAAATTGAATTTACCTGTTAATTACAAGCATTAAAATTAGAGCAAAATTTAATGGTAAGGTAGCTTTTCGCCATGATAAATAATCAGAGACCTCAAGCTTTGTACTTCTAAGTACATGGGGAACAACAAGCATCGTTTTGGAGGTTTTTCTTTAGTTGCCACACACTGAATAGTAATTGAATAATAAAATGTGGTCACACAGTCAGAAGAATTATTTGTAAAATGTCAGGTAAAGTCTGAATGTATAAGCTGAAAAGATATGACAAAGCTGTTGTCAGTACATGCCCTAATTTTTTCAGCATCAATTTTTTTTGTTGTTGTTTTTTCATTTTTCAACTTGGCTATCTTAACCTTTTCTGTGAAATCTTAATTTTTGCAAAGGAATTTTTATAACGTGTGTTTGAATATTTGTCGTTAAATTTGCCGGGTATAAACGTTCTCTATCCCCCCCCCCCCCATTTTAAAAGCCAAATTATGTTGCAAGTTGTGGTATCAATCGTAGGCAATTATCCTGAAACTTATGAGAATCTTGATTATACTTTGGTTACAAGGAAACCTGCACTTCCCTTTCACAGCTTATTTACTAAATTGTTTGGTCAATTGTTTCCATCAATTTTTTTGTTGTTGTTGTTGTTGTTTTTTCATTTTTCAACTTGGCTGTCTTAACCTTTTCAGTGAAATCTTAATTTTTTGCAAAGGAATTTTTATAACGTGTATTTGAATATTTGTCGTCAAATTTTCCGGGTATAAACGTTCTCTACCCCCTGCCCCCCATTTTAAAAGCCAAATTATGTTGCAAGTTGTGGTATCAATTGTAGGCAATTATCCTGAAACTTATGAGAATCTTGATTATACTTTGGGTACAAGGAAACCTGCACTTCCCTTTCACAGCTTATTTACTAAATTGTTTGGTCAATTGTTTCTTAAATTTAAAAGAAACTCCTTCAAAACTTTTACAATACTATAGAACACAAAATTTCTTTATAATATATTGATGCAATTTTTAAGAAAAATGATATTAATTAACTTTTAATCTGCTCTGTGGATGAACACTTTTCAAACAACTTCAACTTGTATTTGAAGTAATGTCTGGATCTTCATCTGTTATTAATTCTTGAAAGATAAATTATCAGAATGAAGTACGGAAGATAAGCATTAACCTTGTTATGCAGCTTCTTGCAACGCCTAACATCCTTGGCGGACAATTTTGGTAAATAGACGTGTTTCTGTAGTTTTTTTTCTCGGCTCAATATTTTTTCCGTGTCGAACTATGCATTTAGGTATTTAAACTATATTTTGTTGATATGAAAGCGATCTTCGCAGTAATGAACACTACTTAAGCAGCAGTGAATCCCGCACAGGCTTGAATTTTTTCAGGCCTTCTTTTCATTACTTATTTTCATTACATTGAAAAGAAGGCCTGAAAAAAATTCAGGCCTGTGCGGGATTCACTACTGCTTAAGTCAGCTTATTTACTCAATTGTTTGGTCAATTGTTTCTTAAATTTAAAAGAAACTCCTTCAAAACTTTTATAATACTATAGAACACAAAATTTCTTTATAATATATTGATGCAATTTTTAAGAAAAATGATATTAATTAACTTTTAATCTGCTCTGTTGATGAACACTTTTCAAACAATTTCAACTTGTATTTGAAGTAATGTAACAAGTTGCCTGGATCTTCATCTGTTATTAATTCTTGAAAGATAAATTATGTGAATAAAGTACGGAAGATAAGCATTAACCTAGTTATGCAGCTTCTTGCAGCGCCTAACATCCTTGGCGGACAATTTTGGTAAATAGACCTATTTCTGTAGTTTTTTTTCTCGGCTCAATATTTTTTCCGTGTCGAACTATGCATTTAGGTATTTAAACTATATTTTGTTGATATGAAAGCGATCTTCGCAGTAATGAACACTACTTAAGCAGTAGTGAATCCCGCACAGGCCTGAATTTTTTTCAGGCCTTCTTTTCACTACTGATTAAGTAGTGTTCATTACTGCGAAGATCGCTTTCATATTCACGTCTTTATCCGCAGTTCAAATATATGACTTTCATATTTTCTCAGCCGTTTAAACTACACTTTGCAAGAAAATGTTTTTTTTTTTTAAGGAAAAAAATTGAAACGCACGCAACTCATTTACAGATATGTGAACTTTATAAAACTTCATATTCTCTATTTCACGAACGGTTTTCCATTTTGCAGCGTGTCGGTTGAGCTTTAGATTACGATTGGCTAAAATGCAGTGAACTCAGAAACATGTTACACGAGACGCACACGAGACGCACACGAGACGCAGGCATTACATCTTACTGTTTTCTTACACCTGTCCGATCGCATCAACAGAGCTCCCCTTTATCAGTTGCTTTCAGAAAAAATGTTTCAGCTCGTCCTTGGCCTTGGCCTTCCTTTTTGAATCTAATATTATGCCTTACGCCGGCGACACACTTGGCCATTCTCTTCGCCGATTGCGGCGAATTTGATCGCGGCGATCAGCGCATGAAGTCGTTAGGTGTGTCAATTCACCATTTAGTCAAGTAAAGAATTAGCAAAAGCCCTACTTAAGTCAATATTTTATTGCAAATCTTAGACAATCAGAAACACACACGCAAACGTTGCCACAATCAGATTAGTATACAGCACACAACGTTACTGAAGAGGCATTCATATGGAACAGATTGATTGAAAGCTTTAGAAAGTTTCCCTATCTATTACTATATTATAGTATATTTCAGTTCACGTGGTACAACACATCCACCAGATAAAATTGCTAAAATGGTAAAATCTCCCTTTGATTGCCCATCGCATTTCTAAACAAAACAAGGAAAAATGTAAGAGTTAACTAGAAATTTTTTTATTGTCTTTGCTAATAATTACTAAGTATACTTTGTGTGGAGCACGAGAGCAACTAACTCGTAAGCGGTAAATGACTCGGAAGCGATGATGGGGCGATGAAAGCTGAGCTAGTCAGGGGATATATTTCCGAAAAAAGCCAAGAATCGCCTTCATATCAAGTTATACTTCGAACATGGAACAGACCTTTCGCTTCTGGCATGGAATACTAAAAAATCAAACTAAAAAGGGCATTGAAAGAGAATGGTCCACAGTTGTTCAGACACGAAAGGGCACTAGACGAGCTAAATGTTACTACATCGGTAAGTGTGAAATTAAAAACTAAAATTTACTAAATCTGTAAACTGGTTCACTGACCCTTTTTATGGAAGGTTCTCTTCGTGTTCTTGAGGTCTCCTGTTCTGTCTCTCGTCATTTTCTTCAGCTATCTTCTGCTCGTCATTGTTTCCTTCAATCTGCTCAGGTCCAGGGTTTTTGATTCCTTCACGCGAGACAAAATAGTTGAAAACCAATACTCCAATAATCCCACTCATAGCACCGCCCACCAAACACCATAAAAGTTTTCTGAGGGACATTTCTCCGTCTGGGAAAAGATCTATTTGACTCCACGCCTGGAACACTTTGAGCGGCTCTAAGCGGATCTGCCTTACTCATTCGGGGAAACGAGCGGAAATTGGAACCCTCATTGCGGTTTTAAAAATTTCAAAGGGCATTTTTAATGTCTTTGTTCCTGTGTAGACGCAACTTATTTTTTTCGTCTAGTCTGGACAGGAACAAAGACACTAAAATTGCGTGCGGTTTTCAAAACCGTTTTCAAAACCGCAACTGTTTATGTGTTTGTTCCTCTGCAGTAAAAACATGCTGTTTGAAGAGCGCGGACAAAAAATTGCAGTTTTGAAAACCGCGATTCCGGGAGCAATGTCTATCACAGAGGAAACTTTGCACGTAGTACAATTTCTCCTCACTCAAAGTGAAAAGCTCTCCAACTTGTTGTTTCCGGCTATTCTGAAGAGCATGAACGTAGACATCAAACCATGATTGCAGTTTTGAAGACTGTTTTCAAAAGCGTAATTTCAATGTCCGCGTTCCTCTAGCCAGTCGGATAAACGATCGCGAGCCTATAAAGTGAGCAGGCTCGCACTAGTAAGACGGCTATTTCTCCTCACTCATAGTGAAAAGCTTTCTATCTTTGATAGAGTTTTATGAATTTTAGGGGAAAAAATGGAAAAATGTTTCAAGTCTCCCTTTTTTCTAATGTTCACGTTCATCTTTATTAGCCGGGAAAGTTTTTATCACGTATTTAAGTTTGCGCGTACTGATAAGATCACTCCACGAGTGCTTTTGGGCAAACACATCAATCGCAATTCGCGCAAACCAACCGATCTCAAAGGGTGGTTTTGGGGCTCCGTGTTGCTTTCGGATCTATTTTTGGGTTTGCAGAGGTTTGCATGTGCCGTAAGATCACTCCACCACCACAAGTGCCTTAGGGCAAACGCATCAATCGCAATTCGCACAAACCAACCGATCTCAAAGGGTGGTTTTGGGGCTCCGTGTTGCTTTCGGATCTATTTTTGGGTTTGCAGAGGTTTGCACGTGCCGTAAGATCACTCCACCACCACAAGTGCCTTAGGGCAAAACGTACGAAACGCAAACCAATCGATCGCAACGGGTGGTGTCCAGCTCACGCTCATGCAGCTTCTTAGATGGAGCCTGCAGTCATTGATGCACGGGAGAGGAGGTACTGAAATGCCATGCGCTGCCTGCCATTAAAGAAGAAGAAACACAAATTCTAAATTGATGCTTGCAACGTTTTCTAAGACCATTTGTAACTGAAAGAGATGCCTAAAGTACGTCGTAGTCGGAAACCCCCGCCTGAAGGATGGGAATTGATTGAACCAACGCTTGACGAACTGGATCAGAAAATGCGCGAAGGTAGGCAAACGAGATGAGTGATATGCCATGCTTCCTCACTACAACGTTTGTTGGCTGATGTTTGTTTCTTTGTAAGATGATGTTAATCGTCTGTTTAACTCTTTTAAAAACTTCAGCTGAGACAGAACCTCATGAAGGAAAACGAAAAACGGAGTCCATGTGGCCAATATTTAGGTATTCATCAATCTCTAAGCGAAGTTTTAATTAGGTTGAAGTTTGGTCTATAATTTTCCAAAGGAAAATATAAATGGATTCCTACATCATATCGTAACAGTTATATGATAGATATGATACTCAGTTTTAAGTTAAATGATTACACATCTGTACATAGAGATGGAATTTGTTACGGAGAGGGAAAAAAACGTAATTCTTTATACAAGAAACGTTCATGTATTATGTCATTCAAAGAGTAATGAATAGCCATATAATTTCAGGAAAGTGTGAGTTAAATGTTGATGATTTAGTTTGATGTTTCTTCCTTGCATAGCACGTGCTATTAGAGCCATTACAAGTTTGCTAGTCGTAAAGGCTTACATCAAGGTGAAAACACACAAATCTCTCTTTTTGATGGTTTTCACATGCAGCTAGCGCAATCTTGACACATATGAGCACCTGTTAGGCCATCTAGATTGTACTTAAGATAATTGTGTTAACCTTTCTACCTTCAAGATTGCAATGTCAGTTGTCAATGTTTTGTTTCACTCTATGAAACTCCAGAAATTTATGGCTAATCAAATAATATTCTTCAATTGATATATTTGTATTCTTTTCATCACCACTCTACTTAAAAATGTGAAGATAACATGATTAGAAAATTATTTACCGTTCACCACTGGTTCAGGGACTTTTTCTGCATGTGCATGTATTCCTGTAGTAACTTCTTTACTCCCATGAGTGACCAAGACAGAATTTCTCCTTACAATTTCAAGCAGACAAGGGTTTAGGATAAAGTTAATTATCAATTAGGAGATAGTTTTTGATTCAATACCAAATTATCTGAACTTCATAAGAATCATATGGCAGACAGTAAGGAGAATTAATGATAAGATCTTGGGAGTGGAAGCTTTTCTCTGAGAAATTTCTTGAAATGACATTTCTTTTTTTACTGATCCTAGAATCCATCACCAGAAGTCACGTTATGTTTATGAACTGTTCTACAGAAGGAAAGCAATCAGTAGAGGTATTATACATATTTTTATTATTATTTCAATTACATTTACATCTCAAAATACAAATGGTTGGTAGACAGGTCGTGAATGGAAGCCAATGATAACCTTAACAAGATTGTTATGTGAAAAATTTACAACTATCTTTTAAATATTTCCTCCCACTACTTTCAAGAGGATTATGTATTATTTTTATATTTTCTCGTTGAAGTAATTTTTTTTGTATGACTTTTGTAATCATAGAGTTATATGAATACTGTCTAAAAGAAGGATATGCTGACAAAAACCTGATTGCAAAGTGGAAGAAGCAAGGTTATGAAAACCTTTGCTGCCTTAGATGTATTCAATGTAGAGATACAAATTTTGGTACAAACTGTATCTGTCGTGTACCCAAAGCTAAACTGGAGGAGGTCAGTTCTTGTTTTTGTTACTTACTCTAAAAAGTTATATTGCCAAATGTGAGAGCAATCTTTGCAGTGATATACACCACAGTACTGCTCAAATATATGTTAACCGCAAAACTCACATAAAATGCACAAAAATCACATGCAAGTACAAATTTAAAAAAGGGGGGGTGCATCAAAAAATCACACATGTGCGCTTAAGCTTGATTTAACTGCCTCATTAGTAATGAAATTAAGGCCTGAAAAAAATTTAGGCCTGAGTAGAATTTGAACCCATAACCCTCTCAGTCAAGATATATTGCATTCACAAATATGACCATTTGTTCGCTTCTCCAATGTAGAGGGAGTCCATGAGACTTGAGTTATGCCAATTTTTAACTTAACCCTCCATGTTTTGTGTTTTCAATTTGTAATTATTCTATCGGAGAGAGATGAATGTACACTTACTGTAATAATGATTTGGTATCCATATAGATAAAAATAAATTCATATTTCCAAGAAAACACTGCAATTTTGCAGTGTTTGCACTGTTATTGTTAATTCAGTTTTTTCCCAGAAATCCTGCATGGTCCTAACCCAGTGGGAACACTTTTATATGTTTGCGTATGTTTTAAACACTTTTTCTGAAAGATCTCTTGGTTTGAAGTTTATCTGGAGGTGCGTTCCTTTGGGAGAATCTGCATCAGGATTTCTGATCTGTGGCATGCCTTTCGAGCAAATCCATTTTCAGATCAGCGATTTATCAAATCCACTCTGGACAAGGATTTATTGGATCACTGATCTGCACAATCTGAAGATGAATCATTGGATCATTGATCCAATGTGTTCCTTTGGGCAAAGGATTTGAAATTAATCATTTTTCCCAGCAGTGCTCAATTTCAAACAAATAGGTACTTCTTATGTTGACTGGAAAGATTGCTGTCAATCGTTCCACAAATTCTGCACTAAACACAAAATACACTAGATTTTGTAATGTTAAATTGATCGCCCACTAAGCAAAGGCATTCAGGGTTCCCAAGTATCCATATTATAATCAATACTTGCTTCTGTAAGTCAATGGTAGGTCTTCCCCCATTCCTTAGTCCATGAGGTAGACCTGGGCAAGTAGCTAACAGGTATTCTAAACAGCTGACTGTAGTTCTTGAAATGTAAAAATGACTTCAAAAATCTGAAACACTGTAGAGTGGTTTAATACGTTCAAAATAATTCTCAATGCAGACATGGCTCTGCTGCTCCCTTATCAAAAGAAACAATGGAAATTCTTCATCTTCACAACTTATCGCTTCTTTTAGTATTGAATCATTGGAAAGTTCCTTTACTAACAAAACAACAGCTGCTCTATGCGCGATGGCCATCTTTTTTTCATTTTTAAATTTAGCATGTGATTCTGCGGACACACTCTACAATTTTGCACCTACTGTCATGGTAACTGATCCAATGAACTAAATCTCCATTTCTTTGATGCACCGTGATCTGTGTGATCTTGGATCACAAATCCTAATCCAGATCCTCCCAAAGGAAGGCACCCTGAGACAAGCCCGTTACTCTCTATAGAAACTGAGCACATCAAAACCATATTAACCCTTTACACCCTAACATCAGAATGCATATTCTCCATACTGTTCTCCATACAGTTCTCCATACATTACCTAGGTTCTAACAGGGAGAATTTGTAAAGCCATCAAGAGCTTCGTTAGTTCTTGATCATTTCCTTTATTTTTATGACTTAAATGTTTGATTCAAGGGTGATATAAATTAGAACCTTGTCACACTTAGAGATTAAGGGTTAAGATACATGTACAACATGAAGAAGCAAAATTTTTGCAGAAACATACCACTATACTTAAGTTTTAATGCGGTGCCTGTATTAACAATTGGACCCCAAAGAGTGATTAATATCCTGTTTCTCCTCACAATATCACCCCTGAATCATACATTGAGGTTATGAGAATAAAGGAATGATCACCAACTAAAGAACCTCTTGATTAACAAACAAATTATCCGCGTTGGCACCTTAGGAAATTTGTAGATAACAGTATGGAAAATATGCATGCCAATGATGAAGTATGAAGGGTTAAATGGAAGTGTTTATATATACATGATTGAAAGTACAGCAGAGTTGATGTGGTGGTGATAGAACTTAAAATATTGTTAAAATGTTATAAAGATTCTCTGGATGCTAACCTTGGTGATTGTGTTGCGCACTCTACAAACATTGTAGACTTTTTAGTCTGTTTGCACACGACTTTAAATAGCAAACCAAACCTTTGGTCAGTGTCTAGATCTATAATGTTATGAACTGTTCCAATAAACATTTCTTTCAGGGCAAGATTGTGGAGTGTGTTATATGTGGATGTCGTGGTTGTTCTGGTTGATGCCATGAGAGCAAGGCAGCAATTTGGATATGTACATTATGAGAAGATTTTGCATGGAAGCTATCAAAACTATCAACACTTTCCTTTGGTTTATTCCTGGATCCCTGAACTGTATAGAATTACCTTCCGGAAGATTTTTTAATCTGTGCATGGGAGGTTAAGAAACCAACGGAAATGAATGAAATCATGGGCCCAGCTGGTTTATTTGTTTATTTTATTGCTTATTAATTTTGTGCTCAGCTGATGCCATAATTCGGTTTCCTTTGGTTGAAAAAAAATCTCAACTAGCATACAAAGGATATTGGTGTACATAAACAAATCCTGTGCCAATCCCCTATAAAGGTTAGATTTGTTTGAGCAAAAGGGTCAGATTTTCTTGTCTGTATTCGTAATAAAAGTTTTACAAGCTGGTTATGATTAAAAAATGGCATTTGTGTGATAAACATTCCGACTTCATAGCAATTGTATCCTGTCACTGGTCACTTGAGATTATACATAGAGTAGCCACTGTTTTGGTTCGGCTACGGTGAGTCAATTTATTTTATACTGGGCTCTATTAGCTGGCACGATTAGACAGATCCTGTCCTCTGATTGGTTACTAAGAAGGATATTTGGGCCTATCTTGATCCTAGATAGTATCCGGCAGTCAACAACATTGTTATGCACCCGTTATGTCTTTTGTTTAAACAGTACTCTCACTGTACATCCAGTGGTTTTGCCTGGGTCTGTTTCCCCCTAATACTAGTTACCCTCTTCCATAAATTATTTTGCTCTAACAATACCAATCTCCGTATTGTCTGCTATCTTCTCTTTCGCTCAGAAAATCAGATTTAATTCATCTTTTCGCTGTCGTCTCGGAGAACAAACTTCCGTTGGTCTTACCATCTATAAATAACCTCGGTGGAATTGTCCCAACGAAAGCCTAGACCAGAATCGTTCCTCTTTCTTTTCCTCATTTTCTCCTGTTGAAACCTGATAAAACTGGACAGCGGAAGCTACCTGAACTAAATAGCTCCCTGGTGGCAATCAGAAATTACAGGTCACTGCACCATGAGTGCCATTTGTGTGCATTTCGATTGAGTGTGGTGAAAGCGATACCAATGATGTCTTTTCCTGTCCTGTCTTGAGCAAGGGAAAAAGGAAAAATTGTAAGTTTCCATGGGGAATCGAACCTCAAACATTTAAATTCCACGCTCCGATGCTCTACCACTGAGCCACACAGACTCTACGCCGGCGCGGAACGCCATCATTAAATCAAATGTGACATGTATCCCGCGTGCAGCTAGGATTGGCAATGTCGAAAGCCTCGTGTGATTCCATCAAATAAGAGAGATGGTAAATTTTAAGCTCGGGAGCAAAATAAAGATGGATGTGTGTTCGTCGTGTTTTCACCATTTTTGTTTATCTTATTCTCTGCATTTAAGCGCGCACAAGTTTCGAAAGGGCGAGTTTATCTTTGAGGTGAAGTCTTAATAAAGTCACGTCAACAAATTAACCACTTTTGACCGGAAGTTTTAGAAAAGACTGTCAGAGTGTTTTTAGCAAGGAAAGTAAACATGTCTAAAACTCGCTGTGATGAAAACCGAACGAAAAAAAGCTCAATTCTCGACCAGCTCGAGTAGTTTTGTCGGTGTGAGTCGTTTCATACCCAGCGTCGCTTGCATGTCTAAGTATTCACCCTGCGGTGTTGTCAGCGAGAATACATAAGTAGTTCATCACCTTGTGATAATCAGTCTGAGCCTTTTTTTCGTGGTTTGCTTCGATCCCGGCTTCATAGAGCTCACGGATCGGTAGGTAACTCTATCATTTGTATCTTTGTTTTTTTTTAGCTAGTAAACATTATTTCTGTTCCTTTCTGCGACTTTTTCGGTGACACTTATTTGTTGAAGAACACTTGATGCTAAACAAAAGGCGAAGAATCTTTCCTGCAGGAAGAAAGATAAAGCTGATTCCAGTGAGTGCTCTTGAAGGAAATTTGAAATCTTCTGGTCGTGGCTCGTAATTAAAAATAATGTGAGCTTTTCGCGGCAATTTCAGCGTAGACGATCTAGTGTGTTTCACGCAATAACCGGAAAGTGTTTGGAAATCTACCTCCGCATATAAAAACTACTTGAAGAATGAAAGTGTTGCAAATGTAAAGATTTAATCATGGAGCTTAACGTAAATCTGTCAGCATGAAATGACTGCGTTCTGAGAAATTTCCTTTATGATAGACAGTACTTGCTAATTCAAAACAATTCTGACTGATTTGTGAAGTTTTCGAAACACTGTTCTCCACGTACGTTGACTAAAAAGAACGAAAGTAAGGTAGTCTCAGGAAAATGGCAAGAGGCTAAATTATATAATTAATCATCTATTTACTTTTCTGAATTTTTGAAAATTTTCTATCGTCACACCCATAATCTTCCAAGACAGACTTCTTATCCAATAACCAGTTTTCCTTGACGAGAAACAGCTTTAATTTTTTGTCGATGACAAACACATTTCTAGTGTTTGATTGAAGGTCTTCCAAATACCGAAACCCCTTGAGGCAAGACAAATCAACATCAAATTAAATTAAAATAGCAAAATTAGAAAAAAACCTCAGAAAAAAAAATTGCAAAGTTGGCCGAGAGCCCAACGGAAATAGATTATAGCTTGTAACCGCTTAAGTTAATGGGTTTCAGCCGATACAATTTTCTTTGTTATTATTATTAACCTCGGCGGCAGCTGGTTGTTCATTTGGTTTTTTTTTCGGGATTGTTAACCAGGCTGACAAAAACAAAATGGTAGCTGAGCCTTTGTCAAAACAAACAGGCGAACGAGCGTATCACAATTGGAGAGAAAGGTGTATAGAATTTTGTCAGCTCTGGTGAGTCGGTGCTACGTTCTTGCTCATTTCTTCTATTTGATTTTGTTTTTTGTATATTCTCCATTTACTTTTGTCCTCGCTTTCCAAGGCATTGGTGATACAACAGGCTTACTTGAGATCAGCGTCACAGATGCTTTTTTACCGGTTACATTTATTCCTATATAGAGAGACCTTTGCCAAAGATTTGCAAAAATATCTTTGATTCTCTCCTTTTTTCTGCACCCATTCGGTTGTGGGTTGTATTTCTTACTGATTAAAAAAATTAAAAAATTAAACTTACACTGAAACACAAAAATAAAGCCGATTGATAAATACAAATAGAGCCATGGAATAAAACGGATAAGTAACAATTCTAGATTCGACTGTTGGTTTGTTGCATACAATTCGCAAATAATTGGACGGGCACTCTGTGCAAAAATTTTCCATAGAAATACGTTATACAACAGCAAAAAAAAGCTGGTCTAGGTTCAAAACCGGTTCTTTGGCGTTAATAATGTCTCACGGGGTATTCAGGAACTGAACAAAGTTCTTTACAATTAGCGGAATTATTTCGAAGGTTATGATCCTCGTCTTTCCTCGAATTTGTGCAGCCCACATTATTTTTGACAGTTATTTAAAAAGTTTGGACATGTATAAAAGTACAAGGTTTGTTTTTCACTTCTTTCGCGCGCTCAATTGTAAACATTTGCAATGAGTTACGATCACCACACCTAGGATACCGAATCAAAGTTGGAGAGGTTTGACGCTTCTTGTTCGTAATTCGTTAACGATGGGTGTGATTTGTAATGCAATACATTTATCAGGAGTCCATATTTGTGGAGATGAATCTCATGGATTAATATTCGTCAAGAGAGGCAAATACAAAAATTTTACACGTAGATAGCTTTAAGTGTGGGGAAAAATCGTAAGAACCTGCTGGTAAATGGGTAAGCTTAAAGCAAGAGTAATGAATTGCCTTTCTCAGTTTTAGATATTCCTCGAAATGAAAATGTTTTTTGCTAAAATTTTGCAAATGTTTTTAAAACTTTGTTTTTCCGCAGTCAATCCCAATTAAATTCTGTTTCATTTGAGATATGATTGGTAATTCTAAAACAAGTAAATAGAGCAGATATTTAAACAAAATATTTCATGGATTTATTCTCTATCCGGAGAGTATCCGGAAATAACAAAGTTTCTTTGCAATATTATGACTGGAGAGATAATTATTGCACTGTCGTTTAACATGCAACTTCTGGGTGTGTATTTAACCTGGAGAGAAACTTAATCACATAACCATATTGACTGTGATGTGGTTGATCAAGCAAAACTAAATAGGTATGTTCTTAATTTATCATTGCTTTTTGAAACAATCGTCGCTCTTCTCGGGTAGCACTGTATATCTATATTAGATTAGCTTGTACTGTCTGCCATATTTTTTCTGGCTTAGTATCAACTTAAAAGTTTAGATGATTTTTTTTTCCTGTGAGCAGAAATAACAGGCCACACATGGGAAGTATTCAAACCGTCTCTTCTCACTTGAGTAAAAACATGCCACGCATACGCTTTACACTGTATTCATTGGTACGTGATATTATACCTTACGAAGTGCAATAAGCTAAAACTTTTGGACTTGATCTCTGTCGTCAATGATATTTCGCGTAAACCGGACCAAGAGCGAAGAGGAGGTAATGTTAGCCAGTCGAAAAGGGTAGACATTCTACCTCACAAGAATTTATCTCAACTCATATACTTTTTTTAGAAACATTTCAACCTTCCAGTGTTCACTGGAATAAATAATTTGTGGCGAGAGAAAGAACAACTATCAAAGAAGGTTTTAAATGATGCTCGAATTTATGTCCGCAAGGCAGACTGAAAGCTGATTTAACTTCTACGTAATATGAATTATATTTTGATCAAGTTATTCGCCTCTAAACATTGTCTGAATCACTATCTAAGGCCACGATCGGACAGAATACTAAGATTTTAGTCCTTACACCACTTAACTTGGGAATTGCCCCAAAGACATCGATCCATTTTGTGATATATCGTATAAAAAACAATGTGTCTGGTCGTCAAACTTTACAGCAGGGAAGTGGAAAATTTAACAAATGTAACAGGTCACAAAAAGATAAGTTTCGAGTATTAAAGATCACAAAAATAAATTTTATCTACAGGATGCAAAAAATTTCAGTGAATTGAACGAGTTCTCATGGACGAATCATGTAATGCCCGAAAAATATCAAATTGACATGGTTCATCCTTCACTAAATACGCAAGCAATTAGCTAAATCACTTATTGAAAGCTGCATCTATAAGTCAGCTGTTTTCGTCTGGGTTATACCATCACGTCAATTACGTCAGCTGTATTAATTAAAAAATAACTCGAGGTTACATTAGAAAACGCTGCAACTTCTGCGAGCAAAGTACAGTATTGTGGTTCGCCTGGCCACTTATCTCTTCCGAATTTAATCTTATTTTCATTCCTGTGGCTTGAGTTTTATCTGCACATGACAACTTGGTCAATGTTCACATCAGCATGATAAAACTTTTTTTTATCTTTTCTTTTAATTTCACGCACGCCTCTCGAAAAACTCTTCACGTGTTTTGTTAAGGTCAATGGCTGAGACTTTACAGCAGGGAAGTTGGCTGAGACTTATTATATGAATGAAATCACCTGGCAGCACTACACTTAAAGTTTGGTGATGTTTTCGGAATGAAATGTCCTTCAAAATTCACTTATATGTGGCAAAGGGGAAAGCCGGCTCTTTACTAACTGTCCACGCCGGAAAATGATCGATATGCCGACTTATAAATTGAGAGAAATAACTATGTATCCTCGTCTGCAATTGCTTAAATCGCAGTACACGCAAGGATTGCTGCTTTACTTGTAAGGTTATGTATCTTAATTTGTAGCATCTCACAGTTTTAAAAGTTGCAACGATAATTTGGCGTTGCCAACTGGTACAGGGATCAAAACCTATCACTATCGAAAGTCAAAGGCCATTATAGTTGTATACTGACAGTTCTTAGATTGTAATAGATTGTTGAGGTGTTTGGGAGCCGGAAATGTTTTGTCGTCGTTTTATTATTTCGTTTATCGATTCCTTAGCCGGCATCTTGCGTAGGAAATGATCAATAAGATGTAATTAATTTGCAAATTCCAAACGTCCGTGCTCATGAAGCAGGTACTTTCAAACAAGTCAATCAATTGAAAAGCTTATGACTGCATGTAACGATACTTTTGAAAATAAGCATGGAAATTTTGGTACTCCTATGTAATAAAAGACTTCGACATCTACGGTGTTCAGGGAAGTTCGTAGAAAGGAAACTGTTCCTTGTAACGTCAAAGTGCCAGCATGAAAAAAAACTTGAAAGTTATTACTACAAAAAAAAGTCACGATTATCGTTCGCTTTTACCGCTTTTAAGTAGAGAGGAAATTTATTTTCTAGTGAACTTTTGAAATTAACAATCGAGATAATGATTATTAAGATGCGAAAAAAAAAATAACTAAAAAAAAGCAGATGATGAACATATTGCATTTTCCGCGGTTTGTTTCTCCCTTCCGGATTTTTCAAATATTATCTTGCCATAATTAGTTTTCCTAATTTAGTAATTACCTCATTCTTTAGTCCTACAAGAATATCATTCAAAAAACAGAAAAAAATAATTTCAAAAAGAGAATAGCTGTCAGGCGTATTGTAAAAATACAAAGCCTGATTTTGCCGAAAGGAAAAGACTCACTCCACCTTTTATTCAACGTTCTCTTTGTCCAAAGTCACATCCGCAATAGTTATCAATAATCGTAATCAGCAGATATAAACAGACCGGTGACATGGCAATTTTCACTTCTCAGAGCTTAAAGTCGGCGACGTCAGGCGGTTTAGCCGCTTCACGTTTTTCCAATCTAATTCAGTGTCACAAGCATTCTTTAAGGCGGTGTGCTCTCAACTCTTAAGGAAACCGCAGAGAGGTAAGTTTTTTTCATGCATGAAAACACAACAAACTACTGAGCAGAGTGTTCTTCTCACAAGAAAAATCAAACTATGGAGAAGAGCCTTTTCACTTGAAGAATTCGACGTTTTATTTTCGGATGTAATTTTTTTAAAGTGTTAATATCTCGTCGCCTGAAGTTACTCTTCAAATATTCGCCCTAACTAATTATCCATCATAAGCTGTGATAGTTGCGGCAGGAAAAATGTGACCCTTTGAAATGATTGGATGAGGTTGGCCACGTGATAGGTCAGTACTCTTCGAATACCGAGCCACAATATCGAGGGAGTAGTAATTAGTGATCCGAAAAGAGTCTTATATCAAGCGGAAAATCGCGCTCTTAACAATGGACAAATATTTCTTTTTCTAAATGCCGGCTTGGCGCTTACGGAGTTAAAGCTTGTGACTTGGCAACAATAGTCACCAACTGATCATAAATAGACACTCTTCCCAGAAAACTATGTATCAAGTAAGTATGAGATAAAATTTTGGCGAAGCTTGGCTGCTAAAACCCGCAATCCATCTTCAAGGTTAGTGTGCAGAAGCAAATATTGTAGTAGTTATGAATTTTCTAGCAGTTATTTGACACTGAGATGTGAAACGTAATGATAAGAAATTCAACGATGACTCAGGGGCTTTGACGGAGATAAGATCTGTTATAATAAACACGTGTAAGGAAAAGTGAGTATCCCTAGGGAAGAGTGAAGCCCAAGTTTGCCTTATCGCTTCGAGTGATTAACTTTATTGGCGACTTAATCATGATGAGTGGTGTTTTCGTGGCGCAAACAAAGTTTTACAAACATTGTTAAGATATGTCATAATTGTATATGGCGCGTAGTCGATTCACACCCAGGGTATACGTAGTGTGGTAGTACCTACAGTGAAGGAGAATGAACAATGAACTGGAAATATTGACTTTAAGCGAATAGTTCTTGGCAACTTTCTACGACAAAACCGTAACAAGTTCTGTTGGAGATGAGGCTTTGAATAATAGGGTTATCATTAGGAAAAATTATAGACATAAAGGAAGAATGTTTACACTCCAGTCGAGAATCAAAAGCTCTACAAGTCGGTATTGAAAACCTTGTGCGCAAACGTTCAAAACCATCAACTGTACTGCATATGGCTTTGTAAACTGTAAGAAATATGAGAACATAGCTAATTCCTAGACGTTTTCCAACAAGTGTGCTAATATCAAATGATATTTGTCCAGCACCAAGTAATGTTTCAAGTTCTCCGGCTCTCCGTGTTAGAGCACTTTGAGCAGAAAAACATCTGGAACATTTGAATGGTGCGTTGAAGAAAATTTGTGTATAAGGCCTTAATAAGTATTTTTAAAACTTTAAACTTCAATAGTTATATGCATTAGTCTTAATTATGAATCGCCTTTGAGGCGACAAGTTAATAAAATGATAGACTGAAAAAGTCGTCTAGTTATAGTTACTTCTTAAACAGTTTTCTTTTCGATCGAAAATAGCAGAACGAGAGAATATCTAAACAATTTCGGTTTGGCTCTAATTTGACAATAATCTTTTATTAAGATATATATAAATATCAGTTTTTAAAAATAATTAAGGCATGTTTTCCTTTTAGAAGTTTACCCTGCTGTTCCTATTGACAAACATGGCCGGTTACAACCGGTGCCCTTATTGTTTTCGCGCAGTGGAAAATTTCAAATCTCCTCCAGAGCTAATTTTCTCTAAAATATAATAGATGTGAAATGTGGTGGAATAACCGCTCCTTCATGTGTTCGCAATTTATTTAATACTATTTAGCCTTTGTTAAAAAACACGCATAAGGTATTTATTGGTTGATAGTTTTCATGACAAACAGTATAGGTCACTTTTTTTTTAAGTTGTTGAATATGTCTCGACAATTCTCAGTTCTGAAATTAGCACTTTCTAGCATGTCTTTTTCGGTGCACGCTTGAGTAATTTCGTAAATGTAATTACGTTGCGGTTTTTACGGGGAACACGCAAGGCGTTTTTTTAAAATATGATTTCCAACGAGTTTAGGAGGAAATCAGCTACACAATCTTGACTTGAATCGCAGATTTGTTCATGCTAGCAAAGCCACTTTTTTTTCGGTGCAAATGCCTATCTCAGGGGTAAACATTTTTTTAACAAAAACATATTGTTTCGAAAGGGTTTTTTCGTTCACTTTCAAATCTTTTTCGGAAGTGGGTTATTTACATTCATGACCGCAATTGTGTTTCATTTTACGGTATTAAAATATAAACAGTTGTTTCGGCTAAATCAACATGAACTGTTTCATTAGCAAAGGTGATAATTTTCTAAAGGAGCTTTGGTGCAGCGTCGGTGGAGAGTATAACATGGTAATTTAGTTTTACCTGCTGAGTTCATAACTTAATTTGACCACCGTAAAGACTGTTTCTTAAGCTGACGTTTCAACTGTTAGCCCTTCGTTTGAGCGAAGTATAAGTGGTAGCAGCCTCGGAAACTCGCTTCCAACACTAGTTTCGGTTACGTCTGACATGTTTCGCTTCCTTTCCTGCCAATCCAAATACAACTGAAAAATGTTAAACCAAAATTGCTCATCTTCTCAATAAACTTTATTTGTTGAGACTTAATTTAGAATCGCCCTTAAGTCGGAAGGCTTTTGAAAATCTTTAAATATAGAAAAGGGAAGAGAGAGAATAGAGAATATAGGGGAATATTTTAAAGAGAACTATTCATTGAAGTGACAAAGGTAAGGAAGTGTTCAAGAACCGATTTCCTAAGTTTCGTATCAGTCTTTCTATTGATGCATGTATACAACACTCTCTTCACTTAACATTCTTTAAAATTGTAGATTTAAAGGGTAAAACCATTTTTGCTATAACTCTCACCCTTTTCAGTTGGCGACGACGGTATTTAAATTAGGTTGAGGTAGCATGAAAGTTCCGTGAAATAATAGCTATGCTTAAACCTGTCTCTTTAAGAACATAATCACCCAAGTGGAATTCTGGCGCCCGACGGCTGAGTCTTCTAGACATATTAAATTTGATGATATTGATTTAGGGCCGATTGAAAGGCGACTTGTGTTTTGATAATATCACTTCCACAAGAAGGTGCCATTCCTTTTTAGCTGAAACTTCTGAAGTGTTTGTCATACAATTCAACTCATTGGCTAAACGTCAAGTGTATTTCTCCAAAAACAAAGAGCGTCTTGACGAGAATGTGTGATTTATAAGTTATTCTATTCATTTTCCATGACCGGCCAGTAACGAACCTGTAATTTTTTCATTTTCAATAGTACCGTCTTTCAGAAACAAGTCATAATTCACTGACGCTTACTGCGATTCAGGGCTGAAAAACAAAGTTTACAAAGTCAGGTATAATACCCAGGCTCTTCGCGTTGCTAGGATATGCAGGAAAAACAACTTCGAGAAGGCTTGAAAGCGACGTGAGCCCATCATTATCTATTCCATCATCCGCGTCAGAAAACTCGCAGCAAGAAGTTTCCTACTAAGATTTGCTTTAAATGCGCCAGTTGTTTAACAGGTAAGAAGGGATTTCTGAACGTTTTCATCCCTCTAATCCCAAGTTCTGTTGAACCGCAACTGTCTCATCAGGTACGAATATATTTATGTGTTGACTGCTCTTAAGAATTTGGTGTTGTTTACAGATATTTCCTTGTTGATCATTTTCTTACTTCTCACCACTTACACGTTTGTAAGTGTCTTAAAATCGTACGAAGAATTCAATACACTATACTTTTGAAAGCGGAAGGCGGCAGGAAAATCATTAATATTTCAGTTTCGAAGGGGAAAAGTTAGTGAATAAAAAGTTTGATACGACCTCTTTTCGATGGAGCTTTGTTTCAGGAACGTGCCATCTTAAATGAGATCAATTTACCAATCATGCATCTTCCGTAATTTCATCGAGTGATTCATTATCATCGTGTTGATAGCTTTTATAAGTTATTATTTAGCGTTTTTAGCTGTCTAATCCATTCGCAGATCGTATTTGTAACCTGCATTTGTCTAGGAAGCTGACTCATTTTGAGAGGCTATAATTCGAAATAAACGCCGGAACACTATTTTTAAAATTAAGCCAATTACTCTGTCCGAAAGAAATACGAAGTGATTTGAAAAATTTGTGGACTCACACCACGAGAGTTTAATTGTTTGTTGTTTATTTGCTTATTTTGCCATTTTTCAATCATAATGCATCAGTAGAAATAAAAATAATTACACATACGCTAATATAATATAATAGAACTGAAAATTTAACACGTGGCGAGGAAACCTGTAAAGAAACCAAGAAGCTTATGCGAGCTGCTGGCACCTCATATTTTACAAAAGTAAGGCATCAGTTATATGGTGTGATCTAGGTTTAAAAGGAAAGAACACTCATAAAACAACAACAAAATAGCAGGTACTCAAACAAACATATACTTAAGCAGCTTGAGAGGAGTGAGCAAAATATGAGGAAGAGGGGATTTAACTTAGGAGTAATGTTCGCAATTTATATTTAAACAGGGAAATTGTGCCATCATTTTGGACTTCTATATTCAGAGAATTGAAAAATTAAGGTCCTTGGAAATATAACGCAAACTGTCTGATATTTGTTTCTGCAAGAAGGCATGTGAAAGGAATTGCATTGTCTGGTGTAATGGCAATAAATGCCACTTGAGAACGAAAATAATCTTTCAAGAGCATATTTGGAAAACAGTTGGTATGCAAAAAGGCATGCTTCGGAAACAGATGTGACAAATTTCTTAAATGTGTTAAAAAGATATCCAATTTAGAAACGGCCCCCCACCTATGGTCCTGTTTGCCTCGGTGCCATCGAACTTAGCCTCGTTCTCAACAGGCAATGCCACTTTGATTGTGGTAGCCAATCAGGTTGCAATAATTCTTCCAGCTTTGCAAATTCAGCGTTTGAGGTTAAATAGTTATCTTCTTGTATGCGAAGATAAAAGATAAGGAAATAGTAAGTCTTCTCCATCTGAAATCATCCTCGATCGTCCTTTGTTTGATCATTCCTCGGTGTTTTTTGTCTACATGATTTCAGTCTGTTCAAGAGAATTAATCAGTATTGAAGCGAAAACGACTCAAAATTCTGTGATTAAACTCCCTCGCATTTCTCACGAAGAACTTTTAAAACGATTCAAAATTATTTTTTAATGGTCTACCAAGAGGTTGCAGGATTAAAGAGGTTAAGTCTATGTCTTAATTAATACGGCTTTTTGTGGTCATAATCTGTTTAGCCCGACTTGCGTACGTGTGAGGGACACTGACGTAAACTTATCTGGGGAAAACTTTAAATGACATCAAAACGAGAAGAGGAAAAATTGCTTTTTAAAGTTTTGTAAATATTGACAAATTGGCATATCGAGGATGAAGCGGTAATTTTCTATTTATAAGTAAGAACCTTGTCACAATCGACCTTTGAAGTGATGATAAATTTTTGCTTTATCAGCGCTGTTTCAGTGGCATGATATCGCGCCTTTACGTAAGCAATGTTTAAATTGTAAAACACAATTCTCTTTGTATCTGCCGGCGTGAAAAACTAGATGAGTTACGCCCAAAAATATAAAATAAGTATATTACTCTTTTCATTAAAACTGAGTCGAAAAAAATTTTTTTAAATACGCGGTTCCCAAAGTCAAAACGAATAAATAAATTTTCTCTCTCGCAGACTTTTATTGACAGCGGTAACAAAACAGACCTCTTGGAGGTTTTACATGTAATGCACACGATGACTTTTAAAAGGAAGTCTATTTTATACACTGGTACGCCGTTGCGTTACGCTAAGATTTTTTTAACCACTTTTAAACATTATCTCAGATATCTTAATTTCCTTGGGGTTTTCTTTCATAATATATGTTTTGTCGCTTTCACGAACGTGTGCCTTAGTTATGATTGAACCGATCTCGAGGTTGCCTTTCAAAATTTCGCAGTCAACAGATTTCAAAGCCCGAAGGCACGGAATAGAGAATCTCTTAAAAGTGGCATTTTATTTATCTTTTTGGCGTCATTTTTCTTGTTATGCCCTTTGCAACCTTTTTTTATTTCTGCTCTGTTCGAACTCAAAGATGTTCAAGAGTTGCATAAAGAGTGCATCCTTAATTTCGCGGAGCGGCGGCAAAACTAAAAAAATTAATTCAAGTAACACTACAGAAAACAGAAGTCGTTAGAAACAATGATGATTACTTGTTTCAGAAAGTCATGGCGATAATTGGAACGGCGAGGTTGAAACATGGTGACAAATTGATCACGACAGGTTTGAAATATAGAGCTGTACTTGGCTCAACTCTAATCATGCGCTTCGAGAAATGTGACAGCTTTCTGATGTCTTATTCGTGACAAGAATGTTTTGGTTTTTCTCTTGGACAAGATAAAATCCGGATCCTACTAACTAAGAATGAATAGGCTGCCAATAGCCGTATTGAAAAAACAAATTGTTATCCCATATATTAATTTTGATCTGTAGGATTCTTCTCTTTTTAATAACGAAGGAAACCGTAATGATTTCTAATTTCCCATACCTAGTTGGATCTCGTAATTTGCTGATATCTTCCGTTTGAGCGCGTTTGAGTTATAAACAGTCTTTGAAAGACCTCCAATTGTTATATCGTGTTCCGTTCCATAAAAATTCACGTGAGCAGAGGTACAAGAGCTATCCGCCTGATCAGTTCAGAGAGATTCACACAAGATATTTCAAGCGCACGAAAACCACATACTGGTAAAGCATTTCAGTGTAGTTCTAAGTTAAATACAACAGTTTCCTAAGATTCATGACACAGTTAGAGAAGGGATTCTACATGTGCACGCGAACAGAGAAAGCAACAAAGTGAGGTCTGTGATGATATGTTCCGCGTTAGAAAGAAATTCGCCGTTCAGTGTATTTTCAAGTTATTTTTAACCAAGAATTGTTAAAAAAAAAAACAGTGGTAGATCGGACGCTTTGAATTCATTAGTTATTGGTGAAATGCGAGTTTTTCGCATAACTTTTAGCAAACTCGATCAATCTTAAGCGTTATATGAGTAAAACAGTTAAGGTTTGCAGATGTTACTCAATCTAGAAGCTCTTGGAGAAAATTATTCAGAAGAAAACGATCTTTTACAGTTGAAAAGCTTTAATAAGAGTCAGCAATTAGACTGTTTAATAATTTTCATTATGATTCCTTTTTCAGCAATTTCGTAAACTTGATTCTTGATAAAAAAAAAAAAAAAAAAATTCGGAATTCGCTGCATAGTGGCGGATGGAAAGGACATCAACCCGAGCCGTGAACAGAACTTCAAGTGTTGTTAAGATATATACACGGGATAAATATTGTTCCTATTTCCGCCGCTTCTACCGAAATAGAGCGTTCACTGAAGCGTTGCCTTAATCGACAGCTGATGCTGAATTACTTAAATATTGCAAGAACTTTACGCCAGCTTGAATCGTCTCGAACTCCATACCACTGAATTCAGCGTATGAGGCTACGATGATTGTTGTAACTTTTTTGGTTTTTGTCCTCATGTAAATATGATTATCAGGAAAGTTAACAAACGAATCTTCCCTTAAGTCCATAGCTACCACTTCCTTGAAGCGGAGGAAATGGGAGCTATCGTTTCTCTAGCGGCAGTTTCCACCAGTAATGCGAAGCAACTTTAAAATATACGGCGCGATTTTGCAGTTTAACTGCATGTTTTCGATGTCATCAATCGCCTCGGTCTCTTTCGCTGTAGCGTAAGTGTTTGTCCAAACATGAATTTGTTTGCCACTTGCTCTCGTCATCACAGCAGGACAAAACATGGGCTTGAAAGCGGATTGACCAATCAGATGATGCGTACCATGTAAAGTTCGTAATAACGCAAGTTGATCAAGTTGACCACTCTTATGTGATGTCGTCGAACGTGATGCAAGTTATTGTCCTAATATGTAAAGCGGCTCTTTTGTGGACTTTTAATAACTGATCGATTTTAATGCAACAGAGTAAACTGTATCAGAAAATTTAATATTTCAGGATATCGCAGCTGTACAAAAATAACCAAAAAGAAAATAGCTGATTATTATCAGCAATTTTTCTTTACCAAGCTGAAAGAAAACATGTGTTGTACGTGATCCCAGAGGAATAAATCTTAGCTCTGTTTTTGTGTTGGTGTGAAGACAAAATATTTCACTGAGCAAAACTGACTGAATACAAAACTGAAGCCAAAATTGGAAGCTGAAGAAAGAAACGAAAAAATATCGGTAGGCAAGCAGAAAAGTAAGTTTTTTGAGTGAGATTTTCAAATTGAGCCAAACTAACTGAAATTAGGACACAGGCTAGATTAAAACCCTACTTGCTGAGCACTGAATTCTTGGTTTTAGGTTTTTCCCTCGTTAGAATTTTTGTTCCTACGATTTCAACGTTGTAAGCGATCTTTTCATAATGACTGACAAATAATTTTCATATCAAACGCTGAAAAATCTGCCGCGATTCATTGTCATTGTGTTAAGTTTGGGGAAAATATAAAATACATCCTTCAGGTTTATCATTGAAATAATTTTAACGGAGTCCTCCGACATATCACCAGAACATCGTGTCAGCTAGTACCTCGTATTTTAAAGTCACGTCTAGAAGTTATTAACATTTAACTTCATAAACCAGATTACATCGCTAACCACCTCGGTTTCTTCTTTATGCAGGTGAGCATTGAGGAGAAATATGTATACTGGCTTTGCAATCTTTTTCTCTATATTGATATTTGTTAACCTGGTGGGAAATACCCTGGTGATTCTCGCTGTTAGCCTAAACAAGGCCATGAGATCTCCAATCAACTATTTGCTGATCAACTTAGCAACCGCTGACATGATTGTGGCGCTGTTTATAGGAATACCATTCGTCGTTACACCTACCCTCACCCACCCGGAGGGGAAACCAGGCGACATTCTCTGCAAGCTGTTCACTGGTGGTAACGTGGGATGGGTGGGTGCGCTGGCTTCTGTTTTCACTCTGGTGGCTGTCGCAATTGAGCGGTACGGCGCTGTATTATATCCTCACAGCCAGAAAGGAAAACTAACAAGAACCAGGTTAACAGTCCTTATTGCCACTTGCTGGACGCTTTCTGCTTTGTGGGCTATCCCAGGGTTCAACGCGATCACGTATATGCCGGAAATAAAAAGTTGTGCGCACAGCTGGTCGAAGCCAATCTATGCACAGTTTTACACGGTTGGGTGGTCTGTGGTCGCCGGTGTCATTCCTATAGGAATATTGGGAGCGCTTTACTCAAGAATGGTGTATCACCTGTGGCTTAGAAAAGACAACATTAGAGAAGCGACTCAGAAGGCTTTGAAACGCCACCGGAAACGCGTCACAAAGATGGTCGTTGTTGTGACAGTTATTTACGTTTTGTGCTGGGTTCCTGAACTGTTAATATACTTTCTGGGTTTTACGGGCACCATCACTCTTGTAGGAGTCCATCACGCGATTGCTTCAGCCTTGATCGTGTTCAACTCCAGCGTGAACCCGATTGTGTACAGCTTACAGAGCAGTCAGTTTAGGAAACACTTGACTGATTTGATCTTCTGTAAGCGTAACAGGGTGGCACCCGTGAGTTCTACTGCCACGGCAAGCACAGGAAAACGACAAGATTTGGAAATGGAAGGCGAAACAAAGATGACAGTACATCCAAGTCAAGACGTAGAGTCAGTGACAGTGACGTAGAAAATGTTCATATGAACATTGTAGCCCTAAGGAACAGGGAGACCAGGATGAGCACTGTTCAAATTAGGAATCTTGTGCTCAGTCAAAGAAGGAAAGATGAGGTTGAGCAGAGAAAAAGATTGAGTCGCCTTCAGTACATTGCCCAGGACAAAAGAGCGTACTTTATATCATATTTGCTTTAATATTACAGACTCACACTTTCCTCATAAATATTCATTCCTTCGGTGTGAAGATGTTTGTTCTCTTAAGGGGGGGGGGGGTGTGACAAGCCTTTGGAAGTTTTAGGTGCACAAATCATCCACTTTTTGATAGATACACAGAAAAACAGAAGCTCCATAACAAACCCAGCAATACAGATTGTGAAGTTTATGCGAGTTCCTGCAGAATTATTTATTGTGAACATACACATGTATAAAATGACATATTAAATAACTGAACCAGCCATATATTGCTTTATGTTCCCTTAATGGTCCTGTTATGGACCTGGGACACTTGTGTTTCACACACAACTCACAAATAGAAGGAAAATGTGTTTCCCTTAACCTTTTAACTCCCAAGATTTCATTAGTAATTCTCCCTTTTTCCTGCCATAAAATAATTACCATTTCAATCTGGAGAATTTGGTATTGGATCAACTTGTAGTTCCTTAATTGAGTTTTTTTCTTTATTCGCCTCATTTATCTGCTTGATTCTGTGGTGATATTGTAAGGAGAAATTCTTTCTTGGTCACTCATGGGAGTTAAAGGGTTAAAGAACAAAAATTTAAATATTTTCTGCATTTTCATGCATTAGGGTTGAAAACGTTTTAGTTTCCTTGACAACTTTCCCTGCAAACCTTTTGTTTTAGAAAGGAAAAATAGAAAGATTTAACTCTGTAACTCCCAGTGATTAACATGTAACTTCTCTCTGTAACATCCATACTGTATTCAGCCAACACTAGGTTATAACAATGCTCGAACGTACCAGGTAGAAATTGTTATCTTGATCTATTATCAAATCTTTGTGACTAATTTACAAGAAAATGCTTAGCAGGCAGAAGGGAGAATCAACAATCAGATCACAGGAGTCAAATGGTTAAGCATTATGTATATAACTTACAATGTATCAAAATTTTTTAGATTACTTTCCATGCATTTCTGTTGCAGATATTTAAACATATTACAAATTTAAAGATAATGTTAACAGTAACCATAGTAACCATACTGATAAATGTAGCATCCTTAAGAGAAGTACCATTTAAAAATGCTTCACGTACAAAATTGTATCAGCAATATTTAGATTGTAATTGGGTTTAATAAAGGTTTAAATAGAAGAGTGTTTTGGAAATGTTTCCATTTAAACTTCCACATTTTCTCCTCTGGGTACAAGGGATTTTTAAGAGTAGTTTGTTTGTTTGTTTGTTTGGTTTTAAGTCAGAGATAGAAAGCGAGAGAGAGAAAGAGAGAGAGAGAGAGAGGAGGGGGGACTGATTTCTGTACTGTTAAAAAAATATATTTGAAATAAAATATGTGTGATTAAGGCCTTCATCATGTCACAATGCTGAATGATGAAAAAGTGAGCCATGGAAATGAAACAGTCTCAGGTCTTCAAGTGAGCCAAGTGAGGTAAAAGTCATAAACTCTTCCAAAAAGGGCTTACTTTCTAAAAATTCTTTTTTACATGACAGTAGCCTTGGAAGATGTCATTTTAGGGGACTTTTAAAGCATTTGGAAGCACTGAGAGCCAGAAGGGGATTTGGAGGGGGAAAGGGAGATGGGATGTGAGATCTCCTCATGGATCAAAGCTTATGGGTATACCTAAAAGAGCCTTCAATGAAGCCAGGTGTAAGATAATGGCACACATGACTGGGCTGGTTTTACAAATTTCAGAGACCTCTTTACACAAACCAACAGGGTATTTCATACTTAACAACTATGTGGAGCAAACCTCTGGAAAATACACGGTGACAGCACAGATACTATTTAACACCAGGCTTTTAGCCCTATAAAGGTTAACAACTCTTTCTTATAATCTTCAGAAACAGTGGGATGTAAGTTAAAAGTGTAAGTGTGACTGTGAATTAGAAGGGCCATACATTTCATCTTAAAATACTCCCCTATTTAGTAACTTAATATCAACTTAATTTCTCATTGTTTAGGGTAATATGTACTTTTACTGGGGCTGGATGTCAATTCAGTTGCTGTTTGATACATATGATTCTATTTAATAATTTTATCGATTTAAATATCTTATTATTTATGTCCCCATGCAACAAATTCAATAAATCTAAATCTTAATAAGACATAGTCCACATGCAATCAATACATTTTGATCTCCAGCCAGATGTGTCAATCATGGGTCATTCATCTGCACAGTAATCCTCAGCCAGCTTCTTGTGTCTCAGGACAACAACACAGGACAATTTCAAGCTGTTTACACTGAAAGAGGTTTCCACATCAGATGAAATTCAGCTCCTTCCAGGGTGTTCTCTATAATTGGGTATAAACACTGAACATGTATCTTTTTCTTTGAAATCTCTTTGCTTTCAATTCTTTTAATTTTGCTCAATTTCCTTACAAAGAAAACCAAGACAATATCATTTTATACTTTTTCCTTACCTCTACCAAATCCTGAAGGTGTAACACACTTGAATCACTTCAAGAGGGGACTATTTGGTTTTCAAAAGTTCTGTTTTAATCCTTCTTATCCTCTTTTTCCTGCTCTTTGGATGTTCTCCACAATTCACTAACAAACCTGCCAAAAATATTTAACATGTGAGAAAGAGCTGAAAATGCTGTTTCACTAACTAAATTAAGAGAGTAATGGCCCTGTGGAATTAAAGATTTCTGTAATAAATATGCCAGAATTTATCCCAATTTTTGTCAGAAACAAAGTAGGAAAATGAACTGATTTCTACTCTAACATAGTTGGGATTGAAGGACCCTGGTGGTATATCCCGACCAAAGCCATCCTCAGGTAGCAGCCCCCCTCCCGCTTCCCCCGCTTCCTGGTTGATTGTCAACCAGTCCTGTGGGAGTCCTTCTTTCTTTGAAGTCCTTTGTTTTGTAGTGAATATAATTCATGCGGGTGCAAGAAATTTCATTAAGTGTAAGAACTCCTTTTCATCCTTACCAGTTTATAGATAGAAGAAGGCCGGTACTAAGGATGAGCAGCATCAGCACATGGATATTAAAACCAAAACTTATCAAAAGAAATACAAGCACAATCACAAGACACACGAATATGACGTTGATCGCTGTCAAAAGTCCGCTGTTCACACCGGGCTCAAATATCGACTGAATCACTGCTTGAAACATCGAGTCAATGTAACGATTTACACGTTATCGTAATTTGCAAGCGGCTCAGGGCAATTATGAGGAGAAGTTGGTAAGAGGGCAAAACGCTAGTTTCCTTAGTACTTCAATGCTTCGATAGATTTCTCCCAGGCACTTCATCAGTTCCAGGCCCTTTGGCGTTGGTAGACCCCAGGCCTTCTTTTGATTTTTCTTTCAATCGCTCTGACGAAGGGCTAACGCTCGAAACGTCAGCTTTTTTACCCTTTACGGTGGCTAATTTACGTTTTCAACACAGTTGTTAACACTAAATTACCTGCTATACTCTCCCACCGACACAGCACCACAGTTTCTTTAGAAACTTACCCCTTTATTCACTTACCAAAAGTTATTACAACGACGTCACAAGATGACGAGGTGAATGTTTGAAACAACCACCCGATTTGCTGATTGTTATTGCACTGATTTGCAAAAATTAAGTCCCACTTCATTTAAAGTAGTCTGTAGTGCAATAGAGCTTTTGTCTGATTTTCTTGTAGTGACAGTCCTTGCATTAATTAAGGTATAAAATAGTTCAGTGAAATGTCCCTTAGAAGTCAAGTGGACAGTAACTCAACAAGTGACATGCCTTTAAAAAGATATTGCCTTTCTTTTCAGTTTTAAGGTATGGTGCTCTATAGACTGTGAAGTGTATTGCGTTACCTAAGCGTTTCTATAGTCACGCTATATCCTGTAAGACACGATCGGTACATGATTGTAAAAGTACATTCCTATGTAAAAGTAGTATTACTGATTCCTAGTATTGTATTGTGAATATAGCTTGTTGATTCTTTAATAAAATTCAGTTGAGCAATAGCAATGAAAGGAGTAACTTGACTGAGTCTAGACGACACAACAGACTGAATTTAGTACTACTGCAGATTATAGGGTACAAGAAAAGAGATTTGGTTTATTTGCATGATACTGATCTATACTTTACACCCTAACATCAGTATGCATATTCTCCATACTGTTCTCTTTACTCTTCCTTATGTGCTGACAAGGAGAATTTGTTTAATAATCAAGAGCTTCTTTAGTAAGTGATCATTATCTTTATTCTCATGACTATAATGTGTCATTCAGAGACGATATTGTAAGGAGAAATTAGATGATAATCACTCTTTGGAGTCAAAGGGGTTAACATTGTTCTCAAAATGGAAAGGATTCATAAGCCATCTTCACAGACCTTTAAACAAGTATTGAACTGTGGATGAAATTATATTTTACATGTTATTCAAACTGGCTTTATATAAATCATATAAATCATATTCAGTAACTGTGAAGAGGTGTCTGAAAGCCAACTTTTGCACTGTATGAAACATCTACTGTCAATTCCACAGGCTGACCCAAAGCATCTTCTAAATCTGGTAAAACAAATTGTCTCAACTGTTCCAATTTTTCCATTACACATCTCCGCTGGCTCTTTGTGCAGCAGTATAGCTTGTGATGAATTCTCCAATGGCCCTCTCTGGCTTCGCACAATACATTCACCTGAAAGTGACAAGATCAATGGGATATGAAACAAAAATGTTATGTAAATCATGGATGAACAGGGCTCCAAGTTCCAGTTTTTTTTTTAATTCACCAATCAAGCACCTTGAACCTTTAGCTCCCAGAAGTGATAAATATGTAACTTCTCCCTATAATATCCATACATAATACAGCAAACAAGTGATGAGACCACTCCAACTTATCAGGTCGAAGTTGTTCTCTTGATGTCACAGAAAATACTGAAATGTGTAGTAGCTAGAATCAGATCTTGGTAGTTAAAGGGTTAAATTATAACATGGTCACCAGAAAAATTGAGTAACAAAACCAAAAACCAAAAATAAAGAAAAAGAATAAACGTTGAAAAAAATGGAAAAGGAAATTTTGTGCAATTTCAAATACTATTTTTGGTAAACATTTATCAAACTACAACTTTTGACCATAAACTTTATGCAAGAAATTGTCTGAACTTGCTACTTGATTATCACATAAAAGTTGTCAGATTGGCAATTTTTGTAAAAGAGAATGATAATGGTAAATTTTCAAAGCACATTCTCCATAGAAATATGCTCTAATGCACTTTACAACACTTTGTAGAGGACTCTGGCCAGAGTGCACTGACCATGAGTGTTTGTCCAAGCTGGGTTTTGAACCCTCAACCTCCTGCATGACAGTCCATCACTCTAAAACAGAGCTAACCAGGCTGCAGTATTACATACCCTTCACTTGCCCTGGGAACATAAATGATAGCATCTTGGAGTGCTGGTAAATTGCAGGATATCTATTTTATAAAACTATCACACGATTTTTTAATAAGCAAAGATGACCACAGGGTCCAGATTAACAACCTACCTGCCTGATCTGCCATGGTATTTCATGTTCATACAACTGCAAAATTTTCTCTCTAAAAATTTCATGCATTATCTGTTCAAAGTTCTGGTCTGTGGATGTATCAGCAGGAAAAAGCCAATCGGCAGGCTTTGCTTTAACAGCGAAATATTTCTTGAGATCATCGATCCCATCTCCAGTTCTAGCCGAGATCATGAATACATGCTCAAACCCACTCCACCCACCCTCGTCTTTGTAACCCCATTCATCCTTTTCACGGTCATGCACCAAGACTGTGGCTATATCAAGTAATCTGGTCTTTACTTTGACAACATCGATCTTGTTTAAGATCAGAACTGACGGCAAGTCTGTGTGATTCTCCAAGTTGGTTAGAATTGTTTCGGGAATTACCATACTCCTTTTCCTATCAGCAGCATCAATTAAAACAGCTATAACATCAGCGTCATGCAGCGCATCACTTGGAGCTCGCATGTGCTCACGGGTCATTTTCAACCGTCTGGCCGTTGGGATGTTTACAATTCCAGGTGTATCTAGCAGTACTATTTGAGCATCGCCGAGTACGAACACCCCAGTTGTCTGCCTACGTGTGGTATGAGGGACTGCTGTAACCGCAGAGATCTTGTCCCCAATTAAACAATTTGTTAACGTCGATTTTCCACTATTTGCCTCTCCTATAATCGCCACTTTAAGTAGCCTTGTTTGTGGCAAACCTTTATTCTTTGAGTTACTTTTTAAGTCGTTCTTGTTTGTAACACTTCGATCTGCAGTTCGATCTGTTTCCACGTCTAGATTAGAATCACTTGCCAAACTCCTATGGCCCAGAAGAAGGAACCTTTCGACGTAATTTTGCGTTTGGACAACACTGCTCGAATACTTTTGCGGATTAAAGAGAGCAAAGACATTCCCTGTCCAGATGGACCCCATTTTTCTGCCACAACTCAACCACGTGCGGGCCGCCATGTTTGTGTTTATTCTGGCTTAGTCCTCCTCAACTTTTGATCAAAGGGCGCCTCAGCTCGCTAAACTAACGATCAGGATCCTTCGATTCGAAAGTTTTGGAATTTATACGAGAAGGAAATCAATTTAGGGCGTGAATTTACATTTTTCATAAATTCGAGGTGGTTCAACTACGTCTGCAAACGACGCATCTTTAGAAAGTGAGTTAAGATGAGCATATTTTAATGCAAACATTTTTTGACCCAAGGGATTTCCAAATCAGTCTTGTAGGCTAAAACACAATGAAGATCTCAAGTATGTAAGACTGATCGTCGTTGAAGATGAGTATCAACAGGATAGCGATAAGGACAAACAAAGGAAGTTATATCGGTGGAGAAAAGATTTACGGGTAAGAATCAGTCTTTTCTTGTTGTTCTTGTAGAACTCGTTTCGCACCTTAAATTTGTCAATAATAGATCAAATTAACATATCAAGGTGCCTCAATTTAAATCTCAGTCTTTTCTGAGATTTAAATTTACTGGTCAATATTAGCCGTGTATTAGTTTTCGTTTCGAAGCTGTATTTGTTTGCGTCATGCCGAAATTCATCACGCAAATGTCGAAAGTTTGGCAAGTTCATACTTTCAGCATTTGATTCGGCACATCTGTCGATAAGCAGCAAATTGCCCAAACACGTCACTTACAGGAAGTAGATGGTAGTGGAACGAAGGGAGAGAGGGCTGCAATTTCAAAGCGGAGAGGATGGTGCTCGGTAAGATTTCTACACAGCCACATACCATAATCGTAAAAAAGAAGCTCTTTTCTCAAAAGCAATCTATTGTTTTTGCCATTTTTTCCTCTATCCAAGAACTGTATGCATAGTGGAACTTTGCAGAAATTTTTCTGGGTGCTCAAATGAGGATTGTGTTCACACTAGAAAAAAAAATGAGATTAACACTGCTCGTACATCCCTGCCCTCCCACCAAAGGTAAAATTGTTTCTGGAACAACGTGGATTCCTAAAAAAGGATCAGGACCCTGGAATTTAATCTAGCAAGGGGAACAAAAAACTGAAAGGTCATTAGAACAATTAAGATCATTTTCATATTTGTCTCAGATCTACAGAGTGATTAATCGGGGAGTGACCAGGATATAACTTCTCCTTAGATTATCAATACAGTATCATGAAGACAAGTGATGAGAATAAATAAAATATTAATTGAGGGATTATTGGTTGATCTAATATCAAATTCTCCAAAATGACATTATAAGAATTTTATGGCAGAGAGTAAGGAGCATTACTACTGAGATCTTTGGAGTGTAAGGGTTAAATAGCTAATTAATTTCTCCCAGAAGTGACTAACATGTAACTTCTCCCTATAATATCCATACATTATTCAGCAAACAGGTGATGAGAATACTCAAATTCATCAGTTACAAGATATTACCTTGATCAAACACCAAATTCTTATAACTAATGTACAAAGAAATGTGTAGCTGCTAGAAGGGAGAATTAACAATCAGATCTTGGGAGTTTAAGGGTTAAATAATGTTTATCAATTGATTTTTTTCAGGACTGTGTATCTATGGATTTGTAGCACTGATCCATGCAGAGGAGTGAAACTGAAATTCAGGGGATATGAAAAATGTAAGCTGTGACAATAAAATTTGTACTTTCTTTAAATTTTTAACTCTGGATCTTATCAACCTCTTGAAACATGTGCAAAAGATGAAAAACAACTCAAACAAAACCATCAACCCTTCAGTCCCTTAAAGTGAAAAGGTTCTAATTCCTCTTGACAATCTTTCCCTTAAATCAAAATTTTAAATCACAAGAATAAAGGAAATGATTGGCAGCTAACAAAGGTCTTGATGGTTTTACAAATTCTCCCTGTTAGAACCTAGGAAATGTATAGAGAACAGTATGGAGAATATGCGTTATGATGTAAGGGTGTAAAGGGTTGAAGTGTCATTATGGCCAATATATTAAGTGCCTAAGGTTTTGCTACTTATAAGGCAAAGCTTAAATAAACAAATATAAATTTAACTTTGGGTCATTCAGTACTGCCATTTTGTTGCTCCACTTTACTCCTATATTATTACCCTGTTCTGGCATGTAATATTGTGGTATATTTCAGGGCGTGAAATTGCGCCTAATACAGGCGCCAATGCGCCTAAATTTTTCACTTTGGCGACCAAATCCTGAAAGTTGGTCGCCAAATTGGCGACTAGAACGTTTCATCATAATCTTAACAAGAGATATAGTGAATTAAAAAGATTTGCAAAGATAAATCCGCGGCAAACTTCCTCGTTAAGTTTGTTTCCAAAATATAGCACATGCATCTCGATCGATAACTAGACGCCATCTTGGATTTAGATGAGCCTGAACGTTGTATATCATCCATCCTAGTGTCCACTTTGTAGCACGTTAAAGATCTTTTCCCTAACTTAATTTTGGAGGGTCTATCTAGAACGCTGACAGCGTAAAGAAAGATTATGTTTTTCTTTGAAAATGGCGACCAACTTTTTTTGAATTGGCTACCACTTTGATGAATTTAGGAGCCAAGTGGCTATCAGAAAAAAAAGTTAATTTCACGCCCTGTATTTTGAATATGGTGATATAGTGTAATTGTGGAATGATCATATTCATTATTAAGCGATTTGGTTTTCAGGTGAATGGGAATTTCGAGAAATACAGCAAGACGTAGAAACTCAGTTACCAGTTGAGAAGATAGGAACCAAAAATTCAAGGAGAGATATGTTCAGAGCTGAACTGCGACTCATTGAATATCCTGGTAATATTTTACATTGTAGCTTAGAAAAACACATTTTCAACAAAATTAAGATACAAAAACTTGTTGAAGAGATGTCCAAATTATCGGGTAGGTGACCACATGTTTAACCCTTTACAACTCAATATCAACATGTGTTTTCTCACAGCCTGTTTGCTTGCAACTGTGTTGATATTAGAAGGAGAATTTATTTCTTGATCATCTTTGGGAGTCAGCCCTTTGAACCCTAAGAGTGAATAACTTAGAATAATGGAAATGGTTATTATTGAAAGAAGTTTTTGATTGTTTGATAAATTCTCCAGGTCGGCACTTTAGAAAATATATAAAGAAGTGAGTACAGAGTATATGCAATCTTAATTATGTAAGGATGTAAAGGAGTAAAGTCAACATTTTCAAATTGTCTCTATCCTCTCAAGCTCAGTGCCTCCAGCTTCAGTCAGTTTATCTTGTCTAGGTACTCCAACAGACTTAATGGTCATCCATTTGAAGGCCTCACAATAAATTGTTCACCAACTTTAATTTTTCTATTTTAGATGGAATACCTATGGGCTGCTATGCTTATCCCTTCCATTACACGCTGCAACAAGGCTTACCAGGTAGGGAACAAATTATTTTGATTGTGATAGGGTTGATAGTTGCTCAGAATAGGGAGAAATTTAAAGTACTCCTAACAGCAGTTGAACATAGCTTTACTGTGGGACCTTCTCATCAGTGATTCCATAGATCTACTACTGAGCCATTTAATATTAATATGGATTTAGAGGCTCCTCTTTCCCATGCTTGTTATTTTCAATAAGAAGTTGTTCTCAGAGGCCTAGAGGGGAGTGTGATTTGGATACTTTCTAGAACAACACATCAACAGTATAACAGCAGGGTGCTGTAATTGCAATTAAATAAAGAGCCTTACAATTGATTCTTGAGAGTTGTACTCTAAAGACTTATCAACAGTGGTGATGGTAAAAGATTTCAAACACTGAATGATTGGCACTATTTCTAATGGTTATTAACTACTAAATTTGGTTTTTTTATCGGCAGGATCATTTGAGGGTGAAGGAAATCAAGCTAATGGGGACAAATGGAAGGCCAAGATTGTGTATAAAGTGATAGCTGAGGTTGATAGACCTGGATCAGGGGAAGTTCTTGAGGTCTGACAAAGTCCAAATACAATAAGTGGTTTTAAATTCATCAATCTTTTTACCTTCTGGAACCTTTTTTGTTATAGTTCCCATTTCAAAAGAAATGGTCCTCTTTAACCCTTTAACTCCCAAGATCTGATTATTAATTCTCCCCACTACCTGCTATAGATTTCCTGGTAAATTAGGTACCAGAATGTAGTGTAAGATCAGGATAACATTTTCTATCTGGAGAGAGTTAAGTTGGAGTATTCTCCGTACCAGTTTGCTAGATAATGAAGGAATATTGTAGGGAGAAGTCACATGTTAATCAATTCTAAGAGTTGAAGGGTTAAAGGAATTTTTTTTAATGCAGTTATTCTATCCATTTTGTTTAGGCTTCACAGGTCATCACAGTTAATGAAAATCTTCCCCTGACATCAGTTGAGCCTGAAGTTTTCACAGATCGCAGAACTGTGAAAATTTGTTGCTGTATTCCAAAAGGGGATGTTTTGCTTAATGCTTGGTATGTTTACTAAGGGGGTAACATATTTTGTGTTCATTCAGGTGGGATATACACATGATGCCAGCAAGCATGCATACATCTGTAAACATAAGTCAACACCATAACTTGCTAACAATGGCTAACAATTCAAGAGGTGCTTCCCAGGGTCTTGAGAGCATTTTCCTGCACAGAAAAATTATTTTTGAAATGTAGAGGCTCTGAAATGCTATTTTATCTATTCTTTTGGAGGTGAATGCTACAAAATTAACTTGTAGATGGAGTTGTTTCTGATCAAGTTTTCTTTGATCAAAGGTTGGACAAGAAGGTGTACACATCAGGAGAAACAGCTACCCTTCATATTGATGTGAAGAACAATTCCAATGTTGACATTGATTCATTTATTGTTAAGGTAACTTCTGTTCTTCTGAAAGTTTTTCTCTTGTCCTATTAAGGTTTTTTTATTGGGTAATTCTGGCATGTGATAACCTTGACTTAGCCCTTTCACTCACATGATTTCTCTAGTAATTCTCCCTACTATCTGCCAAACACTGCTTATAGTTTAAGTTTGGAGAATTTGGTATTCAATCAAATGATAATCCATTAATTTATATTTTTTTATATTCTTATCACTTGTTCACTTGAGATCGTGTTGATATTTTAAGGAGAAATTCTGTCTTGGTCACTATTGGGAGTGAAAGGGTCACCAGTTACCCTTTCACCCACATGAATTTCACTTTACAATATCAATGCCATATCAAACAGAAAAGTGATGAGAATAAACAAAAGTATCAATTATGGGATTGTTAGTTGATCCAATACCAAATTCTCCAAACTCACTTCTTAAGAGTTGTATAGCAGGCAGTAAGGCAATCACGTCTGGACCAATAGTCATGCAATAGACTTTGATAATGCATCTATTATTGACAAAGGCGGTTTCAGAACAAGAAAAATACTAGAAGCGTGGCATTCCAAGTTAACTCCCAATGCGGACAACAATTCCTGCCCTTTGCCCGGACAATACAACATTCTTTTTAACAAACATTCTTAGTTATCAGCATTTTAAATTTTTACTTTGTACTTCACACCTAGTATTTTTTACCTTTTTATCATTTTACCCGTTGAAGGCTGTAGCGCAAACAGCCGAAAGCTCGTATTTTTAAAAGTTTTAGCCAGAGATCGTTTTTTAAATTTCATAAGATGTTTTATCCTGGCTGCGGCCCCTCTATCTTTTCAAGTAAGAAAAATCACTAATGAGATACTTGGGTGTGAAAGGATTTTATTTATGTTTTAGTTTTCTATAGTATGTTTTTAAATTGGTTTTCATTTTTATCTTGTACTATTTGCTTTCATGTTAGCTTTTTAGAGTGGTAAACCTAAAACCTCAGGAGAAAGATCTTTCGTCATCTGTAAGCAGCCAAGATAGCAGAGCAACTGTCATGACAAGGAGTCCATGTGTTGTAGAAAGCATGAAGGAGAAGTCACTGGATGGTTGCCAGGGAAAACAGCTGAGAAACATGTATGACTCAAAATCCTGGAAATGTTAATTCAAATTAATCAGAGAAAGTGCTTCAATAATAATTTATAACTCTTTGTCAATTGTGATAGAAGGTTGGTGCCATTAACTAAGAAGGCCAGAAATCCCCTCAGCAAGGACAAGAAGGAGGTCACCATGGAAACTGAGTTACAACCTGTGTCCAGGCACCTGTCCACACAGCAGCAACAAACCAGTGAATGGCATGGACACTTGCTCAAAAGTGGGGGGGAAGGGGGCAGGAAGGGAGGGGAAACTAAACACACTTTGGTAGCATAGCAAACCAAGTGGAGCCTGTTGCAGTGACTTACTTTTAACCTTGCTTTAAGTTCTTTTAGCCTCATTTGATTTTCGTTATGTGATATACTATTTCTTTTTCTTCTCCAGGGAAGTACCCCTTGAACTTTGGAAAGAGTCTTCACGGGAAGAATTTCAACCATCTACCAGTGGTCAAATTATAAAGGTAATCCAGCTTACCATCAAGGTGCAATTTTCGGTAAAGGTAAAGAATCTGATCCTACTGACGCATCTGCCAACGCATCGGCCAATGCGTCGGCCAACACATTGGCCAACATGTTGGCTGACACACCACTGACACACTACCAATGCATTGGCTAATACATCGGTGGGATCAGATTCTTTACCTTTACCTGATAATCACATATTTAAGTTGTTTGATAATTGTTTGTTTTTCCTTTCATGTGTTTGTTTGTTTGTTTGTTTGTTGCACAAAGATGTTGACCCTTTCACTCCCAGAAGTGATTAACTTGTAACTTCTCCCTATAATATCCATGTGATGAGAACACTCAAACTTATCAGGTAGAAAATGTTAACTTGATCTAACACCAAATTCTTGTAGCTTATTCACAAGCAAATGTGTAGCAGCCAGAGGGGAGAATTAACAATCAGATCTTGGGAGTTTAAGGGTTAAATCAGGTCTACTGCCAGGTCAGTCAAGCAACTGACATATAATTTAGTGGATACTGTAACAGTAAACAGGTGCTCATTTTGCCTTTTTTTCATTCTCCAAGAGTACATACCATGTTGATGTTGAGATAGCCATCAGATGGGCAGTTCCAATCTCTGCTCAGTTGCCAATCACTTTGCGATCACCACCTTGTCAATCTGTGAGTACTTAAAAAAAAAAGTGCAAAACATTGCACAGACAATGACTGTTATTATACATTAGAGTTACTATGACTATGACGTGAGTTAATCTGATTGGCCAAGAGCATACTGTCAATATACAATTTTATAACATAGCCAGCAGAGCTGCACAATCAAATTCAGTATATATAAGCGTGCTCAAAATTCAATAGTGCACGCTGATAGCGTGAGCAAATCTCTTCACCAGAATTTTTTTTTCGCACTGGTGGCCATTGTTAGTGCAGGGAAAAATAATATATTTTGTGACAATAATGGATACAAACAGAGACTCAGCCCACCAGTCCCAAAACGAAGACAATTTTCAGACCTTTTCCCTTGGGCTAGAGTTCTTAAATGAGGCAGAAAAAGAGAGAAACAACGGGAAAGGAGACTCTGAAACAATCGCTTCTGTTGTCCATTTTTCGCATCGGATTTGATGCACAATTCCTCTGGCTATGTTATAAAACAATTGGTTCATGCATTTAGCTGTGCACTATTGAGTTATGGAGCACATGGGAAGTTTGGAGAGCACTCAAGAAGCTAGATTTGTCCTTGGCTATTGCCTTGGGCAACTCTTATGCTTCTTTTGTGCTCTCCAAACTTCCCACGTGCTCCAGAACTCGATAGTACATGCTAAAAGCATGAACCAATTGTTCTATAACATAGCCAGTGGAATTGTGCATCAAATCCAACGCGAAAAATGGACCAACCAATTGTTAAATAGTATGTGAAGTTGTTGACATGATAACCCAATATCTGCAGCAGATACTGGGCTACATTTTTATGAGTCTATTCAGTAATAGATCACAGATGGGATCAAAATGTGGTAACAAAAAGGGTCTTCAGTGATCTTATACTGAACATATGCAGGCTAACATGGTATTAAAAAGGAACTAAAGTTTGTTAATTCTATGTCATCTATGCATCTGCCTGCCAATATGTCACAAGAATTAGACCCAATCAAAGTGCATAATATATATTAATATCAATTTGGTATTGTCAACTGAGTTGATAACATAAATTGCCCACTGTTAAGAGTTTAAAAGCTGATGTTTTAAATGTTAGCTCTTTGTCAGAGTGAATGACAAAGGGCTAACACTCAAAATATGAGCTTTGAAACTCTTAAAGGTGGCCAATTTATATTATCACCTTAGCTGATAATACCAAATTACCTTGTTATACTCTCCCACCAATGCAGCACCACAGTTTCTTTAGAAAGTTACCCCCTTTATGTGTAACTATAAAATTTAACTTTTTATATGAACGCAAATAGATTCTGACGTGATGTTAACTGTGTTTATCTTATAGTGGAATGAATGGGAACCACCTCCCTGGGTGTACAACTGCAGAGTCATAAAAATCACTGGTCCCTGTTCTGTTCCCGAGCATTTATTAGGTTTGTTAAAACTCTAACCTTCAAACTCCCATTAGTGACCAAGACAGAATATCTCCTTACAATATCAATACAATATCAAGTAGACAAGTGATGAGAATAAAGAAAATTATCAATTATGGGATTATAAGTTGATCCAGTACCAAATTCTGGAAACCAAGAACTGTATGGCAGACGGTAAGGAGAATTACTAATGAGATCATGGGAGTTAAAGGGTTAAGTTAAAATGTGATGTCTATCTCACACTAAACAACAAACTGAGAGAAAATTTGTTTATCTTCTCTTCACTTTAGGTTCCAAATTGTTTGTCAACATTCCTGGTATTCAGGCAGATCCCTTCTGAGAACTTTGCAAGCACCAATTGCAGTGCAGTGAATTGTGTGAACCTGCTTAATAATGGAGAAGTGCTTCTCCTTAGGTAGTGATAGTCAGAATGCAGTTGGCTATGCCAAGATCATAATAATTTGAGGAAGTACTGTTGATGTTCTAGGAGGTTTTACTGGCCAGAAAATGTCTTATAAATTATGTCCCCAGATTAAATTGTAGTCCCCAGATGAAGCTTACTAGCTATTCTTAAACTGATAGTAATGAATATTTAAACTTTAAATGGCCTGATATGATATAACTTTTTGGTAATCCACCTTAGACTGCAAATTGTTGAACCACTAGAGATTGCTGAGACTGTCTGGGATAGCATGTTTTCATGACTGACTCATCCCAGTAGTCTCTCAACCCTTTACTCCCTAACATCAGTATCCATATTCTCCATACTGTTCTCTGTACAGTTCCTGAGGTGCTGACAAGGAGAATTAGTTTAACAATCAAGAGGCTCCATAGTTGGTGATCATTTCCTTTATTCTTGTTACCTCAATGTGTGATTCAAAGATGGCAGCAACTGTTTAAGTGTGATTTTTTTGTCTTTGAGATCAATGTTTATATTATCAGAGATGAGTTCACCCACCATCCCTGATGTGCAATTTTTGCGAACTCCCTTCTTTAATATTTAGAAATAGAGAGACACCTGTGGGTGAGTCAGCCCCTATAACTAGAGCATTGAGAATCTTGGGTAGCTTGTCACAGGCATTCAGTTGGTAAGACAGAGCTAAATTATAAACAGCAGGATTGTTGCAGCAGAGTGAACATAACAGAGGTTTGGGTTGGGTCATGCACCCCCTCCAGCATTTTTTTTTCACTCCTCTGTTACTATCACACAATTTACTATAATTTTGCTTGATGTCGCTAATTGAACACTACTTGAACTATTACTTGAATGGAAAATTTCTCCTGATGGAATCTTTTAAATGGCTGATGATTGATGATAATGGTTTTTGAGGTTAGATAGGAATAAAAATTAAGGTCTGAAAAATGTTAGTACTTTTCCCTTTAGTTAGTGGGAGTGACCATAAACCCTCAGAAGAAAAACTTTATAGTATCACTGGCAAAATCTAAAGTGTAAGACTTATTGAATTTTATTTAAATTTTAATATTGTTCATTATCACAAATACCACTAGCAACTTACAATAATGAGCTTGAAGCTGATGGAAATTGCTCTCATTTGGTGTCAAACAAGCTAATTGTAGCTATAGGTAACTGAAGACTTCTGTTTAGTTCGTGATTTTTAACCCTTTAACTCCCAGAAGTGATTAACATCTTACTTCTTCCTTTTATATCCATACATTATCCTGCAAATGAGAATACTCAAAAATACTTGGCAGGTAGAAATTGTTACCTTGATCTAACACCAAATTCTCGTAATTAATTTACAAGGAAATCTGTAGTAGCTAGAGGGGAAATTAAAAATCAGATCTTGGAAGTTTAAGGGTTAATCAGAATGATCCTACACAAGATGTTTAAAAAGACAATCTTTAAAAGCTAGTGACACAGATTCACCAGCCGTTTTGATAAGATTGGTGATATGAAGAGCAAATAAGATGAGTTTAAATCAAAACTTCCTGGAACTGATACTAAACAAAACAGGATAGAAGACATTCTCTTTGAAAAATACATATTTTAATTAAACTTGTATAGTTGTAGAGTTTTAAAGGTACTTTTAGGAACTAATTTTAGGTTCACTATTTTATAATAATAGTAGTCATTATAGTATTTTAATAATACACTCTATTTTACTAGGCAAGCACAGATTTACACTAATTAATTTTCATTTAGGCCCTCAAATGTGAACAAAGTGGCAGTAAAAATAGTTAACGTAGATCAACTTAGTGTTTAAAAACCCCAACTGGCAGGAGGCAGATCATTTGGTTGTATTCAAAGCATAGCCAAGGAGTTGAATGCAAGGAAAATGGGAACAAATCAAGAACTGGCAGCATAGAGGGCTTGAACCCTGAAAAACTAGATTCTGGCTGGGTTGGCAAAGCTAGGTTTACATAACCCAGGGCTAGTTTGAAGTCTGATTTCAGATCTGAAAAGTTTAAAAGAAAGTTTAGTATAATTCTTTTGGTCTACAATTTGATTATTGGATGCTCTTCAAATAATAGAAACAATTATCCCAAAATGGCTTTCAAACAAAGGAATAAAGAAACCAAGATCAAAATTTAACCTTAAGGTGGGTTCAGAGCACTAACCACTTGGTAACACTGCCTTACCACTATTATGTGCATAATATTTGGTACTATCCAGCTATATGTAGAATTTTATGGAATTTTTTTTTCTTATTTTAAGGATATTAATTTTGTTCTAAAGTTCAGTGGACAAACTCTTCTTAATTCAGAAAATCAGGGAGTTACCAGCAAGGATTTACACTGTTGTGTATTGAGTTGTCTATAACAATGAGTTACAGTTACAGATGTTAACCATAGGTAATTAAGCCATTTTTGCATTGAATTGAAAAAATTATTAAAATATTCTTTGAAAATGCACTTGGAATTGTTTTATTTGGGTACTTCAGTACTCCTATTATCATTTTCCAAAGATATTAACCACGGTCAAAATTATCACACTCAAACTGCCCAAATCTGTTTTTATTTATTTTCTTACATTAACATACCAACCACTTCACATCTTAAAATGTCAAACGTTCAGTTTTAGCTTCAGTTAGACTGGCCTTTAGATGGGGTCTCAATAACTTTTCCCATGAGTGGCTGTTGATGATGTAAGGGTGGCTTTACAGTAAGGCAAACCCTAAACACAGAGCCTGCTGGCTGGCTAAACAAACAGTGCTAAGAGGTCTTACAGGTGGCAGTAGGCCGCCATTGACTGGCTTTTATAGAAACTAATGTTTAAGAAGGTTACTGTTTTCTAGTCAATGCAAACCAGTGAAATAACATTATTCTCCCTTCTGAGTCAAATTTTCACTCAGTTCCCAAAGTTTCCTCGCCACTCCATCATCCCTGGTATTAGGAGGGAATTCTTTCACATCACAGTCGGCAAAGATTGCTCCAGAAACTTGTTTTAACTTTTCCTCAGTTGCACAGTAAACAATTGTCTGAGCTCCTTCCCATGGTCTCTTCGTCACTACTGTGGCAATTGGGTACAGGAACAATTTTTTCAACAAACTTAGTTTTGAGTTGCGATGAAGTTCTGTCCAACATAACCCAGGACACAGTGAGTTGACAGTCACACCTGGAAATTGAAGATGGGAATCATTTTGAAGACAGGAAACACAGAAGTATGGGTCTATTTTATGTGCTTGTCTTTAAAATAATATCTCTTATAATCCATCAGATAATTTTGGTCAGACACAATTGGTCTAAACACTCCTACATTAACTTCCATTTGACACAAAGATATGCATGTTTATTTGTCCTTGAACATTACCTGTTCTTTGGAAATCTCAGTTTTCCTTAAGCTCTGCATCAGAAAACTGTTTACTCCTCAGAAAAATCAATGTCAGTAGAGAAATATCCAAGCATATTTTAGACCCAAATGGAGGGTACTGTTTACGTAACTGATTTTTTTTCTACTTTCTTATCATCCTTCCTGCTTGAAAATGTCGTGATAATCCAAACAGAAAATTCTTTTTGGTTACTCCTAGTAATAAAAGGGTTGGAAGGTACAAACAAATGATCATCCCTTACCATCAGGAAGCCTTTTGTTTAACTCGTGAGCAAAAAGCATGTTTGCCAGTTTGCTTTGAGCATAGGGACCTTTCATGCGGTATCCTCTTCCAGGTTTTTCGTGACCTTTCTCTCCGTGAATATTGTCAAAATCAATAGAAGCCCTTTTAGCCAAGCTTGATGACACAACAACAATCCTGCTTGGAGATGATTTCTCGAGCAGATCTAATAACAAATTTGTCAACAAAAAATGCCCAAGGTGGTTTACACCAAAATGCATCTCAAAACCATCTTGGGTTTTGGGCACAGGAGGGTCCATGTAGACTCCAGCATTGTTTATCAGGACATCCAGCCTCACTTCCTCCTTTAAAATTTCGCCTGCAAACGTACGGACTGACTCCAGAGACGACAGATCAAGACTCTTCACGACAACTGTTGCATCTCTGACCTTTGCACGGATTTCGTCGGCAGCTTTTTGTCCTTTTTCAAGACTCCTGCAAGCGAGGATAACCCTTGCTTCACGTCGAGCGAGCTCAAGGGCAGTTTCTTTACCGAGCCCTGTATTCGCTCCAGTGATGATCACAGTCTTCCCTTTCATCGAGACAGTATTCGTACATACTCCTCCAGCAAAATAACAACGCAAACGATAATATACAAAGGCAAGACCAGCGGTCAAAGCTGATATGACTATCACCGCGTCATTCGCCATTTTGTAAAACCTTCCTAAAGACCTTGTTACCAGTCTACCGCGTATTTCAAGATGGCGGGTTGTGGACACCAGCACCATGACCACGAACATGACGTTTCTGAAGAAGAAAGAGGGGCTCAGTTTCACCTTTTTCTAAAGATCGATCTCTTAAAGCTTCAATGCTTGAACGAAGCTGAGGAAGAATCGGCCAAAAACGTTTTCAAACCTTGGGATGAACGCTTGGATACTAACAAATTTGTCGAAAGTGATGTCGACGAAGAACTTTTGTTTAACATTCCTTTCGTCGGACAGGTCAAATTAAAAGGTGTTGTCGTGATTGGCGGAGAAAATGGTGAGCATCCCTCTGAAATGAAACTGTACAAGAATCGCCCTTCCATGACTTTTGATGATACAAATGCGGAGCCTGATCAGACGTTTGAAATGAGTGAGGACCACGATGGAAGTTTAGAATACACGCCTAAAGTCGCACGTTTTTCTAATGTGGAGCATCTTTCAATTTACTTTCCGCGTAACTTTGGAGCTGAAACTAGCAAAGTGTATTTCATAGGATTGAAGGGGGACTTTCAAGAGGCCCATCGCCATGGCGTGACAATTTGTACCTACGAAGCAAAACCGAACATATCTGATCACAAAACAGGCGCCTTTAACAGCGTCAATCATACGATTAGTTAGTGAGAAAGAAAGGGTTTCAATTATTGAGTGAAAAATTGAATGCGCTGTTGAGAGCTTGTTGCAGTGGAAAGTAACATTTTTGTAAAGTTCAACTTAGAGAAAGAGTGTTTCAAATAGTTTCATGTTTCATCAATTTGTCAGTTACAGCTGTTGAACCATTATTAATTTTGGTTTAATTAGGAGCAATAAACGAGGTGTTCCATTTGAGTATGGAAGCTTATTTTTAGGGGGCACAGGGAGATTCGTTTTCTTTTTGAGGATGGAGGGGGGAGAATGGGGAAAAGAAGGTGATACTCTCTCTTCCCAGCCCTCCCATCTCTCGCACACCTTTGACTCATATCTCTCTTTCCACGTTATAAAACACTGCAAATCAATGATTGACAAATGTTTGTATTGCAGTGTGTCTTCCCACCCTAACATTAGTCCTCCCCTTTCATGGTTCATGTACCCTTTCCACTCCCTATTCTCTAGGACTCCTTCCCTTAACATGATGCTCTTGCTTTCTCATTTTCTTCGTTTCTAATCGCTTTTACGTGTTGCAGACCTAACATATGGGAGTCGGGGTTATCTGTTGCATCCGGGAAACCTCTTACACTTTTCGCGCGAATTTCGAGTCGACTGCACACAAACAATATGGCGGCCCACTGCAGCCAAGATGAACAAAAACAGGTGAGTTTTGTTTGGGTTACTTGCTCTTTGTTTTCATAAATAACAGGACGAATGAAAAGGAAAGGGATTTTTTTTATTTCAATTCAATCAAATGTACGTGATAACGAGAGTTTTGTACGTGTTTTCGTCTATTATGTGAGGAGAAGGAGAGCTCGAATTTAAATTCTCCATGATGAGCTGTGAGATTTGAAATAAAGGTGCGATCTCCGACCACATATTTGCTAACCACCCATATATATTAAATCGAGTCACTTGCATCTTTTTCATGTGTATAGATTATGAGGCAGCGGCTGTTAGAACTTGAAAGAAAACATGCGAAGGCCTTGAGAAAACTTAAGGTAAGTTACAGGAATTTTTTCCTTATGATTCTGCACCGGTGTTGAATTTATACAAAGCAATTCACCTTAAAAGGAGACGCAGGTAATTTAGTGTTAAAAACTGGGTTGAAAACGTAAATTAGCCACCGTAAAGGGTAAAAAAGCTGACGTTTCGAGCGTTAGCCCTTCGTCAGAGCGATTAGAGGAATTGTGGGTTGTGTGTGAGAAGGAGAAAAGGAGACGGTCTTTTCACTCTGACCAGTATTTATTACTTCTTTTATAGAGAGCTGAGATTACAAAGCAAAGGCGGCAAACCTTTGGTGGTTTCACAGTCCAAGAGGAGACCACATACGGTGATGCTCAAAACAGATCCAGTATTTCACTTTCTCGTGAATCATTTTCTCCCGGAGACGCAAATTCAAGTTCCCTTTCAGCTTACAAGAAAGGAGTCTGTAAAACTGTGACATTTAAAGATGTTGTAGAGACTCATCAGCAACCACTTTGTGAGAGGAAATCAGAAAATAAAAATGGGATAGATGTGGCTTCCAGTGGAACGTCTAAACAAAGATCTGCCCTTGTTGAATCGTGCAAACAAGATGATAATGTCGGTAAAATAGCACAGATTTGTGTTGGGAGCAACGAAATTAATGGTTTTGAAACAGACAATGTGTGGGTCACATCACGCAGTGATGATATTACATTATGTGACAATGCAGTGCTTCCTGAAAACAGTACAGTCATATCAGAGCACAAGGATTTTTCCAAGAGTGAGGTTGACCAAGGCCAAACTTTAAGAAATGCTGCTTGTTCTTGTGGAAATGAGGATGTACAAATTCCTTCATGGAACAATGAAAACAGTGAATCAGCAAATGAAATTTATTTTGATAATTGTGGAAAAGAAATGACTGCAACCTCTGAAGTAGTCAAACCTCTAAGTATAGGAACTGTATCAGTTTTTAATCCAGATGCCCTTAACAATGAAGGCATACAGGAATGTTTGGCAAAAGGTGAAGCTTCTGAAAAAGCAGCTGAGGCACCTGAAAAGAAAAATAGTATTAGCTGCCTCTCTGTTCATGAAAATGGAAGTTCATCTTTAGAAAGCAGGCATTGGATGCATCTATTTGAAGAAGAGTTTCCAAGGAGATCTCCAAGACTACAGTCCACACCCAGCTTTGGAAAGCAATCACTTGTTTCCAAGGATTGTTATTCTACACAATCAAAGAAAACAAAATCATACAGATCAAAACAATCTAGACCAAAAAAAGGAATCAATTCACAAAGCAAAAGTAAAACCATGAAATGTAGTGCAGAACAATCATCAGTAACTTTGAAAGAAAATTCACATGAACAAAGTTTGTCTAAGGGTTTTGTGTTCCCAAGACCCTCCTCAGATGAGGCAAAACCTGGTGGTCCTCTGGGTATCATTGTAGACTTTTCTTTGCCTGATAAAGAGTTTGCAAAGTTGAAACTTGCAAAAATCAAAGCTGCTTTGCCAGCTGAGAGGATCAGTGGAGAACTAAATAACAAAAGTACAGTAAAGGTGAAAGAACATGACACCATGCCAAAGAGAGAGAAGGCTTTACAGGAGTTGAGTGGTGGTGAAATCAAAGAAGGTTGTTATCACAATTTTATTAATTCATCAATAGTATCCTCAATGCAATTTGATAATACAAGTAAAGCTGATGAATTGGAAAGTGTCTGTATCACAGACACCTCAGACAGAAAGAGTATCAATCAAGCGCCACAATTCATTTCCACATCTGGAAACTTAGAGAGTCAAAAAAATTCAGAGCATTGTGTAAATCAGTACTTATCAAGTCCAAAACACCAATATGATCTTCAGTTGAAACATGAACAAATGAATAATAGTGAAGTAGACTTCTCTCCATGGGAAACATTGCAAGAAAATCCTATAATAGGTGTAAAGCCTTGTTTGCTTTATCAGGTAGATGAAAAGTCAGTCAGTGAAGTAAACATTGGGGAAGAAACAAGCAGTATTACACACTCAACTTGTGATATTCCTCTTAAGGATGGTGTTGATGATAAAATTGATGTTGTAAGTGACAGCGGTGATGATAACAACAAAGAGATTATGGATACCTTAGACCTTGATGATGGAGCATTGGATAAAAATTTTCCACATCAGTGTGGTCATGAGGGACCAAAATTATGTAAAGAAATTTCCAGTGATAGGCAGCCTAAATTTGCTTCCAAGTCTCCTGAAAAAGATGGTGTGAAGGAAACTAAAGCTAGAAAAGTTTCATGTGAAGCTGATTCAGTCATTTACAGAAGTCAACCAAGTTTACTTCATTTAGAAGAACAAATATTAAGTCCATCATGTCCTGAACCTAGTGTTGGTGAACAAGCTACTCCTCATGGAAAAATGACTGAGCCTTTAGAGAGCTCACAGTCATCCTGTTTAAGATCACCAGAGGATCAATCAGAACTGACTCCCATGCTGATGATAGCCTGCTTACAGGTACATATTGCTTCTAATTCCTTAACTCCTGTAGCCTGGTCAGTAATTCTCTTTAATAGCTTCTATACTCTTCCTAGTTAGTTAGTAAGGAGAACTTGACAACATCTTCTACTTGATAAATTTGTCCATTCTCATCACCTTTTGTAGAGTTACTGATGACTTATGGTGACTTTGAAACTTAGCAGGTTGAGAGACTATTCTAATGTAATGGTTGATCTTTGCTCTCCTTATGAAGCAAAGGAAAAGTCTGCAGCCAAGTCTTGTGACCCATCCAGCAGGAGTTGTTTTTGAGTTTCTGTAGCGTAAGCGACTAGGAGTATGACCACTCCCCCCTAGATAGGATGCCAATCCATAGCAAGGTTATCCCCTAGCATTTTATTAGGCTTCCCTGCCTTTTTGCTGGTGCCAATTTATACTCCTTGGTGGAGAGATAGGCACCATGAAAGTAAAGTGTTTTGCCTAGGAACAGAGTGCAATGACCCGGCAGGTCTTGCACCTGAACCTCTTCACCCTGAGTCCAGAGAACTGACTGTAAGGCCACTGCATCTACCACATCCTTATAAAATAGCAAGGATAACCTTATTTTGTTATTATTAGAAGTGAAGTAAACTTTAAAAACAGTGTGGTTACTATCATATTTAAATTATTATTAGCACTAAGTTATGTCATATCTGTTTTTGCATAGCATCATATGGAGGGTGAATGCAATGTTGTCAGGTCTGTTTCTCTGTCATCATATGAGCCAGCAAGTGAGAAAGATGTAACAGTACCAAAGATGAAGAGAGATGTTCTGGCAGTTTGTCTGGCTCATTTAATCGTCATCTGGACAGTTGTGCCTGGATTGCAATGGACTGTACTTTACAAATGGAGTCTTCCTTTTGTAAGAGATCATCATTAAATTTTGTCATAATATTTTGTTTAGCCCATCAGGTGTGATGGCAGAGAGAGTCAGGAAGTTCAATATTTTTTGTGCACAAATGCACTTTCAGCTCATTAAAAGTACAAAATGTGTGTGATAGACATATTTACTATGTGGTTTTATGGTGTGAATCTGCTATATCAGTGTCAATTTCCACATAGTGTTAAATTGTGTGCGAGCCTTGCCCCACTTTTGTTTCAAAAATAGTGGTTTTTCATGTGATGCTACAAATCTAATAGCAGAAAAAGAAATGTTAACTTTTGAATAAAGTTAAAATAATACACTTGTTGGACTTGTGATTGACACTTGAAATAATCTTGCAGGATGGAGTGGAGGAGTTTGTTAGTGTTCAAGTTGTGCCAAGGAATTCTCATGTTGTCCTTTTGGTTGGAGGGAATTTCTGTGGAGGCAATGGGAGGTAGGGAAAGGAGCCATTGGAAAGAAGCTTTTAATGAGCTAATGATGACAATTTAAAACTGGGCTGTGTGAAAGAGCATGTGCTTCAGCTTATGTCAGGAATATGGGGGCTCCATATTCCTGCATAAATCATTTGGGATACCTTTGGCAAAAGGTCATTATCCTTCAAGAATGGGCCCTGTTATAGCTACAACAGGGGATGAGACTCTTAAACTTTAGCTGTACCTACATGTGCCTATTTATGGGTCAAATTATGACATCACAATGTAGTCCACCATAGATCCTGATGCAGTGCACATGGAAATTAGGATGTTTTATTGTTTATAGAGAAAAGAAGCACTTGTCAGAGAATATTTTACTGTTTACTACTGTACTCTTTTTGGCACAGACATATCGACACATGGAACAGTTTACCGTCATCAGTAGTTGAACTTGACTCAGTTAATGCTTTTAAGAAAGCTCTTAAATCAATATTTTTTTAACTAGGCCTATAACTAAAAATTAAATTATTCTATTATTAAACATTATTTAATTATGATTTTAAATAAAATTTTTATCTTAGATATGTCTTCTTTATTTAGATTTTATATTTATATAGATATATGCCTGTATGTAAAATGTTTCAGTATGTATATGTATATTGCATAGTATTAAATTTTTATATCTGGGGTATAGTTTACAATGAGGATTAAGTTCCTCCCTTCCATAACCTTTTTTTAATAATAATAATATGTTGTATGTTATTATTTAAATAAAGTTGTTATATATATTCTGACTTTGGTCCGTTGCAGAATTCTCGGTTACTCAGATGATGGAGACTATTCTTTGGATTTGAAACATGATGACACTTTGTAAGTAATTTTAATTTGTATGGGCTTGTAGGAGATATGTGTATGAAAGTAGAGGACAACACTGCAAGCAAAGAAAGCAGGCAGATTTTCAAAAAGGGGAGTGTTTTGACCTCTCTCCAAAAACTGATGGGAATGTTGATCCTCAGAAATTTAGAACGTAGGCTCCCAAAGGTGTTACTCTGCATTTCATGGATCTAAGTTTATTTTCATCTGTTAAAAATTACAATTGCAAGTAACAAGTAATAATTCTGTGAGGTGAGGCTTAAATTTCCTTTTTAACAGCTCTCAATACCGAAATGCGTTTGAAATTTCACCCCAACTGCTAACAGTAATTACTACTGAATTAAATTTTGAGAGGAAGATATGCTTATTTTTAAAGTAAGAATTTAAAGCAGTAGCACTTTCTTACTTTAGGAGTAACAAGCACAAATTTTCAACCATGTGCTTACTGTCTGATTCATGGGAAAAGGAGAATACCAAGGACATTGAGTTTGTTATCGCGAACAGGGAATCTTCTGAAGTAGCCTTGACAAAGTGGACGCTGGATAGTTTCTGCTTGTGAGTATTTGAACTATAAGAATTTTCACGACTGTGATAAATCTATTGAAAGACTGAAAGAACTTAAAATGATAAAAATGTAGAGCTCGAGTGTACAGTAGCGTAACAAACTGTTGTGGTCTGCTTGTGGTCTCCCCCTCCCATAAGCCCTAAGTAGCCTTCATTTGACTTGCTGGTTACACAAAATTTATAACACTCTTTTTTTTTCTTTCGGAACGCGCAGAAACTTGTTTCTAATTTTGAAAATTGGAAGAAAGTTTCTGCGCGATTCAAACAGTCCGTGACTCGGACGACGAGATTAGTCTGTTTAAAGGAACTTTTAGTAACAGAGTGCGCCCACAAGAGCACGCGCACCATGCGTTTATATGTCTATGACTGCACGACGGGGAGATGTTGATTTGGTAGACTTGGCCACTTTGCATCCCTTTGATGGACTCATCCTCCCCGTTTAAAACCCGTGGAACATTTAAGCTTAGTGATGGGGTGTTTGAGATGTATTTACAACATAAACTAGAACTTTCCGTCGTGAGTAAGAGCCGTCTACATTACCGCGTCACAGTGACTAAGATTGACGCCAGTTTGAGCGTGGCAGGTTCCTCTGTATCGAACAGTTAAACTATTGTTAGGATGGCCAGCTAGTAGTGAATAGCTCGGTTTTTCGGTAGGAAGATGCGGTTTGATCGTCTTTGTGAAGATACACTGTTTTCTTCAATCATGGCTAGGTGTCAAGTTTTAAAATAGTTAACAATAAATTATTTGGTAGAGCTCTGAATTCAAGACAAAAAGTTCAAAATTATCGCGATCATTTTGCTCGAAATTCTTTGGCTTCAAGAGATTTTTTGACATTTTTCTTCCTTGTTCTACTTAGGGTAATTAAACAAAGGCAGTATTTTACTCCAATAATCACTGAAAGTGAACTTTCATCAATCCAAGCCGTTGAAGGTAGTCACTGCCTTCTCTTGGGCACAACGCAGGATCAACTCTTACTGTGGTGAGTTGTTGATATTGTTATCATTATGATTATAACTACCGCCAATAAAATCATTGTCCTAATCACTGGTCGTTAATGATTTTCGTATAAAGCTTTGTCAGGCGCAGTGAGAGGAATGAGATATCTCTACATCACATCTCATTTCTCAACTGGATCGTGGAGAAAAACGATTTCTCCATGGCTGAATTTTTCAAGAACTTTACCCCTTTTTCCCTATATACTTTCTACTTCAACAATGGTACGATTATCTTTATCTTCTTTCTTTAGGAAGGCCAATTGTACGGCACAAACGCTAGGAAAAGTTGTAGTTATTTTAATGACATTAGGACAATTTTAAAATCAACTTACATTTTAATGCGCCTTTGCCTGTCTTTGTCTTCGTAATCGGTATTGCTTGAAACATTGAATTTGTATACCATGTTCAGTTATAGAGCGACTTAACAAAATAGAATGAATTACAAGGTTACTTTAAAAATATTTTCCGGAAATTACACAGTAGTCTTAGTTTTTGCCGTTAGTAAATTCGTCGTACACTTTCACGTGAAACTGTCCTCATCATTCGTGTTACATCTCATGTGGTTTTTTCGTGGTGAACCTGTGGCTCCAGCTAGTTAGTATTTCGTTGTACATCTTTGGCAGCCCGAGGTTCCATCGCGATTCAAGGAACCAATTCTACTCAGTACATCCCGGCAAAAGTTTGCTCTCTTACTCGGGACGTCATACCGGTCCATTCCAATTCTGATGGCAACCTGATCCCTGGCGTCGTCGATGCCACCCTTTTGAACGGTGTTGGCGGCAAACAGCAGCACCCAGCGTCGAATGCTGGCAGCGCGGCCGACGTAGCCATAGTGGATGTTTCCAGGTACATCGTAATTTACGCATCGTCCACACAGGGTCACAGTTTTTGGGCAACGATAGGGACATGATCGTCGTCTGAACGTCTGGGTGCATTTGTAATCCCACGGCTTGCAGTTAGCGACAAGGTTGGCAAACTGAACGAGACACCTGGGCCAGAGAAAAGTGTTGTACCAGCTTCGGCAACTTCTGATGGCTCTGTTGTTTCTGTTACGGTTCATTTGCCTTATAAGCCAAGATGTCACGTCCGGTCCACATCTGTCGCGAAAAAAAATTGATTTTCTTCAACATCTCTAGCTTTTGGCCTACAGTTTATTTTAGTTAGTAAATGAGGGGAAGGTCCCTCACCTTAACATTAGAAATGCCTTAACTTTTCTGCGCGTAGCTGTTCGTCCTACCTTCGACTTATTCGACGCCTTGGATCTTCACTGACAACATCCGGATCCGTGTTAGGATCTTCCAACTCAGCGTAACTTCCATCCTTCTCAGGGAGGTCCAGCTCTTGAATGCCTGGATCTTCCAACTCAACATAACTTCCATCCTCTCTGGGGAGGTCAAGCTCTTGAATGTCTGTAAATGTTAGAATTGTTAGCAGAACACGGCTTTCCCTTTTTGTTGGTAGCTTTTGAGCCCTGGAGTGATCAGAGCGACTAGGGCTTAAGATCGTACTGCCTTATTTCAAATTTGCTTCAAATGCTGTTTGCTGTGGTTTCTATCCAGTACCACTGCGTTTTTGAAAATACTACATTTCCCGATCTGAAAAAGAAAAATCCTAGCTAAAATGTTTCCCTTTCAGGCCACCCACCCAACTATAGGTTCACAATTCTGATTCAAAACCAACTTCCAGAAGAAAAAGAAAGGCAATCTGCTCTGGGACATTTTTTTATCCGACCAAATATCTCGCTTGTCTCTTTTCCAGTTTACTGGGCAAGAATCGGTGCATTTTCAGAAGGGTTATAGTTAAACATTCTTCAAACTATTGTCCGGAACTATTGTGATCTTCTACGTCCTTCATTACTAGTTGTTCTTTTCTCTAAATTTGTTTTTTTGTATTATTCATGTAAAGAAATATTTTCCATCAAAAGGGGATCTCCATTGCATGGTTTGTACCATCACCGACTTTATAGAGTGCGTCCGAAATAGGAATTACCTTCTTCCGTAAAACCGAGGCCATTTGTCACCAGAATGACAAACATCAGAGGCAGCATAGATACCAAACGACTTTTCGACATCATTTTTGTGTTACTCTGTTTGTTAAGAAGAGCAAACACTTTAAGGAATGAGAACTGGAAATTTCTTTATATATGGTTTAAGTAAGTGCGTCCTTCGTCATCGTTGTCGCCTGTGTCAGTAATACTTATCAGTATTGCCTGAGCTGAAACGATCTGAAATCGCAATACTGTGACGGGCTTACTTTATCTATTCTAGGCCTTTCTTCTGAAGTGTAGTATTAATATTTATCTTTAAAGTGGTCTGTGGTGCTGCTTAACTAATTGCTTTTTAAGCACAAAATATATCCATGTATCAAGTAAGAGAGGTTGCTATCACGCCCTGCTACTAGCACTGGATTGGAAAATAAAAAAAAACTGTTGAATGCAACTACAACACAGATGATAAAAGTACATGTGGAACGCTGCTATTTTTTTTTCTTGTGGGGAGGGGGAGGGAGCGCATCGGAGAAACATTTGAAAAGGGTGTAAAGGTAGCCTTGTTTCATCTGATAACTTGAGAAAGTTATTTTTAATCAAGGATGAGTCAAAAATATATTTAAAACGTCTCAGCTCAATATTTATCGTTTAAAGCTGCCTACAGTTCAAGTGGTTTTGTGGTATAGTAGTGCACAACATTTCATGGCTCATTAGCCATTTTAAGTACCATGTATCAGAGGACAAAAAGACTCCGTCTTTCTTTCAATAACTTGTATCGAATGACATTCAAGACGCTCAATTCATTCGCGAAAAATGGAAGTAGTCGATAGAGTTGCACTAGCCCCTGATCACCTTGTTGGTCGTGTTATATTCTCTTTTCGTTGAGATGCACGTGTTAATACTCGTTACAAAAGTAAAGTGTCACGTTTATGTTGAATCGTTAATGGCCACCGATCATTTCACCTTTTGTCTTTTCATCGTTATAGGTAATAGGAAATGTCGTCTTACAATTCTCTTCTCACTCGATAATCATGGCGCATCTTTGTTTGTCATTTGACTTGTTAGAGAATTGTATCGGAACAGGGATTAGGAAGGCCGTGCGCCATGCGCGTATGGCGCATAAAGCTACGAAATGGCCCATTATAAAAATACTTGCCGGGCCTGTGATGCGCCCTGACCGCACAAAGCTAGTGAAATATAAACTATTTTGTGAAAAGGATTTTAATTTGTAAAAGTTTCACTTTGGTGAGACATAAACAAGCGAAAAACTACGGTGCCTTCGCTCGTTTGATCACGCTCGCTTCATTCTTGTTCCCAGATCCTGAAGTCGGACTTTGCATGCAAACGAGGCTATTGCTCAGAGTTCCATGTGCTTTCGTTTTCGAGCAGAGTTCGAGCGTTTTCGTCGCTTTGAATTTATTTGCATCGATTAGCCTCATGCCTCTGATTTCAGGGGCGAGCCTATTCCTCAGTTTGGTCAAGATAAGATTCTGGGCAGAAAAAGTTCTCTCACAATCAGCTGTGTGGAGGGGCAACAATCAAAAACAAAGTAATTAAAAAACATAACTGATGTCAGAAACAATTATGTTTCATTTGGTTAGTGTCAGGTTAGTGCAGCTTTTATAGAAGACCACTGTCAATTACTGAACTGCCGAATGGTTGATAGCAATTTATCATCACCGTTTTGTTCTGGTGGTCACACGACATTTCAAAAACCTTGAAGATCACTTGAAGTTAATATAGCGGATGGTTATTCATGGCAACGGTTTTTCATGCCTAAAACCATGTCTCTGTATAGGTATAGACTGTAATACACAAGCAATAAACCTTTGTTAAAATTTTTACTGGCCCATTTATTTACCCTAATGGCCCAAACGTTTTATAAATGGCCCATAACTTTCCAATGATAGGGGCCATAGGCTCATTTGCCTGTTAAACCTTCCTAATCCCTGTCGGAAGTAGTTATTTTTCGTGCATGGTCTCAGAAAACGGAGAAAATGTCACTAAACATTTAAACGAACACTCCGGTTTATACTGCAGCTCTGCTATTTTGATCTTATCGAGTACTTTCTAAGACCATCATAACTCTTTTGTTAAGGAGCCGTTTAGGAGTGGATGTTAAGCTAGAGCGATGCTATTGAAATCCTCCACATCAATTTGATCTTGGGAATAGATAGATAATAGATAAATAGTTTTTAGAAAGTAGTACAATGATCTGCTCTATCAATTGTGTACAAAGTAGCACTTTGAACCCAATTAACAGATCAGATTGTTATATTGTTTATTGAAAATATTACCTCGAAAAACACTCCGGTTGAAACGATCTGAAACGATGATGCATGATCTATATCCGTCCATGAGAAGACTTACAAACTGAGTTGTCACATAGGCAAAACAAATGATCGCTAAGTTAGATGTAACATATATTTTTTGTGATTAATCTAGAGCAGTTGTAGTCTGCTGGCATGTACATAACAAAGCATTGCTATGTTGCACTGTTCAAAACTATCCCTGATATATTTTACAAATATGTTTCTAGGATTATTTTTCGTCGACAAGGAGTTTTTAAGATTATCGACTTTTAAGCAACAAGAGTATTAAGTTCATGCTTTTTTGGTTGGCTCACTTGTACTGATCAGTCCAACATAATAAGTCATAACACAACAATATTCCCGAAACATACACATGTTCACGTTTTTCTGATTTTGACTGTAAACCTATTCGTAAAAAATGTCATAACGGTGGTTTTCGTCCTTGATTTCAGGAATCACAAGACATGCCAGGAGTTACGAACCATAAGTCTCCGTACCCAAGGTCTTGGTCAGTTGTTTTGCCTTAAAGCGTCTACTGAAAGGGTACGACCTTTATTTTGTTTCATTTTTCATAATAGTTTGGCTTCAGTCAGAGTGGACCCTATATTGTCTTACAAATCCTCCCCGGAGTGACCGATATGTAACTTCTCCGTACTATATTTATCCATTATCCAGGAAGTAAGTGGTGAGAAGACACGATTTTTCATTGTGGTGAATTATTCTCACTCATTTAGACCAAGATGTATGGAACTTAAAGGGAGAATTTCAAGTTGAATTTTGGGAGTCAGAGGGTTACAGGTGATTTGTCGCAGCTCGATTCAGGATCATTACATAGTTTTAACAACTGTGACTCTAAAGGCTTGTCTTCGGTTTTAGGGGCTTCTTTTTCTTATGATGGCTGGTCGATCAGGAAAGGTATTGTTATAAAATTGTTTTTAATCTTTTTAGCACTCCTCTAGCCTTTGACGAAGTTGTTGTAACTTCAACTCTTGGTAAAAAGGATAAAGAATACGGCCATTTTGAAACTCGAACGGCGACTGATAAGCAGATACTGTCTCATCTTTTCTCACTTTGACCTCCACTGACCGATCAGTTTTAAAACCCTTGATTTAACAGTTAAAATCAGAGCGAATCTGGAGTGATTGTCGTGTAAACGTTTAAACAATGATAAATAAGTCACAACGATTATGTGCTGCCCTTACGAAAACGCCTCATTAAAACTTCTTACTGTACAAACAAACGTCGGAGGCTTTTCATTTTGGCTTTGGAGTTTAATTGGTGTGCCGGCCTCTATTTGTGGTCGAACTCAAAAGTAACTATAATCTGCTGAATAGCATGCACTGCTGTGATATACTGCTGCTTTGATCGGATGTGTTAGTTTGTACATGAAAATGTTCAAAGGAAAAGGAATAACCCTCAGAGAGGACCTATCGACAGTTTTTTGCAACTGGTGGACCAAAGGATGAATCATGTCGTCTTGATAAACTAACCCTGGGCTTCGGAGGTTGGGGAAGAAAAAAACTCAAACTTGAATAAATGAGAAAGATGCTCTATTAAAAAAAAAGACGGACCTAACTTAAACGTCAATCTTGTAAAACGACGGCTTTACTGAGCAACACTTCCAGACATAACTAGTTGGGACACTTCTCCAGAAAACTGTCTACGTTGTTCTTTGGCTCCTCTCCCCCTTCCAATGTTTCTCTGCCATCTTGCGGACCAAAATTGAGAGAAGCAGGGGAGACGGGAGGTGTCCCAACAAATGTGTCTGGGAGTGTAAGGTTGAAATATATGCATGCAGATGGGATTCAAATTAGAAAGTACGGTATTCACATACATTCATCAACAACAACAACAACTTTATTTGAACCCAAAAGTTAATAATAGTCATAAATTGTTAGAAAGATAGGGCAGCCACACTAAGGTGATTAATTGACGGATATTGGTGTCAGGTACTACTCATATTTGCACACACAGATTCATATCAGGCAATGAGGCAGACTTCTCAGTTGACTTTGTTATTTATTTAATGAACACTTGATGAAAGCACTGACTGATATGTCACTGACATATGCCAAACTTGGGAGACCTACTGTTGCCTACTGTCGCTTCCATACAGACTAGTGATGATCTTTTGCAATTTTCAGGAAATTCAATGTGGAGAAAGAAATTATTCTTGTTTGTTACTTGCTTTGAATCCAAAAACATCCCAAATGGTATGCCTGGAACGCTTTTTTCCAATAGATGGGTAAGTATCGTAGAGATGATCTTTAAACGAATGTGGAGTCTATGATTGATTTCTATGAAAACGAAACTAAGTAAAATTAATAAAAGTAATCACAACAGCCAGTCTGAACAAACAAGAATACCCCTTGGACTAGTTAGAAATCAAACTAAATACATGCAAACTGCTTAAAGCGCAGAATAAACGCAAGTACTAAGTTGAGTTTCGCATGAATATTGATTGAGGGGGTGGTACGAGTTTTCTTAGCCTATGAAGGAATGAAAAAAACCAAGCGTACTTCAACCCTGGAGTAATTTCGACACTCAATTTAAATTTGCTCTTAATTCGATTTTGCGACCCTTGACTTGACTCTGAAATAAAGTTGGATCCATCCTAATGTTGCGTTCTTTCCGCGCTATGTGCTTAACTCTTGATTGCCTTTTTTTTTTTTGATGTGTTTGTCTTTTGGCTTCACGACTTGCAATCGAAAAGGCCAATACAGTCGAGCCTTTATTAAGCGGCACCGTATTAAGCGGTCGGTTGTCAAAGTCCCGAATTTGTTTCCCCTTAATCATTGTGATTTCCACCACTATTTAGCTGTCACCTCTATTAAGTGGTCGTGGTCGTGATCACCCTTAACTAAGTCCCAACGGCCAGTTTTCATATCGTCTTTCACTTGTATTGAACGGTCTCTTGAAGCGGAACCACTGAAACAAAGCTAAGAAAAATATTTCAAGTAACTTTTAATCCATGTTTCTCTCCCGAAATCAATGTGAGTTGTATTTTGGAGTGAGTTTTTGTACATTGAGTGATCAATTATGGTATAAAATGCCGTTTTTATTATTATTTTTTTATAATAGCCCTATTCTGTGGAACCTTTATAAAGCGGTCAACCTGCCATTCTCCTTGGGTGACCGCGTAATGCAGGTTCAATAGTAATCAGGTAATGCATGCATAATATTTTTTTAAGATCTAACTCGCCTATGTCAATTTTGATCTAATCAAGGTTCCACACGATAGGCACTAACGGTCAGTATATCGCAGCAGGAGGTCAGGCCACAGGTGAGGTGAACCTGTGGAACATCACCAAAAGTCGAAGGCTTGCTTCGATGAAAGTGTTTCAAGGTATGAAAACCGTACGAAATTCAGTGTGGCAGCGTTCTTGTAAGTCTGAGAGGCGAAATACTACGGGTAGCGGTGTCACAAAGGGTCCAAATCCGTCAACGGATCTGGACCCCCCTCCCTCACGGATTTGGACCCCCCCGAAAAAACGTACGCTTTTAACTTTTCTACCCATCATGAATTTTTCATATGAAGTACTGCAATGTCTCTTTAAATTAAGAGTTGCAGCAGCACAGTTTTCAAACAATTATTAAAACTTTTACTTCAGTGTAACTTATCGTCATGATCATCATCAATAGAGAGCTTTAGCAAACCACGACGACGACAGGAACGAGGGCGTGGCCAAACAAAAGATCTAATGGGCGGAGCAATAACTCAGTGCGAGCGATTAAATTTTTTTTAAATTTCTTAGTCGTTCTCTGCTAAAACAACGACGCGAAATCTCCCAAGCAGCACCAAAAACTTTGCTAAATTATACAACATTTGTTGATCACACAAAGAATAGTTCAATAAGAAAATTGTACTGGGGGGGGCGGCATTTGAACTCAATTTTTTGCTTGAGGGGTGGGCAGGAATTTGAACAAACCCAACCCTCAAAAGTTTAAATGTCTGGGGGTGGATGTTGAAGCGTTGAAATGATCAACCCGTTATGCTGAACTTGAGGTTAGGCGCTGTAAGTGACGTAACATACATCCAGCCATTTGTGAAATTATGAAAATATAAATTTACATTTTAACATCTTCCTCTACGTTTGCCATCCTGACCCCTTAATGCCCCAAATAACAACTACAAAATCATCACCATGGTTGTCATCGGCTCCATCATTAGGGTCCATCATGAACATTTTTACAACAATGCTATAATTATCCTGCTTATATTTTCTAGATAAAGTGAGCAGTGTTGGATTTCATCGGGACTGGCCTGTTGTAGCCTTTGGTAGTGCCAGTGGCTGTGTTCATTTGTTCTCTATTGGTTGAAGACAGGTTGGCTACTCTCCTGAAAATTCGAAAAACTGAACCGAATTGCAAATATGTTTGGAAGTTATTTTGGGTATCAAAATATTGGTTCTGACACCACTTTACTTCTACTGAATTGACATACATTTGATAAAATGTAAAACTGCCAAGTTTATTAGAAATGTGAAGGAGATAGGCCATACATTAGTTTTGCAAATATGTCCAATATAAATTTATATCATCAATTTAAATAAGAAAAATACTCGAGCTTTTTGGTGTTGGGATAATAAAAGGAAAAAATAATATTAATGTTTTCTGTAAACAGAAAATGGTGACCACCACTTATCAGTATTTAAAGCTGTAATCGAGTAGTTCATTCTTGGTTTAATATTTTAAACTCTGAGAAATCAGTGCCATGTAACTCCTTGTAATTCAGATCAAAACAGTAAACAGCGGACAGTTGATGAAAATAGAAAAACTTCTGATCGAAAAGGTGTTATCGCGACTATAACTCCACTTTTCCTTTACTAATTTACAAGCAAATCCAAGTTCCATCGAACGGTAACCCACTGGTATGTCTTCGCTCTCATATCACAAGTCACTTTGTTTACAATCCACATAGGGTACAACACCAAACTCTTGCCTTGGTCGAAACAGCTTTGTAGATTTCCACCAGTCCTCTAAATTATACCTTTGCAATAGCTGATAAAAATTCTTCCAGAAAATTATTTCTACATCTGTTATATCAACAATTGGTCTGTCATACTCTGCAGCTTCTTTCCTGCTTGGTCTGCAATCTGCGGACCACGGCTTGGGGGGATGATAGCCGCCTTTGCCTCCAGCAAAGTGATAAGAGTTAAAAGGTCTGTAGGTGATGAGTCTGATGTTAAACGCGTAAGGAAGTGCTCTCCATTTACCAGCATCTGCATAATAATGCCAGAGCAAAACTTGATCGTCGGGACAAGTATCTCTTTCGGTGGTTTCTCGCCATAAGTCCATGATTTCCTGATAGTATTTCGTGTCGGGTTTAAAAACAAGGAGACCAGCATTAAAGCAAGGATCTACTACACCAGGTCGTGCGCATGGAACGGCGGCAAAGTCATCTGGAATATCGAACAGTTGATCGATATTCGTCATCAACATGTAATCGGCGTCGACATAAATGATTTTAGAAAATTCAGTAAATTTCCACGCGTGAAATCGAGTGTGTGTTCCTATTATTCTGTAGCCTCGTGGTCTTCCGAACAATCCTTCGTTTCTTTCAAAGCTTAATTTTGCATCCAGCCAGTCACAGTCCATTGCTTCGACTACTCGAGTTTCCCAACCAACTCTCTGAAGTGCCCTTTGGGCTTCTTTTGTCACTGTATCTGCAATCAGAGCGATCATGTTCTTGTGGCAAGAGAACGTTCGAATGGAGTGAGCCAGAACCAACGCAGGAACGACGAAATTATCGTTTACCACAATTGTTAGCCATGTGACATCGCTTCTTGATTGTACATTTTCTTTGCACCATTCTTGCCCAAAACGGCTTTCAATCTGGTACGTTCTCCATTCCTTACGAGCAAGCTGTAATTCATTGTCCATAATTCTTTGCTCATAGCTCATAGCTTCTGAAATAATAATCTTAGTGTATCTGAAGAAATACGAAAGCAGTATTGGTCTCCACAGAAAGATGAAAATCACCACCGCGATCGAAATCAAGACTGTCAATCCGTAAAGAGGCCGATGTGATCCGCCATGTGTTTTTTTTGTGTCCTTCATAGTCAAGCTACTAACAATACTACAGGTTGTTTGTGGTTAGAAGACCTGTGGTTGCGAATCGCCGGGTTGGACGAAAATTCCAATTATAATGCATATACTACATGTTAGTCGCCTTGCTGATAGACTATCAGTCGATTTTATTCCTTGTGTGACAGGTTATATGAAAACAGGATCTGTGGGCCACGTAATCTCTCAAATGTGCAACCATTCGTTTGGGTAATTCGATATGTTTTGAACTTATTGATGGTACGGCAGGAGAAATTCGTGAATTACTTAGATATTAACTTTTTTTTTTAGCCTCTTGGAAAATAGAAACACCTTTAGAAGAGCAAATATGCGTTCTTCAAAATTAAGAGACTTAAAACAAAAAATTTCGTTTCTTATCCCAAGCGATTATCCCACTGTGTGACAGATGGCGAAGCTTCTTGCCTCGTGACTTAAATATTTAATCAAAACAAGCATTGTGTAGCCCTATTCAGGTTACCAGTTTCAATTTTTCTATCAAGTCTATTTTGCCCACTGAATACAAAATAATTAGAAACGTAGGAAAATAGCGATACATTATTTCTTACAGTGGAAATTTTGCTTTAAAAGGAAGTAAGCAAGTAATTGTTTGAAATCCCGCGGAGTTGGTAAACGCCTCAATAGATTGTAGAGCTTTTGAAATATCACAGGCCAGGGAAAGCCACAGTTCTCATTAATTAGCGCGGAAAGATGTAAACATTTAACGAAAGCTCAAGGTATTTCAATTTTCTTCTGTACGGGTAGCCCGTGCTCGTTGCTGACATAAGTACATCTGCTGCATTTCGCAAAAGCAGAATTATTTATTAAAATTGTTCGAACGAGACGGTTGCATGTAGAAACCCAAAATATCCGTGATTTCACTCTAAAAGTTAGCAGACTGCTTCATTCGAACGTTTTTTCCTATCGCGGCTGGATAGGTTGCAAGGTCCTCTTCGAAAAAAAAAAAGGTGGGTGAGCTAAAAACCGCCAAATCGCTTCGAATCGACCCAACAGTCACACCGGAGACAAAGAAACGCTAGACTGAAGTAAAGTCAGCTATCTTTATAGTTAAATCATCAATATTTGTCACCGTTTCCGCCTATACATTTCTTTTATAGTATATATGTGGTCGTATATCGAATTTGGACTACCTGTGGCTCCAACAACTGAGATCTCGTTGGACCCGTGAGCAGGAAGGAAGTGTTTTTTACTAGCGGCACTTTAGTTTTTCCTGTCGTTTTGAAGACGGTGAAAACAATCACCAAGACTTGTTTACTGAATTTATGCTGCAGTTCTTTGGTGGAATAATTCGGCTACATATTTAATGCATTGATGCGAACTGAGTCTGTTTGGCTAAGATGGCTAGATTTTTCCTTCTGTTGAACCATGCAAACACACGTAAGGTGTGGACTGAATAAACACTGAACAAGGTTCGTTCGGGTGCTTGAAAACCTGGAAAGTCCTGGAAATCTTCTTAACACAAGCAATAAAGTTTTCAGAATTTATGTTAAAAAGAAGTGTAGAAGAATTGATTTTGAAATCTTGGGAATGAGAGGATTTATGGGGAAAATTGGATTCCTAGAAAAATCAATCTGAGTCCTGGAAAAGTCCTGGAAATTTGTTTCTGAAAAAGGGTACGAACCCTGACTGAATCGCTTCAGTTAAGTCCACTGTTCTTAGCTTTTCGACAACACACTATGGGAGCCACACTTTGCATCTTTGAGTCATTTGCTGATACATTTGAAATTATGATACGAACCAAATTCTGCGATCGTTTGGGGAACCTTCCTCCCTCGGTGTTTTGCTCCCTCGCTACTATAGCGCTGTATACACTCGCGCTTTGTTTACTAACCGAACTAATCTCGTACCCAGATCCTGTCGGATACAAGACTATAATTAAACGTCTACGGAACAAGCTAAGGCGCCACCTTCTAGTAATTCGAAAGGCTTACCCTTCTTCGTGTTCATGGGGTCTTAAAACATTATTTACAAGATGTCTGATTTCTAGAAAATATCGAGTCCCAATAATTTGGGAAAGGAAGATTGATTTTAGTGAAATTGAAACTTGTTAAATATCCAAATGAAGGGAGCTCAGTCCACAAAGTGAAATTGGTTCCCTGGCTGCCAACCTTGTTACAGGCAGCAAATGGCTCAGCATGAAACTCCTGATCTGGCCGAAACCATTTCGTGGATCTCCACCAGTTCTCTAAATCGTACCTCCTTAGCAATTCGTAAAACTTCTTCCAAAAAACTAATATCATGTCATCGGTAACCAATATTGGTCTGTCGTAATCTTCAGCCTCTTTCCTACTTGGTCTGCACTTTGCCGACCATGGCTTAGGCGGACTACAGCAGGCAAAATGGAATGAATTAAGGGGCCTGTAGATGTTGCGTCTGATGTTGAATGCGTAAGGAAGCCTTTTCCAATTGCCCTCGGCGACGTAATAATACCATAGCAGAACCTGATCATTTGGACAAGTTCCATGTCTAGTCATTTTCCGCCACAAACTCAGGATATCTTGGTACTGTTGCACGTCTGGTCTGAACACCATGAGACCTGCATTGAAACATGGATCCACTACACCCGGTCTGGAGCAAGGTGCAGCAGCAAAGTCACCTGGAATATCAAACAATTGATCGATATTCGTCATCAACATGTAATCAGCATCGACATAAATGATTTTGGAAAACTCGGTGTAGTTCCAAGCGTGGAATCGAGTATGCGTACCCTTAATTCCTGCCCCTCCAGTAAATGCACGATAGTCAATCGCGTTATATTTGGTCTCAAGCCAATCACAGTCCATTGCCTCGACTATGCGGGTGTCCCAGCCAATTTTCTGAAGAGCCCTATGTGTCTCCGTGGAGAACGTGTCCGAAATCAAGGCTACCATATTCCTCTGGCAAGAAAATGTTTGGATAGAGAGACCAAGCACCAGTGCAGGAATAGCAAATTCGTCGTTGACGACAATTGTAAGCCATGTTACATTGTTTTTTCTCGATGTAAAATTTTCTTTGCACCATTCTTGGCCAAAGCGGCTTTCAATCTGATACATTCTCCATTCCTTGAGAGCAAGTTGAAGCTCATTTTCAAGAAACCTTTCCTCATCACTCATAACATCCTTCAAGACATAGTTCGCTATTTTAAGGTAATAAGGAGGCGGAATTGGTCCCCACGCCAAAAGAAGACCCACCACGATTATCACGCTCAATGAAATGAGTATGCCGTAATAGGACTTTCGACAGGTCCCCTTTTTCGTTTCTGGTGAACCGTCCATTACGACGGAGCCAGACTCTTCTAGCTTAAAAATTTTTGTTTGCAGGTTTACAACATTTGCACATCAAGTCTTTATATTGAGTGACATGGCGGATATTTAAAATTCATTTTGAAACAACAGACCTCCAGGGAAAAAAATACGAAAACATTTGTCACTAAGCCTTGTGGTCATGAATCTTACTGATATGATGACGAGTTAAATCTCTCTTAGGGTGAGTTAAGGTATCTTTTAAAATTTAGTCCGTTGAGCAAATTTAACGATCATGTGAAACGAACTTTATTTTAATCAGGGTAATAAATAATTGCTCCATGTTTATCATGCGTATATCGAGTTATGGATGAACACGGGAAGTTTGGAGAGCACGAGAAAAGTGTACGAGTTGCTAGAGGCGCAGCCGAGAGCAACTCTAGCTTTTTGAGTAATAACAGCATACAGACACAAGTTGTGCTCGAAAAAAACAGGTTATTACAGCTATGTCGGGTTTACCAGGTAATCGTGTTACAACCGAAAACTATGAATAAATGACTAGGCAAAAACGCCCAAGATTTATTTCGAAACCAAATCTTTATTAAAATTTAAATTAAATTTTCTGCTCAGAGGCGAAAAACGAACAAATTTCTTGCATGTACGAGACCATGTAGTAAATTCAGCATGCTTGAATCGTTGTTTACTAGAATTAACGGCCGGAAAATTGCGTATCATTTCAAAAGATTGAACCGAACAGTTTTAGAACATATCAACACTTCAAAATAATATTTCAACTGAGAAACAAGTGTTAGGTCGCTTAGGAGAGGCACAAAGTTCTAGTCTGATATATCAGTGGTGGAAAGGCAACATTATGTGCGAAAGAGAGAGAGAAAGAGAGAGAGCTTTCTCAGCTTTCTGAGTGGCCCCCGGTTTCCTTCTGGGCATGAAGAGAATGGCAAGTGTACTTTTCATCTGTGTTTTTGGTGTATCCATCTTATTGACTTTGCAGATATTTCCTGCTACTCCGTTTTGCGGTTTTCTCTATGAAGAGGATTTCACTCGTGCTTCCACTAAAACCAAAGGTGAGGTCTTGCAAAAGTGCGCCAATTGAATCAGGAGAGACGAGTCATGATCTTTCATAGTAATACAATTTTCTCTTGTTTGGGGCTGAAAGCCCCTCTCGGGGCACAGTCATAGAACACAGCTCTACAAACAAAGCACAAATTCTGTTTACTTACTAGAGCGCAAAGGTTTTTTTTTTTTCTCGTTAGTGCCTCTTCATGAAAAATTTATTCTCTTTAGCTTTGTTCAACACTGTTTTGTTTATCTAGTTAAATCCATGGTTTTGATTTAGTACATCCTTTTTAGGTTTGACAATGTTTTTTTAACTGCATGTTTTAGAATTAAATTACGACCGAGCTTAATTCCCGGAAAAGAAGTTTGACCAAAAAAAAAAAATGGATTACGTTATTTGGACTCTGTGAAGTTGTTCGAAAAACTCAGTGGTCCGCCCTTTGTGTGTTATCGTTTTCCAGAGGGATAAAAAAAGCCTCCGTTCTTCTTTAAAACGAAGTCAGTCTTAATTAATTCAATTTAGTCTCTCGAAAATCAGACACCCGCAAGCGACCTGCCAGGTGGCAACCAACCAAAAACAAATTAACCTGAGCAGCTGAAGGTTTTGTGCGCGCAGGGCGCGTATCCGGCAGGCCAGCTTGTCTGGCTAAAAAAAATAGTTAAAAATTAAGAATTTCTAACGACGAGGTTTATATTGTGCAATAGTGCTATCAGGTGAGGAACAACGTAACGCACGTGGTTTGTACTTTGAATTGGTATCCAGGACTGCTCCCGATTGCCTCTGTCATGATGAACAACGGATCATGTCACTGATTTTTACTGAATCCCCTAGGTAAGCTCTCCTTACGGTAGATATTGGAAATAATTTCTTTTTTCGTCAAGTGAAGACGTCTCTGGGGTGGTAAGCGGTCTGATGGGGCTACAGGAAGGAATGAAAGAGCGTTTTCACTGGGAGCTACACAACACTACAGATGTAATTGTCACAGATGGTGGTTTCTCATCCACGTGTAAAAATTCGATGGATGTTAAAGAAGGAGATAGACATTTGTCGTACTGGAAGGACTCTTCAGTGCATAGTAAAATTCACATATTTTTCTCCACGCTTCTTTTTGCGATTGTTTTAATCGTGGAAAATATAACAAACTTCATACAATTAGAGAACTGCAAGTCTTCAGTCTCCTTTTACTGGATACAGAGCTGCGTTATTGTATTTTCCTTTCGATTTTGGGGAAGAAAACGAAATCAAAGGTAAGTGAAATTTTCGTCCGTCCTCTATACTTCATTATGCATACAGTACTTGGATTGAAAAATGAAAAAAAAAAAACAAATCGATGGCAAAATATTAGATTACGTTTGCGACCTCGGTTTTGTTTCTGAACAGTACAGGGTTACACGGAAATCTTTCTCGCCCGTAATGGAATATCCTTTATACAGCCAGAAGGTTTTTCCCATTGTTGTGATTCCTATGAAAGTAACGTTGTTTGCTTGGTATAAGAGTCTTTAACGCAAGGACGACGCGCGACTAAAAATAATAACTTGCGCGTGCATATGAAATGTAATAAAGGTGTTTTTGTCACGTCGTTGTCACGCTCTCGAATGCCGCTTGATCGCAAGTCGTCGATGTTGAGAATAAGGTGATCTTCCGTTAAAAGAACAAATTACTTTTAAAAAATTTTGAACTTTACATTTGGCTTTGTCCTTTGGTATAATGTGTATACTATTTATACTTCCATCTTTTAAGATTTGGGGTAATTTTCCGCCATTCCGTCGCTCTGGTGGTTTTGTAAAGTCAAAGTTACCATCAAGAAAATAGAGTGCCTTCTGAGTAAATCATTCTTAGCGCGCTACCATGGACAAAACTGTATATCACTGTAAAACTTAAAATGCGTAGATTCTGAAAGTAACAAAATATTAAAACGGCTTTTGGTTTGGTAGGCACGCGCAAGCTGTAAAAACACGACAACCTCCGAGTTACCGTGGACATCCAAAATTGGCTAACATAGGGTGTGAGGCTTTTTCGATATTTCTATTGGTTACTGAGAAAATCTATTTATACATGTACTTCGGTAGTTTTCTCACGCCGGGACGTCACCGAATTATATTTCGAATTTCGTGAAAGCTTCACACCATTTAGTGCGTGAATATCTGGTCAAGTATCATCAAAACCCGAAAAATCTAAATTCCCAATTGATTCGTTCAAGTAGAGGTAACTCGCGTTAAAGGAAACCTCGAGTTCTTTGCCTGCAGAGAAATTCGTATTTTTCGCACATCATTTATGAGCGTGACACAGGGGGCCATGCCGCCGGCCAATGTAACGCAACATCGAATCCCCCAACGAGTCTTGTGACCTTCTCGGGGAAAACAGCTTAACAGCGGTAAATGAATTCCAAAAATCCATTGCGAAAAACAAATAGTAGGAAAAGTGGGCTAAAAAAAAAACGCTGGTGTGAGCGAGCTTTCTAGTAGATGTTACCTACGCCAACTTTTCTTCTTTTTGGCCGTTTCATGAAGACACTCTTCATTCAGGGTTTTAAGAAATATGAACGAAATTCCATTTATTTCCGTGGCTATAAACTCGATTTTAACACTCTGTTGGAGGCCTTTCGGATTATGACTGAATAAATAATGACCTCTTTTTGCCATTCAGTACCAGTTCCCCTATAACACTCTTTCATTCGCATCTCGCTTTCTTTACTGGGTTTATTGAAGGATTTTTTTTCGGAAAAATGAAATGTCGATGCTTTCGCTTACTTAGGAAAGAAAAAAAAGAAATTTTGAAAATTTGACCAGATTTTGTTGACTAAATGAAAACTGCTGGTAACATCGACTTGCAGCTCTTTTAGTTTCTGATTTCGAGTAAGTTAACGTAGTTGTGTCATGAGTTGTTCTTGGGAACAATTGGTGCTATCAGCATCGGTGTATGTGCTGTTCCCACTGACCTTATTTGTTAAGCTACTTGTATCTCTATATAGTTCTTTTATGAAGTTGAGTGAAAGACATGAAATCTTTCTATGTTAGGGAAATCCTGCTTATGAAGCAGGAAACAACTCATTGGGGTACTTGTGATACATCTTTCAGTGGATAAATATCGTTTTTTAGGAAGCAAAATTCAGCTTTACACTCATTTTGACATAGGTCATCTAAATTGAACAGGTCGTGCTGCCAGTAAGAGAATCAGTGTAAGCCTTAAGACTAGTAATGATTGAGATGAGGACGTGGACGACCATGCAATAGTTTCAATGACATCCTTCTAAGTGACATCGACCCTGCGTCAGGTCTCTATACTTCTCATTCCCATATGCGCTGTAATTGGTTATTGGCCATCCCCTTGGAGATTATTAAAATCCTATCTTAGAGTATAGCTTTGGAAGCATTGTAATTATTTAGAATAAATCATTAAATGTAAATTTCTTCTTCATCTGAATCCTACTTGGTTTGTACCAATTAAAGTCTCTTTAGTTTCAGGAGTCAAGAAATTGAAATTTTAAGTGCTACTGTGGTTCGTCCGCTCCTTTTCGATAAAATATTTGCGCTTTGGTTTTAAACGTTGGAGGTGCCACTGTATATGCCTACAGTTTATCTGCTAAAAGCTTTCTTTGGACTGGATTTTAATCATTCCACCTTTGGGATTTCTGCTGGATCTGAATCCTACTTGGTTTGTACCAACTGAACTTAACGATCTTCTATTTTAATGATTTTTTTTAATGTATATAATTATTTTATATTTTTTTAGAACATTTTAGTTTTCATTCCTACTGTAATTTATTCTAATTTAAAACCATACATGGTTGAAGATGTAAAGAAAGAACCACAGTGTTCTAATAATTATATGTTTTTTTTTTTGGAATCTAATTCTACATGCTGGAAGATGTGGTGTTCTAATGGTTTATGTTTTGGAATCAGGGTGGAGAGGTGGGTCCAGAGGTCTGGGTTCACGACATGGCTGAGTCATTGTGTTACACTTTACTCTCTCAGTGCCTCTCTTCAGCCAGGAATATGAATAGGTACCAGACCATTGTCAGGGAAGCCCAATGAAATGCTGGGACTTGCATCCCATCCAGGGGGGGAGTGGCAATACTCCTAGTCGCTTCATATTTTGGAATCTAGGATAAGCTTCAGCTGGGTGTGCCAGCTGGGTGTAGCTGGAGTACAGAGTGACTTAATTCTATACAAGTCCCAACAACTCATTTGTTTTCAGCCAGTCATCAGCTGGTGGAAGATACCTTCTATTTTGCAAAAATAAAAATGGGAAAAAAGTTAAATAAAACAGTGGAGTGAAATAATGTCAAAACCATTTAGCCTTCTATCCAGTGCTAAAACAAAGTATAGACCCCTTGGGAGTTCTTCTCCCCTAAGTAAATTTAAAAGAAAACTCAATGATATGAGTTATTCTGACTTTTGTGAAAAGTGTTTTGGTGTTCATTATATGAAATAGTGTTCCAGCACAAATGTTGTACTCTGATTGGCCAGGCTTCTAAATCTGGTGTTTTATCAGGATTTCACCCTTAAAGTGTTTTGTTAGTTGATTCTCCATACCTGATTGTTGGATAGAGTAGTGTTATTGTAAGGAGAATTTAGAGGTTTAAGAAGGTCTAGAGATTTCAACAACTTATTACTCCAGTCAAATTTCACTTTTTTTCTTAATCTCGTAGATATCTCTGGCCTTAATGGCACCTTTAGTGTTAATAGCGTCCTGGTTGACTGGTCGTCATGCCTATCCTGACAAGATTATCCTATTGGTGGCTACATCAAGTTCACTTGTAATGATTCTGTTCTGCTCATTTGAAGATCATCCTGCACATTATAGAATGTCTTTTAATCATGGAGTTTTTGGCCTTCTAATGGGCATGTCTCTGGCTTTTTTTATTGTGCAGGCAAAAAGATGCTTGTCCAAGGTAATAATATTAATCATGATAAAACGAATAACACATAAATGGGAATTTAGTCAGGAACATTTCACTAGGTGGCTCTTCTTATCCAGTGTTTCAAAATTGAATTGGAATTCAATAATGATTTGAAACAAGATAATGTTCACAATGTTGTTCTTGCATGATGAGTTTGCCTGACATTATTTTGTCAGCTGCCTATAGACACCAAATGCCTAACAAGTGAGTGGTGCCTTAAAAAAATAACATGAAATATTTTGACGTAAAGATTTATAAGTGCCCTTTTAACTAATGCTTGTAAAATTTTTTATCATATGACCCCTAGGGTTCAGTTCACACTATCCTATATAAAACCATTGTGCAGATCCCGCCTACACTGTTGTGTTTCTTTGGGCAATAAATCATGTTTCATACATTGTATTACATATGTTGATATGTTGCTAGGTTTTGACTGACAGATATGAACCCTGCTATAGTCTACTTGCACATAGATGAGATGAGTTTTTGATGAGTTGCTTTTCATCAGTTTGTGTTGAGTACTTGCATTAAAATACAGTCTTTTGGTGTAGACAGGTGTAATTTAATTGTGAATTAGCAAGTGTGTAAATGGGTGGCCAGAGTGACAATGACATCGTGGAAGCTGATGGGTGTACAGTTGGAAAGCTTAATTTAGGCTAGTCTGGTAAAAGGTTTGAACCTCTTAGTTAATTCTGAGTTAAAATCTCTTTTTATCAAGTAAATATTTATTTTTATTTTTCAGTTGCAGGTTTCAATTTCCCAGTTACTCTATTTGCTAAATTTTAGCTGTGTCATATGTCTTCCATTTATTGCCCTTCTGTGTGGTGAATTACCTTATCTAGAAAAGGAACTGTTGAAACGAGGTGCACTTGAACTAATCTTCAGTATCCTCATTCTGGTGAGTCATTTGATTTTGAATCAGACAGAGTTTCACCTTACAATATCAACCAGATAAGTGATGAGAATAAAGAAAAATATCAATTTGGAGATAATAAGTTGATCCAATACTAAATTCTTAGAGCTAACATTATAAGAATTGTATGGTTGACAGTAAGGAGAATGACAAACTTGAACTGGGAGTTAAAGGGTTCATGGTTATTTTAAGGCTTGTTTGCGCAATGCAAGGCTTCATAGTATCCCATGTCATTCATGAATTGTCTCGATCTGCCATTTGTAATCTCCTTTCTTGGCTTTTTATTTTAGGCTCTGCTTCGTTTGGCAAGCCAAACAGCTTGTCTTTATCACCTAAAACACTCAACTCCTCTATTGAATGCCACAGTACGAGGATTTTCTTGGATATGGATAACATTGTACATAACTTTACATACCCCAGGAGAGAGGGGTTCACTTGTGGTGCCAGTACTTGCAGCATTCTGGTTATACGGTTTTTTCATATTTCTTCCTGCACTCTTAACAGATTTCTTTTTGATATTTTGATACAAGAAAAATAAGTAAGATACCATATTTCCTTGAATAAGCACCTATGCTCTAATAGGTGTCCCTCCTCCTTAGAATGAGCACCCACTCCTTGGGCCGTAAAATCAAACAAGCACCCCCCTCAATATAAGTGCCCCACCGCCCTCACTTCCTAAATAGTTAGGATACAAGGAAAACCTGTTTTAATAATTGCCACTTCGTTTATAACTTTTGAAGCTTCTACTGCGACTGATTTGGCACAGGGCCTCCTCTCGATTATGCACCCTCCCTCTGATAAGCACCCCTGGCTGTGATTTCAATAAGAAGCATAGTTTGGTTTCTGAAAAAGTTCTCAATGCCTCCTCATAGGGCAGTCTTCGAAAAGCATCTCCTCCTGCCCAAATCTTACGAATTCTCATTCCAGTGGATTGTTCACAATAGCCCTTCCCCAGCCACCATTAGCCCCTGTAATTTTTCCAAAACGAATTTTGAAACTTTGGCCTTAAATATGCATATTGAAAGAGAGGAGTTAATTATGGCTATCAGAGACGAAAATCGAAGTATTATATTCATATAACGAATCGCATGAAGTAATGGGAAAAAACGCCACATGAAATAAAAAGTGAATCGGGGGATCTTTATCAAATGCTTCTTAATAAAACTACATACTGGTCTCTATCACAACAAGGTCACCTTCAGCTTCACGCTGTTGTCGTGCATTTCGTCTAGTTAACAATGATGATACTGAATCGCGTCCAATTCTGTCTGTAATCATGAGTCAGAGTGATTTACAAAATTGGATGACCGCGAAGCCTTTCTCTACCAATCAAACGCAAAATCAGAACCTACTGCGATTGTCTAGCACCCAGACCTTTCACGGTCAAGCGGTTCTGAGGTCTTTCGTACATTTTAATTCAAATAATGAGGTATTGCTGCACTGTCAAGAATATTACTTACAGAAATTAAACGCCAAAAAAAGTGTCTGATATGGCTATTGCCTCATCCAAGTCGTTAGTTTCCGGTCCACTCCTTCCAAGCTAGGTTTTCGTGGTCTCCCACGCGATAGCGCTCACTTTGAAACAACAATTAAATAAAAATCCGATTACGTTTCGAAAGTAACGGAGATGGAAAAGATTGCGGAATGAAGAGAAAGCTTGAGGGAAGCGATTTCTCTTCAGGTCGTTGGTTTTCAGTCACTTGTTTCAAGAAAGACAGACTCCCTAAAAACAAATGCCTTTCGTCCTTGTGCCTTTGCCTCCTTTGAATAAAAAATTAGGCAGTCTAATACAGCATATGGCTGCTCACATGGCACAATTTTTATAGCATTGAAAAAAAACTAGAGGTTGTACAATGACGATAGAATATAGTGTTGCAGAAAATTTGTATTCACATACAAAACATAACACCTGTTGCATCCCACATGTTTATCAGTACTCTGTTACACAATAGAAAGATGATTCAAGAGTATAGAGACTAACTGACATTCCATCAATGGTTAAATGGTAACAAATAATCATATTAACAATAATAATTATGATAAAAATAGTAATGTTTATTTGGGTTAGCTCAAGAACCTCACTGTTTCTCCCTTTCAGAGGCTCTAATGATGATTAAACTATGCTGATCCAAACGGTAAAATGATCTCTCTTCACAAAATTTTTCCTCTAAGTTTTCATGATTAATTAAGATACTAAATTTAAATTTTAAATTTCGGTCCCTTGTCTCCGATTTTGGATTTGGACACTGGTGGCCGATTTTAGGTTTTGGACTCTAGAGGCCGATTTTAAATTTTGAACACTAATGGCCGATTTTTAATTTTGACCACAAGTGGCCGATTTAGGATTTTCGCCACTTGTGACGGTTTTGGATTTTGGACACTAGTGGCCGTTTTTGGATTTTGGACGCCAATGGCCGATTTAGAATTTTGGACACTAGTGGCCGATTTTAAGCTTTGGACTCTACTGGCCGATTTTTAATTTTGGGCACTAGTGGCCGATTTGAATTTTTAGCTATTTGTGGCCGTCTTTGAATTTTGGACACTTGTGGCCGATTTTTTATTTTGGACATTAGTGGTCGATTTTAAGTTTTGGACTCTTATGGCCGTTTTTTTATTTCGGACACAAGTGGCCGATTTAAATTTTTGCCACTACTTGCCGATTCTGGAATTTTTTAACTCTAGTGGCCTATTTTACGTTTTAGACTCTTATTGCCGACTTTGGATTTTGGGCCGTTATGTTCGATTTTTTAATTTGAATACTAGTGGCCAATTTTGAATGTTGGACACTGGTGGCCGACTTTGAATTTCGCTGACTTTGGATTTTCAATTTTGGACAGTGGATTCTGGACACTAGTGGCCGATTTTGGATTTTGGCCACTAGTGGCCGATCAAGGGTTTTGAATTCTAGTGGCCAATTTTGGATTTTAGACTCTAGAGGCCGATCTAGGGTTTTGAATTTTAGTGGCAGATTTTGTATTTGGCCTCTAGTGACCGATTTTGGATTTTAGACTTAAGTAGCTGATTTCGAATTTTGGCCACTAATGGCTGATTTTGAATTTTGGACGCTGGTGACCGATTTTTAATTTTGGACTCTAGGGGCCGATCTTAGGTTTTTGACTCTAGTGGCCGATTTAGGGTTTTGGACACTAGTGGCAAATTTGGATTTTGGACGCTAGTGGCCGATTTTGAATTTTGGACACTAGTAGCCGATTTTAAGTTTTGGTTACATACATACATATACATATACTTTATTTAAGCTCGAAATTCAGTGTAGCTGTAGAACTAATATCTTCGAGAAAAAAAAAGCTAAAATGAAATAAAAACATTCTATCTTACAATTTCAATATTATTTATAAACTATATACAACTAAAAGCTAAGAGAGAAAACTAAGAGGGAAACATAACCTGTAGACCTACTGTGGAAAAGCTTCATGTCTGAGGATCTCCTGCTTGAATTCTCGAAAATTTAATGTTCTGTAAGTGTCTGGGAGAGAGTTCCATATTTTGCTAGCTAAGTATGAAAAAGAGTGCAGACAGTATGTCGTTGTTTTTGGGTTGGGAAGGGACAGGATATGATTTCCGCGCAAATTATAGCATGAAGACCGTACGGTGAACATATCTTTTAAATAACCTGGATAATTCTTAAAGAATAGACTCTTATATAATGTGATCATGAAGTTCTGGAGGCGTGTAATGAATAGAGATTTCAAGTTGACTTTGCTTAGTAAAATGTCATATGGAGAGCTGTAGTCCTGTAGTATAAACCTAAGAATGCGCTTATTTAGATTATCTACTTTGTCGGCATTTCGCGCACCACAGAAATGCCAAACAGAAGAACAGTAGTAAAAATGCGGCAAAATAAAGGCTTTATAAAGCTTCAATAGCGTCTCCTTATTAATAAGTTTCCGAAATCTAAGCATTACGTTAAATTGATTATTTATTTTCTTACAGATAACTGATACATGATTATCAAAAGAAAGCCTATTATCTATTGTCATTCCAAATATATCTATCGAGTTATTTACTGGGAAACAAAAATTGTGCTCAGTTTTTCCCAGGATTAGAGCTTGGTGCTTTTTCCTCGTTAACAATCATGCCATTGTTTTTATACCACTGATTTGCGACATTAACTTCTTGACAAATGCACTTTTCCAGTTCAAGTGGGTCTAGGTTAGATGAATAAATTCAATGGTCGTCTGCGTATGCGTTTAGTTTTGCATATTTCACATGCTGAAACAAGTCATTAATAAATATATTAAAAAGCATTGGTTCTAAAACGCTCCCTTGTGGAACTCCTCTTCTGGTGTCCGCCCAGTTGGAGAAGGTATCTCCAATCTTTACTCGCTGCTGTCTTCCTGACAAGTAGTCCTTAAGTAGGGCGCAACTTCCTTCGCCAACTCCATATGCTTTGAGTTTTGCCAAGAGTAAGTCATGCTGAATGACATCAAAAGCTTTAGAAAGGTCTATAGCGACAACCGCAACCAGTTCCCCTTTATCACGCATGTGCCTCCAGTCCTCTGTCAGCCGCAATAATGCAGTTTCACAACTGTAGAACTTTCTATATGAACTAATAAAGTCCGACAGAATAGCGCCATAGAATTTACCCAATTGCGCTGCCAGTAGTTTCTCGTAGATATTATTAAGCACAGGTAACACTGTGACAGGCCTGTAATATGCTTTATTAGATTCGTCGTCTTTTTTAAACAGAGGTGTGACCTGTCCCATTTTCCAGGCGTTGAGGCAGCAACCTTGCGCAACGGAGGTGTTCAAAATATTAGTGATAGATTTAGCTATGACAGATGCCGATCCTTCACAATTCCTTTACTTGTGGGCGATTTAGGGTTTTGGACACTAGTGGCCGGTTTTGGATTTTGGACGCTAGTGGCCGATGTCGAATTTTGGACATTAGTGGCCGATTTGGATTTTGGACACTCGTGGCCGATTATAAGTTTTAGACCGCAGTGGCCGATTTTGAATTTTGGCCGCTAGTGGCCGGTTGGATTTTGGACAATAGAGGCCGATTTTGAATTTAGACTCTAGTACTCGATTTTGAGTTTTGGACACTAGTGGCCGAATTTTGATTTTAGATATTAGTGGCCAATTTTAGGTTTTTTAGACTCTAGTGGCAGATTTTGGTTTTCGGACCCTTGTGTCCGATTTTTTAATTTGAACACTAGTGGCCGATTTTGAATTTTTGGACACTAGTTGCCAATTTTTAACTTGGAAAGTAGTGGCCTATTTTGCATTTTGAACACCAGTGGTCGTTCTTGGATTTTGGACACTTGTGTCCGATTTTTGCTGTTGTGGCCGATTTTGAATTTAGGACATCAGTGTCCGAGTTTGGATTTTGGACCATTGTGTCCGATTTAAGGATTTTGGACACTAATGGCCGGTTTTGGACTCTGAACAATAGTGGCCGATTTTGAATTTTGGACACTTGTGGCCGATTTTGGATTTTGGGCACTAGTGGCCGATTTTAGGCTTTTGGACGGTAGTGGCTGCTTTTTAATTTTGGCCGCTAGTGGCCAACTTTGGATCTTAATTTGGATACTAGTAGCCGACTTTGGATCTTTGGATACTAGTGGCGGACCTTTTAATTTGGACACCGGTGGCCGGTTTTGGGTTTGAGACACTAGCGGCTGAGTTTGAATGTTGAAGAAGTGTGGCTGATTTTGGACGACACGGACATCGGACACTAGTATCCAAAATCAGACACACTAGTATCCAAAATCAGACACTAATGATCGGACACAAGTATCCAAATTCCAAAATCTAACTCTTTTGTATAAAAATTAAAAACGGGACTCTAGTGTCTTTCTTCAGTGTATGCTGTGCGGTTCCCTAATCTAATTCAACTAATCTCTAGTGCGAATGATGTCGAACTACGAAGATACTCGGTGACAAACTAAAAGTGACAACGGGTCAAAATCGAGTGAAGTTCGGAAATTTTATTGGGTTGTACTTGCTAAAACTTACTGCAAAGTTTTGCACAAAAGGAAACAGTGCCCTAGAAAATTTTCAGTCAACAACTCTTGACTTTAGGTGATCAACCATGCGTATTTTGCTTTAGAACTTAGCGGCGAGCATTATGGGATAGGAATGATTCAGGGGTAACACAAGTGCCTCTCAAATCTCGCACGCAACTTGAGTCATCATTTGTCACTTTTCAGATTTTGCGAGGACGTGACCCTGAGCCAAAGTATATTGCTTTGTAAAACTATGGGTGATAAACCGCCGGACTGGTCCACTCTAATCAACAAGAAAGGGGAATTTGTGCGGTCACCGTCATCTTTTCGTGACTGGGTAACAGCTGACGGATCGAGCGGTTTTCCAGCTGAAGCGAATCGTTACCATCTCTACGTGTCCTTGGCTTGCCCTTGGGCTCATCGCACATTGATCGTGCGGAAACTGAAAGGGCTAGAAAATGCCATATCCTACACTGTAGTTGACTGGCTCCTTGGTCCCGAAGGGTGGTTATTCACAGACAGCAAACCGAAGTGTACTCTAGACACCCTGAACGGATGTCAAACGCTGCGAAAGGTGTATCAACTTGCCTCTCCTGGTTACGAGGGCAGGGTCACGGTACCTGTGTTGTGGGACAAACATAATAAGAAGGTCGTCAACAACGAATCCAGTGAGATTATTCGAATGTTCAATAAGGAATTCAACGCTTTCTGCGCCACAGACGAGCAGAGGAAACTTGATTTGTACCCGGAGCACCTCCAAGAAAAGATCGAGGAGCTCAACGGCTGGATTTATCCGTAAGCTGCAGTAGTTGAAGTATTACCTAATCTGTTTATGATTGATAAATTTATTGTTGTTGTTGTTGCTGTTATTTGTTAGAGGTGATCTTGATTCACCGTTAATATTATTGTAAATAGTAATTGGCAGTCAATTTCAGCAAAATATTTTCTGAACTCTTTTTCATTTTACATGCGTAGAAATTTTATCTATCCTCTTTGATAGAGTGAAGGATCGGGGTTTCTCTACAACCACTCCCCCTTCATACCCTTTAAATACCTGTAGGGTGTTTTTTTTTTCAAAGTCGAGGGTGAAAGAACTATTTCAACACTGCTATTCAATGCTTATGTCACAAACTGTTGGTGTTTTTTATTAAACATAATGCTTTAATACTAATTATTGCATGACACTTTCATCCTTTTTAACATATTATCAAGAAACATCAACAATGGTGTCTACCGGTCAGGTTTTGCTACATCACAAGAAGCATATGATGCTGCAGTTAGAGATGTCTTCACACATCTTGATAAGGTGACAAATGGCATTAAATATGAAATGACACATTCAGCCCTGTGTGTGCAGTCTCCCAGAAAACCATAGGGAAAACTGGTTGCATGCAGAGCCAGATGAGTTGACATGAGCTGCTTTGGGAAAAGGAATTCTCCCTTTGCTCACAGGGTCCCTTTGCATTTTCTGAGAACATGAATCAATATTATGGACTTCAACTTAACATAAAGCAAATGAGATGATAATTTCAAAGAGTTTGTTCTGAGATGAAGAAAAAAAGGAAAAATGTTTACTGTACAATCTTTTCTTTTATTTGTCCTGTGGGTGCCCTTCCTTTGTTTGCAAGTACATCCTATTTAGGTTGAAGAAAATTTTCCAAATTTTCCACACTCAGTAGTCATATGATAAAATGCTTATTGACCAAGTAGGATAGGGCTCTAAATATTTTTAGTCAGTCACTACATCTAGTCTGTATGTCATGAGCTTGAGCCAAATATTTCCCCATCAGGCCTTCCCACTCTATCATTATGTAGACATTTTTATCCATCAAACATTCCAACATATATACTATTGGTTTAAATTCATGACATGGCTGAAAATACTCATGTTAAAACTAAGAATGTTCAAGTGAATTGTATATCACCTGATAATTATGTCCTAATTTTGAAATGTTACATTTGGTATCACCACCTCTTTCTTTTAACTTACATGATTCAAGATTAATTTGTTCAGCCCTCTTTGCAATCTCTACCCTCAAATACTCTTATTGAGAAGGAAACCCATGTTGATTCATTGGGTAGACCTAAAACATTCAATAATTTGTTTATCTTTATTATCCAGGTAGAAGATATCTTGAGTAAATCTCGTTACTTGACTGGCAACACCATCACAGAGGCAGATGTCCGTCTTTTTACAACTCTTGTTAGATTTGATATGGTCTATGTTGGTCATTTTAAGGTGCTACAGAATTAACAAATTTTTTATATTGTTTTTGTTGTTAGAAACTGCAATGAGCAGTCATGTATGATGTAAAGCCTCTTTTGAAAACCATAGTTCTGTCCAAATACCTTAAGCCCTTTGTCCCTTAAGAGTGACAAACATCTCATTTCTCCTTGCAATGTCACCCCTGAATCACTCTTTAATTTTACAAGAATAAACAAAATGATCACCATGTAAAGAAGCCCTTGATTGTTACCCAAATTCTCCTTGTCAGCACCTTAGGAAATGGATAGAGAACAGTATGGAGAATATACTGTATATATGTGAGTTTCTAGTAATCATGATTATAATTTATATGTTTTATGTTATTATTTTTTTTTTTGTAGTGCAATAAAAAACGTATTATGGACTATCCAAACATGTGGGGATATGTTCGGGATCTGTATCAAACAAGTGGAATTGGTGAAACTGTGGATGCTGAACACATTCAAAAGCATTATCAGGTAAATAAATACTTGCAGTTGGAAAATCAGGAGTTTTCCTTTTGGAGGGTCCAACAGAACATAGTGTCTTGTCATATGAGGGCATGCCAGGAGGGTTAACACTTTATTAATTTTATTTTTTTCTTCTTTTATCAAGAGAGGGTTCATATGTACCCTTGCAGATCCCCGCCCCCCACTCACTCCTAATATGAAAATGCTACCATTGCACTACTAGTGTAAGGATTAATTATCATTAGTTCAAATGATTTTGGATGAAACATGTAAATTTGGTGGAATCTAAAAATAAGGTGATGATGCGACAATATTTTGTTTTGTTTTTTAACTTTGCACAAAATTTTTGTAAAATTGAAAAGAACTGCAAAAATCAAACATGGGAAGAAAGATCTATATAATTCAGAGATATAAACATAGAAAGAAGTGACAAGTTTGGCCATGAAAGGAAAGGATTGCCATGAATTGAAAACAACAGCTTGTGAAATAACTGGCCTTTATTTCAAGACATGCAAAGTATGATGACCAACCTCCTTTGAAAAGTTTAATTCAATTGCATTTTGGCTCTGAAATATAGGGAATCTTATACAACAACAGTTATTTTTCAGTTAGATTTCTTAAAAGAGAAGGCAATGTGTGTTAACTGCTTATTTTCATACATTTTGTTACAGCAAAGTCACTTGAAGATCAACCCACATGGTATTGTGGCCATTGGCCCAGACCTAGACTTCAACAAGCCACATGGTCGACAGTAACGAGCTGTCAAAAACGTGAAAAAGCTGTATTACGCTTACTTATTAACTCACAATTTATTCACTTGATTGGATGATTTTACCACAAGGCTTTGGTTCACTCCCACTCACAACTCGTGGCTTATTTGAAAGAAACACACACTCAGCATCCCGTTGTAAGCATGTGGAGCAGTGCAACATTTGGGGCAATGAAATACATGGCACATACATGATTGTTTGGTTATGTTTAGATGAATGAAATCACTTATAAATGTCAATCAAATTAGGAATAATTCATGTATTGTACAGTTTCTAGAACCTCTTGGTGAATTTTTATAAGTTATCATACATCATAATACATTGTAAACTTATATGACTTCTATTTTTTAAATTTATGCACCAGCCCATGTTTGCCTTTGAGTCAACTTGCTTCATTTGTAAATGTTCTACTGAACTTCATCAACTCTCTAAAATTTCATCATTTCTGGATTCATAACCTTTTGAACAGCAACACAGATCTGTTATTTTTTGTTTTGATTTTTTTGTTAAAACTTGTCTCACCTTTCTTAAGTCAACAAAATTTTGAATTTTTACTGTTATTAAAACTTTTTGGACTTTTTTGTTCGGGAGGAACCACTATTTAAATCAATTTTTTTAGGCTCTTTTTGAAAAAAACAATTTTAGACCCTTGCTGTACCAGTTAGTATTTTAGCATTAGATCAGTTGCATTAGTAGAAGTGGAAAGTCAGTGTAAATTGTTAAATTAAACCTTGTAAAACTAGGTAAATTATTTAAGTAGAAGGGTTTAAAATAAAATAAAGGACCATTCCTTTTTTGTGTGATTTGTCACCTTTGGCTATTTCTTTTTGGACCAAAAGTCTTAATCTAAGTTTTTTTAACCAGGTTTTCGACTGCCACTTGTCTACCGGTAAATTTAGCTTTTGTTCCTATGTTAATCAGCTTCCTTCTACTGCTCCAATCACTTCTTAAGTCCGTCTAAATAAGGTGTTATTTCCTGTTTAAAGGGAAACTTTCGGCGAGGATTGAAAAGCGTGTAGTCCAAGTGACAAGTTAAAGTCGTGATAGGTCCTCTATATTGGTAAGGGATAACTTTCCAACCGCAGCAAGCGAGTGATACCCTATTGTTTCTGTAGTTCATTTTTTTCTCTGATACTGCGCTGGATTTTCGTTGCAAAGGGTTCCATACTTCCAAACGTAATCTGTTACGTGAGAAAAGACTGAAAGGGCGTGGGTGCAAGGAAGAAGCTGTGTGGGAGGCGATAATATTAGTCACACCCAAACCTTGCAACACGTACCTCTTGCTTTAGTAGCGTGGGTAGTTCAGGCACTGTTTCCCAAATGCCTCAACATTTTTTCGATTTTTTGTTCATGTAAACTCAGTGCTTTAAGTAAACGTAAAACAGTTCTCAACCCACAAAATTAGTGTCAATTGAGAGTACGAAGATAGACACCCAAATTAGATTTCCATTTGTCTGTGTTTTGGCAACCAAATATCATACTTTGTTTGAGGAAAATGTTCACAGATACAAATGAAATTTGACAGTTTTGTAGAAGAAGTATCTAATCCTTCAGCCCAAGGGAGGGAAGTGTACTCGTAAATTTTGTCGTCTATCCAGCCATATGAGTTTCCCGCTCCGATCCCCCCGCTAATATTGTTTTGTTCATCCCCAGTTCCCCGATCAGCAGTTGGTTCAAGCCACACTGTCCAGGCACACAAAAGCATTTCATCTTTGATATATTTCCTCGTCGTCTTAAAGGTTAATGAGCCTGAAATGAGGGATACAAAGACTAGAGAGAAGGGATCTCGTCGTACTGTATTCTTAGCAACGTTTATTCCAATCACAATTGTGGTAATTTTTCTCGTTTTATGGAGACCGATGTTGCTTCCATATTTCTTCCGATACACGAAGTTGACAATTTCTGAATATGTCAATGACAAACAGAGGTTTTTGGACAACGAACTAGAGGCTGCACTCAAAGAATGGAGAATGTATCAACTGGAACGGCAATTTGGACAAGAATGGTGCAAAAGGAACGTTAAACCAAGAAGCGACGTAACATGGCTAACTGCGATGGTTAATGACGATTTCGCCATTCCTGCATTGGTTTTAGGTCACTCCATTCGCACTTTTTCCTGTCAACAAAACATGATAGCGTTTGTTTCAAACAAGGTGAGTGCAGGTGCACGAAAAGCCCTCGAGAGAGTTGGCTGGGACACTCGTTTGGTGGAAGGAATGGACTGTGACTGGCTTGATGCAAGATTGGGCAGTAAGCAAGATACTGGATTTTTTGCCAGACCAGGAGGAAACAGAATCAAGGGAACACATACTCGCTTCCACGCTTGGAATTACACTGAATTTTCTAAAATTATTTATGTAGATGCTGATTATATGCTGACAACAAACATAGACAAATTGTTTGATATCCCAGATGACTTTGCTGCTGCTCCTGGCTCAAGACCAGGGGTTCTGGATCCATGTTTCAATGCAGGGCTTCTTGTGTTTAGACCAGACACCAAATTTTATCAGGAAATCATGGACTTGTGGTGGGAAACAACAAAAAAAGACACTTGTCCAAACGATCAGGTGTTGTTATGGCATTACTATGCTGATGCTGGTAACTGGAAAGCTCTCCCTTATGCCTTCAACATCAGACGCATAATTTACAGGCCCCTTAATTCATTCCATTTTGCTTGCTGTGTTCCTCCCAAACCATGGTCTGCAAAGTGTAGACCAAGTAGAAAAGAAGCAGAAGCATACAATGGGCCGATTTTGGTCCCTGATGACATGTCATTAGTGTTCTGGAAGAATCTTTACGAATTGTTGAAGACAAACAATTTAGATGAGTGGTGGAGAACAACAAAGTTCTTCCGAGCATCTGAAGAATTTAGTGCTGTGACTTTCTCTGACTGCCGGAAGCAAGAGTCATAAATACTTTACAGATTACACTGCTGCATTTACTGTTGTTTCAAAATCTGGTTTAGTGGTATGCTAAAAGGGATCATATATGTTCCATGGCCATTCTTTTACATATAGATTGTTGATTCTTCAACTGTGTACTGCATATCATGTAGCCTCCACCTAAGAAATCTTCCATTCATGCAAAGAATTTTTATTGCATGTCACTGACCTTGTATCTAGCACCTTGGGTGCATTCTTGTCATCATATTTTATTTTCTACCACTAACAGAACTCATGTTCAATTATCAACTTGTTGTATTCCTCATTTTCAGAGTTGTTTTTCCTTAAGAAACAGAAAAAATTGTTCTGGATAGTTATATTTATTACAAATTTAATGTAAATGATATTTATATCATGGTCAGTTCCCTATTCAGATGTTTTTCTCAGTTTTTCCAAAAGTTGTTTATCTCTATCAACAGCTCTTCAAGTTGTGAGGAATAGAGAAAAATGTTGGGACATTTTGCCTTGAAATTTGTTGATCTGGCAACCTGTGTTTGACTTTTATGTAACAAGTTGCAACTTTTGGCTCTTACTTGGTGTAGAAGATGCAGTATACATCACAATAGAATTTCATCACAACTGGGAATAAGAAAACAATGAAAACAATAATGTGACGTATACTGTGTCTTCTACACCAATTAAGAGCCCAACTTTTGTAAAACTTACTTTTATGGTCTGAAGTGAAAGTGAGAGAAACATTTTCATAAATTTTTTTAAATCTTCTTTTGTTGTTTTCTTCCATGAAACTTTGCCTTTTTCTCTCTTTTGTTGCCCAAATACAATCAGCCTCTGTTATTGTGGATACGGGGGGAGATTTAGTGTCTGTAATAGTGAGAGACCATAATAGCAGGTATGAGAGAAAAATAATTGTTTTGTCTTTAAATGTATGAATTAATATGTAACTACACAAACATTAAGTTCTAACATAGTCCCATGAACAAGAAAAAGATCTGGCCAAGAGCAGGAAATTCTTATGTTTGCACCTAATTGAAGAATGGTTTTTTTTATCTTCCTTTATTGTAAAGTCGCTTTATATTATGAGTTAGGATTTTGGAAAAAGTGCGTATGTGACCTCTTTAGCAAGAGAAAAAACACAAGCAAAATTTTGTGTTGGGGGGGCATGAGTGTGTAATAACAGGAGTTTATTTCAGTCATTTCCTCATGCGTTTCTGAGGGAATGGCTCTTCTCAGCCTGGTGTCCTTATGTCATATTATGTATTATGTTTTGAAATCAAAGGAGAATCTTTAGAACAAATGCCAGTCATGCTGCCTACTCAAAAACAAGTGATGTTTTTGTTTTTGGATATGTAAAAATTGCACTAAAATTTTATCTATCAGCTGTCAGCTGTTAATGAATTTAGGTTGCAAAATGGCCACTTTTAGGAAAGTTGAACAAGAGGTGCTGATCTGTATGTTGTGGTGATCTAATTCACTAGTTCGAATTATGATTAAAGCAATTTTGATAAATTGAGTAGTTAATTGGCCTCTTTTAACCATTAGACACCTAAGAGTCACTAGCATTTAGTCTTTCCTTACAGCATTACTTGTGAATCACACATCAAGGTCTAAAGTAAAGGAAATAAACACCAAATAAAGAAGCTCTCGATAGTAGAACAAATTCTCCTTGTCAGCATCTTAGAAAATGTATAGAGAGCAGTATGGAGAATATGCATACTGATATTCAGGGTTATGTACAAAGTGTTATTACTATCCCCATGAAGTAATTGTACCTAGGAATATATTTTCTGCTTGATTAGTCATTCTTGGACCTAAGGAATGGCTACTTCCTGAGCCAGAAAATTTCCACAGTTAAACTCTGAAAAAGTCGTTCTTTCTTACAGCTGTTTTGTCTAGACTCACAAGATTTTTTTTGTGTGTGTGTTACATTCAAGAGATGTTGGTCTTTAAATTCAAGATCTTTACAAATTTCTTTACATCATGGTGTTGTGGATGTGGAAAAGGGAGATAGATGCCCAAAAAAAATTGATAAGAGAGGAAAGCACCCACTGTTCCAGAAATTAACTAATGCTTATTTCTTGAGGAGTTTTGTTGCTGAAGGATCTTAGATTGGGCTCTAGTAAACAGAAGAGAAATAGCCTATGATCTGCATTGCTTTAAAGTAGCTGATAAAGGCAAGGGTCTATGTGAGAGATGCGAGGACATGGTATGAGTGGGAAAAAGTAATTTGCATGTAACAACAACAAAGGCGATGACTAGGAGAATGGTAATTAAAAACTTGAGTTTTATTTGTATCACAAAACTCGATTAGCAATGTCTCCTGATGATCAGAACTTTCAGCGCTGAGTGTTACGTGTACGCCTCTGCATACCTACTTTTCTTATTCAGTCGTGAGAAGTCTGGATTCTGTTGTAGTTCTGCGGGCTCAGCTTCAAAATGGCGCGAAACATTTTCAAAGTAGTTCGAATGAAAGATAGTTAGGGTCAAGCTGAAATGTAACACGTAAATTCCTTATTACTGGGCTAGTTGTAGTAACTGTTTTAGGAAAATATTTTAACATTTTGGATAAAGGGCCATTTGATGTCTCAGCGGCCTAATTTTAAGCCAGGAATGCGTTCTTTGATGGTCGCTTTTTGACCACGAACAGAACTCATGTCAACAAGAATGGTTGGCGAAGACACAGAGCTGGAGGCTACGGTAAGATTTTAGTACTCTACAAATTTAGCTCTTTATTTCCTTATAAAGCAATTTGAATAGGAGTCGATTCATTTGCCAAATAGTAAAAGTAACAAAACGATGTTGATGTTTTCGTCGAAGCACTGTTGAAATCGATTACTCTATTGTTGCCACTTTCGTGTCGATTTCTGATCAGCGCGTCAATTTAATTTAATTTTTGAGTTCCTGTGATTTTAGATCAGAAAGATTTAATTATCTCCAATTATGTGAAATCTGAGAGGGATTGTGAACTGCTGATTTGGAGACCGTTTTACTAAAACGAAGAGCACAAGTCTTTGAAGTGGTTCTATCTACAAATTTGTTAGGAACAGAATTGAAGTAACTGGGATATGGAATGCAAAACAAATGTTTTAGATCCTTGCATATCATTACTGAACTTTGAAGTCACAAAGATGGGGATTAGGTTACTTCGAGGTTGAGTGTTTCCTTATGCAAGAAATGAAATGTACTTACATATGACGTTTACTCTTTGTGATTGAACAGGGGCAACTCTTAAAAATGTGTTAGATTTATGGTTAATTTGTGTTTTGTTTGTCTCGACAGTCTAACCTTACTGATGGTGATCACAAAGAAACAAGGAAATACAGGCCTATTGATGCATTTTTTCAGCCAGCCAAAGCAGTAGAAGGTGCAAAAACTCAGTCGGGACACAAGATTGCACTGGCAAACTTTACGAAATCCAGCCAGCCATCAACAGACATAATTGATGGCAACAAGAGGGAGAATGAGATAATTCAGGACAGTAAAACTTCTGGCTCGATTTGTAGAAAGGAAGACCAAACTTTGAAAAAGAAACAATGTTTGTTGGATGGAAAATTGGGTTACCAAGCACCAAAACAGGATTCATCCCCGGAAGAAGAATTAAAACCAAAACAAAGGAAACATAAGTGGTCAGTCACATGCGCTGTGCGTAACACTTCAAAACTTTTGAATAGTTCAGGATCAGACTTTGAAGATGATGGGAAAGATTTATTTAATGCAAAAAATAAACTAGAACAAAAGTCTTGCAAGAAGAAGGTGAGAGATAAAAAAAGAACTGCACAAGAATGCAAGGGAAAAATCTCAAAACTGTCAGATGACAAGGAGAAAGAAATTGAAACAAGTCAAGTTAAACATACAGGGGAAGAATCTCAGAGAAATATAGATATTGAAGCAAAAGTTCCAGTTACCAGTGGTAATAGTGAACAGACTAAGGAATTCAGAACTAGTGCCTTTGATGTTTTGATGAATAGACAAATGGTTAGGAAACCAGAAGATGATGGGCCAGAGGTTTCTGTGGATGAATTTCAAGATGCATCAATTGAAATTATTTCAGAAACTTCAAATTCTTGTGATATTGTTGATTGTAAAGAAATGCTCCACTCCAATTCAAATGTCACAAAATTATCAGAATCAAGGAAAGATTCTTCTTCAGATAGAAATCACTTTATCAAAAACACTGAGACAAATGCTTTTGATGTATTGATGAAGAAAGGAAAGAGTCCCAAAAAGGAGATTCCCAGCTTCAGCTTGAGCCTGATAAACTTCCACAAAATTTTGATGGCTCACCCAAAAAAAAACCTAAGAAGAAATCTTTTGAATTTCATCTAAGTATTCTTGGTGGCAGGAAGAAAGATGTGGATTTTGTCACAGAATCTGACAATCTAGGTACTGATGTTCAAAATTGTGAAAGGAGTGTAAAGAGGAAAAGGAAAAGGAGAAAACCTGGAGATGGAAGTGAGTTGCTTGAGAGTGAAAGTGATGAAGCCATTCTCAGTGAAAATTCTAAAGAGGTGGTGGTGGTTTCTAGATCAAAAAGAGGAAGGCAAACAAGTAAAGTTGCAAATGAAAAACATGTAGAGGGAGACAAAGTTGTGATGGACGAGAAGGGAAAGAGTGAGAAGAAAGGAAGAAGAACTGGTAACAGAAGCACTTCCACTGAGGCTATTGGCAGTGAACTGAGCAATACTCTACGCATCAGGGAAGCTCGGTGTGGAAGTAAAAACGAACAGCAAAGAGGCAATGATGATGTAGATTCCAAAGAAAGAAAAGAGAAAAGGAATGTAAAAGCTAGAAAGAGAAGTGACACAGCTTCCCCTTTAGCACAGTTTGAAGATCAATCACCCTGGTATGTTCATGATCATATACATGTATATTGTGTTGCAGAAGAATTTTGCAATTCCATTTTTTTTTGTAACATGTTGTAACTGATTTGAGAAAATAAGTTCTCACTTAAAAAAAAAATTCTGAAAAATATAATACCCCCAAAATTTACCATCTTCAGTCGATGGAGGGAAGGGGGGAGAGAGAGAGATATTTGCAATTGAGTAGGAGAGGGTAGGGGAAGAGGCAGATTTTGGTTCCTGTTGTTGTTTCAGCCCTTCTGGGTAGTGAAGTACATGTATTTCCTCTGAGGATAAATTCTAATGTAGTGACTACAAATTGACTCATTCATATAGTTATCATTTTACTTTGTCACTCACTGTTTCTCTGAAAGCTCTGAAGACCTTGAAATGCCCAAGAGAAGACGAGATCAGAAGAAAAAGAATGAACAGTCAAGCAAGGAACAGTCAAGCAAGGAACAGTCAAGCATTGACTGCAGAATTGTTGATGAAAGGCAGGAAAAAGCTGACAGTGAGAAAGAAAAAGGAACTAAGAACTTGACTGACAATGAGAAAACAGCTACATGTAAAGGTGTGTACAAGAAGAATGATTTCTTGAGCTAAAATTATTTCTTGAGCTACTGATTGGCATCGTGCCACGCTGATAGCTACAGTATTTTGGGTTTTCATGTAGTGGCTAATTACCAATTAATTTACTGCATTGAATTACCCACAAAATAATTCGCAACCAATAAATCAGTGGTTATATCCACAAAGCATTTCTTTTTTTTTTTTTTCGGTTTTGAGAAATAGGCAATTTTTTTTTGTTTTAGATTAAAGACATATCTCTTACTAGCCCTGGTGCAAAGCAGGCTAGCCATAAATCTGGGGAGTATGACAAGTCAAACAAATTTTTTAACTTAATGGACCTTACAGTGAGATACTGGCTGGTTCTCATGCATTTTAAATGCAATCATTATTTTACAAGGATCTTTTCATTTTCAGAGCCCAAACCTTTGGCCTCCATATTTCTAAAAAAAAAGGCATTAAACCCCAAAGCTGACATTTTAGAAGAACAACCCACAGATTTGGTTGATTCAGTATCATCACCCACCACAACCTCAACGACAATGGCAGACAACACTGCTGGTAAATGCAGCACAAGTGATATACATTCCTCTTCACTGAAAGAAAAACCAACCATCAATCAGGAAGCTGCCAAAAAAGCTTTTAATGCATTGTTCACTGGTACACGTCATCAGAAAACTCCCCCTGTTGTTACTGCGGCAGAGGTTCTTCCAGCTCCATGGCCAACTGTCACCCATGTGGTTCAAAAAGAGCATCATAGTTCTCTTGGTGTTAATTTCTGGAGTCTTCCTTGGCCCATTGGGAGAGGTCACAAATCAGATGATTTCTCTGGCAGTTTATTGCCTGAAGGTACAGTAGGTGTACTGTACTACATGTGTTGTCTATGGATACACAAATGAATGAAGATAAGAGTTTGAACAGTTAATCATGGCTTTATTCATCACTAGTGTAGGTTGCAGTTGTTAGCCTTGTTTGATAATTTGTATTAATTTTACAGTACATATTTTTGTCTTATTATCGTTGAACAAATTGGGTACATGAGGTGATCTCACAGACAGATGTGACTGCTAATAGAACTTAACAAATGTGTTCTTTATGTCATATTTCTCTTCTATTCAGATTACATTTCCAACGCAATGTCACAAGAAGATAAAGTGATGTTCTCTGGACCAAGAGCTTTTGAACAGTCCCTGTGTCACTCCAAGAGAGTGGTTAGTAATAATCATAAATTGAGAGCTCTTTTTCTTGTCAAGTGTATCCTTAAACTGTTATACAATCCCCAATGGTGGATTAGAAATGGTGGAGGGTGGCATTGGATTTTATTACTGGCATTAACTTTCACGCCAAATTGAATACATTGCAGTATTCTGATGGAGTAGTCTCATCAACCGACTCAGAGTAACCCTAAAATTATTTCAAATTGCTTCAGTTTTGATGATAGGTTGGGTAAACTTTGATATACTAAACATTTAGATATATGGTGACTTTTGTTGCATGAATTTCCTTTTTAAAAATATCTTGAATTGTCATTGAAAGCTGACAATCATTTTTTTGGTTGTGTAATATGCAAAATGAAATAAAATTTTTCTCAGTCTATCATAAGATGGTGTTTAATTTGTAAAAGGGGGTAAGTTTCTTAGCCCTTCATCAGAGCAATAGACAAAGGTCATATGCTCAAAATGTCAGCTTGTAAACTCTTTATGGTGGCCAATTTATGTTATCAACTCAGTTTATAATACTAAATTACCCTGTTTAATTTTTGTTTTATTTTCTTCCATGACAAAATATTGACAGGAACCTAAAAAAACAACCAAAAGTTTCTCGGAGGCTATCACAAAGAGTATTGTCTCAGAGCTGGCTTTGTTTTACCCTGGCATACCCTTAAGGAAACTTTACAAACGATATTCATCAAAACTGCAAAAGTACAGAGTAAATAGTACTGTTGCAGACCTTGAACAAACTGTTCCTGAGAAAAAGCCAGATGAGAGAGTGAAGAGCAGAGTGGATTCATTAGGAGACAAAGATGGGAAAGGTAACATTGTGGCATATAGTTTATGTAACAAAAGGGAAAAAGGAAAGCAGCAATTGTCTTGTGCTGGGGAAAGAAGCCTGGAGAAAGAGATTGCAAGGAAAAAGGATGATTTATTAGTATCAGAAGAGAAACATGGTCCTGTAACCAACCAGCCTGTGGAGAAGCCACGCCAGAAAAGAAGAAGAGAAGACGATGGTGACCAATATCAGGCGGAGGTCATCAAGGGACGAAGGTTATCCTTAAGAATCCGGAGAAAGAAGACAACCTTGGAGACTGACACTCTAGACAATAATTTGGAGATACCAGAAACTACCTCAAACAGAAAGAAGAGAAAGAGAACAGGTGATTATCAAGATGGTGGAAAAGAAACGTCAGAACCTTCCACACAATTCAACAAGGCTGTAGAGATACCTGTTGTTCCCAACAGTTGTGCAAGTAATGTGGAGACTTTTGTCAATGATGCATTGTGGACAGAGTTGTATCGACCACTGCACTCCACTGAAGTCATGGCTAATGCTTCTTCTGTTAGCAAACTACGATCCTGGCTGCAAGAATGGAAAATCAAGAGAGAAAAGACCCTGAGGAAAGAACTACAGCAACAGAAAAGGTATCATATAATGTATTATATTTAATTGATCTCTTTTTCCTTTGTCATGTATTCATCATCACAATCTGAAACAATGACAAAAGTAATTAAAAAATATTTCAAACTAAGGAAAAAATTCTCCTTGTAACATTATTAGATTTTCAAGCAGAAATGCTGTGATAAGATACTAACATATCAATCAGAGGATTCCATGAAATAACAAATTCTCAGAGCTCAAATTGTTAGAAATGTATAGCAGACAGTACAGAGAATTGATTGTTGGATCATAAGAGGGAAAGGCTGACTACAGATCAACTCACTAAAGTACAACACCACCTACTCCTCAGCAGTAGCATTCTTTATGTAGCCAGTTGAATTTTGCTGAGTCTGGTTCTGATTTTATAGACTTCTAGCAAAACAGAAAGGCAAGCAGTCAAGCCACAGCCAAGGCTCCAGCCACTCTCTGGAGTGGTGGGATGCAGACAGTGACTCTGACTTCCAAATGAGTGACCATGCTTCAGATGATAGTGACACAGAGGAAGGTGGTTTAAATACTGCCATGTTTATCTCTGGTCCCACAGGAGTTGGGAAAACAGCCATGGTGTATGCATGTGCAGAGGAACTAGGTTACAAGGTATTAATTGCCTTAAGCCTTTAATCCCTAACATCAGTCTAAGCATGTTCTCCATACTGTTTTTTAGACATTTCCTATGGTACTGACAAGGGGAATTTGTTTAACAATCAAGAGCCTGTTTAGTTGGTGATCATTTCCTTTATTCTTGTGGCCTTAATGAGTGATTCAGGGGTGAGTCCTCTCAGGACTACTTTCACTTGGACCATTAGATCACACAATCAAATTTTATTCCTAGGCTCAAACCATCTACTGTATTAGAGAATTTTTTTGAAAGACTGTAGGTTACCATGGTATTTATATGGTGTAGTTCATGCTAAGCCAGTTTAGGTGCCTTTGATAGACTGCGATCCTGTCAGGGAGTACAAAAATCCAAGTAGTGTAGTCTTAGGGGTTATTGGGACAGCCAAATCACCCCATTGCAGTGACACAGTTATCCTACAAGGAGAGAGTCTCCAGAGACTCATACGACATCTGAAAAAATGACATGAAATTAAGCAAAAACATCTTGAGTGAAATAATGGTTCATAGACAGTATTTGTTCCATTTGCTTAATGTGCATGAGGAAATAGTGACTGTTTCTGGTATTGTGGGTAACTTTTGAAATTTGTAAAACTTTAGGTATTTGAAGTCAACAGTTCCTCCAAGCGTTCTGGCAAGCAGATCATGTCACAGCTTGAAGAAGCTACTCAGTCACACCTTGTGATCAACAACAAGGGTCCTGCCCCTCAGTCTTCCTTTGCAGGCCTCTTTGATAAACCTGTAAACAGTTCTCCCCCCTCCACTGGTCCCCTGAGTGCCTTTTTGCAGAAGAATACAAGTGTGTCTGAAACCAAAGCCAACAAGAATGGGAAAAGAAAGAAAGACAGGGACATGAAAGAGAAGAAGAAAGTGGAATCCAAAGGGAAAGGCAAATCCATTCTCAAGCAGCCATCACAACAAATTAAAGATGACAGTGAATTATGTTCAAATTTGTCTTCAAAAGCTGCCTCTCTGATTTTGTTTGAAGAGGTTTGTTCATTGTCTGATCATTTTTTTTTCTTAAAGAACAAAATTTGTTAATTCTATTTTTATTTCAGCTTCTTAGATTGTAAATTAGAGGACTTGACTGAAGACCCTGTGGTCATCTTCCTTCAAGACTTGTTCCCTACCTCCTCTCTTTTCTCCTTCTCTCTCCAGTCCTCCTGATCATTATCATCATTATCATTGTCATTATCACGAGCCCCTATTTTACCACATGTCCTATGAGCACAAATGTGTATTTGTATAGCTACTAATATATTTGCTGTTACATCATTAATTGTCCAGGTTGATGTTATTTTTGAAGAAGACAAGAGTTTCTGGATGGCTGTAAACTCCTTCATGCAGAATGCTAAGTGTCCCATTGTTTTGATAAGCACAGGTAAGAAAACCCAATATGGTCAGGAACCATTAATAATAATAAATCACTAGTAGATGTTCTCTTGTTTTGTTTGTGTGTTGGTTTGTTTCCCAAATATTGTAATTCATAAATCCTGAAATGCAAAGCAGTAATCATTTTTTTTTCTAATCTCCTGTAACAATTATCTCCTTGCTAAACTGCTGGCTGCATAGTGTATGTATGTACATGTTTAATCCAAAGCACAATCTCCTGCCAGTTATTAATATGTTTGTGCAGGTTCACAGCTTTGGAAAATTAACCTGCAGATCTGTTTTTGTTTAGAAAGGGTAATTGATAGTCTGTATTTCCTCTCTATGAAAGATTTGCACACAATTATTGGGTTAGGGTGTTTGAGATGGAAAAAAGTTCACTTTCATAAAATGCCCATTCATGCATAAACATGAAAAATATTTTGGGCAGTTGTTGATTTTTAAGTACTGTGATGTACGGCCTGCTAAAATTCAACCTAGAGCGTAAGGCTTTTAGATTGACCTTTTTAGTTTATAAGTGCATCAGTTACTTGAAACTGTTTAATGTGACAGTTAGTTGTTTCCCAATTGAGCCAGACACTCAGAGGAGATTAATTTCTTACCTACCTTGTGTTCTTGATCCATATCGTGAATTTTAGCCCTGGATTTTCGCTTTTGTTTATTGCTCATGTGTTTTGCGCCTTGAAGGGGAAAACCTTTTCCTGTTACCTACAGTGCTCACACAGCAAGAGTTATTTATTTTGCCATTTAATTAATATTTTTTGCAGACTCACAAGTGAGCTGTGAGGGACGATATGAACAAGTCAAGTTGAAATCTCCATCAGTGAATCTTTTAGCTGCACATCTACAACTTGTAGCTTTGACAAACAATATATTTGTCAATCCTGAAGACCTCAAGTCTTTGGTTGTACAAAACAACTGTGACATTCGCAAGTCTCTCTTTGATTTGCAATTCTGGTCAGGATCAGGAGGGGGAGTAAAGATGCCATACACAAGACCATTTAGTTTAGAACCAATTAAAAATGATGTTGGCAGAAGCAATCCGAAGACTCAACATACGTCTGTAACTTGTAAAAGTGGCAGTGAGAATCTGAAGACTGGCATTTCTTCTCAAGATGTTAATCAGTTTGAACCTCTTGCAACTGGTGGGATTTTAAATGACGATGGAGAAGAAAGCCTGTTTCTTTCCTTAAGTGATTGGCAGGCAATCAAGAACAGAGGAGCTACAAGCCACTTGCGCTCTTCCACGAGAGGAACTCTTGGTCAAGCCTATGGTGATAACTCGGATTCTGATTTCTTTGAGCCTAAGAGGGCAAAACTGTCATGTCCCGAAGGCTCAGCAGATTCTGTCTTTGAAATCACAGACACAAATGACAGTCAACCAGTCAGCACTGTAAACGAAAAAGCTGATACCTCCCGCCAGCTTCCCCCAGTGGATTCCTTGCTGTTCGAGAGTGTGCACGGGATGCTCAATTGCGTGGCTGACCCAACTGTTGGGTCGTTGTTAATTCTGCAAAAGGGAAAGAAATCTGGAGATAACGTTAAGGTAAACAAACCTTTCTTCTTTTTTCTTTTTCTCTGTGGGAGCATCAACTTCCTTGGAGGGAAAAGGAGATTCTATTCTATTGTCAAAGCTGTTTATTTACCACCATGAAGCCAGGTTCTTGTCTTGTTTTTCTATCAAGTGTTGATATGAAAAAAAAAATCTTTTTTTTTTTTTCTCTGTGGGAGCATCAACTTCCTTGGAGGGAAAAGGAGATTCTATTATATTGTCAAAGCTGTTTATTTACCACCATGAAGCCAGGTTCTTGTCTTGTTTTTCTATCAAGTGTTAATATGAAGCGGTCTCTTTTTCATTTTTTCGCCGGTTGATGTAGACCATAGCAAAACTCATTTGCAATTAAGATGTATGATCTTGTGTGTTTTTATTTTGCTAAGGACTATGGTATTTTTGACAAGCTGCGACTGACACACTTCACCCAAGGACTTGATTTGAATTTGGTCCAAACAAATCTGAGTAACCTCATCCCGCTGTTTGCTGAATCATCATCGTCATTGCCGCAGACCAGACATGATCCACAAGAGGCTCCACTTGAAGACCAGACAACTGATGTTGAGCAACCAATTGCAGAGGAAATGGTTTTCAAGAGTGTTAATATATTCTCTGATAGAAGTCTTTTTGACGATGGCACTGATGAATCTACCAATAAAGGGGAGACTGAAGTTGTCACGGAAACAGATCATTCCATAGATAAGGAATCAGAAGATGGAAAGACAAAGCTGTTGAATACTTCTCAGGACTCTGTAGACACAGGCTTTAGTGAGTCTCAACCTAAAGAGGGTACTGGTGCCACTGGGGAAGGTGAAATGCTTAAAGAGGACTCTGTAATCTGTGGAGAAACTATCTTGAAAGGAAAGAAACCTGTTCGTAAAACGCATTCCCATAGTAAGAGGAGTTTATCTGTTTCTATAACAAAATAGCAGTGTGAGTTTTAGGTCTTAAATATTGAAAAGCATATGAGGTTGTAAACAACGGATTGGTTTCAGGGTTTGAATCCTGAAGGGGCAAGTTTGGCTTTTACTTCGTCCTCAATCGTTATGATTTTCTTTTCAATGTGTTCTTCCTCGGCTTGCGATGACTTAAAAATGTTTATTTCAGGACCATGAGTGGGTGAGCAAGATACTTGACACCTTTCTGATATCAATGGGAAACTGCTTGATATACCAGGGTAAACTTAATGAATTTTCCTTTCAGGAGAAAGATGCTGCACCAAAGCTTTAGATGTATTCGCGCAGTTTGCAGAAAACCAGTCGTTTTTAGATGCCTTCTGCCCAAGTCTCTCTGTCTCTAACACCCAGTCTTCCTCTGTTGATTTTGGCTGGTGGGAAGCTGTGCTGAAGCCAGGGCTCACAGACGAGCACGTGACCGTAGAGGAGTGCAGTCATTGGTTGGCTCGTGATACACGAGCAAGCATTCGGGCAGCATCAGAAGTATCTAATTTGGAGAGTTGTCGCACCAAAGTGAATTGTCTGGCTAACGATTTAAAAGAAGTTAAAAATGTAGATGAAGAGGAGAGCCCAAATATTTCGGAAAATGAGCTTTTTAATTCTAGCTTAATATCGGAAGACCTTCCTCCACGTGATTGTGGTTCTTTGTTGCAGTTGATTTCACCCTCGCTCACACAAAGAAGGTAGGATACGCGGCAAAATTTCTTTACTCATACAGAAAAAGCCAAAAGGAACCCTACGCTGAGCGAGAGGAAACGTTTGTTTGTTGTTCATTTTGACCTGTTGAACTTGCTTTGGTTTTGACTTACGGTGCTTGATTGGACAGCTGGTATACCAAGAAAAATATCAGTAAATAAGTTATCAGTTGATCCAATGCCAAATTCTCTAAAGAGAAAGCATCATAGGAATTGTATGGCACACAGTAAGGAGAATCACTGAGGAGATCTTGGGAGTGAAAAGATTAAGCTTTCAGAGGTTCTCCCCCCACCCTTCCCTCAGCCCAATATCAACCCTAATTTGTTATCAGTTGATTGTCGACAGGAGCACAGTTGTTCAGTTGTTTGATTCCTTTCTTTGTGACGTCGTTTCACTTTTTTCTCTGCTTTTTTGGTATTTGTTGTTGTTGTTGATTTTTATAAGACTCTCGCTTGGTGAGCCCTTTACTTATTGTATTGGCCTTGTTTTATCATTCAGTTCCACAGCGAGCCGAAGAAAGCTCTGTACCTCCGTGCTGTCCTGTATCCCCTCACTGTACCACTGCGAGCATCGCTGTGTAGCAAGTGATTACATACCAACGTTTCGCTTGCTTTGTCACTCAGAAAGACTCCGAGAAGCTGCTAACGTCAAAAGAAGGTAAATTAACAGAACTTTACGTTACCTTTTTTCCCTAGTTCTCAAATGGTTATGAGCTCAGCCTGTCACAAAAATATTGGTATAACGTAATTGTACGAAAAAAGCGTGTTTAAAAATGGTTTTGTAACTGTTGTTCATGTAGTTTTAGAGAATGCTGCCAAACATCGTTAATGCTCTTAGTGGTATCAGTTAGTGCTGTTACGAAAGTTTAACACTGATGTAAACCTGATTTGTTTTCAGATTTCTTCATTATCTGGATCTTAATTCGTTTCCATTGAGTCGTTCCACAATGGAGGCTTTAGCAGACAGTTATCTGGGACAGTAGCGTAATGTAATGCGGTTTTTTGAACAATTTATAATTTCTTGATTCTTTTGCCGAGTGAAATGTAATTTGGGGCTGAAGGAGATACTGTTGATGTATAAAAAGTAATGTTTTCAATCTCGTACTCTTATTTCCTCCAAAACGTGTACTTGTGTCTCAGCAATTGCTATTATATCTAAACGCAAATCCTGGTTGATACGTTTTGCTCGTTCTCATAGCCTCCTTGCCAAATAGTTTGCCAATTTTGTCTCGATAAGTTAACTTTTCATCATTTTTTTAAGTAAAAAACCTCATAAAATCTTAGGTCACGAATTTAAGAAGGTTTTTAGCGACGAGGGGAGATTTCTTTTTTAAGAAAATTAAGCTCCTCCGCAAGGTGGAGAATCAAGAAGTTAAAAACTAGAACTAGGAGCTATGTGTACAGTACTTCATTATTGGAATTCAAGCAGATGTTTTCATAATTAAATACTTTATATACTTAAGCCAAGTTTTTAACTGTCATTTTGACTGTCAAAAGGTATCACAATTATCCAGTCGGGTAAATAATCACTGTTCTCAACTGATGAACTTCTGAATACAATGATGTACAAACTGAAATATTAATATAATTCATTGTCTGTGTTTTTCCATGATTGGACAAGAAAGTCTGAAACTCCTCTGTTCTTTATAATTGTTAAAAACCGGAGATACTGAGTCGATTAGACAAGATGGTCGGAGACTCCTCGGTTCTTCATGAGGTTTTTCAAAAACAGAATCTACAAAGTCGACTGGACAGGAAGGTCGGAAACTTCTCAGTTTTTACGAGAATTGTCGAACAATGTGCGAGTGAACTTATTTCAGATAAACAGAGATATTTTATTGTAAATATTTTTGAAACTGTCAGTGGAAGAAATGCTACTTTTGTTTAATATTTATGAATTTAGTTCTTCCTGATCACGATTTTCCCTCTATAGATGAAATCCCATTTTTGTGTTACATGGTATTGATGATGCAACGCTTAAATTTGGACTTCCTTCGGAGAAAGGATTAAAATATATAATTCATCAAGGCCTCAATGTCATAAGCAGCTGTTTCCTAGACGGTTTTCTTGACAGGTGTTTCGTGGAATTGTGGTGTGTCTAATACGAGAAATTTTACTCCAATTTTCCACGCGTAAACCTGGCACGTTTCTTAAGAAAACTCATCGCGGTGGTCATTTGTTAGTCGAGATGACTTGTCAGTGGCTTTTGTTGAAGGAAATTTTTGCTTGGCTACTTGTCGGGAAAAACTTAGCTAACGGAAATCAGGGTTTCATTCTTAGGCCGTCCATGAAATTGTTTTTGTGTGTTCGCTGGTGTTTTTATTTCCCTATTTGGATCTGCTATCTAGGGCTGAGATAGAAGATACCGAACCATAGATACAACTTACTAATCTGTTTCCAGCGACCATTTAGAAACCACTGTTAATGATAAACCTATGAAGGAAGTGGGGTGCAATAGGTAGCTAGATCTAAATTTAAGGCATTTGTGTGTATGTATAATTTAATTTATTCAATTAAGTTAGTCATGTAAAAAAATTGCTTTTCCTCGTAGTCTTGAAATAAATTTGTAAAATCCAACTCGTTCTCATCTCAGTCACAACTACCAGAGGCCAATAAAAGAGAGCCGAGAGGTGTGAGATTTAAGGTGGTTTTTTAATTGAGTGCGATCGACTGAGTTGACTCAAGAGAAAATAGAAATTAGCATCTAGCGCGGTGATGTCCACCTCGAACGGTTTCCCAAGATGAGGGTAACTTTATGGGAAATTTAATCTCAAGGGCGCGTTTTGGTGAAGGAACGGACACTTTCCAGTGAACGCGCGAGGAGCTATGCAGGATAAATGAACGGGGTTAGGCATCTTGCAAAACGGCTGCAATGAAAATGTCACGTGATTTGCTAAGAGCGTCATATGTTAGAGTTTCAGTCTGCTGAGCCAATAATATGCTAAGTTGTTTAGGCATAACTTCAAAATGAAATAAATGAATTTAAGAACTCTGTTGTTCGGCTTAAATACAGCTACTAGTTTTCATTTAATGTAACCAGGATTAATTACAAAAATTATTTTGGCTAATTAGCTTACCTATTCTTAATTTGGCGAATACAAGTAACTTTAAAGATTTTGTTTGCGATACATTAAAACAATATTGTGCAGACATAAAAAAAACTGTCATATCATACTTCCGCATTTTAGTGCACATTAAGCGAATGTTTAAAGACCAAACAAAAATTTGTTCGTAATAAGAACTGTAAGATGTTCTTCCCCTCGTTATTATTTGTCAAACACCATTCTTCCGTTGGAAAAACATGATGATGTATCCCTGACAATAGCCCAATCAAGAGGTATAATATCGTCAGTCGTGAATTTTTTCCATTGGATGAAAGACTGTCCATACTAGGCTTTCCCTTGTCCGCCTGATGCAGAGGCATCGCTGCTCTTTGCTGGTCCTCCGGGTCCGTTGTTAGAAGTGTCTACCGGCCTCTTGTTTCCAGCGTTCATGAGCATCCCAGCTATTGTGGCAATGACTGCAGCTATGAACCAGAAGAACCATCTCTTGGAGAAATATTTGCCAAAAGCTGCAAGAAACGCAGACGTCGCGATGGCAAATCCAACAGCCATTGAACTGCCTTTAAATTAATTTTTTTTTTAGTACGCAGCACAGTAAAGTCCTCTTGTCAGCTAGAATGATGACAAGAACAGAAAGTATGAATCAAAACACGCTTTAGAACCCTGCCCTGTTTTCCTTGTCAATTTGGCGTCTTGGTAAACTTCTCGACTGGTATTACGCGTTAAAGCGTTTGAAAGTGGAATTTCATTGGCTGGTTTCGGTAAATGTTGGGATTTAAATCACATGGTTAGCAGGTGTTTAAAAGAAGAAGCTGTTAATACCCTTTAATGGTTTTTTTTTATTTATTTTTTTTTTGTTTCCATGCCTTTTAAACTATCAAGGAATCGTTTTCATTTCAGTACTACTCTATCATTCATGTACATACAAGCATAAGGCTGGTTACTTGCAATCAAATTAAAACTGATTTAGATACCAGGATATCATTTTGAAGGTCAGCGTCTCACCAGGTGGTTCTTAAACTATTTACACTTGTTTTAAATGAACTAAAGCGTTTTGTGGTATTGTTTAAACAGACAATTCAAGATACGAAATATAATTGATGGTTGATGTTGGTGCCCGCTTCTGAAGGGTGGAAAGAAAGCGTACTTTAGTGTTATTAAGTATCAAGTTTTGAGCCCGACTTTAAAAGAAAATATAAATATTCGGTTTTTTGTGTTCTGTAACCATAGCTGCATTGCAACAAAGAGTTAATGTAATCACAGATTCACCAAATTGAATTGTCTACTTTGCCGATTAAATAATTCATTGTTTATCTATTTTATTTTACACCGAACTGAAAGGCGTAATTTTCCCCTTATTGTCCATCTGTCAACCTCTTGTTCAAGTTATCTTGACAATCATTGCGGAAATGATGATAACGTCATTGTTTAGGGAGGTTGTGTGTGCGCTTCTAAGGCGCTAGGCGGGTCTGGATTCTCATCTGTAAGGCGTGGCCGCGTGAGACTACTACCGAGTGTTTACTTAGTTCCCAGGTAACCTCGCGATTATGCGCGAAGTTTGAAAACAACAGCCATGATGATCAGTTGTTCCGTCGCATGAATTGACTTTATTCGATGTTTGCGTCCCTCATTTCTGACGAAAAATGTCAGAGAAAAATAGGCCACTACAGCAATTATCTTCAAATTCAATTTCTGCAAAGGAATTAGCCAGGTAAAGGTGTTTCATGTGTTCATGAAGTTGCTTCTAACTTCAGGTATGAATTATTTCCTAACTCTGCGATCAGTTTCTAGCAATGGAATATTTTTAGAAGTTTAGGTTTGGTCAAGAAAGGACCCTCGTCCTCAGATCGACGGAAATGTCGCGCTAAGGAGATGAAACAACGTAAGTATAGCATCTACTTTACTCAAAAGATACATGTATATTACATCAAAATGATTTCGGTGAGTTAAACTCACTGTTGGACTCGAGAAATCTAAACGATCTACAGTTTCACTATCAGGGAAAAGAAAAAATTACTTTTCACTGATAGATTATAGGAACCCATAACATCTCTGAATTAAAAATTAGACGATCAGTTTTGTGAAATTTATTAACTGATTATAAGTTTAATGTAGAATTGAACGACAACTGATCACTTATAAATTAATACTTTTCATTCCAAAGTCTCATCACCATAGATTTTAGGACGTAGTGACCCAGGTCAGTAGGGTAATTTGGGTGTCGAATTGCAACGTATATTCAATTTCATGATAGTTAATTAATAAATATGTATATTTTTCACTTACTGGCTTTCTTATTTCTATGGCAGGTCAATATTTTTCATACCTAATTGTTCTTGACTTTGAGTCCACTTGCTGGAAAGACAAGAAAATGAATTATGCCCCAGAAATAAGTAAGTATCAGTTTTGTCACCAAAAGAAGACCTGCATATTAAAAAAGATTTGATGTTTTCATGTGATGGATGCTAGAAAATAAATCATATTTAATTGTTTGAATGTGAAAAAAAAAACATATACATGTATGTAGTGTGGAAGTCCACAGACCAGGCACAGTTTTGGCGCTTGTTGTGCCAAACCTTAAAACATGCTTAAAAAACAGTTATTTTTATTGTTTTAAATTACTTTTGATTTTTTTTGGGTGCACAGTTGAATTCCCTGCAGTGCTGCTAAATACAAACAGTGGAGAAATTGAGTCTGAATTCCATATGTATGTACAGCCTCAAGAGCACACAAAACTGAGTGATTTCTGCAAAGAGCTGACAGGAATAACTCAGGTATGTTCTGAAAAGCACCATTTTAATGCTGACAGAGGCATTCTGATTTTTTTAATGTTTCTCTCAGAAAATGTTGTCAACTGTTCAATTTATGGAAAAACTAGTCTGTTTGCTTTGTTTTTCTAAGATCATTGTTCAGTGGGCAAAAAAAGTAAGAGCTGTGGGCAGGGATTTAAAAACAGGCCAGTGACTGCCAGAGTTCTGCTGGCTACTTGTAAAGTGTTGCCAGTTACTCAGCTCAAAATAATCACCTTTTGGCCCTTGATGAACTTTTTACAGTCACCTACTTTTGTCAAGTCTGGCGCCTACTTAAAAACAATATGAAAACCTTAGTTGTGGGATATTTAAAGAACTTGAATACTACATACAGCAACTGGGGAATAGCCTTTCTTTCTTGAATATGTCAAAAAATGTGAAAAGCTTTGGGCAGAATATGGTAAAACTATCTGGACAGACAATTTTAACCAACTGCACCTAAAGTTATGGAGTCATAATCTGAGGATCTCCTTTGCAAAAAAAATTGCTTGATTAAATGCTCTCCAACTGAAATGTACTTTGTGACAATTTTTCAAGTCCTTAAAGATATTTGCAAATAAACGTATCTGAAAATATCCTCTAGGCTCAAGTGGATGGTGGTGTTCCCATTGGCACATGTCTGATGCTGTTTGGACGTTGGCTACAAGAGATGAAGGACAAAAAAGGATTCAAGTTTCCTTGTGAAGATGGACAAAAACAAGATCAAGAAAACAGTACACATTGTTGGATTAAGTGGTGCACATTTGTTACATGGTCAGGTAAATGTGATTTCCATCTTCTTGTTCTCCTGGTGCAGTATATGACCAGGTTCTGGTGATCAGCAGATTAACCCAGCACTTAAAATTGTTTCAAGGTAATTCTCATGGTAGAGCTAATATCACTTTCTGAAATTTATTTTGCGCACATTAACTCCTGAACTTTTCTATTGAGATACCTTTATTTTTTTTGTTGTAATTTTTTTTAAATTAATAAAGACTGGGATTTGGGAACTTGTCTCAAGAATGAATGCAACAGGAAGCAGCTTAGAACACCTCATTCAATGAGGAGCTGGATTGACCTCCGAGCAACATATAGGGTAAGCTGTAAAAAACAAAAATTTACAACTGATTGATAATGGTCATTTACTTTTGACAGAGCTATTGTGGGGCTTATCACTTGTATTATCTCAAAGTCTTTCCCTAAAGAAGCTCTCAATGTTTAAAAACACAACCCGAGGAGGACTATGCACCAGGGGAGAGAATCTGATGAATCACTTTCTTGGTCTCTCTCCTTTTCCCTCCCTTCAGCCAATGTGCTCGTTTTCTCCTCAAATTCTTGTCAGCTTATTGTGACATTCTCCTTTTTTTTGATCGGCTGTTAAGATTACTTTGGTTTTTGTTTTACAACACTCAGTCGGAAAGCGTTCCATCCTCTCTCATGATGAATATACCTTAAGTATTCATTGTGTATACACTAACCAAAACCTTTACTCATTTTGGATAGAATTTTTACTGTCGTAAGCCTCAGGGATTGGCAGGTGCTCTTCAAGATCTGGGAATCAAATTTTCCGGAAGAGAACATTCAGGTACTTATCATTAACCATTTCTCTTGTTGTAGTTATCTTAAAACTTTCACCTTTAACCTTGTAATTCTTGTTAACGAGAAAATAGTTAAAAATCTTTTACTTGCATGAGCGGACTAGTGTTAAATATCGGTTACTATAAAAAGACATTTCATAAAACTGATTTTAAAGAAGTTCTACCGTAACATGAACAGAAGAGTAGCTTCTTAGATTTTACACTGAGCGCTAATTTTTAGCGCTTGCCGAAATAAAAAATCCAATGAATCTAGACTCAAACAGTAAGAGACATGTTCTAGGCAAACACATTAGTGATGTCTTTCTTTCTAAACAATATTACCGCCCTTTCTGAATCTTCACATGTGCGCTCGGTTTATTGGTATGGCTCTCTTTCTGATATCTTACCTTCCTTTTGTGAAAATGTCAATGAGATCTGAAACAAGCTGCAACAATTTCTTGACTTCAATGAGGAAGCCTTTAGGAGATGGGGCTATATGTAAAAAGAACGCAGGTAAGCTTGCTGATCAAAATAGATTTAACTTTCCTGTTTTTCTCCAGGGTTAGATGATGCCCGAAATACAGCTCGGCTTGCTTGGAGAATGATCTCTGATGGATGTGTTATGCAAATAACAAAGAGCTTAGACGGGGTGTGTACTTAGTGGGTAGAAATTGTTTCATACACGTATGAGCGGTGTGGCATGCCTTATCAAATGCTGTTTCAGATGAAGCCGGATTTATTTGACTATTACTAGTAAAGAACTTTATATTCTCTTGACCTCCCTCCGTTTTGATCGGCATAAACAAAACAGTAACTAAATCAAACTCAAGGACGGAATGAGACTCTCGAAAAACACCTACACTGCACTCATTTTGACAGTGACTGGTCTGGTCCGTATACTACAACTGAAAGAAAGCGTCCCTAACATTTTGTTGAACGGGAGAGGTGCGGTCTTAAATTTATGCTAAAAAGAGCTCAGTGGGTGTTGCTTCTACTCAGAGCGCAAACGGAGTTTACGTCTTGTGAAGCATAGTTCTGGCATTTTATTTTCGTCTAGACTTGTTTTCTTTTGTTTTGCGTCACCTTTTTCGGTAACACGAATTAGGAACCGGGGATTTCTCGTCGTGACTTTGGTTAGTTTTGGGCCAACAATAAGTCTTTGTTTATCAAAAACGCAATAAAGTCCTCTTCAGTTCAGCTGAGCGTTTAATCTTAGAGTGGTTTAGATTTTTCCCGTGTTCAAATCGAGTCTGTGAACTTGTACATAGTCGGTTCTATTTCCGAACAATGTAAGTTATCGAATAAATACTCCCCATTTCATTGAAGTTTGTGTCTTCCTTTTGTCTCCCCTGTTTGTTATTTTTCTTGTCGTCAAAGAGGAAACGGATCCACGTCTTCATTCATTAACGAACCAGTGTTTTAAACGAGAAAAGTCTGCATTTCACTTGAATAAAGATAACGAACTGCAACCAATCACTGCAAATACTTAACAAGTTGCGATGAAACGAAGTCTTTGTGCATTGTAATGTTCTGGTTATGTTTATTAATAGAAGGTAGCAGAGAGCTCTGACACAGACTCCTTAGTGAGATCGATCAGTCTGAGACTTTTATTGCGATTTTCTTTTCTCTAGAAAGAACAATTTATAGCCTTGAGAAGGATGGAAAACAGACCCGGAAATTATGAAATGAACGTTTTATGAACCTCGTATTTCTTATATTTTTCAGATGTGTGAAAAGCTTTGCGAGATCGTTACTAAGAATGGTTACTTGAAAACTGATTCATTGGCTACACAAGACATGGAACCCACAACTGGAACTTTTCTCAAGCATTCCTATGATGGCAAAGTGAATTCTTTAACAGAGGCAAAAACCCGAAAGCTTCAAGTTCAACAATCTACACTTCCAGAAAGAAAGACATACAAAAGTTTACACGTTTCCTCTGGGCAAGCGGAGCGTCAGAGCGGAAGAGAAACTACTGGGCTTGATAGGCAACGCGATGAAGCTGTTAGCGAAAAAGTTGCGGTTAATTATTCACTTGGAAAAGTGACGATCGCGGAGAAAGATCACTCCGCGGAAATTAAAGGAAGTGAGCTTAAAGACGGTCATGATGCGAGACTTATGCCTCCTTTAACTGGTCTAAAAAGGAGGGCGCCACAAAATATTGTAGGATCGGCTGCCGCAAATGCTCGCCTGGTATCCGATGAGAGCTGCGAGAGCACTCTAAAGAGTCTTATCGCTCCTTTAACAAGCTTGTCAAATTTAACGAAAAGAGTAACAAGCAATTATGGAGAATTTACTCAAGAGACACCCAAATCCTCAGGTTCGGGGCTTCTTTTGAAGAGAGGACTGGTAAAACAAACTCTTAGCATCAAGCATTTCACAGCACTGGAACACAGCAATCAACGAACATCCCTTGGAGTTGGACAAAACGAAAGCTCCAAGCCATGCAAACCAGGAAATATTGAAATGTACGCTGCAACAACACCTTCGCTCACTGTCCAAGCAAATAAAGCTCCTCTTAAAGAAAAGCACGGAGAGAAACAAAACTTGAACAATGATAACTGTACTTTCGCACGTCGATTTAATACAAAGTATAACAATTATAAGAAAAAACCTAACCTCTCCACCCCTCCCTCAGTTACGACAAAAGTGAATTCCTCTGTCACCCCACCCATAGTTTGTTTTAACAGAGGCGGTGTCACTCCACCGCTGTGTCAGTGTGGGCGCCGCACTCGTCGGAGGTCTGTCGTTAATCCGGGACCTAATCAAGGCAGAGCTTTCTTTACGTGTTCGTTAAGTCATGGTAGATTAGGTCAAGAGACAAATTCTGCTGATAAAAAGGCTAAAAGAGGGTGTAGCTTTTTTCGTTGGGAGGTGAATTTGTAGTCTCTTGCAGTCGAAGATGAATAAACTGTTTGATGTGCAGTCTTCAGTGTAAATCATAGCGAAAAAAACACTTTAATACATTTAAAATGAATTGAAAGCTGTGCTTCCTTTTTGGTACTGTGTTCGTACTTGATCACGGGTGGTGCAGCCGATGCGCAGGGTTTTTGCCACTTCAACAAGCACAACCGTTTAAAAACGCATCGTATTCTCACTCAGTCAATAAACCATTAAGATATTCTACTCAAAACTTCAAAACTTCAACTAGTGTCCATGGACTTCTCTTCCTTGTACAGAACGCCTCCTCTGCGGCGAACTTCACTCATGAAATCCTTCCTGAGGCCTGAGTGCGCCTTTGTTTTGTGCCAAGTCCTCCAAAAAATGATAACCTATTGCACGGCAACATCATCCACTGAACTGAGTATCCCATATCATTTTTTATTTTAACATCTCTCTGTCATTTTTTCCTTTCCCTACCACTTGCAATTTTACCCCTCCCTCTTTTGTCACGTGCGTGCAAATCAACCTAAAGATAAAATAGAGCCATAAAACCATTTAACTAGTTATGAGAAAGAGCCAAAAGCCTTGAACTTCTGTTGATGCAAATGTACACCAGCCCCGCTCCCATGGTATTTTTCGCGAGGCTGAATTTGCACGTGATATCTTTCAACTCATTTCCATTTAGGGTTCCTCATGGTGACAACTGTTTTACTTCGCAGGAAAGAAAGGCAAGAAAAACTCGCCGGTTAACCAAGTCTTCTGTTCAAAATTGGCCAAAATTATTGAGAACGCATTGCTTCTATTCTTTGAAGACGACCAGGCCAAAAGGTCTTTCCATTTCAATACCAAACACACGGTAAGATACTCGTACGTTTAGCTGGTTGACTTGTTCAGTACAACGCGCTCAACGAATTAAAGAGAATTGTGAATAGCTAATAGATAGTTAGTATCTTACCCAACATGTGCTCGTTAGGAGCAACTCCACACTCACATCTTCGTTTGATAGCGGTAAAAAAGGTATTTGAGAGCATTTTAAAGGAAAACTTTTGTCAATAATTGCATTAGTCCAACCAACCCGTAAATGGCTCGATAGGACCGTCATCGCTCGGCGGTAAATTCAAACCGAACTTGTAAAGAAAAAGTTAAGAATGAATCTATCTGAATTGACGTTTGATATTCCTTGCATGGACGAGGAGTATAGGCAGAAAACGTCTTTATTGTTCTTTGAGAGTGTTATAATCATTTAACTTTTCATTGCAGTCTCGTAGACCTCAGCAAGATAAATTAAGTCAAGATTATTTTCTTTTTGCCTCGGAAAATAACGGCGTTGTTTTTTTTCCATAGTAGATGAAGCAATATGGAGGAAGCATCGGGAATAAAGCATGGGAGTAACCGGAAATAAAAGGAAAAAAGGAAAGAATTACGAAGAGGTAAGCTGTTTAAAATAGGTTTATAATCTGTACATGTAGCTGCAATTTTATTCTTAAATAAGCGCAAGACCACCTTTAATCAGTCAGGCCAGAAGCCAAAACTGTTGAGTCGAGTAATGACGTATTTGCTTGTGTCAGCAAGAAAAATTAATACAAAGGATATGCAAATTGTACGTCAGAGACGACCTCTGGGCACAAAGTTATGTCGCTTACAAAGAATGATCGGAATGTACTGCGCTTTGAAAAAAGAGTTGCCTCTTGAAAGCATTTCCTTTTAACTGAAAATTGCGGAATAAGTCTTCATTTCTTTTGCTAGCCAAGGAAGAATATCGAACAGAATTTTTTCCTTCAAAATGAGCATTAAAAGTTTTGGAAAAGTATTTGAGAAAATGCTGGGCACGTCCTTAATCGTTTCAAAATGACGAGTATTGTAAGTTGCTTTGTTCAGGTGTCGTATTTTAAGGCTAATTGGCCCCGAAAAAAAGCCACAGTGTGGGGTTCTAAGGAAATCTTTCTCGACTACATTACTAGAAATGTTGAATTATCGTGAAAGTGTGGATGCAATGCCGTAATATTTATTGAATATGAAGAGGTTCTTGAAAACTTGATTCCGCAACCGAATTTATGTAGGGGTTTCAGTCACTTTCTCCTTTAGTGACTACCGGTGGCCACGGTTTTGATGCCCTAATGAACTTAAAAAAATGGCTTTCATCAATATGTAACAATTCTTTTGAAGAATGAGTACAGTGACCTTTACTCAAAGCTGAAGTTTTAAGGAATTGTGATCATATGACGATTATCAAGTCTAGAAAACAAATTCAAAGAGATAGAAGCGAAATATCTTTATTTACAAAGCTTTTATTTCCCGTGACTAAATTGTCGAAATTTCATTTCGTCGATTTTTAAAATGTTCGTTTGTGTTATATTGCAGTCCTTTGATATCCTTGTGATACGCTGTGATGATGTGGAACACAAGCCTTGTGGGAAAAGATAGGATCGAACTGAAGAAAGCGTAGCTTAGTTATTGGAGAAAGAAGGTCGAGAACAGTGTTAGAGGTAACTACTGTAACTTAGACCTACCAACTACGTTTTCCGCAGAACGAATTCGGTCACAAATTTCCGTTTAATTTTAAGACCATTGTGAAGGAGCTCAAACGCTGATGGAATTAATTTGGCAAGGTAAACACATTCAAGCGATCTTTTTCAAATGATCAAAATCTAAGAAAGTTTAGCTGTTAGGAGGGACGCTTCCAGTGACTGCTTAAAAATTGGTATCATCGCAAGTGCAGTAAAAACGTCAAGGATTTTTAAATGCTGGTTTTCAACAAATAATTGGAAATAATTTGGCAAGACGAAGAAAATACACTCTCTAATTTAGTGTAAGCTGTTGGAAAGGACACAAACAATAATGGCTTGAAAAAAATATCTCCAGATCGTGTAGCATAACTTGGAGAACGTCCTGCCGGCATGAAATATTTTACAATCTCGTCATAACATGTATTATTGATTATCACGTAAATTAAATGGGTAGAGATTTTCTTTCAATATTCGAATACATCGAACTTATTTTGGTTTGTTTTCCGTACAGTCACTGGAAATGCGTTCTATTGATAGCAATCGTATGTCGAAATATCCAGTGTAAAATTCGAATATTAATTTATTCTCAATGTTATTGTCTAAATTTTTTTGTTGGAATGTTCCAACATAGAACTGTTTAAAATGCCACTAAGACTTAGTTATTATAGCCTTGTGATTTTGTTAATCTTTTAGTTCTCTTGAACTAATAGTTTCATCCTTGTTCAGTTATATGTTCTTGAGTTAGACTAATTTTGTTATGATCTTGTGTAAACGTTGCCATATGTCAGTAAAGAACTGTATTAAGTGAGTTAAAGTACAAACAAATAAAAAATTTGTGTCCACTATAGTCTTCCTTTTCTCTTTTATTAAGTATATAAATAAATAAAAAAGAGAGTTGCGCTTTTAAAAGGGCTTGGTAACAAGTCAAAATATAGGCTATCTCTTTTACACTTTTTTGCGTATGGAGGGTTGCCGAGAGGAAAAAAATTTCTGCGGATTTGAACAGCATCTAGAATTAAAACAAAAAATATACTTGACTTTTGATAGGAGAAAATCGTAAGCATGGAGCAAGATTTTTCCCGCCAAAAGACTTAGTATATTTTTGGATCAACACCAGACACAATTCAAAAGCGCAGACTTTTTTTTCCAGGGACAATTTTCCCGCCGAAAGACTTAGATTTTTTTTTTGGCCAAAACTTAGTTTTTCAGCAATGATACATAAAATTTTTCCCGTCAAAAGACTTTTTGTTTTAATTGCGATTTGCCCTTTTAAAAGCGCAAACTTGTAATGCAGAGTTCGTCGCATACACCCTTCGCCTGGGCCTGGGCACGATTATTTTCCCAATCGGGTTAAACGTAATTTTTGATAAGCTTTATTTCAGTCAACAGACTCCTTAAATCCTCTAACATCATCGTTTCTTGAATCTTGCTTCATATGATCTTGAGATCTTTCACATCTAAAGATATAAAAAGATGGTTTAGCAACAGTACTTTCGAGCATACTTTGAAGTTACCTACCCATAATGCCATCTATTGAAAATTTCACCTTGTTTTGTTCTTCAGCTGTGTAAACCAAAACCATTTTGCTAGATTGATTATCAAGTTTCATGTTGCCAAGGAATCTTGAACACATTTGGAGGAGTAACTTAAAGATATTTAAAAGTTAAAACTGCTGACCTTCAAAATATTTCTGAGTGTCGCAAAGCTGGGTCAGACTCAAAAAACAAATGTATCATCTGCATTTGAAGAAGCAATTCTACTTTTTCAAATAATTGTTCAGTACATATGTTTGAATCGAGCAATAGGTTGCTTTCACTTACAACGACATTGAGGTGAATCATTGTTTTAGAATATACCACACAGATACCAAAAAAAATAAACTCTTGACACGTGACCTTGTCTCAACGGCTGCTCGGAAGTGAATAGTCCTTGCTATTCTCTTCCGAACCAGCCAATCAGCGTGCGCGAAAATCGCTATTCACTTGTGTGGCATTTGCTAATAATAAATACATTTAAATTCCATGAATAAAGTCAGTTCACGTTTTCACCCCTAGGATCTAAGCATCAATTCTCCACATTATTTACCAAAAATTTCGAATAACTTTAGTTCTGAGAATTTTGCGCCGAGTTCTTTGGTGCTATTCTTGACCTCGTTACCTTTTGGCTTGCAAACTTTTGATATCGTAGGGAAAAATTTCCTTATTGGTCATTCCCAGCACAGAAAAGTTATGAAGGATGACGTTCCCAGCAAACGACAAAGGGCGAGTTAGATTGAAATAACAAAAATTAAAAAATCTTTCCTGTACAGTTGATTCAAATATTTCCGTTTTACTTCAAAAATGGTTGAACCGGCGCATGGCAAAAGGTTTACTTTGAGCGGTTTTCCGCAAACCTCATCATTAAACCTTTATATATTCAGGGAGATTTCACGAGCAATTTTCATTCTTCGTTCCTTTATTTGTAACTTTCTAATATTTTCTTTATTCTTACAACTTTGTTTCAACTTAGTACGCTTCGGTGAATTAGCTAACAGGGAATTCGAGATAATTTTTTCATAAAAGCTTCGATTTCCCCTACCAATCCCTGGCAAAATCCATTTCATGACACAATTTTCATCTGTCTTCGCGTTATTTTCTTTCGAAAAAATATTTTCAAATCCTAACAAATTTACCTAGATCGAATTTCGCTAGTCTTTTATTTGCTCCACGCGGGTGTAAAACTTTATTAGTTACATAGCGTTTACTTATCAATACAGTGCAAGAATATATTTATATTCTTTAGGTAATTTAGCGGCGGCATTATTGAGGTGGCTCGTAAAAGTTTACTTCCTTTTTTTCTTTAAATGAGTTGCATCAATTCCCAGAAAACGTTGAATGAAGACATTTAAGATACCAAGATACACGCGAGGTCAAAAATCGTTGTCACAACAAGTTCAAGAGGCGTTAAATTGCCCCTGATTTCTTCCGAACTTCAGAGAGAAATAAGTCAAAATTCCCGATCCAACCTTCGCAATTCTCCTTTCAAAGTAGTTTAGTTATGGAAAAACAATATTACAAATTATGAAAAAAAAAGTGATTAGGATTTATCGACACCTTAAACTTCCTTTATTCGTGTGTTTTTGCCACGACAAAACACTCCTGGTTTTTTTGTTCTCGAGTAAACAAACTGAGTACACCAAGAAGAGGTTTAAATCAACGAGTGTCTCAATGTCACCGGACAATACTGGGACCTGTCAAACCACTCCTCACTTTGCCGTGGAAATTAGTTTTGGTGTCCTTCTCAAACGACTCCGTATATTGAAAAACGTTTCACAGGTTTAAATATATGTTTCTTTTACACACTATCCTCTGTGCAACTTTAGAATTTCGAAGGCAAAAAGGCTACAATTGGCCACCTAAATCACAGTTAATGTTTAAAACAGATCTGAACTTTCTAAACGAATTTTTGATGAGCAAAAGATAATCTTCTTTTGCGTTTGCTTCTCACTGATCAGCCATCGAATCAGAAAAGAATATTTTCGAAATTGAAAGTAAAAACTTGAACTTAAGCCCAACAAGGATTAAGTAAAATAAGTGTTAACCGTCTCTCGGAAAAATCTGGAAAAGGAAATACAATAATAAACTGACCTGAATTGACTGAATCTGTTTCCTTGAACTATGTCTTGTTTCTAATACAGTGCCATCCCTATTGATATTCTATTTCTGAAAATTGAGCGACGTAGAAAAATTTCAGTGAAGTTGAACAACCAGTAAAAAAATCATAACGGAGTAGGGTCAGCGTCTCACCATAGAACAATCAATTGTAAACAGTTTAAATGCGACGGCGGGATGGCTTTGTGAAAAAATTGAATATCTATCAATTTATTTCATTTTTTTTTTTGGAGGGGGAGGGTGTGGGTTTCGGGGGCATGAATCACATTGAGGGACCGGTCATTATTCATCGGAGGATTTTGGTTGCGTCACAATAACATTTAATGCATCCCCCTTAAAAGTTCTGTTAAATTCATATGACCCTACTCTATACTCTGTTCGCGATGACCGATCCCCGGTCCGTTTCCCTAAAACCCTTGCGATCCCCTAAATTCTCCACCAGCCGATAGACAATAACTGGTGTCTCACTTCTTCGAAAAATTATCATTCCTTAAATAATTATAAATAATTTTGTGTTGTTTTTTTTATCCCTTTAATCATAAAATGACTATTTCCACAATCGTGATTGGTTTAAGAAACTCCTATTTTCAGCTAATTCACTTGCCAAGTTGTTATCGGACAGTTTGTTATCGGATAGTTCAGTAAGCCAATCACATTCAAGGTTGTAGTTTAAAGTAACCAATCACATTGAAATGAATAAAGGAGATTGAAAAGTTTCTAAAGAAACTGTGGTGCTGCGTCGGTGGGAGAGTATAACAGGGTAAATTTATTGTTAACAACTGAGTTGAAAACGTTAATTGGCCACCGTAAAGAGTTTAAAGGCTGACGTTTGGAGCATTAGCCCTTCGTCAGACTGAAGGGTAACGTTCGAAATGTCAGCCCTCGTCAAATGTCGAGGGCTGACGCTCGAAATGTCAGCCTTTAAACTCTTTACGGTGGCCAATTTACGTTTTCAACCCAGTTGTTAACACTAAATCACCAATCACATTCAAAGTACTTTAAATCAACCAGTCACAACCAATAAACAATTTACGCCTCCTTTGTCATTCTTTAACCCTATAATCCCTGAGAGTGACTAACATCTAATTTCTCCTCAAAATATCACCCCTGAAACAAGCACTAAGGTCATGAGAATAAAGGAAATGATAATCAACTGAAGAACCTCTTGATTGTTAATCAAATTCTCCTTGCCAGCCCATTAGGAAATGTATAGAGAACGGTATGGAGAATATACATGCTGATGTTAGGGTGTAAAGGGTCAATGCAAAATTTCTCTTTCTATCACAACTTGCCTATTCTCCTTTTGGTAAAATTTCCGCACAGCCCCATACTACTGTAAAACAAATCTGTTTTCCCAATGGCAATGTATTTTTTTGTCATTGTTTTCTCTATCCAAGAACTGAATGCATAATATAGGATGGGGCTGTGCGGAAATTTTACCTTTCTTTTCTCGGAAATTTTAATATTAATGATTAGTTGGTTATCACTTGCATGATTCCAAACCGAATTAGACTCTACTCAGTCCTATTACCATTACTAATCCCTAACGGCGATAAGCATCGTATCTCTCTCAAAAGTATCACCCCTAAATCAAACGTTAAAGTCATGAGGATAAAGAAAATGATCACGAACTCGAAATGAAAGCTCTAAAACTTTTTAGTGTCGCTAAAGGAAAGAAGAGCTGATGCTTTCTCAAAAAACATCGGATAGTAAGTGACTTTTTATGAACAGTGGAAGAAGAAGCTAAATGACTTACATGAGTTCAAAAAAGTAAACTTCTGTCTTCTCGTGGTTTCAATCTGTTGACATGTCGTCGCTGACTTCAACCCGGGAGCGAGAACCGTTACGCACCAAAGATTAAGATACAAGTCACCAAACATTTTAACTTCCACTTTCAGATATTCTTCCTGTCTAGGACATGTTTAAAGAAGCGTTGTCTGACCGAAAAACTGCAATTCGAGGCTTTAAAGCCAGCAGGCTAGCGTAGTTCCGAGCTCCACGTGTAAAGATCCTGACACAAGTAAGATGAATATTTAATGTCGGCAGTATATTTGCAATTCAATTCGAGCTTTTCGCGTGCCTCGCAATCAGTATTCAAAATGACACCGTGTGGAGTAGGGCAACATGTTTCTCTTCTGGTGGTGATTTTTATCCCAGAGGTCTAAGATCCCTGTGTCGCGAGAAAATTTGAAAATGTTTTACACAAATGTTGTGTTCTGAACTCCAGTATGCCTTTAATTCCTAGCAAATGTTACCTTGTTGGTGGTAGAAATAAGGGGGGGAAGGGGGACTAGGGGGATAGGGGAGGGGGGGACTAGGGGGATGGGGGGGTTAAATTGAGCTAAGAAAACATGATCTCCTAATTTAGCCTTAGGCATAATTTTGGGCATAATGCCATGTTTTTAGTGGTGACGCATAACGCTCATGATTTATCTGATCCTACTGTGTACGTGATGGTATGAATCAATTCTTATAAGGTCTTTTATCTTCTGTCGCCTTTTTTGCATCTTACCTCAAAACTACAACCACCAGTTAAAATGGCTTCGAAACGGCGTATTTTTGTTCCTTTATTTTCAGTGTTATTTAGTTCTATTCCTCCGATCGAAGCAAAATATGTTATTTTACTAGATTAGATTCTAAGTGGAATTCTTCATATTACATACCCTTCCGGAATACAAATATTTTAACGACATCATTGTTCCATTTATATTGTCCTAGCTTAACACTAATCTAAACAAAACAAACTATTTTTCCTGACCTATCAGATTCAGTATAAATTAAGCATGCATATCAATGACACTAAATTATGTCACGCGCAGGTTTGGACCTCAACGAATACATAATCCACTTTGTCAACGGTGCATTGTGATCTCTCGTCAGAAAGACTCGTAGTCGAGCAAATAAGCGTCTCTCTTACGGAAACATGGCCGAAAACGCCTCAAAAGAACCACGCAACACAGCTAAGAGTCCGTACTGCTGGGATATGATGCGGTTACTCGACAATGCCCGCAAAGAAGGTGAATTGACAGATGTTACTATGCGAGTGGAAGGACAAACATTCCCCGCTCACCGATGTGTTTTGGCAGCCAGTAGCCAATTCTTTCATGGTTTATTTACCAACGATATGAAAGAAAAATCGGCGTCAATCGTAAATATCGAAGGAATTCCAGTTTCGGTGATGAATGAGCTCTTGTCTTACCTTTACACGGGAGAGGTTCAAATGAGCGAGGCGAATGTCGATGATCTGATCGCATCCGCGAACTACTTACTACTTCCCCGTCTAAAAAACATCGCTTGCAAGTTTAAGGAGCGGCATATGTCGGCCACAAATTGCGTTGCTACCTTTCTATATGCTGAGAAATACGATTGCAAGGAATTGAAAACATACGCTGGCGAATTAATCAAGCAGAACTTCGCGACGGTCGGCAAGTCCAAGGAATTCGTGCAAATTTCTTGTCATCAAATAAAGGATCTTATTTCAAGCGACGACTTAGTAACTGGAACCGAAGAAGAAGTCTTTGAATTCATTCTAGAATGGATCGCGCAAAATCAAGACGAGAAGGAGCAACATTTTGCGGAGCTGTTTAGACTCGTTCGACTGAGCAGCATATCCGATCAATATTTGTACACAAAGCTTATGTGCCATGAACTAGTGCAGGCAAATGGCGAGTGTAAGGAAATATTAATGGACGAAATTCGCTGGCGTGCCTTGTTCTCTGGACAACAGATCTCCCGACAAAAACCAAGAACTTGTCTTCAGACTCATGAAGATGCAATCATCACATGCGGTGGCCTGTCGCCAGATGAACGCATTCGCAACTTGACTGTGTGTTATGTTCCGGCTACGAAAATTTGGTACGAGTTGGCACCCATGCTTAACAGACGGTTTCGCCATGGTTTGGCTTCCTGCCGGGGATATGTTTATGCTATCGGTGGTAAAGGAGAAGACTCGGTCTACAACAGCGTAGAACGATATGACCCGCGTACAAACTCATGGGGCTTTGTAGCACCACTGCCTCAGAGAGTGACATTAATGGGTGCAGCTACCTTACAAGGGCTGCTGTACGTCACTGGCGGGATTGCGTTCAGCAGCGAGCACGGTGGTAGGCGTTGTGACACTGCGCAGAGGTACAACCCCTCGACAAACTCTTGGACTGTAGTTGCACCTCTAAAGAGACGCAAGTCCTCTGTTTGTCTCGTGTCAGACACTCACTATTTGTATTGCATTGGTGGCTTGGCCGACGATGGTTTCCTCTCTGACGTGGATCGTTATGATCCAAAGTTGAACGTATGGACACAGATGGCTCCGATAGGCGAACAGCGCGGGTGCGCTTGTGGAGTGTGCCTTGAAAACAAGATTTACCTCTTTGGAGGTACTGTTGACCCATTTTCTTTAAATGCCCTTGTAAGTTGCGAGGTTTATGATATTACTCTGAACGAATGGCAATCAATCGCTCCCTTACAAGTTCCCAGATTTCACGGAAGTGCAGTCCTTTTACGAGATCAGGTATACTTATTTGGCGGAACCGGAAGTCAAAGTGTCGATCGGCAGAATTCTCGTATGGTGGAGTGTTACGATATCAAGTCAAATACCTGGCTCGATGCTCATTCTATGCCATATAATGAGACATACTTCAGAGGATGCCCAGTAAGCATGTTTAAAGATCTACTACAGTCTGTGAACAAAGTTACAACTCTTCCCCAAAGTAGTTAGGTATGTTGAGTCCGTATGACAGTTACCCTTGCGGGTTTTAATGCGAACTTCTACCAGCCATAACTTTTAAAAGCCATCGCAGCCCGCCTGCTGACATAAACTCAGGAAAGGATGTTTTCACGGGAAAAAGTTCTTTCTAGATAAATGGAAAGCTTTCCCTCGAAACGTATTTTCATTTCAATTATGAGATGAAAACATTTGTATTTGCGAACTGTCACTCAATTTGGCAAATCTGTTTACGCTTTAATCGAATTGAGAAGGCTTGTCTAACGTATTAGTTAAAAGGAACAGGATCTCATTTATTTCCAAGAGTTTGTTTTAGTATTGAAGGAGTAAGTCTCTAAAGAAACTGCGGTACTGCGTCGGTGAGGGGTATTACACGATAAGTTGGTTTTCTAATCTGAAGTGATGATGTAAATTGTGTACTGTCGATAATTTCTGAAGCTGGCGTTTCGAGCCCTTCGCCACAACAAATGACTTTGTTCTTGAAACAAAAACCGTGATCATTGGAAGGACCGCTAGTTTGTTTACAATAATGATCGAGAAGATGTGGAAATGGTTTAAAATCGCAAGCAGAATGTATCATGAATTTATATATAAGATCAGTTACCTTAAAGCCATCTGGAGGTTCTCGCTGAACGTAAACAAATTCTCGAGATAAATTCACGAGTGTAAAGAATGCTTGAAATCACCTTTTGACATAACAATCGAACATTTACATTCACGGCTGAGATCTTCCTTGAGTCAAGCGACTGGAAAAAGATCACGCAATTTTCATTTTTTTATTGTTAATAATAAAACTGTTAGAGCTAACCATTTCTGATTAAAATAAACTTGTTTGACTATCAGTGAGATATCTTTCCTTCGTAATCAAACCCTGAAACTGCTATCGTTTTCTTCGGTTTGATTGCAAATTTAATAACAACATATCATTCAAGAAAGGTACACTGATTGCGGAATATTAATTTGTCTATGTTACGGGTCGTTTAATGCGAATGACAATATTGAAATAATTTGTTCACACAACAGTTTAAAAACTCTTAACTAACGACTAAAATTTATACGAAATTTGATTATTTCTTACCTAAAGATAAGTTCAGAGATACAACATCCAAAAGAACTTGACAAACATCTAAGAATTGTAACGCCACTACCTCTACAGTCTCATAAGACACAACGTTTACACTATTCCAAGAATCAAACAATAGTTGCTTAAAGAAACATTTACATAAGCTAATCAGAGCTAAACAGTCCAACCAATCTGCGCCGTCTTCCGTTTCGTGCGACTGTCAATCCTATCACGTGAAAAAGAGAGAGAGAGATGAAATTAAAACAGTATATTTTCGTATCTTTCAAAATATATTCAGGCATACAAGTGGAAATGGGGTCTACATTCCCACCAGGAAATGAGGGATGCTCTAAAAATCGAGATAATACGTCGGCAAACAAATATTTTTGATTCCTAGATATGAATTTATAAAAATTCGTCGGCAAAGTTGTACATAAAGAATCTCTAGGTAAGAATCTGCTCTACCAAGTCACTTGTACGGTACACTAGTTCAGTATACACGTTTGTAACACAACCTTGTTACACAACATAAAGAAACACGGAAGAAAGTTCCATTATGGTTTTTCCTTTTATTTTAAGGTTTTTAAATTCATGTCCAACTTCAGAGGCAACCATTACTAGATTTTTTACCGCGCACCAAATAGTCCTAGGGAAACACTGTCTGATTGCTTTTTTTATCACCGAGTATCAATTAAATGTTCTCAAGCAAATCATTCATCTTTCAGAGCTGAGCGTGTGTGTTGCGTTTATAAAAGGCAAACTAGAATGACAAGAAAGAATCCCTGGACCATGGACTATCGCTCAAAGTTATTTTCGCTCACTCACCGAAGATTTTTTTTCAACTAGCCCATTCTTTCGTCATGCTCTTGTGGGACTTTGCGTGTTCTCATCGCTTGATTCCCACATCTTGACAGTAACACGAACACCAGGAGTACTATAATGGCACCAATTGCAGCGGACACAGCGCACAAACATATATCTTTAAATGGAAACATCTCTGCTTTAGCCTCTGTGCTTATGATGGCCCTTTACTAGATGCTTATTATTCCAAACTCATTTGCATCTCATGAACTAACTGACGTCACGATATGCAGGTGTATCTTCATTTCAATGTAGTCGGAATGTTCGTGTCCCTGTTTCGTATTTAGGATGCGCCAACAAGGGGATTCCCGACTGCACGAAGCCTAAGGTCTCATTTTTAGCAGTTTGAGGCGAGCAGAGCTAAGAGAATGGAGAACGCGAGGAGCGAGATATGCGCGAGGGGAAGACACCTGAATAAAAGGAAAAGAAACACACGAATATATATTGTTTCTCTCGTAAGTATCTCGTATGGTTCTCGCAATTCAGATCGCCTCAAAAACGCAAAAGAAGGTGGCACCTCTGGGGGAAACGCTCGAATAAACGGATAAAAAGACACGAAAATAATGTTCCTCTCGCGTGTCTCTCATTTAGTTCTCCTCCACGTGCTATCAGATCCTGACAATACTCGAAGTGAACGTCTTGACTTTGCATATTTAATGAGTGCACCGGCAGAACAATTAATGTAGCTTTAGTTTACAAACGTCTAACACACCGATACAGCGTCAGTAAATAGTCCCTTCAAACGGCATAAATAGCGTGTGACTTTGGCACAGAATTGAACTCCTTTGTCGTCAGAGGACGAGTGAGCTGAGAACGTATTGCAAAATTATCAAAGTGGACGAGTGTTTTTTCGAATTTCTAAACGTCGGATTCGGGAATGGCCGCGAAATCGAAGTTTAACGATCCACACCTGGCCCGGGTTGTTCAAAGCTGAGTTAAGGTAACCCAGGGTTAGTGTGAAATTTGATTTCCGGTCTGAAAGCTTTAAGAGGAAATTCAGTTCAAATCTTTTTGCCTGCAATTTGATCATTGGATGTTCTAAAAAGAATAATGAAAATTTTCCGTAAAAGACTTTTGGACAAAGGAATAAAGAAACCTGAATTAAAATTTAACCCTGGGTTAGGGCTAATCGGCCTTTGAACAACTGGGCCCTGGTTAACTTATCTGATGATGGTCGTGCTGTAAGCCGAAAGGAAGATCAATCCACAGCTGGAAGTTCTCTTCTAAATTTTATGAACTTGGCGTCCGGGAACGTAAAGACCGCCTTAGAAAAACCGGCCAACTTTAAAAGGAACATCAACCACCGCAGGTATCCTCAAAAACGGCTGCAGAACTATTAAAAGCGGAAGAACGACATAATTCGTTTCTATAAAGCTGTTTACCTTCACCTTGTTAAATATGCACGTAGTAATAAGGGGATTCCCCTTTTCTCATACCATTATTCATGATTTGCATAACATTTGGATGTCACGCTACTTTGGTTTAATATTCGCTATCGCTCTTTTTTTCTCTAACAAAGTTTACATTGGGCCTCTTTTTCCTTGGACTTTTGAAGAGTGCGACCAGAGCCCTCCAAACGACAATTTCAAGTAAATAAATTGCCTGCTCAAAAGTAGTTTACACTGAAATGTTAAACAAGTGACATTGTGCTGTCACGAAATACTCCCCCATCTTTTTACTGAATGCAAACCACGCGAGTGCAAAGATATAATTCTATTCCGTCACCGCACTGAGGGCTCACGTGAGATAGCATTGCGCCTGCGCGAACTCAGTGTGTTGCCGCCTTTGGAGCGAACGGACGTTTGTGTTTTCAACACGCTGAGAATTTTTAGTTTTAAGCGATAATTCGCAAAAAATGCCCGAGACCTCGGATAAATCTGAGCTTAAGGGCGAGAAAGACAACTTAAAAAGGAAAAGTAGTGGCTCTAGAAGCGAACACATTGAAGCAAATGTCAGAATCATCGAAAGAGGTGATGGCGCCGATGGCGCCAAAACTGACTCACATGGTTTACAAGAGCTGGCCGCTACGCTGAGACAGGGTTTCACCCAGATGTCTCAAGATTTATCCAAGACTATTGCTGAGTCGTTCAAACAGTTTCAGTCAGACTTTGAAATACAATATGTTGACACGGAGGAAGAACAGGAGGCAAAATCTGCCGAGAATGACCACGAGGTCAGCGAAGAGCCCCCCACGAAGAAGAAGCGACATGACAAAACTACGAGCTTAGAAGAAGCTGTGACAAAGCTGGCTGACTCAACCGGGGCTCAAAATATGCCTTCTAATGAAGGAAAATTTGAGGTACTTAACAGCTTGAAACAAGAGCTGAAGAAAGAGGAGACGGGCCTAAGTGTAAACACGGAGCTGGCGAATGTAGTGAATGCCATGCTCAAAGAAGGGCTGCCTGAAGAGAAACTTCAGGAAAAGTTGAACAAGTATCACAGACCAGAGAACTGTGAATTCTTGACAAAAGTACGAGTCAATCAACCAGTATGGGACCACCTTACTCCAACAGTCCGGTCCCAAGATGTTAGACTGCAAAAGGTGCAGACATCCATCTTCAAAGGGATGTGCGCGTTGACAAATATGATCGACAAACTCCTTGAGCACTTGTCGTCACTCCCAGCGGGAAACGACTTTCTTCAAAAGTCAACAGATGCACTTACATTGTTCGCTAATGCAAACAGTGAACTCAATCAAAGACGAAGGGAATTTATTAAACCGGATTTACACGAGGAATACAAACATCTTTGCTCCTCGTCGGTTCCGATCACTGACCAATTGTTTGGCAATGATCTCCCGAAACAAGTGAAAGAATTGACCGAGGTCAATCGAGTGGGAAAGAAAGTCTCCACACACAGCGGTCGATCAACGAACAAGCCTGATTATCACAGGCACAACTCTTACGCACATAGCCGCGGACGCTCAGGAAACCAACATTACAGGAAGCCTTTTTTAGGCTCGTGGAAAAAACGACCACAAACATCCTCCGAACTTCAAGAGGAAGAAGGAGGGGAAGTCAAAATGAATCAGACTGCTAACAACGTTGGGGTAAGAAAGGTGTCAGAGCAACCTATTAAAATTACAGGTGGAAGACTGAAACAATTTACCTCTCAGTGGCAATGCATAACCTCAGATCCTTTCATACTTAATAGTGTGAAAAATTATAAAATTGAGTTTGAAAATGGAGAGCCAATGCAGTTTATGCCACCAAAAGAAATAAATTTTACAAAACCAGAGCAGGAGGTCATTGACAATGAAATTGATAAACTGCTGACCAAAGGTGTGATTTCAGAAACCACACATTGCCCTGGTGAATATATTTCTACTATATTCATACGCCCTAAGAAAGATGGAGGGTTTAGATTAATTCTAAATTTGAAGAATTTGAATGAACATGTGGAGTATCAACATTTTAAGATGGATACCTTACAATCGGCAATAAGGCTTATGACTCCAAACTGTTATATGGCCTCAGTAGACCTGCGTGACGCATATTACTCAGTGCCAATTCACAAAGATGATCAAAAATATCTGAGGTTTTGCTGGAAAGGTAGATTGTTTCAGTTTACATGTCTACCAAATGGTCTGGCCTGTGCACCTCGACTCTTCACAAAAATCCTTAAGCCAGTGTATGCTACGCTGCGCCAGAAGGGTCACCTAAATGTAGGCTATATTGATGACTCTTATTTACAAGGGGAGAGCGTGGAGGACTGCCAAGCCAATATTAATGATACCTGTGACTTATTTTCAACATTGGGTTTTATCCTACATCCTGATAAGTCGGTCTTACAGCCAGTTCAAGTCCTTACATTTCTGGGATTTGTCTTGGATTCAGTTAATATGACTGTCTCCTTAACACAGGAAAAAATCCAGCGCATAAGGGAAAGATGCAAGAAAATGATGGAGCTTGTTGAGCTCCCAATCCAGGAACTAGCTAGCTTTATAGGGCTTTTAGTGTCAAGTTTTCCTGGAATCTTATATGGACCACTGTATTATAGACAACTTGAGAGGGATAAAACTACAGCCTTAAGACAAAACTATGGCAATTATAATGCTCAAATGAGATTATCCCAAGAAAGCTTTTCAGAGATAAAGTGGTGGTATGATAACATACAGACAAATAACTACCCCATATTATTGCCTAATTCAAAGGTTGATGTAATAATTTACACCGATGCATCAACTAAAGGATGGGGAGCTGTCAAAGAGACAGAGAAAATAGGGGTAGATGGTCAGAGGAAGAAGCAAAATATCACATTAATTGTCTTGAGCTGTTAGCTGCAATTTTTGGACTTAAGGCATTTTGCAAAATGAGCAAGGCATTCACGTTAAGATTTACTCTGATAACTCTACAACTGTGAACTATATTAATGCTATGGGAGGTGTACATTCTAGGAATGTCACACTATTGCTAAAGATATTTGGCAGTGGTGCATAGAAAAACAAATATGGTTAACAGCTGCTCATATCCCAGGGACCAAAAATGTTGAGGCAGATCAGGAATCACGCGTTTTCTCAGACAACAAGGAATGGATGATAAGATCTGATATTTTCCAACAGATCACAGATATCTGGGGAGCCCTCCATAGACCTCTTTGCATCCAGACTAAATCATCAGGTTCCATGCTATGTATCCTGGAAACCTGACCCAGGGGCAGCCTTTATTGATGCATTTTCTGTAACATGGGATAAACACTTGTTCTATGCTTTCCCTCCTTTCAGCTTAATTGCAAGATGCCTACAGAAAATACAAACCGATTGTGCAGAGGGATTGATGATAGTTCCAATGTGGCCAACCCAGAGTTGGTATCCCAAACTTCTTCGCATGTTAGTGGCTGCTCCAAGAGTGTTACCACAACAACGAACTGCCTTACAAATGCCGGGGATGCCACAAGAAGTCCACCCCCTATTCAGGAAAATGGTTCTGATTGCATGCAGATTGTCCGGCAGTCCTATGAGACACAAGGAATTTCTCAAAAGGCAACCTCCATCATCTTACAGTCCTGGAGGAAAGGAACTACAAAGCAGTATTCATCTTACATCAAAAGATGGACTACATATTGTCATAAAAAACAGATTGATCCAGTTTCTGCCACTGTCCCCCAGGCACTAGATTTTTAGTGGAGCTATTTGAGTCAGGCATCGGTTACAGTGGTATTAACACTGCAAGGTCTGCTCTATCCAGTGTCTTAAAGTCTAAGCCAGGGTCGAAACCCACTGTTGTTAAGTTTGAAGCTTACCCGGACAACCCTAACATTTGTTTTGTCACTACCTTGAAGGCATATCTTAATCGTACCTCTTCTCTACGTGGAGGTGCACAACAATTGTTTATTAGTCATTACAAGCCATTTAAACCAGTTTCCGGGGACACCATCAGTAGATGGGTCAAAGCTGTAATGCAAAAGTCAGGAATTGATGTAAACCTTTTCAAGCCCCACAGTACTAGGGCTGCCGCAACATCTAAGGCTTTGTTGAAATCTGTACCATTAGAGCACATCTTATCAGTTGCAGGATGGAGCTCATCTGACACTTTTGCAAAGTTTTATAGCAAGCCTGTTATCAACACAGATAGCTTTTCTAACGTTTTGTTACAAGAGTAAAGTTAATAAACTGTTTTTGACCAATATGACTTGCTTGGTTGGTCATTACTCTGTTCATGTGTGCAGTGGGCTTTGAAGTCTCACGTGAGCCCTCAGTGCGGTGACGGAATAGAATTGGAAAATTAAACGAGACTTACCTGTAAGTTGAAGTTTGATTGAAATTCTATCCGTCACCAAGCACTGAGGGATTACGTGCCCTCCCTTTTAAGGCCCTCCCATTTTGCTGGTCAGGGTTTTCTTTCCCCTGCACACATGGCAAGTGCTTTAAAAACTGAGTTCGCGCAGGCGCAATGCTATCTCACGTAATCCCTCAGTGCTTGGTGACGGATAGAATTTCAATCAAACTTCAACTTACAGGTAAGTCTCGTTTAATTTTCCAATTTTACAGTTTAAAACTGTTATGAACAACTCAAGTTGTAAACTTCAAACTTTGATGATTGGGGGCAAAACTGTGACTTCAACACAAACAAATCAGAATTTGAAAAGTAATTTTAAATTCATACGTCGGAAAGACCGAGAGCCTATGAATAATGTCCGATAAACAATTGTATTTGTTGGTGATAGCCAGTCATTGATCATTACTTTTAGTGAAATGTTTATTATTTTACTATAACACATTAACAGAGCTGAGGAAAATCTATAACCTATATCAAGGTTTATTTGCGTCCTGTTAGACGGTTTCCGGTTGCATCTGGTTTTACGGCACTTAGTTGTGAAAATTCTGTAACTACAAAACCAAAAGTTTCCGGTTGAAGAAGTAGGGATATTGGGAAAACGTAAACTATTCGTTCTAATAGTAAAGCACGAAAACATGACTGTATAAACACATTATTGTGCTTCAAACTGGCTCGATTTAGCATGTCGTTGTAAGAACTTAAAGTTTGAATGCAGTTTCCATAAATCAAATGAAGCGAATGGTGTTTCCATGAAAAGAAACTGCGTCTCAGTCGTAGATATTTACATGTGTGGCAAAATGGATGTGAGGTCGCATGGAAAAATCATCTCGATATCGACTTCTCAAAACAGTGACGTGTTTCCAATAATTAATTAACCCTGGCTATAATTCACCAGTTAGATGTTGGAAATTGGAAATATATACTTCCTAGAACGACGTTAAATTCTGTCAAACAGAGGAGAAGTTTCATCACATAACTATTAAACTTTACTCTTTTTTGGCGGGAAAAGAGATCATTTCAGTCGGGAAGGAATTACGGAGATCACGATCTTCTAAATTCTCTTCTTTAATCAATTAGCCGTTACGGTCATTTCGGCTATCGCACCCAAGCGTGGGTTAAACGCCTGAAAATAATAAGAAAGCGTGTCCCTTTGCAGGCAAGTCAACTAACAACTCCAGATTCAGTGAGGAGTTATCCTTGCAATGTATATTGCTGCGTCTTCCTAACTTTTATCAAATTTTACAGTCGCTTTTGATAAGATGTTCTAGATAATCCTTAGAAACTCGTCACACTCACGCGATGATTGAAATACAATACTTAATAATTACACTTGCGCACACGATGCCTGATACTAAATATATCTACCAGCATAGCTGTCGACAAATGTTGATCAGTCGTTACCAAGAGTGCGGAATTATTTTACAAAACATCCTCCACGACGACATACAACGTCACGCAACTAATTTGCGAAAAATGTGCGTGCTGTGTTGAGAGAGATTCCCCTCTCAAAAACAGCAACTAATTTGCACAATGACGTCATTGTTTTACTGGATGTCACGCCATTTTTAGAGCAATCATGTTCCTTCCAGAATTTTCTCGTCCACGAAATGAGGCCGCTGCGTTTTTCGGGGTTTTCCCAAAACCCAACCAATATAGATTGAACTGACAGACAATAAACCATCAGGACGAAACACTGTTCTTAAAAAAAACATTAAAGTGGCCGTGCGATTGTTCTTGGGTTATTCTTCGACATTAAAAACAAATCGCGCAAGCAATAAAGTTTAAAATAAAAGTTCCGGTTGAAGAAATAAACGCAATGGGAAACTGTAAACTATTCGATCGAATGGTAAAGTTCTGGATGTCGCGCCATTTTTTTTTTAACGCAATCATGTTCCTTCTAGCGTTTTCTCGTCCACGAAATTATGCTGTTGTGTCTATTAGGGTTTATAATCAACCATTCTAGAATGGACTGACGGACAATAAACCCTCAAGACGAAAGTGTTCTTAAAATAGACATTAAAGTGGCTGCACGATCGTTCCTGGGTTCCTTCGACGTTAAAAACAAATCATGCAAGTAAATGATGGTGTCTTTTTAATCTTTTATTTTATATATTACATTCATTAATAAGGCTGCAACATTCAATACATAGCAGGAACGCTAAAAACTGACTGCTACAAAAGCGGTATCGGCAAAAAGGAGGCCATTGACATTATATTCTTATTATATATTATCATGTAAACAAATTGCAAACCCACTTGTCCTATGGTCATTATCATAAATACAACAATTATTATTGATCTGCATTACATAATTCGGCGAGGCTAAGCAATGGACAGGCTAGGGCGCATTTATGAACTGCCGTACCCATATGTGACATTCAGTATATACAGTTCTAAAAGCCTTCACAGCACAGCATACAACAGAAGACGTCGACTGAATCAGACCATTACAAAATAGCTTCCCTGATTTCTCGGGAGATTGTCATATCTGAAAAAATTAAAAAAAAACGGGTCATTTTTAAGATTTACATTTTTAATTTCTCTGTCCTATAATTGCTATCTGTTCACTCTTTAGCTAACCATGTAAAAACAGAGAAAATATGTGGGTCTTCACTGTCTGTGTCACTTCCTTCACCACTCACGTGTGGATTTTGAAGAGCAAGCAGAAGTGCGCGAAGTTTGAAATCGTCCTTTAATTGGTCAAGACTATTTTTTTACATAGTGAGATGCTGATTACTTAAGATTATATTCGACCGCATTTTTTGCCGCTTAGTTTCCGTCCCGGCCGAGTAAGTCGCGCGCACTACAATCGGAAAAATAACCAGCTTTTTGAGAGTAAAAAGAAAGAACAGAAAAATGATAATAAAGATAACGTCTGCTCAACTCGATCAGCTGGGACTGTTTGCGCGGAGGAAAGGGTTTCCCCTTCGCTGTCGAAAAAGTCACGGTTTACACGCATCACAAAGTTTTTCGGAGACAACCATTAATCTGTCAGACTTTGATAAAATATTCTCATAGCTTGCAGAACTCTTACCTTTTCAGTCAAACCTCTCGTCGTGTTCTTCTGGCTGCCGGGTTTCGTTTGTATCAAATCGTTTCCTGATTTCTCTCAGCACTGATTCTCTATTTTCCCAGATCTTTAAAATCGCTACCGAGGATACTCCACCAACAGCGAAGAACAATACACCACGCCAAAACTGATCAGAGAAAAAAGTCATTTCTTGTGAATTCGTCTTGTTATAGGTAAATCGCACCACAAGCTTTACTAGGTAAAACACGCTCAGTACCAACCAAACTAATTGCCTATTTGACTGACCTGCGAGGTCAGACTAAAATGAAGTATACGCGTAAAATTGAGTGGGTGCCTCTGACAAAATATGTAACTCTGAAGTGTAGGTGTTTCTTTTTACGACGTACATATGCAAATATATTCATGCCCCTCTGAAATGTGAAACATAAGCAGAAGTCGCAACAAACCAGTATTAACAGATCTCTACGGGCCCAACCAGGAGGATCTAAATTATCCTGAGCTTTCATGCAATTGTTCAGAAATTGAGATAAACATCTCCGACAAAGAAATTGAAATGGTCGAGCAGGACGCAAGGACTCAAGCGAAGGGGCCAGGATTTTTTAGATATAGATATAAGAATTGCGGTTTTTTTTTTAAATGTCACGCCACGTTACCCAATCTTGACTTTCATTAAACGCCTTCAAGCAGAGTTTGAATAAAAGGGCTTGAATTTAACAGTTCCTCAAACAAATAACAAGTCGTTTCTAAAAGCCCGAGGTTTGTAGCCTTTGGTTATATGACGTCTTTATATACAATATAACGCCGTGATTCGATCACAATGAACATGGTTCAGGCTGCATTCGTGGAAGAAGTTTGTAGTCTTTAGTTATGTTAAGTTAAATCTTATTGCGTGTCCCGATCTCAAGGCATAGAGGCTGTCTTATCTAGTGGTTCGTCGCATTAAAACACAGGTTTGAGTAGGGATGAGAAGGAGGAGTCAGTCAGGAGATTCCCCTTCCGCTTCTTTTCGGAGATCTTGTGTTTTTTATTTACTAAGTTTACTTGTACTGGATGAACTTAACAGGATTGCGATGATCTGTTAATACAAGTCAGGAAAATCAAATTCTTTGTTCTACATTTGCCTGTGCTGTATTGAATTCCAAACACTAATCGCTCACAACTTCTACTTTTCGCTCCATAATTAACTGTGTACCTTGAAAAACAAAACCATGACATGAAACGAGCACTCTTCCCCCTCCTTAGTTAAATAACGGATTACACAATAGAAACATGCCAACTTGTGTCTCGGAAATCACATAAATAAATAGATACAAAAAAAGGCAAAAGAATCAACTGATCTGTCAGTTGAATGGGGCTTGTGAGCAATTAATGCTAAAGGATCATGTGGCGTTACTTCATTCGTGTCATTGAATCTAATTCCCTTTTAACAGAAAGCCCCAAGCATCTACAGAAAAAAAATTCTATTTAATAACGATAAATATATTCCCGAAAGACGGCCTCAAAAAGCAGCATCAATAATATAATTTATTCTAAAAACTTGATTCTTGTGAAGCTATGGATTTCTAAACCTAATGTTTTTTGAGGGGCAAGCCTAAAAGGCAATGAGGCTTCGAAAGGAATTTCACTTCCTCAATTAATATTCAGTCTAAGGAATGCATAGTCGCATTCGTAGCCGTCTCCGGTCACGTCACATGATATGATTACGACTGAAATGCTTCTGTGAGCTCTTTACTCGCTTGCTCCACGCGGCGTAGCTGGGCGCTGACCACAACTCCGAATAAAACTTGCAAAAGTTGTATTTAAAGCAGGTACATATAATATGTATGTACCTATAATAATTAATCTTCAACCTCTGAGTGTAATCGTTGGAACAAGGAAAGTGAGGAGTCCACCAACTTCATTAACGGTGCCCCATTAAAATTATAACCAACGGTTGTCTATCGTCGTCTGTGACAAACAACCAGGGGGTTTTACTTATTGCCTGGCAGGGGGGAAGAGGGCGGATTTTGTTCGTGACACGATGAAATTTTCCTAATTTTCCTAATCCCCCCATAAGGCCGTCTGATAAACTTATTTTCCCCCACCCCTCATTGGCAGTCAAGTTTCTTTAGCCCCCCCACCCCCACCCCCCTTGTACTGATCCCTCTCCACTTAAACTGAAAACCATGTGAGCGAACGAAAACTATGTGGACTGAACAAAGACTGTGATTTATTCAGTGATAAAATATGGCGGTGCAAACTACAATTACAATTTTTTTAAAACAATTTTCATTAAAGGAAGAATAACTGAAAAAGACTGAATAATTTTATGCCTGATGTACTTGCTTTGTTGTTTGCTTTGTATTTGCTTTCTTGATTCTACAGCTTAATGAGAAACATTGTTTACACGATTTAAAGGATATCTACATATCATTGAGTCATATATTTAGACTGTCCTGTTAAAACAGAGTGCGTAATACAGTATAACACAATTCAGCCACCAAAAATTCTGTTCATTCCTCTGTTGTAAGTCCATGATCGAATGGTAAATTCCTGTAAACAAAAGTTTCCGTAAGTCTCTTTTGACGGCGTAACTAATCAAAACATGGATAAAATTAAGCTGTCCCACCTGAACCAAACCGGAAATGATGCTTAAATGCCAACTAACTCATCACTACATGGCGTAACTAATCAATGCATGAATAAAATTAAGGTGTTCCTCCTGAACCAAACTTTAAGCCTAAGTTATTTTTTGATCTTCTTCTCTCAGGACCTCGTGCGTGACTCATTTTCATAAAAATTTCGATTTTTTTAGTTGATTTAGTGAACATATTTTCAAAAAAAAATATCTTATAATCAGGAAACTGTGGAACATGTTCAGAGACAAATGGGTTTGATTCCGCGCGGGGCTTTGAAGCAACATTCACATCTTAAGGAATCACACTTAACTCTACTCCTGCCTGCGCCGCAAATGTTTGGCCGGCCAAATTACTAACTAGTCTACAAAACACCTATATGATTGACGCCAGGAGGTTCAGGGAAGTGTGCACCATGGTAGATTAGTCACACACTAGAATTCGGCAATTTATCAATTTTTCTTTCTTCCGTTTCGTCTCTACAAAGCGCTTCCACTCACCTTGATATAAAGTAGGTATCATCTCCTATTCCTGTCTTTCATCGTGTTCCACTGGCACCTTGGGCCTCCTTATTGCTTCATTCTGAGGCGAATTGCAAAATTTTAAAAAACCAGAAATGATATTATGCCGCCGATAGCAGCGGACAAGACATGCATCCAAATATCTTGAGACACACACATCTTTTCACCTTCGTGTATCGCAGTGTGTACAGCCACTGTTACACTTCACTTGATACGCGCTAGTTATTTGGAGTATCTTGATTGGCTGATTTTAATTTGATTGGCCTCCGGGCAAAAGACGGAAGTTCAAACACTGCTCCTGTCTGACAGGATCTTGATGACTTTACTTGATACGCGCTATTTATTTGGAGTATCTTGATTGGCTGATTCTAACTTGATTGGCCTCCGGGCAAAAGACGGAAGTTGAAACACTGCTCTTGTTCAACGGGATCTTGATGGTCTGCAACTGGCTGATTCTAACTTCCGGTTGTTGGAAGTGTGATTGCGTGCCGCTTTTTGATGATATCAATAATCATGATCATAACCAAACGTCTTAAAGTTGGAAACCGAAAGTTGTGCAAAACCCTCGACTGTGCCTAACTCGAATTCGCCTAACGCATAAGAATTCCCCCATTTCGTATGCAAACAACATTATTGGAAAGAGGAGCTGATGCTCCCTCAAAACACACCGTGATTGTAAGTGGCTTTTTGTGAACAGTAGAAGAAGATAAATAACTTACATGAGTTCAAAAAAGTCTAAACTTCTGTCTTCTGGTGGTTTAAATTTGTTGACTTGTCGTCGCTGACTGCAACCCGCGAGCGAGGACCGTTACACACCAAAGATTAACATACAGGTCACCAAACAATTTAACTTTCGCTTTCAGATATTCTTCCTGCTTAGGAAAAGTTTAAAGAAGCGTTGTCTGACCGAAAAACTGCAATTTGAGGCTTTAAAGCCAGCAGTAAGCTAGCGTAGGTCCGAGCTCCACGTGTAAAGATCCTTGTACCAGTAAGATGAATATTTAACGTCGGCAGTATATTTGCAATTCAATTCGAACTTTCCGCGTGCCTCGCAATTAGTATCCAAAATGACACCGTGTGGAGTAGGGCAAAATGTTTCTTTTCTGGCGGTGATATTTTTATCCCGGAGGTCTAAGATCCTTGTGTCGTAAGAGAGTTTGAAAATGTTATACACAAATAAATAGCATTCCAGAAGTATTGACCTGAAAATACCCATAATTGCGTAGAGACCTATCAAAATCAGTGCCACGAATTGCATGAGTACTAGGGTCTAATTGTACTAGTATGATTTTAAGAATAATGCCACAGTCAGAGCATCGAGCATGATGCCAGCAGAGTGAATAAATTCTTAGAAATTCCCTTGAAGTTTCAGTTTTACAAGAGATAAATTCTGCAGCCCGAGTTATGTTTAACAGGTCAATAGCCTGCTTTTCTCGCTTGCACTTTTGGACATTGATCACGAACAAAATATTATTCTCTGAACTTCAGTATGCCTTTTATTCCTAGCAAGTTTTACCTCGTTGGTGGTAGAAATAAGGGGGAAGGGGTAGGAGGGGAAGTATTAAATTGAGCCCAGAGAATATAATCTCCTGACTTAGCCTAATAAAAACTTTGGGCATAATTTTGGGCATAATACCATGATTTTAGGGGTGATGCTTAAAAGCATAACGCTCATGATTTATCTCATCCTACTGTGTACATGAAAGTATGAATCAATTCTTATATGGTCTTTTATCTTCTGTCGCCTTTTTTGCATCTTACCTCAAAACTACAACCACCAGTTAAAATGGCTTCGAAACGGTGTATTTTTGTTCCTTATTCTCAGTTTTATTTAGTTTTATTCCTCCGATCGAAGCACTTTATGTTCTTTTACTAGATTAGATTCTGAGTGGAATTCTTCATATAACATACCTTTTCGGAATACAAATATCTTAGCGACATCGTGCCATTAATATTGTCTTAGCATAACACTAATCTGAACAAAACAAACTATTTTTTCATGACCTATCAGATTAAGTATAAATTAAGCATGTATATCAATGACACTAAATTATGTCACGCGCTGGTTTGGACCTCAACGAATACATAACCCACTTTGTCAACGGTGCGTTGTGATCTCTCTCGTCAGAAAGACTCGTAGTCAAGCAAACAAGCGTCTTTCTTGCGCAAACATGGCCGAAAATGCCTCAAAAGAACCACGCAACACAGCTAAGAGTCCGTACTACTGGGATATGATGCGGTTACTCGACAATGCCCGCAAAGAAGGCGAATTGACAGATGTTACTCTGTGAGTGGAAGGAAAAACATTCCCCGCTCACCGATGTGTTTTGGCAGCCAGTAGCCAATTTTTTCAAGGTTTATTTACCAACGATATGAAAGAAAAATCGGCGTCAATCGTAAATATCAAAGGAATTTTCGGCGATGAAGGAGTTCTCGTCTTACCTTTACACAGGAGAGGTTCAAATGAGCGAGGCGAATGTCGATGATCTGATCGCGTCCGAGAACTACTTACTACTTCTTCGTCTAAAAAAACATCGCTTGCAAGTTTAAGGAGCGGCATATGTCGACCACAAGTTGCGTTGCTACCTTTTTATATGCTGAGGAATACGATTGCAAGGAATTGAAAACATACGCTGGCGAATTAATCAAGCAGAACTTCGCGACGGTCGGCAAGTCCAAGGAATTCGTGCAAATTTCCTGTCATCATATAAAGGATCTTATTTCAGGCGACGTCTTAGTAATTGGAACCGAAGAAGAAGTCTTCGAAATCGTTCTAGAATGGATCGCGCAAAATCAAGACGAGAAGGAGCAACATTTTGCGGAGTTCGACTGAGCAGCATATCCGATCAATATTTGTACACAAAGCTTATGTGCCATGAACTAGTGCAGGCAAATGGCGAGTGTAAGGAAATATTAATGGACGAAATTCGCTGGCGTGCCTTGTACTCTGGCCAACAGATCTCCCAACAAAAACCAAGAACTTGTCTTCAGACTCATGAAGATGCAATCATCACATGCGGTGGCCTGTCGCCAGATGAACGTATTCGCAACTTGGCTGTGTGTTATGTTCCGGCTACGAAAACCTGGTACGAGTTGGCACCCATGCTTAACAGACGGTTTCGCCATGGTTTGGCTTCCTGCCGGGGATATGTTTATGCCATCGGTGGTAAAGGAGAAGACTCGGTCTACAACAGCGTAGAACGATATGACCCGCGTACAAACTCATGGGGCTTTGTAGCACCACTGCCTCAGAGAGTGACATTAATGGGTGCAGTTACCTTACAAGGGCTGCTGTACGTCACTGGCGGGATTGCGTTCAGCAGCGAGCACGGTGGTTGACGTTGTGACACTGCACAGAGGTACAACCCCTCGACAAACTCTTGGACTATTGTTGCACCTCTAAAGAGACGCAAGTCCTCTGTTTGTCTCGTGTCAGACACTCACTATTTGTACTGCATTGGTGGCTTGGCCGACGATGGTTTCCTCTCTGATGTGGATCGTTATGATCCAAAGTTGAACGTATGGACACAAATGGCTCTGATAGGCGAACAGCGCGGGTGCGCTTGTGGAGTATGCCTTGAAAAAAAGATTTACCTCTTTGGAGGTACTGTTGACCCATTTTCTTTAAATGCCCTCGTAAGTTGCGAGGTTTATGATATTACTCTGAACGAATGGCAATCAATCGCTCCCTTACAAGTTCCCAGATTTCACGGAAGTGCAGTCCTTTTACGAGATCAAGTATACTTATTTGGCGGAACCGGAAGTCAAAGTGTCGATCGGCAGAATTCTCGTATGGTGGAGTGTTACGATATCAAGTCAAATACCTGGCTCGATGCTCATTCTATGCCATATAATGAGACATACTTCAGAGGATGCCCAGTAAGCATGTTTAAAGATCTACTACAGTCTGTGAACAAAGTTACAACTCTTCCCCAAAGTAGTTAGGTATGTTGAGTCCGTATGACAGTTACCCTTGCGGGTTTTAATGCGAACTTCTACCAGCCATAACTTTTAAAAGCCATCGCAGCCCGCCTGCTAACGTAAACTCAGGAAAGGTTGTTTTCACGGGAAAAAGTTCTTTCTAAATAAATGGAAAGCTTTCCCTCGAAAAGTATTTTCATTTCAATTATGAGATGAAAACATTTGTATTTGTGAACTGTCACTCAATTTGGCAAATCTGTTTACGTTTTAATCGAATTGAGAGGGCTTGTCTAACGTATTAGTTAAAAGGAACAGGATCTCATTTATTTCCAAGAGTTTGTTTTAGTATAGAAGGAGTAAGTCTCTAAAGCGTTAGCCCTTCGTCAAAACAAATGACTTTGTTCTTGAAATAAAAACCGTGATCATTGGAAGGTCTGCTAGTTTGTTTACAATTATGATCGAGAAGATGTGGAAATGGTTTAAAATCGCAAGCAGAATGTATCATAAATTTATATATAAGACCAGTTACCTTAAAACCATCTGGAGGTTCTCGCTGAACGTAAACAAATTCTCGAGATAAATTCACGAGTGTAAAGAATGCTTGAAATCACCTTTTGACTTAACAATCAAACATTTACATTCATGACTGAGATCTTCCTTGAGTCACGCGACTGGAAAAAGATCACGCAATTTTCATTTTTTTATTGTTAATAATAAAACTGTTAGAGTTAACCATTTCTGATTAAAATAAACTTGTTTGACTATCAGTGAGATATCTTTCCGTCGTAATCAAACCCTGAAACTGCTATCGTTTCTTCGGTTTGATTGCAAATTTAATAACAACATATCATTCAAGAAAGGTACACTGATTGCGGAATATTAAGATGTCTATGTTACGGGTCGTTTAATGCGAATGACAATATTGAAATAATTTGTTTACACAGCAGTTTAAAAACTCTTAACTAACGACTAAAATTTATACGAAATTTGATTATTTCTTACCTAAAGATAAGTTCAGAGATACAATATCCAAAAGAACTTGACAAACATCTAAGAATTGTAACGCCACTACCTCTACAGTCTCATAAGACACAACGTTTACACTATTCCAAAAATCAAACAATAGTTGCTTAAAGAAACATTTACATAAGCTAATCAGAGCTAAACAGTCCAACCAATCTGCGCCGTCTTCCGTTTCGTGCGACTGTCAATCCTATCACGTGAAAAAGAGAGAGAGAGATGAAATTAAAACAGTATATTTTCGTATCTTTCAAAATATATTCAGGCATACAAGTGGAAATGAGGTCTACATTCCCACCAGAAAATGAGGGATGCTCTAAAAATCGAGATAATACGTTGGCAAACAAATATTTTTGATTCCTAGATATGAATTAATAAAAATTCGTCGGCAAAGTTGTACATAAAGAATCTCTCAGCTCTACCAAGTCACTTGTACGGTACACTAGTTCAGTACACACGTTTGTAACACAACCTTGTTACACAACATAAAGAAACACGGAAGAAAGTTCCATTATGGTTTTTCCTTTTATTTTAAGGTTTTTTAATTCATTTCCAACTTCAGAGGCAACCATTACTAGATTTTTTACCGCGCACCAAAGTGTACTGGGGAAACACTGTCTGATTGCTTTTTATCACCGAGTATCAATTAAAAGTTTTCAAGCAAATCATTCATCTTTCAGAGCTGAGCGTGTGTGTTGCGTTTATAAAAGGCAAACTAGAATGACAAGAAAGAATCCCTGGACCATGGATTATCGCTCAAAGTTATTTTCGCTCACTCACCGAAAATTTGTTTTCAACTAGCCCATTCTTTCGTCATGCTCTTGTGGGACTTTGCGTGTCCTAATCGCTTGATTCCCACATCTTGACAATAACACGAACACCAGGAGTACTGTAATGGCACCAACGGCAGCGGACACAGCACACAAACATATATCTTTGGATGGAAACATCTCTGCTTTAGCCTCTGTGCTGTGAATTTTGCCAATTCAGAGGTATGTAGCAGATGGCGGATCATATTTCAATGTAGCTAAGGTGCGCTAGCTGGATGCCCTAACCCCTTATAAATATTCATTATTTGCAGAATATTTGGACGTCACGCCTTTTTGGTTTAACATTTTTTTTCGCTCTTTTCTCGGTCAAAGTTTACAGTGGGCCTCTTTTGTTGTTGGACTTTTGAAAATTGTGACCAGAACCTTCCAAAAGACAATTTCATATAAATATATCGCCTACTTAAACGTAGTTCACACTGAAATGTTGAATGTGTTTAACATGTGTATTTCGTGACCGGTTGTCACGAAATACTCGCCCCGTCTTCTTACTGAATACAAACACGCGAATGCAAAGACTTATATATCACATTTTTACGACGTACATATGCAAATATATTCATGCCCCTCTGAAATGTGAAATATATGCAAAGTGAGGCTATTTCTGTAGTGTTTTTATCTCAAAAAGTCGCAACAAACCAGTATTAACAGATCTTTACGAGCCCAACCAGGAGGATCTAGATTATCCTGAGCTTTTACGCAAGTGTTCAGAAATTGAGATAAACATCTCCGACAAATAAATTGAAATAGTCGAGCAGGACACAAGGACTCCAGCAAAGGGGCCAGGATTTTTTAGATATAGATATAGGAACTGCGGTCTTTTAAATGTCACGCCAAATTACCCAATCTTGACTTTCATTAAACGCCTTCAAGCAGAGTTTGAATAAAGGGGCTTGAATTCAACAGCTCCTCAAACAAATAACAAGTCGTTTCTAAAAGCCCGAGGTTTGTAGCCTTTGGTTATATGACGTCTTTATATACCATATAGCGCCGTCGTGGAAGAAGTTTGTAGTCTCCAGTTATGTTAAGTTAAATCGTATTACGTGTCCCGACCTCAAGGCCTAGAGGCTGTCTTATCTAGTGGTTCGTCGCATTAAAACACAGGTTTGAGTGAGGATGAGAAGGAGTCAGTCAGGAGATTCCACTTCCGCTTCTTTTCGGAGATCTTGTGTTTTTTATTTACTAAATTTCCTTGTACCGGATGAACTTAACAGGATTGCGATGATCTGTTAATACAAGTCAGGAAAATCAAATTCTTTGTTCTACATTTGCCTGCGCTGTATTGAAGTCCAAACACTAATCAAACACAACTTCTACTTTTCGCTCCATAATTAACTGTGTACTTTGAAAAAAAAAACATGACATGAAACAAGCAATCTTCCCTCTCCTTAGTTAATTAACGGATTACACAAGAGAAACCTGCCAACTTTTTTCTCGGAAATCACATAAATAAAGAGACACAGAAAAGGCAAAAGAATCAACTGATCTGTCAGTTAAATGGGGCTGGTCAGCAATTTATGCCAAAGGATCATGTTGTGTTACTTCATTCGTGTCATTAAATCTAATCCCCTTTTAACAGAAAGCCCCAAGCATCTACGGAACAAAAATACTATTCAATAACGATAAATATATTCCCGAAAAACGGCCTCAAAAAAGCAGCAACAATAATAATTTATTCTAAAAACTAGATTCTTGTGAAGCTATGGATTTCTAAACCTAATGTTTTTGAGGGGTAAGCCTAAAAGGCAATGAGGCTTCGAAAGGAATTTCACTTCCTTAATTAATATTCAGTCTAAGGAATGTATAGTCGCATTCACAGCCGTTTTCCGGTCACATCACGTGATGTGGTTTCGACTGAAATGCCTCGGTAAGCTCTTTACTCGCTTGCTCTACGCGGCGTAGCTGGGCGCTGATTACAAAACAGCGGCAATTGAACTTTCGGGTATTTATTGTCAAGGACAAGTAGTGCGTTAAAATTGAGCAAACTAAAGTCTACTCCGAATACAACTTGCAAAAGTTGTATTTAAAGCAGGTACATCACTCACTGGTTTTATCAGACATTCGGGTAACACTGAGCTCATCGCGATTATTTTATCTAAATGGTCGAAAGAGCACACTCCGGTATAATTGGAAGAATTAATTGATTTCTTCATTTCTTTTTTCTTTTTTTTTTCCTTAGTGTTTTCAAGTCTTTTCTCTCCCATCCACTCCAACAGTTTAAAAACAAGCACAGTTAGAACGCCGCCGATGAAACCAAACAAAGCACTCAAAATAACACCTCCGGAGAAAACATCTCTGAAAGTCTGTGGTTGATAGGCAATAATGAAATATTCTATGGACACCGCTGGAAGTCTTCAGCTTACGAAATTGGGAAGCTGTTCCAGTCCTTGCCGTCTCTGCCTTTTAATAGCGAGATCTACGAAAAACTAACTTGCTAAGTTCGCTTTCGACAAGTTTTTGAAAATGACGTACTTCTGCCGCCCTGTTTGGGTTACAATAAGACAACCTGAAAGTTTCCTGTATCCTGAGGATTACGAGCGAGGGTTGTCACACGACCAACAATACGGCAACAGAAACATCGCACTTGTGAAACAGGCTTTACTCACGCAGAACATTTGAATATTGTAATTTTGAATATGAGCGAATACGGTGAAATTTTGAAAATATAATAATTAATCTTCAACCTTTGAGTGTAATCGTTGAAATAAGGGAAGTGAGGAGTCCACCAACTTTATTAACGGTGTCCCATCAAAATTGAAACCGACGGTTGTGTATCGTCGTCTGTGACAAACAACCCGAGGATTTTACTTATTGCCTGGGAGGGGGGAAGTGGGCAGATTTTGTTTGTGTTGCGATGAAATTTCCTTAATCCCCCCATAAGGCTGTGTAATATCCTTATTTCCCCCCACCCCCTAGTCAAATTTCTTTAGCCCCCCCCCCCCCTTGTGCTGATCCCTCTCCGCTTTCACTGAAAACCATGTGAACGAACGAGAACCATATGGACTGGACAAAGACTGTGATTAAGTCACTGACAAAATGTGACGTTGCAAACTGCAATAATAAACAATTTTCATTTATGGAAAGAATGACTGAAAAAGACGTGATAATTTTATGACTGACAAGTTTTCTATACTTACTTTATTGTTTGCTTTGTATTTGCTTTCTTGATTCTACAGCTTTATGAGAAACATTGTTTACACGATTTAAAAATATTTACATATCATTGAGTCATATATTTAGAATGTCCTGTTAAAACAGAGTGCGCAATACAGAATAACACAATTCAGCCATCAAAAATTCTGGTCGTTCTTCTGTTGTAAGTCCATGATCGAATCGTAAATTCCTGTAAACAAAAATTTCCATAAGTGTCTTTTGACGGCGTAACTAATCAAAACATGGATGAAACTAAGCTGTCCCGTCTGAATCCAACTGGAAATGATAGCTAAATCCCAACTAACTAATCATGCAATACATGGCGTAACTGATCAATGCATGAACAAAATTAAGCTGTTCCGTGGGAACCCAACTTTAAGATTTAGATATGTGTTTGACCTTTATCTCTCAGGACCTCATGCGTGACTCGTTTTCACAAAATTTCGATTTTTTTCATTGGTTTAGTGAATAGATTTTCAAAAGGTATCTCATAATCAGGAAACAGTGAAACATGTTCAGAGACGAATGGTTTTTGATTCCAGGGCTTTGAAACAATATTCACATCTTGAGGGATCACACTTAACTCTACACGTCCCCGCGCCGCAAAAGTTTGGCCAGCAAAATGACTAACTAGTCGACAAAACTCTTATTTGATTGACGTCAGGAGGTTCAGGACAGTGTGCACCATGGTAGCTTAGTCACACACTAGAATGCGGCAATTTATCATTTTTTTTCTTCCGTTTCGTCTCTACAAAGCGCCTCCACTCACCTGGATATAAAGTAAATATCGTCTTCTATCGCTGTCTTTCATCATGTTCCACTGGCACCTGGGGCCTCCTTGTCGCTTCATTCTGAGGCGAATTGCAAAATTTTACCACCAGAAATGATACTATGCCGCCGATAGCAGCGGACAAAACATACACCCAAATATCTTGAGACACACACATCTGTTCACCTTCATGTATCGCAGTTCATTTTCACTTGATACATGCTATTTGTTTGGATTATCTTGATACGCGCTATTTGTTTGGAGCTGTTTTCTTGATTGGTTGATTCTAACTTGATTGGCTTCCGGGAAAAAGACGAACGTTGAAACACTGTTGTTGGATCTTGATGGTCTGCAATTGGCCGGTTCTAACTTCCGGTTATTGGAAGCGTGATTGCCTATTAACCACAAACTTTGAGAGATGTTTTCTCCGGATGAATTATTTGTGAGTACTTTATTTGGTTTCATCGGCGGCGTTCTAACTGTGCTTGTTTTTAAACTGTTGGAGTGGATGGGAGAGAAAAGACTTGAAACACAGAGAAAAAAAAGCAGCCCCACAAAAATGACGAGAGGTCCTCATGAAAAGGTGAGCACTTATGTTTAAACTGAGAAAATGAAGAAATCAATTAATTCTTCCAATTATACCGGAGTGTTCTCTTTCGACCATTTAGTTAAAATAATCGCGATGGGCTCAGTGTTATCCAAATGTCTGATAAAACCAGTGAGTGATGAACCTGCTTTAAATACAACTTTTGCAAGTTATATTCGGAGTTTACTTTAGTTTGCTCGATTTTAACGCACTACTTGTCCTTGACAATAAATACGCGAAAGTTTAATTGCCGCTGTTTTGTAATCAGCGCCCAGCTACGCCGCGTAGAGCAAGCGAGTAAAGAGCTTACCGAGGCATTTCAGTCGAAACCATATCATGTGAGGTGACCGGAAAACGGCTGTGAATGCGACTATACATTCCTTAGACTGAATATTAATTAAGGAAGTGGAATTCCTTTCGAAGCCTAATTACCTTTAATGACCTTGCCCCTCAAAAAACATTAGGTTTAGAAATCCAAAGCTCCACAAACATCAAGTTTTTAGAATAAATTATTATTGTTGCTTCTTTTTGAGGCCGTCATTCGGGAATATATTTATCGCTATTAAATAGCATTTTTGTTCCGTAGATGCTTGGGGCTTTCTGTTAAAAGGGGATTAGATTCAATGACACGAATGAAGTAACGCCACATGATCCTCTAGCATTAATTGCTCACAAGCCCCATTTAACTGACAGATCAATTGATTATTTTGCCTTTTCTGTGCCTCTTTATTTATGTGATTTCCGAGACACAAGTTGGCAGGTTTCTCTTGTGTAATCCGTTTATTAACTAAGGAGAGGGAAGAGTGCTTGTACCTTGAAAAAAAAAAACATGACATGAAGTTAATGTCATGTTTTTCTTTTCAAGGTACACAGTTAATTATGGAGCGAAAAGTAAAAGTTGTGTGCGATTAGTGTTTGGACTTCAATACAGCGCAGGCAAATGTAGAACAAAGAATTTCATTTTCCTGACTTTATTAAAAGATCATCACAATCCTGTTAAGTTCATCCGGTACAAGTAAACTTAGTAAATAATCCTCACTCAAACCTGTGTTTTAATGCGACGAACCACAAGATAAGACAGCCTCTATGCCTTGCATGAGGTCGGGACACGCAATACGATTAACTTAACATAACTAGAGACTACAAACTTCTTCCACGAATGCAGCCTGAAACATATTTATTGTGAACGAATCACAGCGTTATATGGTATATAAAGACGTCATATAACCAAAGGCTACAAACCTGGGACTTTTAGAAACGACTTGTTATTTGTTTGAGGAACTGTTAAATTCAAGCCCCTTTTTTTAAACTCTGCTTGAAGGCTTTTAATGAAAGTTAAGATTGGGTAATGTGGCGTGACGTTTAAAAGACCGCAATTCCTGTATCTATATCTAATTCCTGGCGAACTTTAACAAAATCTAACTGGCACCCCCATAAGACTCTCCGTTTGTTTTAAATGCTTCAATGATAATTAGGATGGAAACAATGCATAGCAAAACTCGGCTTTCCAAACCTATGCCAAAACTTCTACAACCACCCCAAAAAAATTAAAAACTTTTCGATTCGATTTTGCCGTGTAAACCCACCAAGGCATCAATTAATTCTTTTAGGGCAACCTGCTCTCTGCTTGCTTGGGTGAGGTTATCCTTCCAGGGTGTCCAGCAACAAGATTGTTCAGAAAAATACGAAACTCACAATTCAAAATATACGAATTTAGGACACTCACAATTGCAAATAATAGGAAAATAATTGAAAAAGTTGGAAAATGGGAACTTTATTCCCAAAACTAGGATAACATAGGAAACCAACACTACTTTGAAGGACAAAGATTAGATATGTACACCTTTTTTTTGAAAGACGACTTGAAATTCCACATTAAATTAATCAATGCAAATTCCCTGGTCTTAAAAAATACCCACTGAACTACTCCAGTTTCAAATTATGTGCTGTCTTTTCAATCTTTTAACATCAAACCAGCAGACAACACTGAGCAAACATAACAGATCCTCGGTGAAGTTTTAAAGCAACATTTCACTCTAAACTTGACATGAAACGACCAAAGTTCACTCTTAATTGAACTTGGAAACGATAGTTCCCCTTTAGCATGACTTAGCGACGACACTTTACCCTTTATTTGGCTTTCTTTCCTTTGATGAGGAAGCAGAAACACTCGTTGACAGGGCTTTTTCTAGTGGTTTCTGATTCTTTGTGTAACTGACTTCCTTATAATCCTGATCGTCATAGTACTTACTGCTGTAGGAACTTGGCTTTCTTGACTTTGATGAAGAGGAAGCACAAACACTAGTTGATAGAGCTTTTTCCAGTGGTTTCTTGTTCTTTGTGTAATTGATTTTCTTTTGCTCTTCTCTCACTGCCTCAAGCTTCCTCTTTGCCTTCTCTCCATTTGATTTCGCTCTTCCAATCATGAGACGCCCATGTGTCAGGAGAACATAACGCGGATAAAAAGCCATCCGTAAGGGCAATTTTCTCTTGTTTACAATTCCTTGGATCGTCAAACTCCCGGGCGTCTTTAACAGCTCTTAGGCCAAAGATGGTCCTCTCTCCAAAGAGTGGCCTTTCTTGTGTCACAACGCAGGCATTGCGAAAGACTCCTTCCTGATTCAGCATTTGTCCGTGCAAGAATAAGCTCCACTTTGGCAATATATGCTCCACATACTATCAAGAGATTTAAGATTGAATACGGAGGGCCAGCTTGAGCTTAACTGCTCAACATCTTCATCGACAGAATAAGCCTACCACTCATCTTGAAGAATGCGGACATCCAACTGAAGCCGCTATGTTTTTGCCAGACTTGTAATTGCCCTCACACCACTTGCACTTTCCTTCTTCAGGGGTTTTTAACATGGGAGGTAAGACTGCAGATGTGCAATTGATGTGCTATAAAACGTAGGCATGCCGCGAAGTAGAGCCTTTCGACGCTCTGACTAAGTTGGGTAGGGCCTTTATCCCTGCAGTCAATACTTACAAGGCCACTTTCAAACTTTTTGCATGGGCCTCTTTCTGTAGGAATCCAGTTACAACCCAACGTAAGATTTTACTACACTTTGAAAAGCCTGCAGACAGTTTACTTTTTACATAACAAACAACTTTCGATGAGCTCTTGCAGAACATTTTCCTTCTGCTGACTTCAACAGTCACATGAAGTACAATTCATATAACTTTTCTAGGGGCGATAGATGCAGTGGGAAATCTTTGAGAAAAAATTCGGAAACAATACATCTTAAGCTAGGAACAGAAGTACAAGCAACAGTAAACAAATAAAATAATTGCAGCAACTTTACCTAACTTTTAGATTCATTTAAAACATCATGGTCATGAAACAGCTTGCTTTATGCTACATCTACGCCTGAGACTATAAAATAAATTTTCAATTCTGTAACGCATGTTGCTTAATCAGCTAAAATATTGAGAAAAAAGTTTGTGGAGAAAGGAATCTGTTAATAAAATAAGAAAAAATAAGACCTGAGAAATTGGACACTAAATCCTTCTCTACTTAGCCAAATGATCGTAAAACATCAGGGCTCAAATTACTTTTACCACTCTACTCATCTAGAATTTGTTCAACCTATCAGATTGAATGAACCACACCTACCTGTTTCTGAAATAGTCTCTACACTGCGATTCTAACCAACGTTATCTAATGTTCCTCTTTCTTACGTAAACTCGCATTTTATACCCTATTCGCACCAGCAAAACATGTTTTGTTAAACTGACTTTTACTGAATGAAAATCACAAAGAGAGAACTGGAAAAACTTAATTTTGCGTAGGATTCAAGTACTTGCTAACTTGCATTTCCAATGGGCTATATTTTAAGTAGAAAATATTAGGTAAAGTTGGTTCTACTAAGAAAAAAAAATTAAAGTGTGTTTAACAAAACAACTTTAAAACATGTTTAAGCTTTGGTGTGAATGGGGAATTAGAGAAAATTGGCAGCTTATATCATTTGTAAGAGAGCTCGCTTAATTCGCTTTTCCGACGCCCTTTTCCATCCCTGCACTGGGAAATGACACAACATTCGTTTTAAAGAAAGTTACTGCTGACTTGATTGATCATCCAACGTATTACAAGAAAACAAAATTTACCACTCTGAATTTAACCCCTCGCAGTGCTGCGTCATTTTCTTTACAAACTTGCGCTCTCAGTACCTTAATCATGCTTGCCATTATGGGCGTGAGGAACAAGTAGAACTTTTCCATGAAGAAGGCCGTGTCACATTTTCGTGTTGCGGGACACTTCGTCAAAAAGAAAACAGAAAGTTTAGCTTTTTGATAACTGATCCCTACTTTATTACTTACTGAGTGACAAAAAAAAAAAGGTTGTCCTCATATGGCTTTGGCCTGAGGTGGCCTAGTAAAGTTGCAGAGAAGAAATACTGGAAGCAATGTGACAGGTTTACATTCACCAAAAAAGCACAACGGTTAACCACCAACAAGGCGTGTAAAGAGCGCTTGTCAATTGGGTTCCGTGACTATTGGGAAGATAGTGTTAGTTTTTGTCAGTTGAAGTACACGAAGGCTCGTTATCACAAGTACTTTCACTATTCGATTGAAAATTGTTCGATGGACAAACTTTGTAAGTTTATTGTAATAGAATGAGAGCTCTAAATCTCTTTATCGTGAGAAAAGCGAATATATGTTGTCCAATGTACAGGATTCAATGATTTTATTATTACTTGGGGAGGGGAGAGGTTTGTTCCTTTCTCTTTTCTTTCATTGCGATAGCACGCTTGTTTCCTGTATTTCATTAAGTTTTATTTGCCACTGTTACTGATTGTTGTTGAGCTTGCCTTTAATTTGTATGTCTAGGCTATAATAGCAACAAAGAACCTGAGTAACGCTTTGTACATCCTAAAATATTCCGCTCAATTTTCCGGTTTGTTTTTCGCAATCTCCATCCCCAGCCAACGTTGTTTCGTAATAGTCTGCCCATAAGCTCTTTTGAGTATTTCTATCCGACAGAACTAACACTTGATAGTCTCCTGCTAGCTGAAGGTGGTTTGGCACGTTATAAATAATGATGTACGCACGAAACTCCTTTAAAAGGTCCTCGAAAGGAGATTAATAAATACAACGATATTAAGACACCGAAGGCGAAACTCTTGATAATAGTTAACGTTACCTAGATCTCCTGCTGGGAGAAAAGTGGAAGATACACTTTCTACCGACAACTTGAGTAAATGCTGCAATCACATTAGAATAAACATTGCATCGATCATGTCGATGGAAAGAATAAATGAAAGCTTTGGTACTGTGATTTCCTGTAAACGCTATCCAACCTTGGCGGGATATATCATAGTAAATTTACAACGAAAGAGATGGACATCCCTCTCGACAGATCTTACCATTAAAAACCATGAAAGTATTGTAAAATTGGTACCTGCCATTTAGTTTACATTTGAATACTCTTGAAAAGTAAAAAGAAAACAGAAAAAAACGAATCGAGCTTTTCGACAAGACATATGCATGACTTGGTAAATAGGTCTAATACCTATTATACAGTTAATGCATCATTTACGATTCTGCCACACAATGCCTCATAAAAGAGTCTTTCAAGAAACTCTTAAAAGGAACTGAAGCACGCAACCCATTGGAAAAGAAAACACTTATGGTTTTCTCTGTTTTCTGATTATGAGTTTCAACCCATCGTAACTCAACAATGTCGGTCCAAAATAGGCAGATGGATATTATTTCTAGATTCCTCAGGGCTGCTTTAAAAACTGTTCAGACACCGCTTAAATTTCTGTCTCCATGTGAAATTACGTCACCCACCCTGAAACAGTTGTTGACCACTGAGCGATATAGAGACAACTGGTCAGGACGGTGGCTATGAATGCAGTATGAAGCGAAAGGGAATTCTGGCCTTGGTCCCCATGCGCCAGTTAATGTCTTCTATTTCTATTGTTACGTGTATTTTTGGCCATTATTCCAAATTTCGCCTTTTAAATGATGCGGTGTATTCAATAAATGTCGGCATTTAATCTCAACACAACAGGAATCGGTTGAAGGCGTACAATGTTCCGGTAAATCTATTTTCTTTGTGGTGAACCGACTACAGTATTTTTTCCGTTGCGGTCTATGTGAACTTTAATTACTAAAAATAGAAATTTAACACTGCACGGGTCCGTGATTTCCATAAAATGAGGATTTGAAAAACAACACTTAAGAGCGTGACTGAAAATGAAGCAAGTTCATGGTTTCATAAAAAGGAAAGGTATCTCGAGATTCGTCGAGACAGTGAAGTCTACAAGTTTATTGGACAAACATTCGGCTTTGTTTTCCTAATTTTGTAACATAAGTATTATTTCTTTTGTTTTCTCTTTTCAATTCTGAGACTCCTGAAGGCAAACTTCGGTAGCTCCACATAAAAGTCGTTGCGTTTTTTTTTTTTTTTAAAAAGGATGGTCGTGGGTCATGTTTGTTTTGAAGTCTAGCATCGATTTAGGTCTAAGAAAAAAAGCATATTTTACGATGAATGCAAACAATAAACACAGCAAATCAAGACACGTGTGTATTATCAGTCACGACATGCCTGTCATGTATGATCGATTAGAAATCAAAAACAAAAAACACAATTCAGGATCCACCATCGCATGTGTTTTACATAATGGTCGAAGAGTTTAAAATGTCGTTGATTTTCACAGCTGTTGACACTCATTAACCTTGAGAAAGATTATAAGGATTTCCAAAAGAAAGGTTCGGCTGTGAAATGGCGCCGGCACAAAACTCAACCTCACTTGTTTATTCTGTAGCTCGGATCTAAACTTCCCTGTGAGACTAATTCCTCTCAACGACTAAATTGCCTGCCGTAACCGAGAGGAAATTGTATCACAAAATTGATGAGGCTGTACAAGGAATAACGCATATGAACAGGTGAAAGAACCTTTATTCAACTGGATATTTTGCGCAACAAAGATCACGACACCGGCTTTTGCAGTGCAAGGCATTAAAAAAGGAAAAACGTCATTTCCCAACCGCAAATCAATCAGACACGTTGAAGTGTCATTTGGTTGGTGTTTGACCAGGCTTAGACAGGTCCTTCACCCTTAGACAAGAGATTAGCAATATAAGTATTCTCCAACACCACTGTGCTCCCGCCGAGATTCTGTCGTCGTAATCAAAGAGATGAACGATTACACGCGAAAAAAACTCTTTTAAGTTTCTCGCACCTGTCGCTCTTCTTCCCAAAGAAAGTATTTTGCTTCGTTTATGTTTATAAAAGGGATAACAGCTTCCGTGCATCGATTGTGAGTAATGGTAAGCATCAATAACTAAGACCTCTTTGCGGATTTATCTGATCTGTAATGGGATTAATACTCGTGCATTTTGATCTGTGTCATCACAACAAAACCTAAGAAAGCTCACCAAATTTCACCACTAAAACCCGGCTCAAGTAAAACAATTGAAAACAAACCCACAATACCATACAAACTGGCTTTACCTTTCTCGCGTAAAGCTCTCTATTTTTATATACAATTTGTGATTTTTTGATCAATGGAAAGACCCTAAAAATTTCACAGGTCTTTGTGACCTAAGCATTACCGGAAATGGAAAGTCTGGCCAGAGAGAAAAATATCCGGAAGTATTAAAATTTAGTGAACGGAAAAAGACGGACAGATGGCTGGCAGATTGGGCAAACTTGTATTTACACAAGCAGTTTTAGTGCGTTAATATCTTCATTTGGCATAAAACGCAATAAAATCTTGACCCCAGGTAATGAGAATTGACAGAGCTTTCAGAGCTTTAGTTGTTGCGGTCCATGTAATTTCTGAGGCGGATTCCATATTTTGATTTCCGAACACTACGAATAATTCAATAGACTGGGCGAGCAGATTGCTTATTAAACCAAACTTTCTCGTTAAACTGTTGTTTTTTTATAAAATCAATTTTGAGGACGAAAACTGCAGGCTCAAAGTACTTAAATGGTTATCACGACCTCAGGAAGATATTTGAGATTGATTTCGTTGTTAGCCCAAAACAAACATTTCCCACAGCGACTGAAGATACGTCGAGTGGGTACTGAATTGACGCGGTTTCTGTTCGGAAACGCGTTCAACATACCTTCCAAATAGTTTACATTCAACGAAAATTGCGGGTTCGTCCTGATTGAATGTTGAACACATCTTTCGTGACACACGAGATAAGATCTTAATGAGGGCGGGGCGCACCAATTAGTCACTTTAACGTGCCTGTCAGCACTTTCTACGGGAGCCTTGCATGCGTATCGAAATAAATAAGACGGGCACGAAAAAAGGGATTCCATTAAAAAACAAAGCATTGAAAAGAAAATAAGACTATAACAACAGACGGGAATCTTAAAAACTATTAAGGTATAGTTAATCACCGAATAAAATAAATAGCCCGTGGAAATGAAAAGCGATCGATATCTCGTTATCTCGCGACCCTAATCCGCTTAAGTCCAGTTTGGGATTTACAGTACAAACCAGAGAGCTCCTTAGAGAGACATAACGGTCTCTTTTAGAAACGACTTGTTATTTGTTTGAGGAATTGTTAAATTCAAGCCCCTTAATGAAAGTCAAGATTGGGTAATGTGGCGTGACATTTAAAAGACCGCAATTCCTGTATCTATATCTTAAAAATCCTGGCCCCTTCGCTTGAGTCCTTGTGTCCTGCTCGACTATTTCAATTTCTCTGTCGGAGATGTTTATCTCAATTTCTGAACACTTGCGTAAAAGCTCAGAATAATCTAGTTCACAAATAGTTTCCAAGTTGCCGTTACCACATTTTGACGTCCTCTGTGATCTATTACTGAACAGACGCACGGCAACTTGGAATCTATTTGTTTTATATAATAAAGAATTAAAATATACGGGAAAAAAGTTTTAATGATGACGTCATCTATACGTCTGTACTCCAATAGATCATAAGTGAGAACCAATCAGAATGCGTGCATAACTGAGCTTATTATATAAATCCTCATGGTTGGGCTTGTAAAGATCTGTTAATACTGGTTTGTTGTGACTTTTTGAGATAAAAACACTACAGAAATAGCCTCACTTTGCATATATTTCACATTTCAGAGGGGCATGAATATATTTACATATGTACGTCGTAAAAAGAAACACCCACACTGTCTGTTAATTAGTTCATTTTAGTCTGACCTCGCAGGTCAGTCAAATAGGCAATTAGTTTGGTTGGTATTGAGCGTGTTTTACCTAATAAAGCTTGTGGTGCGATTTGCCTATAACAAGACGAATTCAGAAGAAATGGCTTTTTTCTCTGATCAATTTTTGCGTGGTGTATTGTTCTTTGCTGTTGGTGGAGTTTCCTCTGTAGCGATTATGTTGTCTCAGAGCTGTGCGTGTGTGTTTCGCTCATAGAAGGTAAACTAAAATGATCAGAAAGAATCCCTAGACCGTTGATTTTTGGCCAAAATCAGAAGCCTATTAAAAGATCATTGTCAACCATGCCTCTTGTCATGTTTTCATAGGAGAAGCTGTGGAGAAAATCGTTCATATTTTACATTCAACGTCTGCCAGGAGTCGCGTTGGCCTGTCACATGGGGGTGACTACAATGTTACCCAATGCATAATGTGGTCGCATAAAATCCAATATTTTTGCAAATATCCAAACGATTATCCACACCCACATTGTGATTGAAGGATTCCCCTTCATAACAGCCGATTCAAACAATAAATCGGTCTCGTTTGAGTTTTCCGCCAACACTATTGGTTTATTTTCATTATAAACTTCTCTCATACCGCACAAGTATTCTTTGACTGTTGCATTTTTCAGATTATGATCGAACCGCCCTTGAGATCGGAACGTCACGTGAATAACTTGACAACTAAACGCCGGCTGATTGAAAAACACGATGACTTTCGCGTAATAACGCCAGAGTAGAATTGTTCGTGACATTATAACCCTATTAGATCAATAGTAATACGAATTATGGGCGAATTATCTTTCAGCGTTGAATTTTTTTCAATAATTGTGAGCCTTTCATTCACACATCGATATACTTGACTGCAATCCAAACAAAAAAGAAGTGAGGTCAGACCTGTGCTGATCAGGCACAAAAACAGAACACTAAATATAATTGCAACTGTTTAATTTAAATATTATGCGGCCGTGGGGGAAGTATTGAGTAGTGGTAGAGAGTTTCTAAAGCTGGATGTTTCGAGTATTAATCATTCTTCAGAGAGAATAAATTTGTACTAGTATGCCTTATAAAAGTAAAACCGTGTTTAATAAAGAGTCAGAGAGTTTGTCTACAATTATGATCGGGAACACTTTGGAACAGTTCAAAACCTAAGGAAAGAAGTATGTATCATGAATTCATTATTTTGTGCTGCAAATACGATCAGTACCTTAAAACCACCTATAGTCGAGTGTTCTCGCTAAGCGTAAACGAATTTTCAAGATAAATTCGCGAGCATTAGCAAAGAATCATGACTTGGAATCCCTTATTTACATTACAATCGAACATTAACACACACATTCCTGCAAGTCAAGCGACTGGAAGAATATCACGCAATTTTATTTCTTGTTTCTAAATTTAACTGTTAGACTCTGCCATTTCTGATTGCATTAAACTTATTCAACTGTTGCTGAGATAATCTTAGCGACGTAATCAAACCCTGAAACTGTTATCGTTTCTTCAGTTTTATTTCTAACCAAAGATCACTTCAAACAGGTACGCTGGCGGAATATATCGTTTGTTTATGTTATGGGTCGTTCGATCCCACTTTACCGCGTGAGTTACAGAAATGAATTTTGTTTTTTACATAATAGTTTCAAAACTCTTAATCAACAACTCAAGTTTACGTAAAGTTTGATTATTTTTTTACAAAGATTCGAGTTAAGAGATACAACACGCAAAAGGACTTGACAAACATCTAAAAAAATGTAGCGCTACTTCCTCTACAGTCTCAAAAGATCGTTCAAAGGATTAATTCCAAAGATAACAACAATTGGTAGAGTAAAAAAATTAGATAAATGAGCCTATAAAAAAATTGGCTACAACAAAGAAAGTAAACCATGATCAAACATTCTGTTTCTTCTTCCGTTGGATACAACTTCACGTCGCATCGGAAGTCCTATCACGGGATTAAGGAGAGAAAGAGAGTGAAAACAACTCTTTCTTCTCTTTCGTAATAGATATGATGCTATATCGTATACAAGTGGAAACGGGGTCATATTCCCGCCAGGACCGAGGGCATGATCGGAAAATCAAGGTAATAAGAACAAACATAGCTGGACCAAGAAAATGAATCAGGGAAAAAAAAATCTATTGCCTCTCTCGAGTCACTCATGCGGTATAAAGGTTTAGCATACAAGTTAGTTATCTTACCCATGAACCACGGAGGAAATTTCCAAGTGTTATTTCTTTAAATTCAAGGGGTTTTTTAGTTTATTTCCAACTTGCATCTACGAATAGAATTCACCGCGCGAACAGCGACAGGAAAATGTCTTAGCGCAACTACTTCCAGATTGCTTCCAACTAATAAATAAAAGTTCACCAACAGATCATACATGTCTCAGAGCTGTGCGCGTGTATTCTGTTCATAAAAGGCAAAGTAGAATCATAACGGGAAGAATCCCTGAACCATGGATTATTGGCCAAAATTCTTTTCGCTCACTTACCTGAAAATTTGCTTCCAACTAACCCGTTCTTTCGTCATGTTCTTGTGGGACTTTGTGAGTCCTGATCACTTGATCGCCACATCTTGGCAATAACACGAACACCAGGATTACTATAATGGCACCCATGGCAGCAGACACAGCACACAGCCATACATCCTTTGATGGAAACATCTCCGGTTTAATTTCTGTGCTTTCGATAGCCCACCACCAGATATGATTAAAGGCAAATGAGTTGGTACGGACGACCTTTCTGTCCGACACACTTTTTCCACCCCGGAGAAAAAGGCGGTACGTAACAACGCGTTTTTCTCATTCGTTCCTCACGATAAATGTCAATCAAATATCGTCTGATGAGAGCAGATACTTGAAATAGCTTAAGCCGTTGAATCTTATCGGAAATGAGTTGGTACCGACGACCTCTCTGATCTAAGCGCTTTTCCCCCTCCCAGAGAAAGAGGCAGTACGTAACAACGCGTCTTTTCTCGTTTTTCCTCATGATAAATGTCAATCAAATGTCGTCTGATGAGAGCGGGTACTTTAAATAGCTAAAGCCGTTGAACGTTATTGGAAAGGATTTGTTGACTATCAGCAGGTGTAAATTAACTCATGGCTGTTCTCAAATGCTAATCCGATTACAATCACACACCATGCAAGGCTTGAAATGTGTTCAAACTGTGAAATGTTTTTCGCTACAAGAGGCTTATGAACACTCTCGAAAATAAAAACCCGAAAAATGGGTTTGTGGAGACAAATATGCTAACGAAATCATCTCAACGGCGTGCTTTATCGAACCGCAGATAGCACTTGAACAATTATGCTACCGCATACAGAGCACGTTGTAAGATTTTCTTTACACAGTAAGCATTACAGTCCCAGACCCCCCACGATAACTAACTACAGCACTTAATTACCCTTCCGAAGGAAAAAAATCTTCGTCTCACTCTGAATTTTATCTGTAACGTTATCTTACGTTAAGTGTTGATTTGTCAAAAACAAGGGCGAAGACTGTGATTCCAGCGAGGTTTACCTAGAGCGGCTTCTATAAGGCCGTTTTTAATAAGAAGGGGATTCCCCTTTCTCATACTATTATTCATGATTTGCCTAACATTTGGATGTCACGTTACTGTGGTTTGAAATTCGTTGTCGCTCTTTTTTCTCTGACAGAGTTTACACCGGGCATCTTTTTCGTTGGACTTTTGAAGACTGTGACCAGGGCCCTGCTCAAAGGTAGTTTACACTGAAATGTTACATTGACTGAAATGTGACATTGTGCACGAAATACTCGCTCCGTCTTAAAATAAAAAAATAAAATCTTTTCTGCATCGTAGAGACAACCTACATATACCCATGTTTGGACCATGTGACATTTCACTTTCAGAGGAAATTATAGAATCAAACAGAATATAATGACATTTTTAAACTAATCAACGGCTGAGTTCACTTTTCGGGGATTCCCACCAAGCGTTAAAACACAATGCCATTCCCCCATTGCCGAGAACCAAGGGCGAATTCTCTTTCAGCATTGAATTTTGTTTTTGAATAATTGTTAGCCTTTTATTCACACATCAATCTATGCGACTAAAATCCTTACAAAAAAAGACTCTTAAAAGCAAACTATTCACATCTGCGAAAAAAGAGTACGGTCTGACCTGTCGTGACCGTCGTGACCAGGTAGAAAAATAGGTCCGCAATGCGTACTTGTGTGGGATTTCATTGACAAAGTGTTTGCAAGGGGTTTTTGAGCGGAAGCAAACCTGTCGCTCACCGTGAGTCAACTGTACTACAGGGGTGATATTAGGCCTGGAATCAACAGCCTGAATAGTAATTTTTGTGCGGGAATTATTTGAACAAATACAGATTCACAGGAGAGATCTGGGGAATTAACTTATACTTTTATCAAGCAATATGCCTTTCCCTCCCTCCCTGGAAGCTTTTTGGCGTGTTTTTTAACGTTTGGTAATCGTCTTCAACAAATAAATTACCTCTTGGTGGCTTAGGCTATTTATTTGTTTATACGGCAATACTGGAAATATTTGGAGCAGTAAATATTTTCGTAACAGTCATTGAAAAAAAATTGAAAAAATTTCTGCTACTACTGTTTAACTCGTGGATACACGATAGCGTAGAAACGAGTTCTTGTGGGCGCTCTGCGATATGCAAATTAGCGTGGACTCTTCGTAATTAGTCGTAATTAGTCGGCTTCGAACTCGAGATCTATCCTTCCGAAGAAGTAAGTCCAAAGTCCTGGCGCTATTATGATTGCACTGATCGTTGCGATATTTATTTTCTTTACACGCCTGTTTCGACATTTACTATATTGAAATGGACTTCAAATGTTTCAGATTAGTGCTATGATCAACTTAAAAACCAAATTTGAAGGGTCTTCGAATCGTCCATGCGCTAAACATAACGAGGACCAGCGAGAATCACGAAGACTTTGTGAGTGACAGCAAGCTGTTGACACAGAAATTCCCACGGAAACATGTACCCATGACATAAAAAAAATGGTAATTTGCAGCATTATTTCTTTCTACGCCAATTTGGGTCTTTCCGTTGTAATCGTTTCGTTTTGTTATTCTTCTATGCAAACGTGACTGTTTTGATGGTAAGAATGAAAGATGATCGCTTTCAAGAAGTCGTTGGCGAGCACGTGACTATAATCTGGCCGGTGTTGTTTTGATCACTTGACGATCTTTTTCGCTGAAAATACAGGACGACTTCCTATTTCAAGGAATGCTTTTCCAATTAATTTCTATCGCATCGGTGTAAAAAAGTACAGGTATATGGGTGTTCTGAAAAACAAAAGGGAAATTCAAAACTACGAGAAATTGCGAGTAATCGGCCTCTTCTGCTACACGCGGGTTTTTTTGGTGTAACATAAGTTACAAGCACTTTACGCACGTGGGAATGCTGCAATCACGAATTTTAGATTACGTGAAAGTCACGCATGTGGTTGTTTGCTCACTTCACTAATATGTTTGTTTGCTTGTTGTTGTTTTTTTTGGTATCCTGGAGTATTTCAGGAGGGGTTGCAGACTTAACTGTGGAATAATTGTTTAATGCAGGGTTGTCAATAAAGTTTGCAGTTAGAAATTAGCCAAGATGCTAAAGGAGCTGCCTTGAAATTTCAAGACTGTGTGTTATGTAGTTTATTTTTGTCTTTTGTAAATGGTTGTTAAACTGGACAACTCTTAGAAAGATGACTTCAAACTTAATTTTAAAAGGCCTGTTCTGGTACCAAATGAATAAGCAGCATTTCCTTATTAATAGTTTTGCGAGTTTCTCATTACAAATTCCTCTGAAAAAAGGGAAACAACTCTTTTCATAACTATTTACTGCTTTCTTTTGTTGCTCTCTTAACTTAAAAACAATGTACATCATGATAAAGTAATTTGTTAGAGGACACCGTGAAATGAGGCCCAAACAGCTTTATGATCTGTGAAATATGTTGCTAAAACATCTGCTTGTATATCAATGTTAGATATATTTGTATATATATGATCAATTACTGTTTTGTTGTCAGTTGTATAAGTTGATATGAACTGTTTGTAATGGTTATCCCTCGCTAGTAAATTATACAAAGGTCTTCTGTCTGTTTCAACAAGCCAATTTATATTAAAGTCTCCAGTAATGTTATTGTTGTCTGGTGAAATGTTATTTAATACCTCAGTTATTGCTTCATAAAGTTGTCTTACAGGCACGTTTGGGGAGTGATATATCCCTATGATTATTCAATCCTAAAGACTTGCTAACTTAATTACTGTTATTTCAACACCATGTATATTGTGACAATAGGGGTATCCAGGTAAGTATGGGATTTTACTGTACACAGCTGTACCACCATAAGACCTTGATCCATTGCTGGAATTAAGGTTATCATTACGGAAGAGAACATAACCAGCAATGTCATACATGTCATTATTACCTTGAGAATTAAATCTTGTTTCTGTGAAAATATTGATATCAGCACTTAGATAAATTAAGTCTTTACGTATATCTTCTATGTGTTTGTGAAGAGACCTTACATTAAGATAACACAGTTTAAGAAGGGAAAATGTTATGTCATGGAGAGAGGAGATGCAAAGCTTAAGTTTTGCAGTTGTTCTTAATCTCTCCATCTGGATTAACAGCAATCTTGCTTTCACGCAAATCAGAAATATATAGGCCTTCTATAGCAGTCACTCTACTGAGTCCCACATAATGTATGTGTGGTACTAAAATCCACAACAATTCTACTGTCAGTATCACCTTGTGACCTGTGAATTGTTTTTGCTGCTGCCGGACGCAGTGGAAATTGTTTTCTAACAACTTTTGCTGTTCTGTTTCTACCTACCGCAAACTGTGTAGTCACAGGGTTTACTGGGGTCCATGTGTGTTCAATTCCTTGTACATACAAATGTCTTTTTTCATTCCTTGTTTTCTGACCTACATCTGAGTGGTCAAATTGTACCCATACAATACCAGATGGTTTGGTTTGTTGATGTAACTGAACTAGTTTAACAACATTTCCAGCACCATTTGTCATGCCATCTTCGGTTCGTACATTCATGACAAGGTGTGTTCTTTCACCCTCAGCAAGACAAAGGGTTGAGGCTAACTGTTTTGTTTTTCTTGGATCATTGGGTATTTGTCTTAGTATTTTGTTTCTTAGCTCTGGAGAGATAGCTCCAATAACACTATCTAGAGCATTTGTTGTGAATTTGTTTCCTGTGGCTGCATTATGGGCCCTTTGATTAAATTCATCTACTTTAGCATTCTGTATAAATAAGTGAGGTGCATCTATTGGGTTGTTGATGTCTTCTTGTATAGATCTCTTTAAGTTTTGCAATGTCAGCTACTGTGTGTTTACCTTTACGCAACCTATTAAGTAATTCCACAAACAATTTGCTGTCTCTTTGACCCATGATTTCATTAAGTTCAAACATTTTAAAGTGTTTATGCCATAAACTGGGAGAAAGAACAGCATAAATCTACATTTTTGAGGTCTTTGAAAATATAAGCATCCATAACAGATTCTAATTGGAATAAGTCACCAATAGCAATTATGCTCACACCTCCAAAATCCTCTCTACAGCCTTTTATATCTTTAAGCCTATTGTTTAGCTGTATTGCAAATTAACATTACCATTTCCTACCATTGAGATTTCATCAACAAAAATTAATTGACTTCTCAAAGTGTTTAGTCTACTTGAATCAAGCTGTTTGTAATGTCTCAGTGATTGATTGGCAGGAATGGCCAGAGTGCTATGAAGAGTGTTACCCTTAAGCTTTACCAGTTGGAGCTAATAGTATAACTTTGATCTGATGAAAATCATCACCAGCTCTAGTGTTATAATAATACTTAAGCACTGCCTGATACAAATCTTTTGTTAAATGCGATTTGCCAACACCAGCTCCTCCACTGAGGAAGCAGTAGAAAAAGGGTTTCTGAGGTTTTAATCTGATGTAAAATGTGATAAAAATTCTTTTTGCTCTTTATCGGGTGTCTGGACCATTTGACGAAAATCGAAATCAGGTAATTCATTCAATATCAGTGGTTCATTATTCAGCGATGTTGATGGAATGTTGAGATCATCAGAGAGGTCATAGTTTTCACTTAAATCAGGATGTAAATCTTCATGAGATCCAATCCTTGAACGGAATTGGTCAATGGAGATCCCCATATTTACTTGTGTGCTTGAGCGAGCAACAACAACAATCCAACTAACTAGAAACTCAGTTTATTAAAATAGCTAACACTCTTGACAGTTCAAGGCAAACAATAGTTTCTTTCAGTTTGTGACACTTTGAGACACTCGTGAGACATTTTGAGACACTCGTGAGACACTTTGAGACACCCTGAGACTCTTTGAAGCGCAACCCGCACAAATACATTCAAGCCGACAAATGTTGGCTTGCGAGAGTAAAATGACTCCTTTCAATCTGGCACAACCCGCACCGAAGGTCCAAGCCGATAAATGTTGGCTTGTGAAAACGTAAAAGCTCCTGTGCAACCTGCGCTGAACACAAGCCGCGTTTCAGCGTGTTGGCTTACGTGAAAAAATCTTCTGTTATAGACACCTGAAGAAATAACGAAACAAACGCCAGGTGTACAAACGTAATCGCCTTTCGTGAGAGCTTAATCGTGAAGCTCCCACAACAAAATTGAAAAGTTAAAGCACGCAAAGAACCCGTGAAAATATGAAATGACTTATCCTTACCTTGGAAACGAAAATCCCCAAGAAACAAATATGAAATTCCGAATAAGTTCTCCAAAACCCAACGACTGAGAAGAGAAATGGCCGCCGTACAATACACTATGAAAAAATGCTGACTGGAATCCAGTCTTCACGGCTCACTGAACGCAAATAGAAACCACGTGACAAGCACTTCTCTCTCGTGGACAAATAAATAAAGAAATAAAGAAATAAATTTCGCGGGCCTTGACTAAGTGTGGGAAATCCCACACAAAAACAAATCACGATATAGTTGCAAGTATTTATAATTCCTGCGACACAATAACCTATTAAACATTTACTATCTCATTCATATTGTAATAAAACGCAAACAGAACAAATTTTTAGGTATTACCTGAAGATTTACAAATGAAAAAAAAAACACTACCAAAAGGCTGATCAGTGCAGTTTAAGACTACGGAACTTATCCGCGTCAACAATGTCTTGTATGTAAACAGCTTTCCAGCCAATGCACATGCACTAAAGCATTTGCTAAGAGTCTAACAGCCGGTGATTCTCGTCTTTGATCTCTATGTTACCTTAAACATTAATACAATTCAAGATATACATGTACTAGAAGTTCTGTTCTAACTTGAATATATCTGTTGTGTGATAAAGTCTAAACCAGATAACAGATCTTTGCTCTTCTTTGTCCGTCATTAATCCTCAATTCCGGGGCTTTGAAGCAATATTCACGTCTTGAGGGATCACACCTAACTCTACACGTCCCCGCGCCGCAAATGTTTGGCCAACGAAATGACTAACTAGTCGACAAAACTTATATTTGATTGACGTCAGGAGGTTCATCGTAATCAAATCGTAATCTCACACACAAACACTGCCGGTATTAACAGAGTCTACAGGGATGAGAAATTACTGGGATTCGTCAATCAAAGAACTCACCATTCTCGCTCGTCTCTATCATGGCGGAAATGCATTTACAATTCATTACTTTTAGGGCAGCCGCACGTCAAATCAAACAATAGAAATCATGAGCCAAATGTCAATCACTGAAGCAAAGTAAGTGGCTAATGAAGCAAGTTGGTCATAACTAAAACAATTAAGTCTTGGTTGAGATTAATTTTGCCTCTTGATTTATAACTACTGAGGCGCGTTGAGATAACCGAACGAGAACAGTAGCAGAAAAAGTTTCCATTCCACAACTGGTCTCCACTAACTCTTGTTCAGCGCCCTTCCCTGTGTGCGACGATCTTAGTCTTGTGTCGGTTTTTCAGATACTGAAATATGTCTACTGGTAAATCACATGGCATATGTTGTTCAAGTTAATAACACCGTTGAACTTAAGTTTTTAGCCTCTCTATCTTGCACTCTGTTAATGTGTGAAATTTCACTTTCAGAGGAAGATAAAGAATAAAACGAAATAATAGGACATCGTTCAAGCCAATCACAGGCTGAGTTCACCTTAAGGGGATTCCCCTAAACGTTTAGACACAATGCCATTCGGGTCACGATTCTCTCATCACAGAGAGTCAGAGTAATCCCCTTTCAGCGTTGATTTTTTTAAAATGATTGTTAGCATTTCATTCACATATTAATCAATTTGTCTCCAATCCCCCCTCCCCACCCAAGGAAAAAAAAAAGAACTTAAAGAAAACCATTCTCTCCTACGAAAAAAAACAATGCACGGTTATGTATGTCGTGACTAGGTATAAAAACAGAATACTCAATATAACTGAAACCGTTTAAACTCGGCGCGAAACGACTGATCCATTAAAAATTTACTGGCTAATTCACTTTTTAAAAAGCGTTGATACAAAACACTTTTAGTTATAACTTGAAGACTACAAAAAGGCTGGCTAGTGCAGCAAAAACTACGTAAAACGTGTTTGCGACTGCAACATTTCATATGTAAACAACATTATTGGAGAGGAGAGCTAATGCTCCCTCAAAACACATCGTGATTGTAAGCGGCTTTTTGTGAACAGTATACTTACTGAAGAGATCAGGTATACTTATTTGGCGGAACCGGAAGTCAAAGTGTCAATCGGCAGAATTCTCGTATGGTGGAGTGTTACGATATCAAGTCAAATACCTGGCTCGATGCTCATTCTATGCCATATAATGATACATATTTCAAAGGATGCCCAGTAAGCATGTTTAAAGATCTACTACAGTCTGTGAACAAAGTTACAACTCTTCCCCAAAGTAGTTAGGTATGTTGAGTCCGTATGACAGTTACCCTTGCGGGTTTTAATGCGAACTTCTACCAGCCATAACTTTTAAAAAGCCATCGCAGGCCGCCTGCTAACGTAAACTCAGGAAAGGTTGTTTTCACGGGAAAAAAGTTCTTTCTAGATGGATGGAAGGCCTTCCCTCGTAACGTATTTTCATTTCAATTATGAGATGAAAACATTTGTATTTGCGAACTGTCACTCAATTTGGCAAATCTGTTTACGTTTTAATCGAATTGAGAGGGCTTGTCTAACGTATTAGTTAAAAGAAACAGGATCTCATTTATTTCCAAGAGTTTGTTTTAGCATAGAAGGAGTAAGTCTCTAAAGAAACTGTGGTACAGCGTCGGTGGGGGATATTACACGATAAGTTGGTTTTATAATCTGAGGTGATAATGTAAATTGTGTACTGTCCGTATTTTCTAAAGCTGAAGTTTCGAGCGTTAGCCCTTCCTCTCAACAAATGAATTTGTTCTTGTATGTCTTCTAGAGACTAAAACCGTGATTATTGAGTAGTCTGGTAGTTTGCTTACAATTATGATCGAGGAGATGTGGAAATGGTTCAAAATTGGGAGCAGAATGTATCAGTTCATTTCTGATTTAAATACGATCAGAAACCTTAAAACCATCTGGAAGTTGTCGCTGAACGTAAACAAATTTCTCGACATAAATTGACGAGCGTAAAGAATGCTTGAAATCACCTTTTGACTTAAAAATCGAACATTTACATTTACAGCTGAGATCTTCCTTTAAGTCACGCGACTGGAAAAAGATCACGCAATTTTCATTTCTTGTTTATTAAAGACAACACTTAAAAGAACTTGACAAACAGATAAGAATTGTAACGCCACTACCTCTACAATCTCATAAGACATATGATTTACACTATTACAAAAATCAAACAATAGTTGGTCGAATAAGCATTTACGTTAGCCAATCAAAACTAAGCATTCAGCTGCTCACCATCCTCTTCTTCCGCGTGGTGTTCGAAGGCAATCTTTAAACGTATACGTCATAAAGGAGAAAGAGAGACGCGAATGGAAACGTTTCTTCAAGTCTCTGTTATAATATATATTCACGCATAGGGTCTATATTTCTACCAAGAAATGAGAGATGCTCTGAGGGATAGTCTCAGATAATAAGTTGGAGAACGAATATTTTTTATTCCTAGACGTGAATTAATAAAAAATTCGTTACAGCAAAGTTGCGTATTAAGAATCTCTCAGCTCTATCAGGTCACTTGTGCGTTATACTGGTTCAGTATACAAGAAACACGGAAGAAACACGGAAGAAACACGAAGAAACTTCCATTGTTTTTTTCTTTTATTTTAAGGTTTTTAAATTTATTTCCAAGTTCAGAGGCAACCACGACTAGATTTCACCGCGTATCAAAATATCTTGAGGCAACACTATAAGATTTATTTTTATAGCTAAGTAACAAGTAAAAGTTCTCAAACAAAACATTTATGTCTCAGAGCTGAGCGTGTTTGTTGCGTTTATAAAAGGCAAACTAGAATGATATGAAAAAAATCCCTGGACCATGGATTATTGCCCATAATTATTTTCGCTCACTCACCGAAAATTTGTTTTCAACTAGCCCATTCTTTCGTCATGCTCTTGTGGGACTTTGCGTGTTCTCATCGCTTGATTCCCACATCTTGACAATAACACGAACACCAGGAGTACTATAATGGCACTCATGGCGGCGGATACAGCACACAGCCATATATCTTTGGATGGAAACATCTCTGCTTTAGGCTCTGTGCTAATGATATCCCAATACAAGAAGTAGTAATCGCAAATTATTCTTTTATTGCTATTGTAATCTGGGTACCTTTTACTCGCTCGCAGTAGCGAATGCTCGTCATGCTTTATGTTTCATTTATCTTCCTGCCAGAATAACGGGATTCCCCTATTATATTCATGATTTGCATAAAATTTGGTTGTCACGTCACTTTGGTTTAACATTTTTCATCACTCTTTTCTCGGACAAAATTTAAAATGGGCCTCTTTTATCGATGGACTTTTGAAAATTGTGAGCAGAACCTTCTAAAAGACAACTTCTCATGAATAAATCGCTCGCCTAAAGGTAGTTCACACTGAAATGTTAAACACCCGTCTTCTTATTGAATACAAACTACGCGAGTGCAAAGATATATCTCACATTTTTAAAACTGTTATGACTTGAACTCAAGTTCTAAATTTTAAATTTTGATGGATGGGAGCAAAACTGTGACTTCAGCATAAACAAATCAGAATATGAAAAGTAATTTTAGATTCATACGTTGGAAAGACCGAGAGCCTATGAATAATCTCAGATAAATATATGTTATTCGCCAGCCGGGAGGTCCGTATTGGGAAAAACTGCGCCCTGTGCCTACGGCCTCGGGCGGCACTCAAGACCTCAGGCACAGTTTTTCCCAATACGACTCAACCAAGGCTGGTGAATAACATTTTTATTTTTTTTCTTAAACTTCACAAAATTCTGTCCGAAAGAATCCGAATGATTCAGGACTGTAATTACGACAAGAAATTCCATAAACTGAACAATTTTTGAGCGAGTAAATGGTAGTTAAATCGAGGTAATGCAAATCAAAGAGAGATGCTTCAGGCGAAAGATTTTCATTTGCGTAATGATAAAGGTGATTTAAAAGGTTTCCAAACATTCTTCGAAACATTATTCTTATTGGTACTACAGGTACTAAAGGTACTTCAGGTACTTGTCACAATCTGACACCTGTCAAATAGAGAGCACGTAAGAAAAAAAAAGCGCTTGTACACTTTTTTGAAAAAAACAACGGACTAGTTTCGTAAGGACTGTTATGACAATCTTTTATTAGAAAACAGTTAATGATCTTTCGGAAAGTATTATTAACTCTCATCGACAATTAGTTAATGTACGAAGATTTACCTCTGTTCAGTAGGTAGATGGCAAGGGAAGTACTTGTAAGTAAATTCAATTTTTTTACTTTGAAGTTGTGAGAGCTTAATCATTTGTTTGCCGCAATTGCGTGTGAAAATCTGGTCTTTCCGCTCAAAAACTAAATTCGAATGAGACACTTCAGCTAGACACAAGGGGATTTAATGCGGCTTTTTCTCATTGAACTCCTTCAGTTTCTGTTGTGTAATTTATGGTACAAATGTCTAAAGAGAGAAAATTTCTTAGAGAAAAAAGAGGATTAATAAGTTATTTATCGGCTTCATTGACATTATATTCTTATTACATATTATCATGTAAACAAATTGCAAACCCTTTTGTCCTATGGTCACTATCATAAATACAACAATTATTTTTGCTTTTACAGAGAAAATATGTGGGTTAGAGGTCTTCACTGTCAGTGTCACTTCCTTCTCCTCCCACGTGTGGATTTTGAAGAGCAAACGGAAGTGCGCGAAGTTTGAAATCGTCCTTTGATTAGTCAAGATTATTTTTTTACATAATGAGATGCTGATTACTTAAGATTGTTTGTCGCTTACCTTCCGTTCCGCTTTCATTCTCTAGAAAAGTAAAACTGGTTTAAATAAATAAATGTTAGAGTGTTGCCTTGAGTTATTAAAGCCACACTGTTGTTGATCTGTTGGCAAAAACATGTTCATCTCTGGCGAGCCACAAGCAATTACACAATTATTTTTCTGTTCGAACATTTCCCGTGCAACACGTCTACCCGGAAAATGAGGTGTCGAAAATTTCTTTAAAAGAAGAACTAACATACATGATACCTTTTGAAGATAACTTTAGATCTGTTAAACGCATAAAAAAAATGTTCCCGTTGCTATCATAACTCTCACCTTCATAGTCAAACCTCTCGTCATTTTCTTCAGGCTGCCGAGCCTTGTTTGAATCAATTTGTCTTCTGATTTCTCTCAGCACAGATTCTCTGTTCTCCCAGATCTTCAAAATCGCTACTGCGATTACTATTACTACTCCACCAAAAGAAAAGAGCAATACACCACGAAAGAATTGAGCGGAGAAAAACATAATTTCTTCCAGGTAGTCTAGATATGAACCGATCACGCCACAGACTTTGCCACTAAAACACTCGATACTAATCACTCCAATAGGCAATCGAGGGACTGAAACAAAGCCTAACTTTAAAGTTCTTTATTTAATTTGATAGAATCACCAAGACTTGGTACACGTTTCCGCAAAAACGTAAATGTAACGGAAACATGAAGCTCTATGTTTCCGTCCCGTTTAAAAATGTGGAAACGTGGGCTGTACCGCCCACCAAAACATTGATACAATCGTGTGCTTTATGCATTAATCAGAACCACAGGAATATGCTCTTTAAGCATTTTGGCTCGCCGTTTTCAAGCAGTCTTTCTTATGTTAAAACAGTCTGCCGTAAGCTATTGATATTAAAATTTCGACACATTTGTCTCAATCATTGTAACACACTGTTAAAGATTATTCAATTGAAATAAATCGGAGGTTACAAAGAGTTTGCATAGGGTCTTTTAGAAAAAGGAACAAGTGTACAATACGGTGTTGATTGTATTACTTGTACGAAAAAAAAATAAGAACCGCTTTTCCTCTTCTTTTACCCTACAACTTCACAAAATTACATTGATCTGAGAGAATCGGAAATTATTTGAAGATTAATAAAGCAGCATGCATCACTCAAAAATTCAGTTATCGTGGTAACCATAAAACCATTTACTATATTTCAGGTCCTGGGTTTCCACTAAGCGTGAACAAATGTTACAGATAAATTCGTGAGCGTCAGTGGAGATTTTCAGTAGTACCTTTCCAATATAGCTTGCCAACGTTTGCATCATCGCATCTATTTATTAATATGATGTCTTCAGTTTTTTAGAACTGTTGAAAGACTCAAACAGCCTCGTATTAATGTGTTTAGAACAACATTCCTCAAAAGTGTTTAAGGTTGTCTCTACAATCAATCCCAGAAACTGAAATCACGATTCCTCCTTGTCATTTCGGATGAGACCATTCAATAACAGATCACTTGAGAAACTTTCCACTGTTGAGTGAATCTGTTTTAATTCTATAAGTCGCTTGCTTCATCTTACCTCGCAGGTGGTAAAAATTCATAAACCTTTTTCGGTTCTATTGTTTTAAAACTCTTAACTGACAGTAAAAAGTTACATATAAATATATTAATGTTCAATTCAATCCAGATTCCGGAAATTTAAACACCCACAAACAGTCACTTGGTCCCGAATGACTTCTAATGTATTTGATTCCGGTTGATTCCCTTCCGCATAATGAGGCACGGTAACAAGATTGCGAGGGTTCAGTTTACGTGGTTAAATCATATATTTAGACAGTTCTATTAAAACAGAGTTTGCAACAGTGGAGCCAATATTCTGTTCTTTCTTCTGTTGTAAGCCCAAGATCGAAATGTAAATTCCTGTAAACAGAAGAGGAAGTTAAATGAGTGAAACAAAAGTTTCTGCAGGTCTCTATCTATTGCATGGTCAAAAGTTGGATAAAAACAAGCAGCCCAGTCTGAACCGAACAAAGGTCCATGATCCTACCCGGAAATGAGAGTTTGATCACAATGTCAAATTGATATGCTTTATAATGAGGCATTATGAGGCAAATGAAATGCCGCGACCGTGTTGTAAAAGTAAAAGAACACTATGATAAGGGTTTCATGTGTGACTCGTTTTCATAGAATTTCGATATTTTTTTGTTTCAGTGAATTAATTTTCAGAAAACTATCCAAGAATTATGAATCTGTTGAACGATTTAAGAGACGATTTGTTTGAAATCCAGGGCAGTAAACAAATATTTACATCTTGAAGAATCGTACCCGACTTCATCAAGACTTACGCCGCAGTAGAATTACCAAATAGTCAATAAAACTTCTAATTGAAATTAAAAGTTTCAGAAAGATGCGCGCCATTGCAGCTTAAACGCACTTTTAAATTTCGCTATTAATCTATCATTTTTGTTCTGTTTTAAAGGCTGGAGTGCTTTTACTGACCTGAATACTAACGTCTTCTATCTCAGCCTTTCGTCATGTTCCTTCGGTATCTTCTGCCTCCTCTCTGCGTTATTCTGAGATGAATTCAACAGTTTTGTCACCAGAAATGATATTAAGCCACCAATGGCAGCGGACAATACATACAACCAAATATCTTGAGGGAGACACATCTTTGCAAATTTCTGCATCGTAGTTTTTTTAAAGCTGAAGGATGCTTCTCCAGATACAACCTACTTATACCCATGTTTGGACCATTTTATGCGTTCTGCCATTGGCTAATTCTGACTTCCGGTTTCCAAACATTATTAGCTATGCGACGTGCGTCAATGGACATGTGGCGTGCGTCAATAGATATGCGATGTGCGTCATACGGACACGCGAAGTGCGTCATAGCGAGTTGTGAGACTCCTATTTTTAAAATACCTTCGCTCAGCATTAGTATTTCACAAAAATCGCATAAATATTATATCTAAATCCTAACGAAAAGAAGAACAAGCGAGGTTTACTAGAAAGGACTATTCCAATAACATAATTTTCGAGTTATTAGTAGTCAAGTGACTTTATTGAACAAGCCATAGACATTTTCTTTTAACTTACACGTTTGACTGTTAGGCGGAAAAATTGACAGCAAATTCTAACTGTCAATTGTAAAAAAAAGTTGACCCTAAAATTGTTTTCTTTTTATTGCAACGGAAAAAACAATTGTTAGCCGTAAAATGGTCATAATTTTAACCGTTAGCCGTAATATACATCACCCCAATCTGACTCTACTCTGGGCGGTAGGATATTGGAAAACTTCTATAATACTACTAGCTAGAGCTACAGGTTTTATACGAAGTCGACTTAGCCTAATCCATCGACTGATTTGGTTATGTAATAGTTCTGCAAATTCCTGTTAGGTCACAACACAACTATCTTCGCTGGTAGGAGCTAGGCTCAACCCTGCACAAACACTCGGCTGGAGCAACACAAATGAGTTTGACGAAATAATGGCGTTATGCTCCATCAAACTAGGTTGAAATCTAAGAAGGCGTTTGAACATTCCGTATGAAAAAATAATTACAACTAGAAATTAACTATGAAATAGCAAAGAATTAAACGCAACTCTAAGATGCTCTCGTTTTTCTGAAACTATTAATATATCAGCTGGTCCATCGGCCCAATTAAGTCTTAAATTAAAATTAAGGGCGATATCCAAACAACCTTCCACAGCGAAGTACATTGCGATACACCGACTTAAATCTCGTCTACGAGTGCCATATTGGGGATTCCCCTTTTTTTACTACAGCTCATTTACACGATAACTTGATCGCTCGTCTGAATGTCACGCCAGTTACATTGGTTTATATTTATTCTAGACTTCTCTCTTTAACAAACAGTACAAGTACTCTTTTGCTGTTGAATTTTTCAGGATTTCGATCAAAACCCTTGAGATGGAAATGTCAGGTGAATAACTTGACTTCACGATGACTGTTTTTCAAGTCTTCATCGATGTGATTATCGTTGTTGCTTATCGAGTCAATTTGTTACTGAATGGAACACAAGAGCACTAAATTCGATTTGATGTTGACTGTGATTGATAAACATACTACATGCTGCTTTCAATGCCCTTTGGACAAACATTTGGCCAAAGAAATGACAGTAAGTTATATTAAAGATTTTTCATTACAAGCCCATTGCGCGTGGCTACTCCGCGCATCGTTACGTGAAATATTCGTGGAGATGTTACGTAAAACGAAATCGATTTCGTACTGAAAAGGCTTTCAGATGCTTGAATTCATCTACTGGTAAATCATAGGGCATGTGTTGTTCAGGTTGAGTACACACGGTTGAAGTAAAGTTTCTAGCTTCTCTACTTTGAAAACCGTCCATGTGTGACATTTTACTCTCAGAGGAAATTATAGAATCAAACAGAACAAAGGGACATCTTTTAAACTAATCAACGGCTGAGTTCACTTTCGACGATTCCCACCAAGCGTTAAAACACAATGCCATTCCCCCATTACAGAGAACCAAGGGCGAATTCTCTTTTGGCGCTGAATTTGTTTTTGAGTAATTGTTAGCCTTTCATTCAAACATCAATATAATTGACTAAAATCCTTACACAAAAAAAGACTTTTAAAAGGAAACTATTCACATCTGCGAAAAAGGCCAGTGCGGTCAGACCGATCGCGACCGTCGTGATCAGGAACAAAAACAGAACACAATGTAATTGCAAGTATTTATAAATCCTGAAACGCAATGACCTATTTGTCATTTACTTTCTTATTCATGTTTTAACAAAGTGTAAATAGAACAAATTTTTAGGTATTATCTGAAGGTTTACAAATCAAAGAGAGCACTACCGAAAGGCTGACCAGTGCAGCTCAAAACAACGGAACTTATTCGCGTCAACAATGTCTTGTGTGTAAACAGCTTTCCAGCCATTTTTCAAGAGTCTAACAGCCGGTGACTCTAGTCTATGATCTCTATGTTACTATAAACATTGATACAATTAGATATACAAGTACCAAAAGTTCCATTCTAACTTAAATCTATCTGTTGTGTGATGAAGTCTGTAAACCAAATAACAGATCTTTACTCTTTTTTGTTCGTCCTTCCGTGAGCTGCATTTGTCTAAAAACACAAAGGGAAAATATAAAACAGCAACAGGATTAGATTTATTCCAGATTTTGAAAACGTTAAATATTTCTAAATATTCTGTCTTCAAGTCTTTTGCATGAAACGCGAGCTTCTGGAACGAGAAACAAACTATCAGCGTTACGTGAATATTCATACGGAATAACGCGAGATAAATTCGAGAAAAACGCGCGCGATCCTGCTTCAGCTCGTTTTTTTTTTATCTCGCGCGGGAGCGCGTGAAAAGAAATTTACCTCGATGAATTGTAGCAAGGGGAAAAAATGTTCCTCCGAGAGGAAATGTGCTTACTGGTATTGGGCCCCAATGCCAGTATTGCTGAGCAAACCTAGTTACGTTGTGCGTGTGACTGCGGAATTGTTATCGGTAAACTTTTCCACGAGATTGTCAAGTAACTGGTTTCAATTTATTTAGAATCTATCAAAATAAGATGGGGAACCTAAGGTCACAAAAAGGAAATTAAAAAGCATTGGGGAAGCAATATATGCCACTTACTATGAAAAATGCAAAGAAAACTTTCAAAAATCACTTAGTGACATTCTAGTGCTTATCCCTGAGGCTGATCTTCAAAAGAACCCTTAACCTGTCGAAAAGACTGAAAAAATGAAGAGAAATGAGCAAAGGCAAACAAAACAAGAACTAGAGTTCAGAATGTCATAAAATGACAATGCTGTTCACCTTAGCCTTCGTCAGTCTTACACTTCAAGACAAGTCCAAAGAATGGTCCACCAAAGGTCAGCTTCAGCTTCAGCTAATAACATAGAAGGAAAGTTGGACCAGCTACTAGCTGACCTAGAGTCATGGCCTGATGGTCCTCCAAACTGGTCAGAAAAAGCCAGAATGTACAACATCAAAACCAAGGGAAGTGACTCCAGACCTGGTGATAAAGGGCAATTAGTCAAGGCCTTTCTAAAGTCAAAAGAAGTCAACCTTGCCTGATTTGAGCCCCCATCAGAAGTGCATCCCAATTCAAAGGATGGCCTTCCAGGTAAAAGAGTGGGAAATTTATAACTAAGCCAACCATGGAGAGTTAAATCTCTGCAATATCATAGACGAAAGAAATTATGTTTAAGGATTAAAGGACATTTAGATTTATTGAGGAACAATAAGATTTAGGAGTTAAAATTTAGAATTTAGAAGTACTTATTTTCTACAGTTTAATTAGACTATGAATTAGTAAAACATTAGAAGAAGTAGGACTTAAGTAACAAGAATGCCGCATAAATGAATTTAATGGTGAATATAATAATATTTTCATAGGTTTTTATCATTTCCCTAGCCTCCTGTAACAAAAGGTTTTGATTAATTTTCCAGGATTCAGGGTACACAGAGCTATAAGGAAGCAAAAGGCAGGAGAAATTTCCGTGTCTGTGATGCGATTAAGTAAACAACTCAAGCAAAGCATCCATGGGGGAATAGAAAGTGACAAATTTAACATAGGAGAGCCGGTGATAGAAAGAGAGATCACCAAATTGGCTATTAATACACAGGGAGAGATAGAGCAGAGGAAATGTCACTTGCAAGCAAGAAAAATTCCCTTACAAGACATTAAAAAGAAGCCTCAATTAAAAACAAAGACCTCCTTCGAATAAAAAACGATGCATTTTATGAAGAGCTCAGTGAAAGCGAGATTCGTGCAGAGCTAAAAAAGATCAGTGAGGATATAAAGGGATCACACGATGAAATCAAACAAAGACTGGAAAGCTTTTAGCAGAAGAGGCATTGGCTGATTTGGCACCACCATTCAACCCCTTCAAATTTTGGCCATATCTTCTTTTGAGGCAGAGAGATGTATGACCCAGCAATTCATCTCTCTGATGCAGAAGCCAGAGTTCAGTATGGAAAAGATGTGGATGTCCAGGCAGCGGTGGAGAGGCCTTCTTTGTACGGTACCGCTAGCGTATATGTTTGCGGCGCAGACGAATTTCATAGGCTCAGACGCATAGTGGTCACACGCGAATATACGATATTTTTTCGCGCACGGTCGAAAAAAATGCGCGACTCGTGTGCCTTTGTTATTCAGTGCTATACGTTTCCTTTGCATTACGTTGTTGTGTAAGACAAAGAACCTTTAGGTTTGAAAAGCGACAAGTCGAAAACGGAAAATTTATGCAATAAAAAAGCTATCATGTTACACTCACGCATGTCGCGTCGCTTAGCGAATTTATCGAATATAGAGCAGTAGCAGTAGATTTGCTTGATTTGAGTTGTTGATAAATCAGCTGGGAAGGAAAATATCACTTACACAAGGCATCGAAACACGTGAATTATCAAGCAAGTCACGAAGCGAATACTCGTTGATATTGACTCCCAATTTATTCATTGCAATCATCGCTCCCTTGAATGTTTACGAAGCGGAATATAAACAATTTGGTGTTCGCATCGCAGGTAATGATTTCTTCGAAACTTCGAACTTACCTCAACCACCTTTGATGAGTATAAGAAGGAAAATATACTTTTTAAATTAGTGAATGATGTTTTATTTCACTCATTGCGATCGGCGCTCGCTTCAGCGTTTACGCACCAGCGTAAACACTCTGCTGGTGCAGAGCAGTTCCAGTATTGAAGATAAGATAAAATTTGTCCCAGCCAGACATGATGATTTAGTAAATTTAACCCAAAAAGTAAAAGCAGAGGAGGATTTTGAAGTAGAAGATGAGATGAGATTCATGAATGGAGACAACCCTGCAGTAAACTTTGAATGTGGAAATCAGCATGGAGGACATTATGCTTGCTCAGGTTGTGATGGGCGCTCAAGCATGTGCCACGATCTAAATTTCATGGCCCAAAGAAAGAACAGAACATTGACCAAACGGCAACAACTGGTGTTAGCAAGAAGGAAAGGAAAAGAGGCAAAGCAACTCTTGAACCCATTTAAAGTTCTGAAGGTCAATGAGCTACAAGCTGAAATTGAAGCAACAGGACTCGGAGATTCAAACAATACCAGACCAGAACTTGCACAAATTTTAAATGAAGAACTTGGAGGAGCAAAAATAATTCCAGCACTGTTGTTTGGGGATGAGAGTGTTACTGTGGAAAGTCTCAACCTCCATTGCTACGAGGTAGTGTGTTTTGAAGCTCTTCACTGCTCCATGAATCACATAAAAAACATTCTGGAAGAAATCCCACAACACATATCTGACCTTGATACACTGATTAAACTTAAAGAAATACTAGCTGTTCAACTCAACAAAGAGAAAAAGCAAGTGGGTTCCACAGGTACCATAATCATGAAAATGCACTATAAAGATTATTATTATAAATACATACCATTTTAAGGAACTTTACTATAACTGTCCAACTGATAAATATTTGTAAAAGTATCCTACATTTATGTAGATCTGGAACATAACTGAAGGCAATGCTGCATGGTAGAAATCTAAAAAAGAACAGCAACAACATGGTTTATCAAGTTACAGTGTTTAATAATGTACAATAATCTGTAAATCATAAATTTATTTATGCTTCGAAAGGATTCATTGAACAAAATGTGCTCAAAATGTAATATTTTCCAAGTGTGTCATGCATGATGAATAATGTTGAGCAAATTAAATCTTCTGCTCAAGTGATTTTGAAACTAATTACTGTATTGCAGAAATAAGGCTCTCTTTAGTGACATCCCTGAGGAAAAGTTAAAAGAGTTGTTGTATTCTTTTTGAGAAGTGCATGGATACAGAAAACCATTATATTTAAACTCAAGAACCCTATAGCTTTTAATTTCTGAAGTCATTTTGTTAGCAGTTTGTTCTAATATGGGAAATTGAACAGTGAAGCAATCATACTATATTTTAATGATGAACAATGCTATTCATTTAAAATGCATACTAACCATTTTCTCACAGGAAATCTTTGTTGCATGTGTAAGTGACAATTAATTGCTAAACAGAAAATTAAATTCCTTGTACAAGCAAGACTAGAGAGCTTTTATACTTTGTCTTGTGAACTAGGCCTGTAATGCTACCCATACAAGATGCTTCTCACTAAAAAATGAAAGAACTTTCTAAAAATTTTTTGTTGGTCCAGTTATTAGTTCCCATGGTAAACTTTCTATATTAGGACTTTTGATAATAAGGCAATACTTCACCTGAATTCTTTTTATAGAACAAAGTCATAAATTCCTTTACGAAATATGATTTTAACTTAAGCTAAAAAATGCTTTTTCTCTTCCAAATGTCCCCTTCTCTCAACGTTCGTAAGTTGGAACTTAACACAGGTCAAGCTGATCAAAAGAAAGATTCTCTAATAACGCAGTTGCATCTTTAAGGAGGATTTGATATTTTTCAAAAACGATTTCAATTTCACTCGCTTAGCCCGAAACATATTTAGTTAAATAGCGTGGATTTCTATTCACACCTACTCGGCGACAAGAGTAATACGTAGTTTTCCTGCCGGTCAACAAACGCAAAAAGCCTAAAATGAAAGCGAACACTTACACTAGACTGGTCTGAACTCACGCTAAACCCAATAGAAGGATGCACAACAGATACAAGTCACACCTTCTTACAGTTAACAGTTTCTTACCTCCATGTTCTTCCCAGGTAATTTCCAGACTTCTAACACAAACGACCCGTAGAGTAATAGAGAGCGACAGAGTTTTCGGAACATCTATGGGCCGCAATGTTCTCCATCTCGGCCGCCATCTTGAAATGTTTTTCTAAAGGCTCGATTGTGCTTCGGGATCCGGAAGTCTTCGGAAACCGAAAGTCTCCGGAAGGTACACTTGTCTTTAAAACACGGAAGAATTTGGAAGTTTTGGAGTATCTTACTTCAGGAGCCTATTACTTGCTTACTTACAACATGATGACATAATGCGAACTGGCCTTGTGCCAGTAAGCACAAAAATTATAGTCTGAATTAGAGTAGTGACAACAAATGGTACATCTACGACCACATTTCAGTGACTGAGCTTGCTTCGGTATATGGACGATTCCGCGGTTGAGAGTGATTGTTGCTCTCTTTATTACAGCCTCAGTCTCAAAGGTAACTTTCAAAATACAGATTTATATAAAAACGATTTATTTTAATCAAGTGGATTATGTGAAAAAGTAAAGAACAGAAAAATGACAATGAAGGTAGCGTCTGCACAAGAGAATATCAACTCTATCAGCCGGGACTGTTTGCGCGGTGGAAACATTTTCGTGTCGCTGTCGAAGAAGTCACTGTTTGCGTGTATCATTAAGTTTTTCGGAGATAACCACTGATCTGTCAGACTTTGATTCTTTCTTATCTTCGCTGGTAGGAACATAGGCTCAACCTTACACAGACGCTAGGCTGGAGCAACACAAATTAGTTTGACGAAATAATGGCGTTATGCTCCTTCAAACTAGGTTGATATCTAAGAAGGCGTTTGAACATTCCGATAAAAACCGAAAACAACTAAAGGGCTAAGTTCTCTTTTCGGGGATTCCCCCAAACGTCGAAACACAATGACATTCCTCCGTTACAGAGAACCAAGAGTGAATTCTCTTACGGTGTTGAATTTTATTTTTGAATAATAGTTAGCCTTTCATTCACACATCAATATATTTGAAAAAAATCCTTACAAAAAAAAAAAAAAAAAAAGAAAAAAACAGTGCGGTCAGGCCTGTCGTGACCTTCGTAACCAGGTACAAGAGCAGAACACAATATAATTTCAAGTAATTATAAATCCTGCGACACAATAATCTATTTGACATTTACTATCTCATTCACGTTTTGAAAAAGCGTAAACAAAGCAAATTTTTAGTTATTACCTGAAGATTTACAAATTAAAAAAAGCACTACCAAAAGGCTGACCAGTGCAGCTTAAAACTACAGAACTTATCCGCGTCAACAATGTCTTGTATATAAACAGCTTTCCAGCCAATGCACATGCACTACAGCATTTGCTAAGAGTCTAACAGCCGGTGATTCTAGTCTTTGATCTCTATGTTACCTTAAACGTTGATACAATTCAAGATATATATGTACTTCAAGTTCAGTTCTAATTTGTATCTATCTGCTGTGTGATGAAGTCTGTAAACCAAATAACAGATCTTTACTCTTCTTTGTCCGTACCTCCGTGAGCTGCATTTGTCTAAAATCACAAGGGGAGAATATGAAATAGCAACAGGATTAGATTTATTCAAGATTTTTGGAAACGTTTAAGATGTCTAAATATTCTGTCTTCAAGTCTTTTGCATGACACGCGAGCTTCTGAAACGAAGAACAAACTATCAGCGCTCAGCCGTGGTGCCCTTTTGACCACAGCGTGATGATCACTCCGAATATTCATCCGCAAAGTTGCGCAAGAAAAACGCGCGCGACCCCCTCTGAGCTTGTTGTTTACCTCGCGCGGGGGGCACGTGGAAAGAAATTTACCTCGATGAATTGTAGCAAAAGTATAGAAAATTATAGTCTGAATTAGAGCAGAGACAATAAATGGAACATTTATAACAACATTTCAGTCACCGAGCTTGCTTCGGTGTATGGACTATTCCGCGGTTGAGAGTAATTGTTGCTCTTTTTTTATGACCCAAGTCTACATGATAGCTTGCAAAATACACATTTTTTAAAAAAGATTTTTTTTAAATCAAGTGTATCATGAGAAAAAAAGAAACAGAAAAATGATTAT